CTATTAGATATCACTCAGCTAGTGGTATTACAGTATGCGTTTCATCCGAGATTAAAAGATACGCCAGCCAAAGATGACATGTATGCGCTTTATCAACACAATGTGTATAAGGTAGCATAACTCCTACGTCACTGCACCTAACAAGCTCAGATGGTTTTGCAAGCTCCAAGGATAAGACCTCGGACTTTGATAGAACTGTCCCGGGAGTTGTCTGAAGTTGCGCATCTATTTGTAGTGTGAAACAAGTGGTATCTCAACATTTTGTGATTTCTTCATTCATTGGATACGAAAATGGTGCGTTCTTCCCTTTAATCTTCTCAAGCAGATGAAAACAATGTCTAAATTATCTACACTACATTTTCGTCAATGTTTCTATCGTGTCCCTCTGATACATTTATGCGATATACTACTAGAACTCAAGATCTGAAACAGGTTGCAAGTAGAATTAGTGCACGCTTGAAATTCCTCTCTCCAACTTAGTTTCTGTTAAATTGGAGGTTCATGTCAGGTCCAATCAGCATAAAATGACAGAAATCAAAAACTAACGTAATGATGTTGTTACCAATTCAAGCTAGTAGCGATAGTACTGAATCTAGGCGAAGGCCTGTTACGTTTTTCAGGTATGTCAACTCTGTTAGACCTGGCATAATAGCTAACAAGCAATTTTGACAAACACGTATAAAAGACTTCAGCTTGAAATGGCTGAGTACAGCTTTCCAATACGCTCACCACCACTCTGAAAAGCACTGAACCTTCAAGTAACTTTGATTCTTTTTTGTTGAGACGTCAGTGGAGATTATGTCATGTCATTATATGCATGATAATGCAGATCATACATGTATATATGCAGACTTGAGTATCTTGTATCAAGGTTGTCTGAGAAGTGTTTCAGGCTCTACTATAAGTACTGGAGCATTTCTCACCTTGATATTCGAACAACTATCTGATCTGAAGTCTACCATATACCAGCTGACATAAATGCACTTAGTATCATTAAGAAACATGTCCACTGAAGAGTAAATTATGTTACAATTGCAACATTTTTCGATATACTTAGTAGACGAGATCGATTCAAGGAGAAATAGAGCCGCTTAATTGTTTCTTGCACATGTTTTGTTTCATCATCAGGCATGGATCAGGCCCACATATAATTTAGCTCGCAGATTCACAGCAATATTATAAAAGATGTTAGTTCTTTTGCGCCAAAATTTGAGTAAGCAAGAATACTGGACCTTCTGATCTATATGATTAAAAAAGACATTGAAAAAATTTTTGTTGAGATATTAGTCTATAATATGTCACGTGACTATGCAGAGATATGCATCTCCTGCATAAATATTATGTGAAACAAATCCTAATCAGTTAGGATTAGAGATAAGTTTCAGAAAGCACACTAAAGATTTAGAGTGGTATTAGAATCTACTATAAATACAGTTAGATTCTCCCTCATCTTAAGTGAACATTCAATTGGTAAGATTTACATATAAATCTTATAAATATAAGCTTATACAACTACTGATATAAGGTAGTAAAAGGTATATTAAATTATCCAAAAGATGACAACTTCAGATCAGTTAAAGTTAGCATTCCAACAAATTTTGCTTCTCTAATTGTTCATATAATCGCATTGAATAAAATGCATTGAGTAAACAACCGGTTGTGAGTTGGTAATATTGTATTCTACATGTGTTCTATGATAAATAGAGGTGAAGGTTTGCTGCTCATAATGTCACATAAGACATGACTATAGCTTGAAGTCAAAACAGTTCATTTTGATAAACATAAAAAACATATATACTTCAATTAAAGGTTGTGGCTAGATGGTGCGAATACCATCAAAATCAATATCCGAGCTTGATATAGGTAGCCCATAAGTCATCCAAATAATCTCTATTATTTGAAGTATGAACTTAGGCATGAGACTTCACTGTCTTATATAAGCTTTATTAATAAATGATATATAAAAAGCGGGGCTAACAGTTTGTTTCGAAAGTGCAAATCTAGAAGTTACGTCGTCAAGGAACGCATTTAATTTTGTTAACGTATATTATACGAACTATAACCAACAAGAGCAATTGAGAACTTTAAGACAGCTGTGATAGTCTTCAGCATGGTGCTCTTTCAAATGGATTTTATTCCAATGAGGAAACAATGCTGAAACAATGATAACTTTAGGGACCGACCTCTTGTGTATTCTAGGAAAGTGATAGCAATTCTAAATAATATCACCTGAAGTATATTCATTGGAGGCCAAAAATTTTTTGGGCAGTACTGAGCTAGAAAAAGTCCTGATTTCGACTATAAATCTCTCGAACTTAGTTTAAAAATTGTTTTTTCTGAATTAAGAGCTTTTTGTCAGCAAAGTATTATGTTTGAAACTGCCTACCTTTGGAGTATATTTTTTTATGCAGGACCATTCATCGAGACTCGTCAGTATTCTATTTCCAACACAAACCCAGATTTAGAATTCGAGCTTTTTAAATCTTAAGACATTTCATTGTCTCGTTGCTATCAATCCATGGGATATCTTGTAACTCGGAAGTGGGCATAGGTGATCACATATTCTTACACAGTTCCAGCCTACTTCGGTTTGTCCGGTTTTAATCAGAAGGGGATACTTTTCTACAACATATCAGATCGTAGCTTAGAACATAGCGCATGCGACTGAAACATCAGATAACCTTATATTGTTTTCAATTACTTAGTCAAACACGGTTCACATTTGATTATCAGTAAAAGCAGGGCAATCATCAATTTGACAAAAGATTATATAGTTTTCGTTTAGGTGGCTAAATGACCTCTACTACTGACATATGGTAGATTCCAGATCAGATAGTTGTTCGAATATCAAGGTGAGAAATGCTCCAGTACTTATAGTAGAGCCTGAAACACTTCTCAGACAACCTTGATACAAGATACTCAAGTCTGCATATATACATGTATGATCTGCATTATCATGCATATAATGACATGACATAATCTCCACTAACATCTCAAAACATGTTATAGTCATCGTTCTTCACGAGAGAATATATTTTCTGGAATTCCAGTTATGTTGCTAATTTTCGCATGCTTAGCTTGGTTACCTAGTCTGCTAGGTTTTCATGAGCTAATCGAGCGAGCAAAATAATCGGTTTTAAAAGAAGCTCGAGACTTGACGGCTTTAGACTCAAGCATCGTCAGACCATATTCAGTAATGCGATTGCGTGGGGCGGTGATACTGGTAACTTCTGGCGGCTTCCTTCTATGCTGTGTTACGGATTGTTTTTTTTATAAGCTACTTGTCAACAATAGATGCACATGGCTATGGTTTCCAGTTTTCAGTGATATACATATCACAATAATTGTGTTCTATTATCTGATATCTTTATCAAAGCTTCCTAGGCCGTATTTAATCACGGTTGCTGAATCATGCTGAAAAATAATTCGTCCCAACTGCAAAGATTGCGGTTAGCCGCGTAATCATATTCACGTATTTTATCTTGTAGTAGTTTACATAGAAATATGCTGCTGTAAATCAATCACGTGAACAAAGTCAGCACACAATAATCACCTGATATATTAAAAGTTATTCACCACCGAATGGGGACAGAGTAATCAATTTAATACTAACGGCTATCCATTATTTTTGGATCAGTATGAGTGTTCTTAAACACTGCATGAGGCTGAAAAGATGACCTACATTATATCATTTCCTCTCAAGCTCGGTAAACACGTCAGCCTCGAGGTAGGAAATATGATCTTTGTGGAGAGTTCACAAATTGGCTGATGAATACCATCGCTTTTTCGAACGTTTCTACGAAATGACCTCGAATCCTTTATGACCCAAGAGAAAGTAAGTAGGTATGATAGTTTTCGAGACCTTCAATAGAAAACTCGTGATGGACGCACTCTCATCAATTCATGCTGTATTCGGAGAAGTGTATTTTCACTCTCTTGCTTGCATCCACTCAAAATTGCTTTCAAGAGGTAGTGATGTAATTCGTAGAATTACATCCGAACAACTGAGTTTTCCCCGAAGTCTTGAGAGTAATGTGAGCACTTCGGAAGCTTGCATTAGATGTATATCTGTATTGATGTCAACCTTGAAAGCGTTCTCAACGACCTAGCTGCAGCGAGTATCAATAATTCTCCCATTATGAAGAGACCTGCAGCTTCTTTCGTCAGACCTGGGTAATTACTCAAAGCTTCCGCAATCGTAGTCAACATTTCAGCTACAAAGAGTATGACGCGTTCAGTATCTGTACTATTTAACATCTTCAAATTAAGTTTTAAGGTCACCGGGCGTCACATTGTCATACATAAAACCCGAGCATTGTAAAAGCTTTGATAAGAAAGCGAAAAAGCGTTCCCCGCTAGGAATGCCGAATAATTGACCCTGTGGAACGTCTCATTAGATTGCATTGAAGACTGTTGAGAAGCAAGGGATGAGGAGATATATGAACAGAGTCGATATAGAAATTCAACATATGCAACCCATCAATCGTCAATAAAGACTTTCTTTGCAGAGGCTAGGAACTTGAAAGCTTGAGTCAGCAGCAAATATTAAGATTTCATACCTTTATCTCTTTTAACCCTCGAAAATGGGAGTAACAAAGCTTTATGGACTCAGTTTGGACGCGATTCTGTTTTTCTGATGAGTATCGAATAAAGGATCCTTGTATTCGTCTCACTTATTGTTTCATTACTATAGAATACAACAGAACAACTCACCAGTGAAAACTCCTCTGAGTTAGTTCGGATTATTTTGTTTGGATGCCACACATCTTTGCAAACTGTTCAAAACTGATCACCTCGCCACAGCAAATTGTTTATAGTTAGTTGGTATGCGCCCCATAACTAAACAATGAACTGTAAAACTCCTTTTGATGTCAAGACACGATGAAAGAGAAATAAAAGTTTACAATAAGAATGGAGCTCGGCTACTTGATAGTCGTGTTCATTAACATCTAAATTTAAATGCAAGGCACCAGTTAGCTAACATATACATAATTTTTTTTAGGTGTATTTAGGAAAGGACATAAAAGTCTGGTAAGAATGTGCTGATATAGAAATCGAAAACTGCAATTTGAAGGAAAGCATAACAGGTGTCCGCAATCTATTCAACGATTTTCAGGTCGCGATCATTCTCTAACAGGTATTTGTCTTTGTAAGTGGCGAAAAGCTCTTGTAGAGCTTGCACGTATAAATTATGGTAGTAATCAATTTCTTCAGGGGACACTACGTCTCCATACTTTCTGCCATGGAGCCTTTTAACTGTTATGGGAGCTCCAGTGACAATGTGGATCGGACGTCTGTGGGGAAGAAGTCCAAAATCATAGTTCAACAGCCCACGAGAAATTATTATAGGAAGAGTAAATCCAAAATTCTTTTTGAGCCGAAGTTGGAACCATTTGAGTAACTGGCGTATATAGCCATCATTCTTGTTGTTGGGATTCTCCGTCTCATTAGTATAGTATACGTCGTAAATGTTGTTTTCGCCAAATGCATACACGGGCACTAAACATATATCATCATTATTAAATCTTCCACTTGCCTGTAGTGCTAACTTGACAAAACCTTTTCGTCTCCTCAATACGATTGAATTCAAATGTGGTTTTGCAAGCAGACTTTCACTTGCACCACCGACCACAATAACCACGCTGTGTCCTTTGTCCAACAAAGATGAAATGTTCTTTTTAGTCACAGCAGTACATCCCAAGCTCATCAAGTAGTCACGATAAAATGGAAGCTGAAACTGGTTTACAAGTGTGGTTACAAAACAGCGGATTCCTGGAAACAGCTTCGAAAATCCTGCACCTTCAGTTGCGAATCCCGCGAACACTCCCATGGCGATAACGCCATGAGGATGATATCCAAAAATGTATCTAGGCCCTGTAATCGTCTCTCTTTCAACGGTTGTTTTTCTTTTTTGGATCACTTTCCATCTGAACAGTAAACTCAGCACTAAGTTTGGGGTGACGGATGCGAAAAATGGCGGAATATCGAACTCCTCTAATTCAACTTTTATTGGGGTTTTCGTAGGGGATAATTCTTCGCTTCTATGGAGACGGACTGGATAGTAATTGGCAAAGTGCTTATACAGGCTCCAGTTTGACATTGATCTAGAGTATCTGTTGAGCGCATTACCATTAGAAGGGGTACGGTCAAATAGATAAAACTTGAACGTGTAAACGAGGAGAAATGGCCACATGAACGGATAACACCATAGATAGAAGTATATGAATGGAAGAACAACTATTGAACTACCATGTAGAAAGACTGCTAAGGTCTCCAGTCTTTTGACCAGGGGTGTAGATAATGGTGATCTGACAGGAGTCTTGGCTTTGGAGAGAATACATGACGCTTGAGAAGGTTTGCAGGTATTGAGTGTCTCATTGGAAAAAGAAGGCAACTGAGCAATTGGAGACGAGTCTGTTTCAAGAGACTTTTGATCCATTTGGGGTTTGAATGCCTTTAATTGCTCGTCAGAGTTTTCGGCCGCCGCTAGCATTCTCATACCAGCCTTGAATTAGCGGTTGTAGATCAATATCTATAGTAGTTGGCCACAATACACAAAGCTCCGATAATATGACCGACAGAAAGCACCAAACCTTGTGAGCCAACAAACACGATCAAAAGCGTGACGATGCTTTAGATTACTGACACAGCAAAATCCTTTAGATTCCATATTACATAATCGAACCCCGAGTAATTTGTGTTGAATTTGACTCGCTAAAATGAACGGTAGCTAGCTATTACTTCCAAATGGAGCAAGAAGCACAACCGCTGCATTTCTTTTCACGCTAGGTAGTATGAAGTGTTGTCCGTTACCCTAGTGTCACTGAAGCGGTCGAGTTTCCGTACAGATAGCTGTAGAACATAGGAAGAGGTACATAAAATATCAAATAGTCAATACGTAGGCCTACGCTATCAAAGGATACAAACATTTTTCACGTAATCATTCAGTTCCTCAGACATCAAAGACATCAATTTCAATGTGAGGCTCATATTCATTAGGCTTTCATGGATAATGCATTATAAGAAGTATTCGTTTCCATTTTTTTGGTTCTTAGATGGGTTGATTTTCAGCGTGTCATCTGGAACGGCACTGAAGATTTGGAAATTGACGTTCAAATTGTCATCCACTTTCATCACGCTGGCAACATTGCCACATCGATAGCAGTAATTTGGGGCAGACCAGACAGTTACCACGTCTTTATCAGGAAAATGGTACCTGAATCCTTCCATGACTAGCTGGTGAGCGCGCGCGATCAACTGCAGATTATTGATATGATTAAACTCTCTGGCTACCTTTGCCCCAAACAACCACCCCGCACCTCTTGGAGAAATCGCCCAAGTATCTACATTATCCGGATCTGACCAAACAATGTCGCAAAATCCTCCCTCATGGGGCACCTCCTGAGCCCTGCTTAGAACTCTTATTTGGTCCAGCATACGAATTTCTGGAGAAAGACCGCCATGGATACAAAGAATTTTGCCGTCTATTATTGCACTGAGAGTAAGGAAATCGAACACTTGACAGCAGTATTTCCACACCATTGTTGAGCCATATTTGTTCAAACACTCTTCATAAAATCCGTACACTTGCGTTATCTGTCTCGATTCATGATTGCCTCTCACCAATGTTATATGCTGTGGAAATTTGACTTTGAGAATCATTAATAACGTGAAAGTTTCAAGCGAGAAGTACCCTCTATCGACGTAATCACCCAAAAAGATATAATTAGTGCTTAGGCCAGACTGAGAGGGAAAGCCTCCCGCAATTTTAAACAATTCAAGAAGATCGTGAAACTGTCCATGAATGTCACCACAAACGGTAACAGGGGACCTGACGGGTTGAATGTTTGACTCCTCCATTAAAAGATCTTTGACTTTTTCGCATAGTTGCTTCATATCATTTTCCGGAAGAGCTTTGCAGTTTTTAATGTCCTCGAACCATTGATCTGGACCTCGCTCTGACATGACCTTGAAATGCAAAGATTGTACTGTTAAGTTGGAAGTTTGTATTTTTGCTTTCAACTAATTAATTGACTTGCAAATTGTAGACGTCGCTAATTTAGTATAGTAAATAGAAATAAGCCTTTGACTCAAATGTGTGAATATGATGCTCTTCAAAGCTAAAAGAGTAAGCTGTAACCATAAAAGTCAGGAAGCAAGTGATTGAACCTATTATCGACTCGAACTTATGGAGGTAACCTTAAAGTGCCTTTTAATTTCCAATTACTCAAAACGTTTTTTTTTGGTCGCTGAGATTTACGAAAGAATTTTACTGACACGAAGTCAAATCGACAGTTGCGAAAACCTAGGTTCTCTTCAGAAAGTTTTACGCAGTGTTGCCCAATTCAAGCTTCATCCTGAAGCCCAATGTTACAAACTCAAAACCTTACCATCTTCTCTGGCTTTCTCACCATATTTCTTGATCCTGATGGATTGAACGGCAATGAATCCTGAAGCATCTTGAGGTTGGAAGCCAGTAAGTTCATCCATGGAAGATTCAGTAGCATCGTAAAGCTTTTCCGTGGATGATGATCTGCCTAGAATTGTAACAGACCCCTTGTAACACCTAGCTCTCACAAGCCCATTGACAGTATTTTGGGAAGGCTGAATCATGGATCTGACATATTCACACTCTGGAGTGAAATACATTCCATTGTAGAGCAATTTGGAATATGTCGGCGTAACAAAAGCATCTCTAATACTTCTGACCTCCCTGTCAAGAGTCAAACCTTCCAGATCAATGTGTGCTGATCTCAAAAGAGTCAGGCCAGGTGTTTCATAACAACCCCTAGACTTTATACCAATGAATCTGTTTTCAACAATATCTATTCTGCCAACACCGTTTCTTCTGGCAATCCCATTGGCCGTTATGAATAAAGTGACGGGGTCGGTCACTTCCTTTCCATCAGATAAAATGAGCTTTTTAGGAATTCCTTTTTCGAACTCGACAACAAAGTCTTCTGGTTCATCAGGAGCATCAATAGGATCAACCGTCAACTTCCACATATCTTTAGGTGGCGTTGTATTCGGATCCTCGAGAATACCAGCTTCAAATGAAATATGGGCCATGTTCTCATCCGTAGACCAAGGTTTGGCTTTAGTTTGAGTGACCGGAATCCCCTTCTGAGCAGCGTAATCGAGTAAGTCTTTTCTTCCCGCAAATCTCTCAAAGAAAGATGGATCTCTCCAAGGTGCAATGACTTTCACATCAGGCTTCAAAGCATAGAAAGACAATTCAAATCTAACCTGGTCATTTCCCTTACCGGTGCAACCATGGGAAACTGCAAAACAGCCTTCCTTCTCTGCCACATCAATTTGAGCTTTCGCAATAACAGGTCTGGCCAACGAAGTACCCAACAGATAAACATTTTCATAAATGGCATTGACTTGCACAGCTGGAAACAGCACCTGTTCAACAAATTCTTTTCTGACATCGACTAGGACATACTTGCTTGCGCCAATTGCAAGGGCCTTTTCCTCAGCAGCTGCGAAGTCCTCCTCCTGACCAATATTTGCCATGAAAGCAATCACTTCATAACCCTGCTCTAGGAGCCATGCAAGAATCACAGATGTATCCAGACCTCCAGAATATGCTAAACAAACCTTTCCTTTTGACATCCCTTTGTTTTGACGCGGTGAGCGAAACACTAAAAGACAACCAACAACTACTAAAAATTTTCAAGTTACGATGAAATAAATATATGAGGTCCACATAGTCTGAAGAGAATGAGTCGTAATGTATCAGAGTTCCTAACCACACGCGGAAAATTTTCAAAATTGCCATTTTAGGAATGACCCTACCGATTGATTAAAGACAGTCAAATTATTCAAACGGTGCTTGTACTCAACTATAAGCGTTAGCCAAGAACCCCATTTTTTCACCTAATGCTATCATTTCTCTGCAGCCGAAGGATATCAAAATAACAACCCAATTGCAAAGACTTGCATTTCATATTTGCTTTTCACCGGGCACTAAAGAGCTTGAGGTTTTCACGGGAATGAGCAGAATCAAGAAAACATCAATAATACACTACACCCACTAGGCGAAAAAAGAGGATGAGAAAGGTACATGCTTGTGTATGAAATGAGGGAACTAAGTGAATGGTCAACTTTAATTCGGCTAATGCGTCAGGTTATAAAACTGTCAATCACACACTGAGAAGCTTAGACTAATCATCTTAAAAGGCTAGAGTTAATGTGATAATAGAAAACGCTGGACTTCAAATATGCAATTTCGTCAATACTACACTAAAACAATGATTTAGTCGGTAGTCGGTAACTGTAAGGAAGTAAATTTCTATTAGTAGAAAAGCCAGAAATCATCTTCGGGCTCTTTATTCAAGTATTTGAATCACTAGATTAATTTTAGCGCGCAAGTCCTAGCGGCTAAATTTTTTAAGGTATATGCCGCTAGGTACAATAATGCCACTTATATTGCCAGATATAAATACTTTGGCGAAGGCAGTGGAATCGCAAAAACCGATTAGGAACGGGGAGCAGAGCTTTGAAGTGCGCTAAAGTAAATTTTGGGACTGTATTTTTTCATCCACAGCCACTATAAATATACGAGCTAAATTTCTTTCAACGCTAACTCAAAAAACATGTCGTCAGAGGCAGACATCGATCAACTGGCTCAAAATTTTGGCATCAAGAATGCAGAACTGATTAAGACAGGTGCTTTCATAGGGGGCCAATGGCTTCATTTCAATGACGAGACGTTTTCTGTTGAAGACCCGGCCACCAACAAGCACCTGCTGAAAGTTTCTAATACGCCTATCGAAGTTGTGGAGCAAGCCATCCGTGACGCAGACACTGCATTTAAAGAGTTCAAAAAAACGACGGGCAGACAAAGAAGTTTGTTGCTCCGAAAACTTTACGACTTGATGATTGAAAATGGTGAAGACCTTGCCAAAATTTGCACTATAGAAAATGGTAAACCTTATGCTGATTCCTTGGGGGAGTTGAAATATGCTTCATCCTTTTTCGAGTGGTTCTCGGAGGAGGCTCCCAGAATAAATGGTGATAACATAGCTTCTGCAGATCCCAGCAGACGGATAATCACCTACAAGCAGCCAATTGGCCCAGTCGGTATTTTAACACCGTGGAATTTTCCGATCGCGATGATCACAAGAAAATTAGGAGCAGCTTTCGCGGCAGGATGCACGGCTGTTATCAAACCAGCTACCGAAACCCCGCTTTCAGCGTTGGCCATAGCAGTTCTCATCGAGAAAGCCGGTTTCCCTAAAGGTGTTGTGAGCATCATCCCGGTCAATGAAGAAAGGACCAAAACTGTTGGACAGATGTTCTGTGAATCTCCATTGTTGAAGAAAATTTCCTTCACGGGTTCAACTGGTGTTGGTAAAATTCTTATGACCCAGTCCGCTTCTACTCTTAAAAAACTATCATTTGAACTGGGTGGAAATGCACCATTTATTGTCTTCGATGATGCAGACGTTGATCTTGCTGTGCAGGGTGCTATCGCATGCAAATTGAGACAATCTGGTCAGACATGTGTTTGTGCTAACAGACTATATGTCCAAAAAGGGATCTATGAGACTTTTGCAAAAAAGTTAGCCGATGCGGTTGGCAAACTCAAGCTCGGCAATGGACTGGAACCAGGAACTACGCATGGACCTTTGATTCATCAAAGAGCCGTCTCAAAGGTCAGGTCACATATTGAAGACGCTGTCAGCAAAGGAGCTAAGATAGTTACTGGTGGCAATGTTGAAAGATCTTTAGGAGATAATTTCCATCAACTTACCGTTTTGATCGATGTTCCTTTGAATGCGGTAGTGACGAAAGAGGAAACATTTGGCCCACTAGTTCCATTGATCAAGTTCAGTACCGAAGAGGAAGTCATTGAACTTGCTAACGATACTGAGTATGGTCTGGCGGGTTATTTTTTCTCGAAGGACTACGCTAAAGTGTTCAGAGTGAGCGAGCAGCTCAACAGTGGTATGGTGGGTGCCAATACCGGAGCCATGACGGAAGCTGCTCTTCCATTCGGTGGTATCGGCTGGTCAGGATTTGGAAGAGAAGGTTCCAAGTATGGAGTGGACGATTACGTTGTTCTAAAATCAGTTGTTATCGGTAATGTTTAGGTATTCCGATTCTACTCTTCCAAATAGCTTAGAAGCACCCAATAAAGATTTATCTATTATTGCGATTTGAGCTTTTGCTCCACAACCAAAACTTTATCCTCCGCTGTTTGGCATTTGTCAGTCCTAGTTCCAACACGAATATCACTTTGAATTCTCAAAACTCCCATTTGGTGGACCGTCTCATGTAACTTGCCTATCAGATTCATAACCTCAGACCACTCTCCCTCAATAGTTGTTCCTGCACTGTGTAAGGTGCTCTTCAAACCACTTGCTTGGATTTCTTTCTCAACAGCAACGATATAATCCGAAACAGAAGAAGTTGCCGTCCCGATCTGAGTGGTTAGCAAAACCTACATTTCCTAGAATCTTTATTACTTACAGGAATCAAGCAAACATCTGCCAAACAATGTAAATCAACCATACAATCGAATTTGGAAGTAAATAGATATCCAAGTTTTTGGAAAGAATTAAGTTATCTGTACCTGATCATTACGCTATAAATTAGTCATCGATAAATCAATTTGTCTCTCCGAAGAAAAACATAAAGGTCAATCAATATCTTCAGGATATCTTCTCCAAATAAGCTTTCAAGAATTAGTGCTGTGGCTGAATTTGCAGTTTAGCTATTGAAATTCAGGGTTTTTCTTTGTTTTCAATTTAGTACATTCGAGGGCGGTCATCATCAGGCGGAAAAGCTAATTTCTAAACTGACAGGAAATTGACTAATTAGGTACAGTTGCGTGCGACTTTGGATGAATTCTCTGGATCTGGGTAGCCAACGAAAAGATGGACTTCACAATTCCAAGGAACTGCCCTCAAGTACTCGAGGACCAATTATTGAAACTCATCAATGAATACCAAGAAGGTTATCTTACCGAGAAAGGCTACATAAACAAAAGACTAGAAATTCTTCAATCTGTGTCCTCCAGATCAACGACTTTACCAAAAACACCATTATCGAATAAAGCAACTACCCTAAGCAACTCCACTTCTACCTCCACTCCCGTTCCATCAGAACCTCACGAATTCGAACTCAACCTAGGTAAAAATAATAGTTTTCCAGATGACCATAATGAAAAATTTACCCAACCTTTAACGTACGAAGATGAGCCTTTTTCGTACCTGGAACCTTCCTTGAATTATTTCCAGCAATTTGACGTACCAAGGGAATTGCAGAAACCTCTTGATCCAAGAGATGTTGACGAAATGCTTGAGCAGAAATTCAATAATCTGCCCAGCATTCTGAGACACAGAGGCTCAATCTACAAGAGAGAAGCTGCTATAGTCATTGTTGATGCGAAGGGCAAAGAAAACCAGTCCATATCTTGGGAAAGGCTATATTTGAGAGCTGAAAAAATAGCACAGAAAATAAAGAACAAAGCAGCTCTTTATCCGGGCGATCGTGTTTGTCTTATTTATCAGAATATTGAAGTCATCGAACTAGTCATTGCTGTGTATGCTTGTTTCTTGTCTGGGACGGTGGCTGTTCCAATGAATAGTGGTTTATCATCTAAGGAGTTGGTTAAAATTATGACTGACACCCAGTCTCATCTTTGTTTAATGTCCGATTCGGTCTACAAACATTTTGAGAGACAGTCAAACGGATCCAAGCTTTCAATTTGGCCTAAAGGTATGGATATATGGAAAACAACTGATACAGGACTGGCTGCAAAAGATGAAGACCCACCAGCGATGAAAATCAGCGATCTCGCCTATATTCAATATACCAAAAGCTCTTTTGGCGAGCTTAGGGGTGTTGTGATTTCTCATAGGACTATAATGCATCAAATGAGCTCGTTGTTGTCAATTTTTGCGAGCTCACCGACCATGGATGCACAGGAATTTGTGAGATCAGATATCAGGTATTCAAGCTCCAAAAATGTGCTCTTGAGCACTTTGGATGCTCGTGACTCAATTGGCTTGATTTTTTCAGTATTGTTTACTGTGTTTACAGGAAATACTCTACTTTGGATGCCGCAGCGATTGACGGAAGTTGCAGGCCTCCTCGCTCATGTCATATCAAAATACAGAGTTTCTGTTATGCTTTCCGATTACTTGAGCTTGAAGCAAGTTGCCTACAACTATCAATCTTTTCCACAAATGACCAGAACTTTCAATAAGAAAGTCAAAGTTGATCTGTCATGTGTTAAGTGGTGCTTGATAGACACAGTTATTGTGGACTGCGAGTTCAATGATATGCTTGTGAATAGATGGTTTCGCCCGCTAGGACATAAATCACCGCGCCAAATTATCGCTCCTATATTAGCCCTCAATGAACATGGAGGGATGATTATATCAATGAGAGATTGGATAGGTAAGGAGGAGAATTTGGGATGCACATTCCACAGTCCAATGGCAGATGATTTGCCCAATGATGCTTACGAAGATGACGATGAAAATGATGAAAATAACAAATTATCAGAGCTCTTAATCGACAAAGCATCGCTAACCTCAAACACTGTTAAGGTAGTAAGCGATAGGCCTCCTCCAATTTCTACTCTCATGGACAATGGTGAATCTTCTAAGTACATTAGAGTAGGTGCATTTGGATACCCACTGCCTGATGCCACTCTTGCAATTGTGAATCCAGAAACTCGATTTCTCAGTGGTAACATGGAAGTTGGGGAGATTTGGGTGGACTCACACTGTATCTCCGGAGGATTCTGGAGCCTTGCGGATGCTACCCAATCTATCTTTCAAGCAGAGTGCTCGGATTATGAGGGAATTCTCAACTTAAAGTTTGTTAGAACGGGATTGCTTGGATTCACATACAATGGCAAAGTTTACGTTCTGGGCCTATATGAAGATAGAATCAGACAAAAAGTAACATGGTACGATCAGTATTTGCAGCAGAAGAAAAAAGATGCGACAAATTCATTCGAACAACAGATAAACCAATATAGGTATCACTATGCAGGTCATCTGGTAAAGACTCTAGTCAGAAACATGAACGAAGTGTCGGACTGTTCATTTTTTAACATCACCATAAATCGTGAACACGTGCCTATCGTGATCATTGAGTCACCATCAGCTCAAATATTACCTGCAGCAGTAGCCGCACACTCTGGAGACCGGATGAACTATCCAGTTCTGGATGAGATAGCTTCAAAAGCGTTTCAAATTCTTGAACAGATGCAAAATGTCCGACTGCATTGTATCCTTTTATGTGCACCAAATTCACTTCCAAGGACTCCACGGAGTGGTAGACCAGAGATTGCCAATATGCTTTGCAAGCGGCGGTTTATGGAGGGAAAAATACCTTCCGTTTATGTTAAATTCAATCTATCAAATTCATTGAGTGCAATACCCCACGGAGAAGACATTAGCGGCGGAATATGGTCTCTATATTCTTCCAATTCTCGAGTAGAGGCTCTTAACTACACAGATCTCCAATATTCAGGTCTGGATCTGAGAGAGAAATGTGTGGATGATCGTACAAATTTGGAGCTAACAGGGTACAAATCGATACTTGAACTTTTTAAAATAAGAGCTTCCAAACAGGCTGACGAGATGGCATATGGAATTATTGACAGACAAAGTGTTAAAGAAAGCAAATCACTATCCTGGAAAAAAGTGGAAATGAAAGTGTTTGCAGTTTGTTCTTATATTCTTGAAAAGCAAAATCTTAAATCCAGTGACTACGTTATTTTGATGTACCCTTTATCTGAGGAAGTTATTGTGTGTCTATATGCTTGTTGGCTGGGAGGGCTGGTGCCCATTCTTTTGCCTCCTTTGGATGTGACTCGACTTGAAGAAGACACGTTGTCACTTGTAAGTATCATCAAGGATTTCAATGTACAAGCAATATTTGTGAACAATGATACGGAAACATTATTGAAAAATAAACCGGTGAATTCCAAGATGAAAACCCTTTCAAACCAACTGAAGATCAATATTCCCAAGTGTCGAAATACTTCTAAACATACAAAATACCCCAACAACTCAAAGGTGATGTATCAAAAGATGGAGCAGTATAAATCCAAGCCACGAAATAAGAGAGATGAATGTCTAGTGTGGATTTCTTGGACCGAGGATCATCAGTATAAGGGAACGAAATTACAACACTCGAATTTGATGGCTATGTGTAAGATTCTCAAAGAAACATGCCAGATAAATAGCACAAAACCTTTATGCGCTTGTGTGAGACACTGTTCAGGGCTTGGATTCCTTCAATCGATGATGTTAGGTGTCTACTTGGGAACAACAACGTATCTGATATCGCCTTTGGACTATTCATTAAATCCTTCCAAATTCTTTTTAAGCTTGGATCGTTATAAAGTGGAAAATGTGTTTGTCACAGAAAAAATGATAGCATATGCCATCGAGAATCCTGCTCCAAAAAAGTGTGATCTCTCTTCTTTGAAAAACCTAATGATTGGCTGGGATGCCCGTCCATCTGGAAAACTACTGAATGCCTTTTTGAACCATATGCAACTGACAGATTTGTCGCCGTTTGCTGTGTCCAATGTGTATCAGCACGATCTTAATCCTATGATATCATTGAGATCATACCTGTCTTTTGCTCCCCTTGATTTGTGGGTCGACCCTCTTGCATTGACTCAAGGATATGTGTCATTGGTCAATCCTAGTGATTCGCCGTACGCAATTCATTTGCAGGATTCCGGCATAGTTCCTGTGAACACACAGTTAGCAGTGGTCAATCCCGAAACATCTAAGATATGCAAAGTTGGAGAGTTTGGAGAAGTTTGGGTTTGCTCTGAATCGACAGTTTCAAATGTAACAGTAACACAAACAGGAAAGTTTGATGACTCTAGACTGAGAGCCAAAATTGAAAATTGGAACAAAGATTTGGACTATATGAGAACAGGAGACTTTGGCTTCTTACACAATATTGAGAAGACTCTAGATAATGGAAACGTCGTTGAAATGCAACTACTTTTCTACTTGGGAAAAGCTGAAGAGACTTTTGAGGTTTTGGGAATGCAGTACTTTGCGATTGACATCGAGGAATCAATTAATGCACTCGTTGGTTCTATACTTATGACCTCAAAATCTTGCCCACCAAGAAGTTGTGTGTTCAAAGCTGGTGACTATGTTGTCGCGGCGATTGAAACGGGACGCCCTACGAATTACCTGAGTTCGCTAGTGCCGTTGATTGTCAGCAAATTACTTAATCAATTCGGGCTTATAGTCGATATCATTACTTTCTACGAACCTAACCAGATGTCTATTTCACGACTTGGTGAGGTGCAGCGTGCTAAGTGCCTGAAGAAGTGGATGAAAGGAGAATTAAAGCCACTGCAAACCTTCGGTATCAGTGAAGGTGAGGAAAAAATGAAAAAGGTAATCCAGTTGATCAAAGAAACAACCGACAAGTCATTCAGTGAAGCAAGGTTAGACTGTTCAACATGAATTAGTACATGCAGCTATACTCAGAAGATGTGATCTTTCGTCGTCAATGCCCAGAGGGCCCAAAATGCTCGTCCAGAATTCTGTATTTCATTTTTGTATACCAATTGTTCAAATCTTTGTAGTCTTGATGCAAGGCAACGATAATCAATGTCATATTATCGAACCCGATGCCAGTTATTGTATTTGCCATCCTGATACAATTATCAAGAATTATCTCATTGATCTCAGGTAGTTTTTTTCCCAGTGAGAGATGATGCCTCACCAAACGTACCAATTCATGAGACTTGTAGCAATCCCATATTCCATCGCAAGCAAGAATAAAGAACTCATCCAGCTGAGTAATCTTATGTATGAGAATATCGGGTTCTGCAGTAACTTGATATTCTTCGGGAGGAGTATATTTGTGTTTGGCTGTTGTGAACATCAGTTGTCTGGAGTAAGTGTTTTCTGTATGCATCTTGAAGGAGAAATCTCCAAAGGCTCTACTCAAAGCCAAAATTGAATTCACTCTGTTGGTAGAAACGTAACCTCCGTCGCTGTGGATTCGCATTAGCTCACCCAGGTTCCTTGGCTTATGATCAAAAGACAGCGTTTTTGTGGCTCCCTTTCGACTCAATATACACCTTGAGTCACCGGAATTAGCCACAAATGCGTAGCCACAAAAGATTATCAGCACCACTGCTGTTGTTCCACTGTTGTTGTCGTGATGGCTATAAAACATAGAGTCACATTTCATAAATGATGATCGCAGAAGCCGAGGAAAATCAATTGCCTTTAACACTTCTTGGCAATTCAAAAGCTTTGATCTAGATACCTGAGGTAAGTTATTGATTGTTAGTATAAGCTCATCTCGCAAAAGCGATGGCAGTTTTTGGCTAACATATCTAGATGCTCCCGAACCGCCATGTCCGTCAAAGACACCATAAATGTTAATTTGAAGAGACTCCAGATCACCCTCTGTATTCTCGTCTTGTTTTCTGATGTCAAGTCCCTCTTCCGTCACGAATATTCTTTCGTTCAAATCACAGAACGCGTCTTCCATGGTCAACCTGTATCCTTGCATTTCCCCGATTGAATGCGATATGTGATCATGTTGGACAAGTGTGATGTGTTTCTCTGTGATCGGCTGCGAAAGAAGCTGCCCCATATTGTGATCTACAAGATGATTCAGGAAACCAAATATATTACGCCCTCCAGCTCAATTAGATCAAATTAATTTTGTCAAATATATTGTTATCGTTCAATTTTTACAGCCCAACAAAATGATAACTTTGTCTACTTAATTTTTATCCTATTGATGTATAACATGTATATAATATAAAATTCTTCAAGTACAAGTGAACATTTCAAATTAACCTGCAAACCACAGTAATCACACTCTCGTCAATTCTTTCACAAAGTTCTCTCCCCAATAACTTGCAGTATATTTCTCAATGTACTTGAACATCTTCTGAAAATTGCCCCTCCTTTTCTCTTCACTCATGATCAAGCCTTCGTAAATAGCTTCACTGAGTTCTTCTGTATTCCATGGATTCACTACGAGAGCGCCATTTAATGACTGAGCAGCTCCCGCAAATTCACTTAGTACTAGAGATCCCTTTCGATCTTGTTGACAAGCAATGTATTCATAACTGACCAAATTCATTCCGTCCCGTGTCGATGACACTACACAAACATCACTAGCAGCGTAGACAGATATCAGCTCTTGGAAGTTCACGCTTTTATGAAGGAAATGGATAGGAACAAATTCGACGGTACCAAATCTACCATTGATTCTTCCCACTAGCTCATTTACAGCTGCCCTCAAAGATTGATATTCTTCAACGTCCCCTCGTGAGGGGACAGCCACCTGTATCAAAACAACTTTTCCAATCCACTCAGGGTGTCTCTCCAAGAAAATTTCAAACGCGTGGAGTTTTTGAGGTACACCTTTGATGTAATCCAGCCTGTCCACCCCAATAATAAGTTTACAATCTTTACCAAATCTGGTTTCCAGCTGTTTTATCCTGCTTTTGACCTCATCAGTCTTAAGACCATTCAAGAATTTGTCAACGTCAATGCCAATCGGATAAGCACTTACAGTCACCTGTCTATCATTATAGACAACACCTTGTGGGCTCGTTCGCAATTTCAATATTCTTTCAACCGAACTAAGAAAGTGACGGACATAATCATAGGTGTGGAAACCTATCAAATCACAACTAAGCACTCCTTCGAGAATTTCTTTCCTTACAGGAAGTATCCTGTATATTTCGCTTGAAGGAAAAGGAGTATGAAGGAAAAAGCCAATTTTGACATTCGGTAGCCCCTTACTATTAAGTTGGTCTCTTAGCAGTGAAGGCAACAACATGAGATGATAATCATGTACCCATATAACGTCCCCGTCTTTTATCTCCTTTAAGATCGTTTGGCAAAACAGTTTATTTGCTTCCAAATAAGCGGCCCAAGCAATTTCATCAAAATTCATCTCCCCTGGGTGATAGTGGAACAATGGCCAAAGTATAGAATTGCTAAAGCCGTTATAATGTAAGTCTGCAATTTCGTCACTTAACCATATCGGATAACAATTGAACTTTTCCTTCAAATCCCGCTCGACAGTTTGTCGTCCCTGTTCGCTATCAACAGACATCCCAGGCCATCCAAACCATCGAAATGGATTTTTGAGCCCTTGTAATGCCGTCACTAATCCGCCTGATGACATTGTATAGTCGTATCTTGATTTTCCATTTTCATCATCTTCAGTCTTCTTAATAGTGACTGGGATTCTATTTGAAACCACTATAACATTACCTTTGACCATTGGTATCAAATGGGTAAGATTTATTAGTTTTAAGGATGAGGAGTGCAGCTTGATTTGCTTGCTATATGGAAATATTATTTTTCCTTTATATTCAATAATTGCGTTTTAGAAGTTCGTGGAAATTTCGAAAATATTATCTCACCATGAAAAGTTTCAAGAGGCTTCATAGCTTTCGAGCCTTTCATCTGGAGATTCATAATATCGTCATCACAATCTATTTGTGGTAAGTCTGTTTTCTATTATAGGATTGGTCAATATCTTGCTGCATTTGATGGGTGCAATTCATGATATTTTACCCTCACACAAATCAACTGCCCCATGTTTGGCATGCTTCAAATATTAGAATAAAATTCGCTTTTTTCATCGAAATCTCTGGGACAGGGACAAAGCGCGATGTATATGATGTTATTACGAATCGGTCCATAAATACCTCAGATACCTATATATGACGAAAATCATTGAGGAATCTTCTCAAATCGATCGATCATTTCCGTATGTGTTAAAGGTACGAGAAGGTTTTGATTTTCCTCGTGAGTGTACTTTTGTGATCCCCCATTTTGACATCTTCGATTCATGGATTCCCATCCCAAATTCGACAAAGCTTTTGAAAGCCGCATTCACATTTGGCGCTGACGAGTTCGATGGAATTCTATCGTGACTGCCTCACATAGAAATCTGAAAAAACTATTTTTTTATTAACGAACGGTTCAGAAAGCTCGACTATTTTTTTGCGATATAACGTAATGAAATCCGAAAAGCTTTATTGATAATTTTCCTATTGTGGTATTTAAGATCAGATGCTAAACTAAACAAACTGGCGAATAGATTTTAGAGTCTATTGACACCAAGCTAAGATTTGTGGTGTTATTGTGTTTGCTTTGATGTGGAGATATATTTGGTCTAGAAGTGAGGTAGCCGTCAATGTTCCTAGATACCAGAGAGGCGAAAATGAAGACTCTGTTGATCTTCAAATCAAATCTTTGATGTATATGTTTGAGAGACTGAAGATATACAACTTTGCCCCCTTTCTCAAGATCTTGGATTCAGGGGAAGTATCTTTTGACTGGCTCTCGAAACCAGATGCACCGCTCCATCCTGATGTGATTATCAACGACAAGTTGGACTCGGTTTATGACATCCAATCATTCAAAGAGATCTTCCTTGACGACCCTTATCGAATTCTGATTGACTATTGCAAGAACAAATTCAGATCCTATTTGATTTTAAGCGATAGCCCTAAAGAGTTTTCAGAACTTCCCAAGTTCATGGCTCCAAACTTTCACTTTACAATATTGAAAGCCAGCTCTTCGGACAGAAATTACATTGATGTGTTGGTCAACAAATCTGATATATACAAGGAACATAATATTAGCCAACGCGTGAAAACAGATATTGCGAGAGAGATCATATCTGCTCAAAGAGCCTGTTCAAATAACAAGATTTTCGATAAGAACGATAGAGCAAAGATTATTAGATTTTATGTTCAAAAACTTGCATACCACATACAGGTGGAAAGGATCTACAAGGCAACTTTGAAGTCAAAAGAACAAAGGCTTCAAAGTACCAGAGTCACACTACTGGACTCCAACAGGCCAAGGGGACTGAAATCTCATAGGTCTGCAGTCAACCTGCAAATCTCTCAACCGCTGCAATCCAGCAATCGCAACACTTTACGTGCTAAACCATCAATGTCCATTATGAAGCTTGATAAAGTATACTATGAAAGTACCCAAGAATCTGATTCGTCGGACACTTTGATATCATCTGGGACATCGGAAACCGGAAGCGATAACTCTCTGGAGACGCTCTTCCCTGCTGTTGAAATGCGCTCCGTAAAACTCACGGAAGAAGAGAAGAATTTCACCTACGAACAGAGCAAATTAGCAGTCAGAATAAGGGTTGAACGCGAAAGAACCCACTTGACAAAGTCACACGCATAGGCAACAAAGCTTTAAGATTTTCATATTGTTATATTTAAAACTGTAACGCATCGCAATACTGCTGACATAAGTCACTTAGATAGTCCAGCTTAGTCTCATTGAGAACGTTGAAGCACAAGTTGCCTTCTGGAAACTTGTACAAATCTATCAAGCTTTTGATCTTATTGATGCTATTCGTAAATTTAACAATCAAACCGTTACGCTCCAAATTATCGTCTTGATGAATTTCATCATCAAGGTGTTCTATTTCGATAAGAAATCCTTTGAACAATCCGTGGAGAAAGCAGTTACTAGTTCTCAGTTTGAATTTTTCATCCTTCCCGTTTTCATTCAATCCAGGCACAGAAATTATATATCCATATCCTCCTTCTCCCTTTATTGTCTGCTTTACAGTCCAAAGGCTGGCAAGCTTTTTCGTTATAAGAAGGTCAAAACTTTCCGTTGTAGTTCCCATGTTGTTGGCGCATCCATGTTTGATGTGCTCTATAAGTGCTGAGTTTGCAGGACTTGAAGAATCATTGAAAAGTGCACCGGTATCTGGAATTTTTGTGATGATGGATTTCGAGTTATTAATTATACTAATCGTTTGGTTGTTGTAATAGGACAATTGAAGAGTGTAGAGATATCTGTTGGCTATCTGGTTTGGTTCAAAGTTTGCAGGCCTTGAAAATTTGTTATTCAAAAATATCTTAAGCTCAAAATTCCAAGGGCCAAGCGATTGCGGCAATTCATTGGACAAAAGATCGTGGAACGTGGTAATCGTGGTGGGTGTGGCATTTTGAACAAATAGTACACTTTTTGCATTAGATGATAGATAACATCATTGGTTGAGTACGTACGCTGTGACCATCAGAAATAGAAACGATACAACAAAATTTGTAGATTTAGTAGATTCACAGCCCATAAAATAAACTTTACCAAAAATGTCCTTGGAAGAGAAGAGAGCAATATTGGAGGATTTGGATCGGATGGAACATGCGATCACAACTAGATTCTGCAAATTTCCTGAGCTTTATCAGCCTTTGCAACTTGAACGATCACGCAACCTGTCTTCTAGCAAAGAATCCAAGGCAAAAACTGTATTACTGAGACTTGAAATAAAACGTTTCTTGGATAGGAGACGGTTCCAAACACGAAAGTTGGTTTCATTATTACATGATAAGGATCACTTACATACCTTGAGGGAATTCGATGATTGTTATATTCGTCTTTCAAAAAAACATGATCGACTGTTACATTTAGGATTGAATGCTAATGATGTCGAGAAAGAAGAACTAGATAAATATGCTTTATATTCAAGTGACAAAGGAGATACGTGTAACAGAAGAAGGTTGTTGAGTTCCTATGCAAGAGATCTTCAACTATCGTCAATTTTTGGCCCGAAAGAGGCTTTAGGTGAAATTTTAGATCTAAGTGAGAATTTCAAGGAGTGGCTAAATTTACCAAAAAAGCAGTCCTTCTATGGGGGAAATATTCCATCATATACAGAATATCTTTCGGTACTTACCAAATTCGATTGTGAAACCTACGATAAAGATTCTGTTCAATATAAGACATACATCAAGAACCTTGCCGAGTATCTGTCAAATTTCTATATTAAGACTCGTCCTTTGAATAGACCTGAAATTGACATCGAACGTATCAGGCAATCTTTTTGTTCCGCATTAATTGGCGATGGAGACAACGTTTATTGTCTGGTTTGTCAAAAAGACTTCGCAAAATTGTCCGTATTTAATTCACATTTGAAGGGAAAAAAGCATAAGAAAGCAGTATCAAGACCTGGGACTTATGAAGTTGCTCTGAACGAACATATGGTGATGGAAACCATAAAGCTTCTCAAGAAGGAACTCGAAAACACAAAAAAAGAAGCCGAAAGGTACTCTTCTTTGAGTTTCAGAGAAAAAGAGTTTGAAACTAATGACGCTAAGAATCTTTCTGATTACGAATATGAAAATATTGCTGAATTGCACAATGATCATAAGCTTGATGGCCATGAAGAGCTTCATCATCTTGGAAATGACGAAATTTCACCAATTGGTCCAGATGGAAAGCCAATGCCTTTATGGCTCTGGAAACTCAAAGGGTTTGATATGGTGTTCACATGCGAGATCTGCGGAAACGTTAAGTTCAAGGGTAAAGAAGTTTTTCAGAACCATTTTACAGAGCCAAGGCATCTACATGGACTCAAAATGCTCGGTGTGATGGGGGAATATAATGCATTTCGAGATTTAGATAAGATTGACGATGTCCTGGAGCTCTCCAACTATTTGGAAAAAAAACAAAGAAATGATGCACAATACAAAGATGATGGGGTTGAAGTGGAAGATGAAGAGGGTAATGTTATGAGTAGAAAAGTTTATGAGCAATTAAAGAAGCAGGGATTAATTTAACGTCTCTAGATATGTCGGTATTTCGTTCTTCTATTGCTGAGGACCATACTTTTTGAGGTAATTAGAGCATTCATTTTTCAGCGCATCATCGCTGCTTGTATCATTTAGCATGTCTGTAAGTAGCCCCAAACAGTCGTTTAACACGGGTGGCCTAAACATAATGAGATACAACAAAGATTGAAAACCGAGTTTGGACCTAACGGGATCTTTACACAAAGATCGAATTTTTGAAATGAGACTCTTATCCAGGTAAGGTAACTCGCTCATCAATCTGATGAAAAGTTTTCTATCACTAGATTCCAAGAATGGAATCAAATTGTCTAAAGTAAATGCACAGTATGTCATATAGTTTCCGTCTCTCAATGGCTGAATACCTGTAGTATCACGTATCTCAGAGTAATATTCTTCATTTAGCCACTCAATGACTCCATCAATTCTATTTCTCATGTCGTCTTTGAAGTAGTCAAATATTGACTTCCTCATACAATTGGCTAGCTCATGATCCGCTAGTCCGCGGGTCGCAAGCCGAGAAAGGATTTTAATCCAAGACTCTTCATTCCAATTCGAGATTGCAAGTTTTTCAAGCGCATTTTGATGTATCGAAGAGTCTAAGCTTGATTTATTTTTCTTGACCTTTTGAGCAGACAGCTTGACGAAGTTATTTATTATAAGTCCCAGTTGCTCTTTCTTATTGTTGAGAGAAAATTCATTAGGTACGGGAACCAGAAATGCTCCCTTCAATTCGTCATCACTATACGTGTCATCAGTTTCGTTTGAATTCTCAGTTCCAGTATCTGCCTTTAATCTCCTACGTACACCATCCTCGTCATCATCTGTACGCTTTCTTTTCAAAGATCCTTCATTGTTGGGGGGGGTTAAATATATTCCTTGAAAAGCGGTATCGGTGTTCGTTGTAAGGTCTTTATATCTATCAAAAACAATCGTCAGGCCTTTTACTAGCTTGGCAGTGCTTATCTTCTGTAATGCCGTTACAACCATTGAGACCAGTATATCTGTTGGGATAGATGACATATCAAATTCTGTCAATTGATCATTTGGCTTAATCAAATTGTATATGGATTTATAGTCATGGGATCTGGCAATCTTGGACTCGTTGTAGAATAGCATATTGTCTCTCTGTATAGCCTCAACCTTCTGTTTTTTTATGTTTTTCACCTCGGGGTCGTCATCGTCATCAACGTTTAGTATTCCCTTTTGTCTTTGATCTCGTGCCTTGTCCACCAAGTAGTTGAACTTATTCTCAAATCTAGTTCTCAGGCCGGGATCCTTTGCCAAGAATCCCTTGTTTAATAGTATAGATATGAGGCACTTGTCAACTCTGTCATTAAACCTTTTGATGAGTTTCATTTTAAGTTTTTCTTCTCGTTCGAAACGTGGTTCAATCTTCAATTGCGACTCATAGGCTAGGACAAACATAATAAACTTATTTGAGAGGAATTTGGGTCTTGATTTGAACAGCGTCATCATTGTAGACATGATAGTGGTGAATATTGCAGTTGGAAGCAAAACATCATCATTCAAGACTGCAAACAGACTGTCTAATAGATTTTGTGCTTGCGACGACAGGTTTGAATTTAAAAGAAACGGATGGTTACTTTGGATCATAGAGACTGATATATCATGTTCGATATCAATACCAGAGGAAGATGCTGGGAGTTGAACTTGAATAATTTTTCCGATTAGTTTGATCAGGGAAGTTTTGCATGCGATTGATCTCGAGAGGTCAGTTTCCGGATTATATGGCTGTAATGGATATGAAGAGGGCCATTGAGAAAGTAAATAGTCTTTGACATCAGAGAGGCGTTCCCATTCGTCTTCATTCGGATTTTGGACCATCTGCAAAAAAATAAGATCGTATGTAGCGTTGAGAATATCAATACATTTCTGTATAATCAAGTAATTTGGAGATCTCTGTTCGTTACGAATTATCAAGTAATCAAGAAGCTGAATCACTTTGACAGACTGTTGACTTCTTAATTCGAAAGATTCGATTTTCTTCTCGTAAAAGGCCTTGTAGATTAAGCTCAAACACTGATACTGGAGTCGAAACTCATTACATGGTGTTCCTATGCATATAGAGATTGTCGTGTCAAGGATTTGCTCAAAAAAGTTTGGATGATCAAATGCCAATTTTTCGGCTTCCTTCAATTGATCGAGCTGTTTCGAATCTAGGTCTGAAGCCATGGTGATGGGTACGTTTCAAAAATGGATCTCCGTCCAGATATGATATAACTTGAGCAAAATAAGTCCAATAATCAAGCCGTGATATGGTGTTTTATTGTTACGATATGAACGCAAATATCAGACAATTGGGATTAGTTCATAAACCGTAAAATTAAACTTAACATAACAAGGATAAATATTTACTCAGAAAAATTAAGTTCTTAGAATTACCCGGATATTTTTGGGAAATCGATATAGAATTCGAATTTATCGTAAATGGGGTGGGAGCTCTTGCTGGGATACATTTGGGGCAAAATCCTCACCCATCAAATGAGGAGGCATTTCAGATTGGCGCTCACTATATCCTTGAGATTCCTGATGCTGAGGTGGTAGATAATTCTCACGGTTCTGAGGGACGGTTTGATGTCTTTGTCTTTCTCTGTATGTATTCCTGCCTCTCGCTCTTCCCCTGGTATTTCTGTATCCGCTCCTTCCATTTCTATCGAAAGCATCCCTTCGTCCATGCTCATAGCGATGTCCATACTGCTGTTGTGGTTGCCTTTGTCCACCGTCAGCACCTCTTCCGAACTGCCGACCTTCTTCAAATCCTGGATCTAAATCTATCTCCATCGAACGCCCATTAACCTTCGTTTTATTGAGGTATTTGATTGAATTTAACGCTCCACTTGGTGTGCTGAATATGATAAAACAGAAACCTGTAGGAGTTAGCTTATGTTTATCAAGACCCATGATGATTCTCACAATCGTGCCACAATTGCTAAATAGCTCAAACAATTGTTCTTCAGTTGTATCAAATGAAAGCTTCCCAATATAAACTGTCGAGGAAGACATTGACTTCTTTAGGTTTGAGTACCCATTTATCTCATCTCTTCTGGCTTTGTTGAGAAGGTATGAGGACGGTCTATCAAGTCTAAATGTGGAATTTTTGAAATTTGGTGTATCAAATTCTCTCAAGTCAGAGCTCATTCTGCAATAAGATAGATAACTAGAAAGAGTCCAAGTACACAAGGTAGCGAAATCGGTTTGTTTCAAAAACTTTATTTGGTGTTCCTGCACCTCTACACCCTAAACCTGCGCATCTTTATGGAAGCAGATTATTGAACTCGATGGGAGTGCAAAAGCACTCTCGATTGAACGATCCCACGCCGGTAGAAGTAAACATTGGCCAGTTTGGCTAGTCAGGGTTATCATGCAAAACCAATACTGTAGAGCGCACGTAGTATCGATTAAAATTAAAAAGGAAGCCAACTCGTCGAATCTCTAATTGGTAAAGACAAGAATTCCAAGAACCAAATGTGTTCACTCTTTATTGTATACCTTCAACTTGTGAATGAGATGAAATCCAGCGTCAACAATGTACCTGAGGTCGTAAAGAGCGCAGGATACAACTCAACAGCGAAGCTCTAATGCTGATTTGGTACGCGTTACCTGGTTTGGCAGAATCTGCCCAGTTTCTGTCATTCCATAACCCCGAAATATATATGAACGTAAGTTTGAGAACTGAAGCAAACAGCACACGTCGATGGGTTAAACGGCTTTTATCAGTAGATGTGTATTTGGTGATCCCAGTTTATAGAGCTTTGTTAGTGAGGATACAGTAGGCTCTGCTTGCATATCATCGATACTACAAGCTGTGAATTGTTTCGGACTTCATTCTGACCTTTAAGTCCGCACAGAATATTGGCAGATTCTGGCAGAAATTTTTTGAGTAGTAGCCAAGGTGCTATATAAAGACACTAAGCCCCTCGTTTTTGATTTCAATTGACAAGCAAATACAGCAATGCGGAGTGCTTTGTCAACCCAACAACGTAAAGAGTTCAATATCCCAGCAAAAGATGACTTGGGGGCACTGGGCAACAGAATCAATGCTGAGACGAAACAAATCCATGACCAGATCGACACATTCGTGACAATGAAGTTCGCTATTGCGTTGAGAAACCAAAGGGTCTACAGGCAGGGGCTGCAGGCCTTTTATCATATCTTCCGCCACATTGAGATAGCTCTTGAGCGTGAGATGGAGAAAGACCATGAATATTCCCAGATCATCAAGGATATATACAAGCCCGTTCTGTGCAGAACAGAGCCTCTTCGTAAAGATTTGATGTACTTCTATGAAGGACAGCCACAGAAGTTTGAAAACCCGATCTTGCCCTTGCAAATTGAATACGCGCGATACATTCTTGAAAGCACCAAAGAAAAACCTTATCTTCTTTTAGCGTACATGCACGTGATGTATTTGGCATTGTTTGCAGGTGTCAAAATCTTGAACTCACAAGTGATGAAGTCTCTCAGGTTGTTTCCAAAAGTCAAAGGCAAATCTCGTGACGATGCTTTAAAAGAAGGTACAAACTTTTTTACAATTGATGTTCCTGATACTGAGGAATTGAGGGCTGTCTACAAAAGAGATTATGAATTGCAAACAAGAAACAACTTGTCGGAGGATGTCAAAAGGGAAATCATCGAGGAGTCAAAGTACATTTTTGAAATGACAGGAAGAATTGTGAAAGAAATTGAAGCACACAACATGGCCAAGCTTCAGTCAAGTGTCACCTATCAAATGAAGAACAGTGCCCACTACGTGATAACTGCTATCTTGATGCTTTCTGTTTGCTATTTCGCTAAAAATATGATCGCTCACATGCTTCTTAAATAATGACTCATTTAAGCTTAATGAAAACCGCTCATTCGTTTTCTTGTTGCTGAGATTATATCACTAGCCTACTGGCTAAGCAAAAACTCTTTCAGCTTTGCCAGAGCTTTGGATCTGTGGCTTATTTTGTTTTTTTGAGGACCTCGTAGCTCAGCATATGTTTTTCCCATTCCATGAGGCTCGAAAATGGAATCAAAGCCAAAATCCTGAGGGCCCCTTGAGGGAACAATCTCACCAGTAGTGACACCTTGGAATAGTTTGACATCTGCATCAGGACCCTCACAGTAACCGAATGTTGTAATCGCATTGGCTGATTTATCCTCAAATCCATATAAAAGCTTGTTTAAGCCATCTAGCCCCAGCTTTTGATGGAACCATTTGATATAGGGTCCAGGGAGGTTGTTCAAAGCATTGAATCCCAAACAAGTATCCTCTACTAGAACGGGACCTCCTAGTAGTTTAGCTGCCTGCTTGGCTTTATGGATGGTGACTTCCTCAATGGATCCCTGAATCTCATCTAGATCCAGCTTTTCGTTTTTTATAATGTAATTCCCCACCTTTGAGCCCCCATCTACAGCTTGGGGACTCCCGTCTGAGAGAATTGCAACCACCTCTTCCAGCTTCTTTGGATTTCCGGTAACAAAGGTAACTGTGGGCATTATGAGTAGATGAAACAATTTACAATGGACGAAAATTAAATTCACCACGTACAAAAAAAGTTTTTTCAATTACATATCTTTAACTTTCGGATTACCAGCGATACTAGCCTGCTTCAATCTAGATATTGCAAAAATGGCCGAAAGAAGACAAACTTCCACTTAATAATTCAACATCGATCTTTGCAGTGTCTTTGTTGATTCGCTTAGTGGAAACAAATCATATACACAATATCAGTATTGTGTTAAAAATCAGGATTAAACATTTCTCAGGAAGTTACGACGTGTACTATGTGCAACAGCGGAGTAGCAAAAGCAGTTCGGTATAGTTTTTAGTAGCTTGTATTTAGCGAGAGTAATAGGTTCGCAGTTGGCAGATCAAATGATCCAAATATAGCAAATCTATCTCGAAATACGCCCACCGCCTGCTGTACCATTTTCCTTGACGTTACGGATCCAGTATCTTAGATGTCAAACTGTATACTCGGTGAATATCAGTTTTTAATTAAGCTTCTCATTCACCACGAATCGTGCACATTGATAAAGCACACATTTTCGCTTTTTTAGTGTACTGCCTCCGTCAATCTGTTAATCCTCATTATTAGCAGGTTGTGTTAAGTTGACACTCATCACAGGTATAATTTTCCGATGTAGTGTAACGGCTATCACAGTCCGCTCTCACCGGGCAGACCGGGGTTCGACTCCCCGCATCGGAGTCTCTTATTTTTAATATAATAAGTTCGATGACAGTCTAGTTGGTTAACGCTGGTCTGAGGTGTGTTGCGACAATCTCCAATGTAGTGTAACGGCTATCACAGTCCGCTCTCACCGGGCAGATCGGGGTTCGACTCCCCGCATCGGAGTCGTTTTGATTTTCTTTTGATACTAATATCAGATATGCATGCTTCATACGTTCAAAAATTTTGCTACTAAGCTGAAATGCTGGAGGTTAAATTCATTACAACAAATTGATTTAGAACTATCTGTTTTGTATATAATTACGATCTCAGAGGGATTTTTCACGCTATGTTCTAGAGGCTTCTTTTTGGATCTTTCACTTGAGGAGTCAACTCGTGTCATCCCAAATGGTAGTCCTCTCAAAACTTGTCCAACAACGGACTTTGTTAGAGGAGTCCACTGACGGCGAGGATACGTCGTTCGTTACTCATAAAGTTCTAGATAATAGAACAACTATGATAAAGGCAACAATGAATCGTGATTGGTGACTTTAAGTTGTGGCAAAAACTATGATCCGGATGTGTTGAGAGATTCCTCTCTTGCAAAGACTACAGACTACACGTTTTGTTTTTCAATCAAAAAAAGGCCATCGAGATCTTTCTCGACCAAAGCTTAGTAAAGCTCTCTTGGGAGGGCAAACTCTCTTTCTCCATTGAGTCCCAACCTCCTTGCACATTTGATACTTTTGACTAACTTATAGCGACGTGTAGCTCCGACTTTTCATGTTCTCAACATCTTTCATCGCTCACACGCAAGCTCTTGCTACCTGCTCTATGTGTCGCCCCAACACGCAGAAATGTCAACTACATCCGATGTAGTGTAACGGCTATCACAGTCCGCTCTCACCGGGCAGACCGGGGTTCGACTCCCCGCATCGGAGGTCAATTCAATTTTTTTTATTCTAGCAAAATTGAAGCCACAATTGCATTATTAATTAAATTCGCTAAGAGACACATCAAGAACAAATATATATATTGCATCGTGCTTACAACTTTGACTTTCGCCACAATTCAAACTTGTTGACGAAGTTAGTTGCAATTATTCCAAGCAATGTCCATCCCGAAAACCCAGAAAGCCGTTTTTTTCGAAGAGAATGGTGATCTCGACGTCATTAAATATGACGATATTCCTGTCCCTGAAATCGGAGAAGGAGACGTGTTGATCAAAAACAAGTATGCTGGCTTGAATTATATTGAAACTTATTTCAGGACAGGACTATACCCTTCGGAAAAGCCGCATATTTTGGGCCGTGAAGCAACAGGTGAAATCGTCAAAGTGGGTTCCAAGGTGAACAATTTGAAGGTTGGAGATAAGGTTGGATATCTTTCGACTGCTACGTTTGCACAGTATACGAGATATCCTGCCACAGGACACATATTGCGTCTTCCATCTGATGCAAGCGATGAAAATTTGAAACTGGTTGCAGGTGCATTACTTCAGGGTTTGACCGCATTGACCTTTATCTATGAAGCGTACAATGTGCAGAAAGATGATTATATTTTGGTCACTGCAGCAGCTGGAGGAGTTGGCCTTCTTCTTTGCCAGCTTCTTTCCAAGCTCAAGAAAGCCCATGTTATTGCTTATGCATCGACCGATGAGAAGCTCAAGTTGGCTCAAAAAGCAGGCGCCGAATTCTTGGTCAATTCCTCCACCACCAGTTATGAGGAGCAGGTCAAGAAGATTCTTGACATAACTGGAGGGAAAGGTGTTGCAGCATCATTTGATTCGGTCGGACGGGATACAGCGGACCTATCACTGGCAGTGATTGGAAGAAAAGGGACGTTTATCTCTTTTGGAAACGCTTCTGGCCCAGTTCCACCTCTTCAACTCGGAAGGTTGTCTGCGAAAAATCTGAAGGTAGTCCGGCCAGTTTTGTATGGCTACATCACCGAGCCTGAGGAGTTTGAAAAGTATACTAACCAGCTTTTCCACTTGATTGACTCAGGTGAGCTCAAAATTTACATAAGCAGGATTTATCCATTGGAGAAGTACATTGAGGCGGCCCGCGAATTCGAAGGTCGCAAGACCACAGGAAAAATAGTTTTTGAGATACCACAGTGAGATCGCTCACGTGACTGAATACATAGGATTATATTATGCTAAAAAAGACTGTCATTTTTACATACGTGTCGCGTGCGCCACCCATTAAAAGAATTCGCACCACGCCTTAGTTCAAACTGAACGAGTTATTACTTTTGAAGGCGTTGTTAAATTATACTTTATTCCGCTAATCGCCGCTCAATAAAATAGCCTCTGTTTTGCATAGCAGTACAAACAAGCAAATTTAAGTCTCGAGTACCATTTCAACATCTTCTGTGTACCTTCGATTGAAGAATATGGGAAATTCGCCCAGTAAAGATGGCAGTTCAACCTCTTCTGTGACAACCAGCGGCTCATCTCCGGATGATCCAGACCCGTCGCGTAAGCCGCGACCTGATAATACACATTTAACGAACGAGCTGCGCAGCAGCAAACACAACACTAATACCATTAGCGACAATAGTGGTCGACTTATCCACCCGAATACGACCACAACTACTGAGGAAATCAGCGATGATGGTATAACCTCACTGGTATCCCCATTCGATGACGAGAACAGCGTATCTTCTTGGATGATTTCGAAGCGACCTTGTCATGAAGATGACAATTCCTACGGGCTAGAAATTGCCGCTTCCATGGCACAAACGTTGAATATTTCGAGGTCTCCACTAAGGGATGTTACTGAGGATGTATGCTCTTCTTTGGACAGCAATACAGATTCATGCTTTACCAATGGCTCTTCCTCCTCTATTAGTTCTACCACCACTCCGCCACACTCAAAAGAAACTACTCTTTATCCAATAGCAGAGCAAAGCAAAGAATCTACACCGGATTTGAAGTCTTCGAAGGCTGCAGAAAGTCTGGTTCATTTTTTAGCAAACGATGTCTCTAAAGATAACACCGTTTCCTTTACAAGAAAGCCCTCTACGTCTGCAGTGAATATCGATGGAGTCATAGAAAGGTTAGTTGAGGCAGGATTGGCCAAGAAATCTCCGAAAAAGTTCATGATTTCTGGTGCGGAGATAAAAACTATATGTGCAAAAGCGAGAGATGTTTTCATGAGGCAGCCAACCTTATTGGAACTCGCTGCTCCTGTGAAAATTGTTGGAGATATTCATGGTCAATTCAACGATCTCATTCGTATTTTCAAGCTCTGTGGTTTTCCGCCAAATGCCAACTACTTGTTTTTGGGTGACTACGTTGACAGGGGTAAACAATCCCTAGAAACTATCATTCTTCTTTTGTGTTTGAAAATCAAGTATCCAGAGAACTTCTTCATGCTGAGAGGAAATCACGAAAGTGCAAACATCACCAAGATGTATGGCTTTTACGATGAGTGCAAACGTAGGGCGAACTTGAAAGTCTGGAAAAACCTCGTTGATGTATTCAACACCCTTCCCGTTGCCGCTACGATCGCAGATCGTATTTTCTGCGTTCATGGGGGACTATCCCCTCAACTCACGGATCTGAATCAGATCAAGAAAATTCAACGACCTACAGACGTTCCTGAATCTGGCCTACTTGCAGATCTTTTGTGGTCTGATCCGCAAGACCCATCGCAATGTTCTTCCAAGGCTTCTCTTACTGTGAGTGGAGACTGGTGCGAAAATGATCGAGGCGTTTCATACTGCTTTAGTCGAAAGGTTGTTCAGAAATTCTGCGACCATTTCCAGTTTGATTTGATTGCCAGAGGCCACATGGTGGTTGAGGAAGGTTATGAATTTTATTCTAAACGGAAGCTTGTAACTATTTTCTCGGCACCAAATTATTGTGGTGAGTTTGACAATTGGGGCGCTGTCATGAACGTCAACAAAAAGCTCATGTGTTCATTTGAACTTCTCAAACCTTTTCCCGTCAAAAGGAAGAAGTAGATCAATACTTTGAGCGTGATTCACCTTTGTTTATCGTGGAAATTGACTGACATTACAACTCCGAGTTTGCATTTACATCCATGTTTATGTTCCTACATCTGCTTTTTAACGAGTACAAATGTTTTTCATCGCCAGTTTATAATTTGATTTTAATAAACGATTTAAGTTATCTTAAACAATCTATTTGTTATGGAAATGGTTATGGTTCTTTTTAGTCCCTCCGCATTTGCATATCACGTCAGAAGGTATGACCTTGAAAATTTCATTATCCTGGAGTTTAATTGGGTGTGGTCCATCCATGGTACACAGAGAATCAAGAGTCACCACGGATGCTGCTCTAGACATTCCTGTAGACTTCAATTCGGGTGAATATTCTGTTTGAGAGGTAGCCTCTTTTTGGTTATCGCCAACATCATCTTTCTCATCTTCCGAGTTTGAGGGACCATTAAGTGAAAGCTTGCCAATATTCGGCTTTTCTCCATGGTATTTCGAATGAACAGAAATGGTCAGAGGAGAATCTGGAGAATACAAAGATGAAGAAGATGAATTTTGCTTTCTTTCCTCTAAATCCTCGTGTTTTGGCAACTCATTAGCCCCAGCTATATCCACCATGGATGAAACTTGTTTTTTGGGCTTGCCTACATCAAGCATACTTGATGTACGAGCCACTGACTGAATTGTCGACGCTCTTGACCTAGCAGAAGCTAGCGAGCTCATATTGGAAAAACTTTTCGGTACCAATGCAGATGAATGGGATACAGAATGTGACGAATCAACGGACGATGTCGAGGAGCTATTGTGGCCATACTCGAACTTGCCTTTAAAGTTCGAGTCTGGGTGATGGAAGAAATTGCATTCGTACTCATTTTCGTCGATGCACATCTCAGCTTGTTGGAAAGTTGGGTCATTGAAAAGGTCATAAAGAGTATATCTGGTGGATGCTTGGGGGTCTGCTAGACGCCAAGCTATTCTGGCAACACCTGGATCTGTAAACTTTTTGGCAAACCGAGACTCGATTGCAGGACATTTGTTATAGTCATTCTTTCTGAAAGAAGGACATTTCGAGCACAACTGAGAATAAGAGATTTCATAATCTCGATACTGCGGACATGTTTTTCTCGAGCTTTCTGCAAACGGTGTACCGCCGTAGAAGAGAACGAAAAGTAGCAACCCCAATCCCCAATGATCCATTTTGAAAGGATTATAAGGAGTTCTTTTGGACAGGGGCACATCGTGCAGTGCTTCCACTTCTGGAGGTTGGTAAGGAGGCGATCCAACAAGCTGTGTACTATATTTGATGTCCGAGCTAAAATCGCCAGGAATCTGGTGTCCATAATCAGAAACACCAAAATCGGTGAGTTTAACACAGCCACTAGCAGTCAACAAAATGTTCTCTGGCTTGATGTCTCGGTGGACAATGTCACATTCATGCATATACTTGATACCGTAAGCCGTTTGTTTGAACAGACACAACTTCTCTGCTGATGTCGTGAGAGACCAATTAGGGGAGGTCATGACGGTAAAAAGATCTGCTTTACACAGCTCAAGAACAAAACCCCAACCTCTCGTAAGGTTTTGCTGGTGAGGAATTCTGATAAGCGCATAGCATTTCACGATGTGGAGCCCATTGAAGAGGTTTCTATGAATGATATATTCTTTGGACGCACGCTGGTAAAACTCGCTAGGTGTTTCGCCCTTGAACAATACAAACTTCTTTAATGCATACACTTCTCTGGGCTTGTTGATTTTATGGATTTTTCTAACTGATGAGGAAGCTCCTGATCCTATATTGCCCGGCTCGTCCTTTGGAAACTGATATTCATCAAATAAAACTTGATGTTCCAACTTAAACTCATCGGGAAGGTGATCATTAGGCATATCCACAGGATATGGTAGCACATTTGTATCATCATCAACTGCATCAAAAGTGCGAGACTTTTTCGATTGAGAAGATGAATTGCTTAATTGAAGACCGCTATTGTTGATTCCAAAAGGGTTGTACTCAAGTTTCTGGGGCTTGTTTGGTTTGTATTCTTCCACAGAAGGAAGTCCCAATTTAGCGGTAGGTCTGGGAACTGTGGTTTCTCTTGGAGAAGCGATAACGTTGCCCGAAGTTCCCAAAAGATCGTTCATATTCTTGTTTGACTTTGATATTATAGAATGCCCCAGACTTGTATTTGATTTTGCCAACTTGCCCTTCGGTCCATAACTGTCAGAAGAACTATGTCTTTGAGGAGCTTCTACGATATGTGAATGACTCGGCTTCAAATGTCTTAGTATATTATGCGATTTGTCCTTGGACTTGATATGGTCGGCTTGGCCGTTACTTTTTGAAAGCTGATCATCACGTTCATTGTGCTTATTAAACGTCTTGTTTTGCAATTTCTTGAGGAATTTATTTGTCTTCGACACAGAAGAAGTTGTCGAGTCGCTGTCAGTAGACGACGATGGCATGGCCAAAGTGGTCTTCTTTTAGAAGTCGGCTCTTTCACGTACGAAATATGGTACGTTGAATACCAAAAGCCTTTGTATCCAGAAACAGCAGCTGCTGGGGTGTAATGAAACCGAGTCCTTCCGTGGAACAGTACTGCTTTGATGCCAGAGTAAGTCAATACACCGAAAAGTCTCTTCTATTTATTTTTTTTTTTGATAATATTTTTCTCTGCACGCCGCATATTACAAGCTTTCTGCATGCGGGGGATGGGGGAGTATGACAATTTTGAAGCAGACAATTTTTACGGTGACCGGAAAAATATCGCGGTCTGCGTGCGGCACAAATTTTGTTTGATTAATCCACCCATAATACCAGTATTAGAGCTCACTTATGTAAAACAGCCTTACCCAGAAATAATTACCCTCCGTAAGGTGACATAGCTTGCGCTTCGAAAATCCTCCTTAAGGACATTCTCAGTTAAACGATTCTGTGCACCAATCAGAGGATGTCACCCTTTCGTGCTGAGGTGTGAATTTATGTATTGTGAAGATAAATTGAATATCCAGCTGTCAAATGTCATGGTTAAGCGATCTCACTAAAGCATCAGTTCTGTATGAGCTGTCATTGTGCGTGAACTTCGTCTAGTCTACTTTTTCCTTTTTACAAGAGACCAAATCAAGAGTTTGACGGAAGAAAGCCAAGTGTATACCTGAGTCTCTTCAAACATCCGTTATTTGATCTGATGCTCGGATATTCGAGTGTTTCAGCCACCTTGTCTGACCATCTATCGAAGACAGCTATTTCCAAATAATACATCCATTCGAACTAATGTACTTTGAGGTAGTGGTGTAAATGCTCCCGTATAAGTAGAATGTTTATGAATTAAGTGAGGCTCCCAGAGCATAACCGACTTGACGTACACCACATGAGATAATCTTTCACGAGCATATCACTTTATTTATTACGTCTGCACCCAGGTTGCCTCATATTGATTGGGCCACCGAGGTGACAAGACTGTAATATGCAACGCTGGCAATTAACAGTAAACTAGCAGCTGCTTGAGCAGTGAGATCAGCAAGTTTTGTTAATACGAAACATAGAAAGGGAGGCGTCAGTGCGTTTAGCTGCCAAAGGGACAGCTCGTATAGTTTTCACCTCTTTAGCTCATTCAGCCTAGCTTGCAAATCATCATCAAGCCCACCATCAACACCGACAGCCATTGCTTGATTTTTGGACACAGTATTCGACTCCACGGGCACATGCCCAATGCCCTCAGGTACACTATCCGAGAGCTTTGTATTCAAGTCAATTCCCATCTCGTCCAGGACTTTGCCAACAACCTCGTCAATTTCCTCTTCATCGTCCACATCAATCTCGTCGTCCATTAGGTCATCCATAACGTCGTCTACCATCTCTTGTTTTTGATCCATTATGTCCATAGATTTCTGAAACTCCATGGTTATTCTAGACAGCCCTTGAATGTTCATTTGCCCATTCATACCATTTAACAGTCGGGCGGCATCTTTCATGGAACTGGTCATCTGGTTAGATGATCTCATAGTTTGTAATCTGAGTGAAATCGCTTGTAATTGTGTTTTCATTTTATCAAACTTCTCCACTTGTTTTCTTGTTCTTATCAGGTCCCGGGCCTGGACCTTGATAGCTTTCATTTGGTTGGCCCTTGCAGACTTTTTGATATCTTGTATCAACTTTTTTTCTTGTTGTTGTAGCTTCATTTTTTCTCTTTCTAGCTCCCTCTGAGTTCTCTCTAGTTGTCTTTGGTTTTTTCTCATTTGCTCCTGAGGCGTAAGCCTCTTACCAAAAAGCCAATTAAACATGCTGCTAAAACTTGAAAATACCTGAATTTAATTCCTATCTGTGTTTTCTACAATACGTTGACAGGCTGTGTAAGGATGCTGAGAAAAGAAATAAACCTCAAAATTTTTAGGAGAATCGAATTTTGAACAGAAATGCTTTACGAGTTAGCTGCTATTGCGAGGGTGGCTAACCCTTTAGCTGCTCATGTTGAGGCAAAAGAGTATGTTCAATTTATTTTTATATCTAACGAATAGATTGGCAACAACGCTGGGGAAGATGATCATCCGAAATAACGGTGTCGTTCGGGAAGTGATTGGATTGGGACTCAAGCCATTACCTAAGATTTTCAAGAAAGCGGGTGAAAGACATTTCCAGGGTTCCCATTTTGTAATCCTATTTGACTCCTCTAGTGCTGTCCAGCGTGAAATCCTCAGATCCTTGAAAAATGACCCAAGAGTCATCAGATCGTTTTTGACTAAAGTGGACGATTCCAAAAATTATAATGCTGGCTCGTCAGTGACAAGAGCAATCAAGGCTATCAAGGAACATGGGTATGAGAAATCAATTCCACTATAACTTACGGATTTTGTACATAGTTGATGGGAATGAAAATGTTTGAATATGTAGAAGACAGGTCATGCTAGTCAATGACATTTCCGATGTCATGGAACAGTTTATTCTGCTTAGCGCCAGAAACAGCTGTTAAATGAGAGCCGTGTTGCGGTTTTGCATGGACAGTAAGTTCTGGCTTTTGGTTTTCGAAACGATGCGATGGATCTTGAATGTAAACGGGCTTTGTGGGGCTCATCAACGCGTTTAACAACGGATTGTTGAGCGAGCGATAAAGTGAAAATTTCATGCCAGGCTCTTCCATTATGGAAGAACTTGATGAAGATGCGATGGGGCGCGGTGGTGATTCCTTCAACTTTCGGTCGGTCACTTTTATATCAGAAGATTCCATAACTCCTCTGATATCTTCTTCAATAGACCTGGCTTCTTCAAAAGCATGCATCAAGAAAGGCAGCTTCTCTGTTAAAGTAGTCTTATGCAATGAAGAGTTGTGTGCAGAGTTGAAACTACGAAACCTCTCAATTTTGGCCCGTTTCAAATAATCGGCCTTTTCTGGATTTTCATCATCACCACATAAGGTATCAGACATGGTGACTGAGGAGGAAGCCGGAGAATCAGGTCTTTCACACAACTCATCCGAAGTAACTCCGGGGAATGACAATAATCTCTCAGGTTGACGTGATAGTCTGTCTAATTTCATGGTCTCGAACATTTTCTCGACCTCTGTAACAATCGAAATGCACTCCACAACTCCTATTGTGTCACCTGTACTGATGTAGTCATTGATCTGTTGAAGCAAATTATTGATAAAAAGTTTGTAGTTGATAACTGTTTCCTCCGTTATGTCGCCATACTTGCGGTCTTCTTCTTCGTAGATAAGATTCTCAAGGTCTATGCCTATGTTGACTAGTTTTGCTTTTGAGTAATGAATTGAGACCTGGTCAATTAAGCTGGATCTCAATTTCATCACTCTCAACATCAGCTCAGTCAAAATTGTTCCGGGATCACTGATTCGTTGCAACGGGGTCATAAAGCGTGCTCCTGAATTGACCTCATCTATCTCTATTCCAAGCTGCTGCAAATTCTTATGCAATTCCAAGCAGTTATTGGCAACTTTTCGAGCGAGACTCGAATTGAAAGTACGCTTTTTTTGATCTTCTTCATCCAGAATCAACGATTGAGAAAGCTTAAATTCCAGAGCCTGAAATTCCCAGTTATAGATCTTGAGCTCGATCGTCTCAAGGTCCTTAAGGATCTCGAATGATTGTATACACCAAGTTTTGATCTCGTGGTCATTTATGCTGTTTATGTGCCGGATTAACTCGTCCGACTTGGATTTGTCCTTATTCAGTTGAGTGTCTTTTAGAAGATTTATCAAGGGATCGGTGTATGGAGCCAGAGTTTCCATATTGTGCCAAATTCGACCCTTTTCTAATCAGAAATAATTTTGTCGATCCTTCCACAAGCAAAAGTGGTGTGCTTCCTACTATTTTTTTCCACCCCACATCAGATCAAGAAAGAAGGCTGTGTAAGAATGTGCAAAAAAGGATACTTAGCTAAATCACTCTTGCTTACTGTAGGAAGCGACTTAACGTTGTATTGATGGCTGCAAATTATGCCAATCACAACAACAGTACATGCTGGGAACTTTTTTTTGGTTTTCGCCTTATACCACTTTTTCAACTCTAGCGCCCCGGAATTCGTTTTTGGCTCCGGAACATAAACGAAAAGCTGCATATAAAATTATTTTGCCTTCCATTAGCTTTTGCAATAATAAGATTCCCATGCCTGCAGCCAGAATAGCTCATCCGGTAACCATCCAGGATAAGGAGAAACCAAATGTCAGCTACTGGGACTCGTTTAAGCTGTATTGGTCCTTCAAACCTCTCAGTTACTATGAAAATCAAATTTTGTCGCTTTTGCCCTTTTATCCCGATCCCTCTGACAAGAAGCGTGCCGAGATAATCAACACAGTGATAGACGATAAAAACAATTACATTCACGAGTTTCTGGTGGAAAATGTCGAAAAATCTGATGGCGATCTGCCGCTGGACATCGTTCTTGTGCATGGTTACGGCGCAGCATTGGGATTTTTCAGTGCTAATTTTGACGGACTAACAAAATTTCCTGGAACAAGGCTGCACGCAATTGATCTTCCTGGCTTTGGTCTGTCAAGTAGGCCACCATTTCCGAACCTGAAAGGCGACACTGTGGACGACGTGATAAAAAGTGAGGAATTTTTTATTGATGCATTGGAAAAATGGAGAATAGCGAAAGGGCTCGATCAGTTCGTACTAATTGGCCATTCACTAGGAGGATACCTGTCTTGCTGTTACTACATGAAGTATGGAACAGGTATTGTGAGCAAGCTTGTGCTGGTATCACCAGTTGGTATTGAACGGTCTGACCTCTCATTTTACGTCACAAAGGAGCATTCCCTTCCGATAGACAAGGAGACGGAATTGGCCAGCAGAGAGGGTGTCGATTTAACAAACGAATTTACTGATCACCAAGCTGGCCGCACACATGCGGAGGAGCTTGATCACACCAATGACGTGGTTTCTATCACTTCGGACTCGAGTGACACAGATACATCTAGTCTGATGACCCAAGTTAGAAGAGCTCCTCAAGTTGGCAAGTTATTCACGCGCCTCTGGGAAAGAAATTATTCTCCATTTCAAATTTTGAGGCTGTTTGGTCCTTTTGCAGGAAAGCTAGTTTCAGGATGGACGTTCAATAGATTTTCGCATCTACAAGACCCAAACATTCTCTTCAAGATTAACGAATATGCCGCCAAAACTATGCTTGCAAGAGGTTCCGGGGAATTTGCCCTCACCAGGATACTTGCACCAGGAGCTGTTGCCAAACTTCCCCTGTCTGAAAGACTGCCTGGTAAGATCAAGATCAAATCCTTGTGGCTATATGGCGATGTTGACTGGATGAGCAAAGAAGGGGGGTACGAGATTGTGAAAGAAATAAACGAGAAAAACAAGGACGACGAGAACGCGAAGGCAAAATTCAGAATTGTGAAGGATGCCGGCCATCACCTCTATATGGACAACGCTTCAGATTTTGAGTATCAGGTGCTGAAATTTATAAAGGACTAACTAAATAAAGCCAGAACTTAAAAAAAATCAGCCCGACGCGGGGCTCGAACCCGCAGCCTTGTGATTAAGAGTCACACGCTCTACCGATTGAGCTAGCCAGGCCTTGCTGCTCTCACGTGTATCGAATTCTAATTTCAGACCGTGAGTGAGTATGATATACAAGAGCCCGAATAAAGGTCGCGATAATTTTTGTCAAAACTGAAAAATTTAACACTGTATTAACTTTAACATCGCCATGCTCCCGTTGGCAGGACCTTGTAAGGTTGTGAACCAAATGTTGCAAACCAGATCTTATGCTGTTTTGGGAAGACCGAAGATCGCGAGTGTTCTTCCAACACGTCCTAGAAAAAAAATCAGGGTTGGAAAAGCGAGACCGGCCATATATCACAAATTCGACACCTTAGTTGAACTTTCGGACGGATCCGTCATTACCCGTCGCACACAGATACCTAAAGCAGAAGCGAGAATGATTGTTGACCAGAGAACTAACCCACTGTGGAATCCATCTAAGCCAGATATGTCACAACTTGATGCCGAGAATAATGGAAGAATGAGCAAATTCAAGAGCAGGTTCTCGCAATTTGAACATTCTGGTAAAACAGAAGAGGAGGTTAAGGCTGAACAAGAAGCCTTAGAGAAAGAAAGAAGAGAAAGAATCTTGAGTGGTACTGGGGTCAAACTCGATGACACACTTGCAGATGATTATGTTAGTGTGTTGGGAGAAAATTACGTTGCCACGAAGCTCGGTGGGAGAGTTGCTCGAAAGGAAAAAGGAAGCAAGAAACGTTAAGATAAATGTATATAGCGCGATCATGTTTTTTTGCCCATGACCTTGAATCCTAGAACAATGTCTTCAAAAATGTAGTTTTCTGCGTTTAGAAGCCGATGAACCAGATTCTTTAATTTTGGCACGCCCCCACTACTATGGAAACCCCTTCCTGTAATAATATCCAAATCCCCCACATATATTGCCTTTTTTCCGCGCAGATTGGTTCCCTCGATAATTCTCTGTTCCATTTCGTATCTCCACCAAGACTTTAAAACCTGCTGAACGCAGTGCTGGGCTTCGGAAACTAGTAATCCATGCAAATCTAGTTTGTTTGTTTTGAGTGCTCCATCGATGATTTCCTGCAGGGGGTCGGGCGGTCGAGCGAGAGACATGGAAGAAGCAGACGAGGATGGCAGGGGCTTTACTGTAGACACTGACTGAGGACTAGAATTAGGGTTTAGCATCCAAGCAGCCAGTTGAATGGTTCGGTTAACATCACCCCCAAAATACTCTAAACAGTCTAGATAGAATCGTTTTTCGATGTTGTTGAGATAAGGATTTGTTTGTTTTGACTTGGATATCACAGCCAGCTGTTTACTATACTTGTTTGCAAGCTGACTCTCGGTAAGACTCCAGTCCAGCTGGATGATTTCACGCACTGTTTTCTTGATGTCTTTCGTCTTCTGGTATTTGCCTTTTACGCGATCCAGAGAGCACGAGAGTAAACTGCTCAGGACAGATAAAGAAGGATCAGATTCAGCAGACTTCACATTGGGCTTCGTGCGGTTGACCTTCGATTCGTACGATTTCAATGGCAGATCCGAATGCACCGATTCGCTTCTTTTTGGATGCTTCAACATCTCGTAGCTCAATAGTTCTTCTGCTACTTTTTCCAAGTCACCCTTGTGGTCCTCCACAGCTTTTTGGACGGCTTCGAAGGGCACATCCGGAAACATCTCCGCTACCTGGAGAGACTGTGTAAACAGAGTAGACATGTGTAGAGAGATCTTCGCAGGATGGGTTGTTTCCTATATGAGAGCTGATAACATCTAATAATTTTCAACTTTAATACCAGCTTGCAATGAATCAATCGGATTCTTTTATTTTTTTTAATTTTTTTTTTTTTTTGAGGAAGACCGTATCGTATCGCCCGCCCGTAGGAAAAAATCAAGTTGTAATTTTCTGACACAGGGTTTAGCAATTGCAAGAAAATAAGCTTAATAAAGGCGTGCGTCTTGGATGAGTGTTTCGACTAGTGATTCTGGACGGCTGGTTTTACCTGCGGTTGTTATACAGTACGCGGATGGGACCAGCCAAAATCTAATCATCGAGGTCGGTCCGGCCAACAGCAATAACACAAACCAGGCTCAAGAAACAGCAGAGAGATCTCCGGAGCGTACTCAAGAACCAAACCCTTTTGATGCGGATGCGGAGCAGCCTTCTGCACCATCCGGTATCCGCGGAGTTGACTATCCAGCATTCGACGTTTCCAACGAAGGGGTTTACCGTGAACACCATATAGCCAACAATCTGCTGGATAATTTGATATCCCCTTTCTATCGGTCTTTAGGCGGAAATACCTCAGCATCTCAGCAGGCCAATAATATCTCGGTGCCGTTCTACAGAAACCTGACTCCAGCATCAGAACCATCCCGGAACATAATTCTTACTGTCAACTACATTTATGGCCAACCGAACCCTCTCCAGCCTAGTGAAAACAACAACAGTTTGTCGGGTTCTCTTATTCTCCACGTGCCCAACATCAATGAAAGCGATGACGAAAACCTACAAGTCTTGATTCGACTAGCAACCACTATAGCACTAAGGACCATTGCGACGTCGGTTAAAAAAGCATCAGGAATTTCTGCAGAGCTATTCGATAAGTTAGAAGTTAAGCAAACTGCAGATCTCAAGGATAAGCAATGTGCAATTTGCTATGACGATTACGAGGACGAGAACCCCGAGAATGTCAACCAGATCGGCCAAAAACGCAAGCGAGCAGAAGATGAAATCGATGAGATGGGAGACCACCAACCAAAGAAGATGCGCAAGATGGCGAACGAAGTCAAATCTCAGGGCGCAGCTGCAAACTTAGCCAAGACGGAAGTGGTTTACAATCATGTTCCTGTAGAGATGCCGTGTGGCCATATTTTTGGCAGGAGTTGTCTTCGAGAATGGCTGAAAACCAATAATAGCTGTCCGCTTTGCCGACACAGTATGCGTCATGGCAATGAGTCGTCTGCTGGCAGAAACTCAGATTCTGAAAATGAAACTACTATTATTCTGCCTAACTTGGCCAGAGTGATCAGCGAGACCCGGCCATTGATTGAGGGGTTCAACTCAAGACACCTCACTTTTGTCATGCCCGACCAAGATAGCGTAGAGCCTACGGGGGCGATACCTGTTCCTCTTCCGACGCCTGTGGCAGCACAGGAGCCCTTTTCTTCTCGCTCATCGCCTACAACCCATACCAGTGTTCTCGGTCTGGTTAGGGGTCTGCTTCAGAACTTGAACGGCAGGCTACGCAACACGGTGCAGGTCAATGAAGGTGAATCGTCAAGCTTGATCAATCAAGACTCTTTACACCGAATGCATATTATCCGGACAAATCAACCAGGCCCTCTTTTGAATCATTCATCTTTTCTGACCAGAAGAAGACGGGTCGTCCAGCCACGCCGTGTTCTCAGGTCTACCGGACTGTCTTCACAACAGTTTGTAAACAGGGATCCGCTTTTTCCTGTTGGTGTGGCCAGTCGTCGTACAAGCGACGGCGTGCGCACGTCCACTATATCTTCAAACTCCAACGAAGATGAAGATCCGCCTGTTGCCGAGAGAGATTCTGATAATTGATAGTTTGTAATACATTTGCATCACTTAGTTAGTAGCCACCAACCTCAAGGTGCACCCTCGCACCACGGTTATAAATAATTTCGAAATCAACTTGATCGAGTTCTCTTGTCTTACACTCCATTCGAGCAGCTCGCATTACTGATGGCTTTGTTGGAGACAATCCAGCGCAAAATCAATAAGTATGGGCTACTGCCCAAACTGGTGCGGTCTCTCCCCAAGATCTCTACTTTGCTGACAATACTGGGTGTGCTATGGACCCTTATGTTACCACTCGATGGCCAGTTCCGGGCCACATACATTTCAGAAAATGCCCTTATGCCATCACAGGCATATTCATTCTTCAGAGAATCGGAGTGGAATTTTGTGAGAGGCTATAGAGATCAGATCATTGAGCACATCGATGATCCAATGGAAGACAGGCATGAGATGCTGTCTTCCTGGCTGAAGACTATTGGCTACAAAACGTTTGAGCACGAGTCCCATAATGGTTCAAGGACTACATATGGAATTTACCATGTTCCAAAGGGGGATGATACCGAGGCAATGGTGATTGTGGCGCCTTGGACGACCAGCGACGGAGAGAAAAATATTGGTGGACTAGCCCTGACCATGGGGCTAGTCCGCTACTTCCACAGACTGTCGATCTGGTCGAAGAATATTATCGTGGTGTTCCCAGAAGATGGTCAGGATACTCTGAGGAACTGGGTGGATGCCTATCATACAGCATTGGACGAAACAGGAGGATCGATGGAGAGTGCTATTGTGATTGAATATCCTTCTGAGAGCGATGAGTTGGATTATATCGAGGTGAACTACGTGGGCGTCAATGGCCAGCTGCCAAATTTGGATCTCGTCAATTGTGCTGTGATGATCAGTGAGCATGAGGGCTTCAAGGTGTCGTTGCACAATACACCAAAAGGCCAACTTTGGGCTAATGATTACCCCTCTCGACTCACCACGCTATTGAAAGGTCTTTATGCCATTGCAACTGCTGGTCTGCTGCCTGAGTCAGGGGGAGGAAACGGCTGCGAGGCTTTCAGTGGATGGAACGTTCAAACTTTAGCTTTCAAAGCCAAGGGCACAGAGGGACGCGATATCACGACCTTGGGAAGAGTCATTGAGGCCTGTTTTAGGGCGGTCAATAATCTATTGGAGAAGTTTCATCAATCGTTTTTCTTCTACCTGCTGCTTACTCCCAATAATTTTGTCTCCATTGGAAACTACCTTCCAGCAGCAGTGCTAACCGCAGCAAGCTTTGTTATATCTTCACTTAGTGCGTTGCTCACAAATAACAATGTCAACAACAAGCATATCAGTTTCAACGATGCCGCTGTCAGGGTAGATACTCTTCCCTTAATATATGGACTGTTGTTATTCGCTACTGTCACCGTGGGCTCAATATTTTGCGGAACGATGTTGATGTGGTTTTCTTCAACCGTGTCCTTTGCAGACAATAACAAACTGTACACTATGCTGACTTGGGGGCTAATTTTGACATCCACTGCTGTGTCAACTCTTCCGTTGGTTCTCAGATACAAATTGCAACCGTCAGCGGCTATCTCTCAAATCGTGAGAATAGCCAATGGTTGCTCGCTATTTTACCTCGCGTTTGCGCTGGTGAGCCTTCTCGTGCTAGATTTCTCTCTCTCACTTCTCATATCCCTAGCAGCATTCCCTCTTACCTTTATTAGATATGGAGCTTTGAGTCAGAACCGCAAGAACAGCATATGGCTGATTTTATCATCACCATTTTTATGGTTGACAATTGTTGGAGTGGCCCACAAATTGGAATTCCAGCTGGATGTTGTTAGAAACTTGATCCAGTATTTCTCCTTACCCTTACTTAAACGTGAACTGCAAACAAAAATCTTCGACACTGACTGGCTCAACCCAGCCTTTATTCAGAATGTGCTACAAGGACCGGTAGAATTATTCTACGGTTTGCTCACTGGCTACAGGAGGTTCCAGACATGGACATGGATGGTTATTAGTTTTGCATGGCTTCCTGTCTGGATTATGTCTCTCATCATCACCTGCATTGATGTGCAAATTGGAGACTTTGAGAAGAAAAAAGTGAACTAGATATATCAATACATCTCCATTACATGGTCTATAATCACTGGTGTTCTTCCATGAACTTTGCGTGGAACTTTTTCCAGTCTTCTATCCATTCCGTTCCTGGGGCCAAGAACGTGGTTCTGACGTGCCAGGTGCCTTCGACTTGTCCGAACCCAGAGCCAGGAACTGCACAGATACCCGTGTTTTCCAAAAGTTGACCACAGTAATATTCATCTGGCTCCATGCCCACCTTGGCAGCCTCCTCGAAAACTTTCTTGGAGAGAGTCAGGCTAGGGAAAAGATACATGGCGCCTTCAGGCTTCTGGCAGGTAACCCCCTCCATTGTGTTAAAGGCCTCGTACAACAAAGAAGATCTTTCTTTCAAAGCCTCATGAATAGCATCTCTTTCCTGTTTATAAAGTGGGTAAGACTCCTGGCCTTCGGTAGGAGGGTTAATCATCAGCTCGACCAAAGCCTGACCTGAAACTGGAGGGCACAACGAGATGGAAGCCAGCTTCAAGAGCTGTGCACGAACCGAGTCTTCAAAACCAACTAGCTCCATGTATCCACCTCTCTGGCCACATTCTCCAGAGATACCCTTGGACGTGGAGTGGAGAGAAGCGAGCTGAACTTCAGCAAACTTGCCAGAGCCATCGGCTTCTTGCAACTGTTTGAGGACCTTTTTGACCGAAACAAATTGGCCATTGAAGATGTTTTCCTGATAAACCTCATCAGCAATAACAACCAGGCCATATTCAGCAGCTACGGTCAGTAAATCAGCAATGGCCTCTGGTTTCAAAATAGCCCCGGTTGGGTTACCAGGATTGATCAGAACCAAACAGCGCGCCTCGACGCCCTGGGCCTGAGCGTCCTCGATTATTTTCACGAGGTCCTCGGCGTTGATAGACCAGTCATCTTTTTCGTTGAGGTAGTATGGCAGCGCTGTGGAATTGTTCAGAGCCAAAGACGCGGTATATAGAGGATATTGTGGGATAGGAATCAGGAATCCGGTTTGAGGACCCAGGGAAAGCAGATTCAGTAGGTAAGAAACGGCAGTGGAGGCACCAGCAGTGAGGAAAATGTCGTCTGGTGAACTTTCGTAGCCGTCTCTCTTGGAAATGAAGTCCGCAACCCGTTGTCTAATGTAAGGCACACCTTGAGAGTGCGAATATGCACCAACAGAACCAATGTGGTCGAGGAGCGTTCTTGCACGCTCGATCAGATCCTTTGGCAGAACGTCGACTACAGCTTGATGGTTCATCAATTCAGGGTACTGCAACAGAGCCAGCACCTGTCTGTAGAAAGTAAGGGGTTTCTGGTCTAGTTGCTGAGGGTTTCCAATGTTTGCATTGATGATCTTGTTGAATGGCAACGAGTGCGACTCGTTAGCAAGTTGATTTCTCAGCTCCTCTGCCTTGGTGGGGATTCTTCCACGAACAGCATACTTAGCGTTGAGAGCATGAGGGTTTAAGTCTGAGGCCGTCAACCGCGAGGCAGGCTCAAAAGTGGAACTGAGCTGTTTCTTGAACACACTTTCGGCAGCAGGCATGGCAAATTGCTTGCTGAAATTACGGATTCCCATTTGTCGGAAGCGAAGCATATTAAATACAGAATCGATGACTCGAAACTTTGCGCATAATTTTTTTTTGGGCCGTCGGGACTACACTCTGATAAATTAAGTACCTTTTGGGAAGTTTGCGCGGGGATCGACCAAAATAGAATCATCATCGCTACCTAAAAACCTGTATACTACACACAACTCAATTGGACTTTTTGCCGAACTTAGGCAGATAAATAGGCTTGATGGTCAGGTAGGAGTTGCCCTCGTCAAACACACCGGCTGCGGCGTTGTACCATGCGATGAAAGCGGTGATCACTCCAAACACACCTCCCGCAGTGACACATCCAGACGACGGAGCCAAGTGGCCGACAGCGAGCAAAAGGAATGTGAGGTCAAGGAACGCAAACAGCGAAAAAAATGCGACGGTGGATTTCATGGTGCAAAGCATCAACATAAAAGTGAAAATGGTCCAGCCCAGTAGGTAGAAACCGAGCGCGTTGCTCAGTTCCACTTCATCCTCGTACGCGTCAGTAATATGAAAGAAGGGGATAAATATAGCAGCGTAACTCATCCAGAACCCACCATATGAGGATAGAGCCATTGCACCGAACGTGTTCTGCAGGGCCAACTCCCACATTCCTGCCAGCAGCTGAACTAAACCTCCGTAGAAAGCGGCAAGACCAACCACCACGTTGGGGGTGGAGACACCCATGGCCCCGGCATTTATCATCGACAAAACAAACGTTGTCAGTGCAAAAGCGGACAGACCCAGAGGCGCTGGATTGGCGAATTTATGAACGCTTGGAGGAGCATATCCCGGTTGCAAAGTACCACCGAACGCACTAACAAGATCACTTTTGAGATACTTGCGACCTCCCAACCAAAGATACTTGCCATCATCGGAGTGGACCACAGACTGAAGGCCTTCCTCATGGACTGCAGTAGGTTGAGAGTGGGACGATCCAACCTGATCGTCAGCTATTTGTTTTTCGACGTCCTCGTTAAATTGTGACATATGTGTCAAAGTATACGAAAGCCCGGAAATCCTCCTCGGTATTTATAAGTGCCACCCCCTTCAATGGTGTGAGAACTTACGAATGGCCTTATCTGCATTGTACCAAGAGTCACGCACTTGCAATAAAAAAGTACGTGTGGGGTTAATCTCTGGAGAGGGTCCATAATAAATTATTACCCTCGCCGAATTGGGCCTTGCTTTGGCCAGAAAATTTACCACTTTTGAGGGGTTGCCAGGTGCAGCTATCAATATAGCACAGGATGCCGATTACTTGACCCCCTTGCCATGGATATGTTTGGTGCAGATTTGGAGTTCTCACCACTTACCCCACCTGAAAGAAAGCCTTGTTCCCTGAGCTTTCGTCTATTATGCTTCAGTAGTGCCTCCATGAGACTGTTGAGATCAACCAACTCACACAGAAGGAACCTCTTCACATTGAACTTTATCCGGTAATTTTCCAACACCTCAATAATCAATTTCATCACCACCGGCTCCGACTCGAATAATCTAGGGTTACCGGATTTCAGCCGATTTAGGTTCCCCACAGCTTTTCCCTGGTTGACAGGAAGAAGTAGCAGGTTTCGGTATATTTGCTTGAGAACCTGGTATTCTTTGGTGATGTTTGCGGTGTGGGAGGAGGGGCCGGGTCCCGCTGCACCGCCAAATCCACCAGACGAGTCGGTTCTTTTTAATGGCTTCTCTCTACTGTGAAATGGCAAGTAGTCCTGGTCCATGATCCTATCGAATTCTTCCATCGTTGTGGAATTTGGGACTCTGCTCAGATCCGCAAGTATGTCCTCGTGCGTGTCTAGATCCACCAGGCTCTCCAGCTTTTTCGGCAGACACAACCCCAGATAGCCGTTCGAGGCAGTTTTTGTGAACCACCCCACGTCGTCCAGCATTTCGGACCCGAGGTCTGTTTGGGAAATCAGCCCCAGAACCAGAAAACATGTGCCTCGGATAGACGCATTTTGCGATTTGACACAAATCGAGACAATTTCGTTCACGACGCCTGTCATATCTAAAAGACACGCACCACGGTCCGACGAGCCTATGTGGCCAATTGCCCACAGCACAGACTTGAGGTCTGTCACATAATCTTCTTGCTCACTGCACGGCGTATTGTAGTAAAACTCCGACTCCTGACCCGTCTCGATTAAATTGGCGTACGAGTTGACCACGCGCGAAAATGAGTCGAACGTTCCAGTCACCTCAAATAGCCGCAATCCATCAGCTGTCCTCACTAGTCCGCCAAAAAAGTGGTATGGCAGCTCGTTGGGAGTCTTTTCATTGAAAAGTTTCTGGGCCAGATAAGTCTCTATGTGATGCACGTAGTGCTTGTTTTTGGATTGTATCCAGGCTTCCATCTCCTCATCCACAAAGTCGTACTCTTGCAAATACTCGAACCCAGGCCCCGTAGCCAGAATCTTGAGCATCAGATTTATGCCGCTCGGTGTTTCCAAAACACCGATCGACGGCCGGTACTTGGTAATTTCCAGCACTTTTTCCTCATCTTTGGCGAAAGAAGTCAGCAACTCCACAGAAAGCTTCCTGATATTTTCCTCTGGATCGCACAGCTGGCCCACCAGCAAACGACACGCAAAACTCTCACATTCTTCATTCTCCAGTAGATTTCCCAGCAGCCGAACAGAAAATAAACGCAACGAAGGACTCGAGGTACTCGCCACCTTGCTGAGGATAATCCGCATATGACTGTTAGAATTGTACTTCATCTCCTTGATAATGATCTTCACTAGGTCTGGTCGGTGTGCTTTCTGATCAGTTATATGGTACAGCATATCGAAAAACCACCATTGCTCCAACATCCGCAGTCCGTTGGGGTCTGCTGAAAGAACTCCAAGGAACGAAAAGTAGCCATAACTGAGCGTTGTCTCTAGCTTGGTTTTGGAGAAAAGTGGGTCCCCTGCCGTGATTCCACTATACGGGTCTACCTGTGCAAGGCACTCTGCTATCTGGGGCAATATCTTATTCTCAGTCAGATATTTGACTCCCTCAGCGTTGGAGAGCAAGTTCTTGAAGATTTCGCAGCCAACTTTAACGAAAACCAAATTAGACTTCGTCTTGCGCAACGAAGCAAAACGGTACTTGAACGGACGGTAGAACGACATCAGTCGCTTGTAAAACTTGGTGGTACGCACGGTTTCTTCAAAGTTGCGCGAGTCTCGCAATGGGCCTTGCATCAGCTCAGTGATCAAGCTCCAATTCCATTTGTAGTAATTTTTGGTGGCCAAAACATGGGTATCCGAAACTAGAGTTTTCAATTGTGTTGCATCGACACCGCACAGCATTTTTAATCGCAAATCCTTAAAGACCTGTTCCGATAGCTTCACGTGGACGTGCTCTGTAAGAATGAGGTTGGAATTATGGTGGTTTCGAAGGTATTTCTCGATCTGCTTGTTGAGCTCAAACGACGGAGCTATTGACATTATCAGCTGATCTGGAACTAGGAATGACTGCATATACGAGATTTCTGAGAGAAGGATCATTATGCGTTTATTCAACTTCTTATCAGTGACTTCCTCAAAAAGTTTCTTTAGCTTTTCCACGAGACCACATCGGATGCATATATGCAACACCAACATAGTGTAATGGTTGACCAACGAGGACTCTGTTTCGGGAGAGCTTCGTGCGTTAGTGTTGGGTTTTGTCAATGATCCTTGCCGCCCAGAACTTATCAAAGGGACAATCATCGGGCCGTTTTCGTCATTAGTATCGTTCAAGGACATGGGTTTGATCCGAAACAAGTCGCTGAAAATTTGTAGCAAGATACTCTTTATTGAAACTGAGCTGAACGTAAGACAACTTATCAACTCACGGATAGGAAGGAAATCGTGCTGGCTGAAAGCTATGAGTCCTGACCAATTTTTCAGCAAGAATACGATCAGATGCGCTATAACTTGTAGGTTTTCTGTTTTGAAATGCGAAATATCCATGAAAGGCGATATGAGCAACTGTACAAGCTGCGATTTTATGATGTAGGGCCGTGTGTTGGGCAGATCGAGAAGTTTCAACATGGCCTCGCAAAATACACCTCTTGAAACAGCAGGGCCGTCGACAATATACTGCAAAAGCACGCCCAATGCATTGGCTTTGTACGCTCTTTCTGGATCCAGAAGAGCAATCTCCACGACTGTCTCAAATGCAATGGTTCTCAATGGATCAGTAACGTCCTCGACCATATTAATCAATGAGCGGACCACTGCAATCGGAAACTCGTTAGTGCCACCTTCAATGCTAACCAAACGTCGAATGAGACGTATACATTCGCTGCGTTCTGTTGTGTGCTTGGAATCTTTGCTCAGACTGGCAATAACAAAGACGTGCAAGTCGTATTTGAAAAATAGCTGTAGTCCCCGTAGATCCGTCACCACATACCACAAAATCCTGTATCCGCAAGCGACAACCATCTCGTTGCGCTGAAGCATCAGTCTTTGAACGACGTGGATCACGGAAGAGAACACTAGATCGTTCCTTAGCGAGTCGTTTTCCTCCAGTAAATCCACCATATCGTTCGTTTTGTCCACAATTTCTTCGCTTGATGTGTTCTTATCGCTCAAAACTTGTAGAATATCGGAAAGAGCCCATGTCGGGCTCACTTTGTCGCCCGTAAATCTGGATGTTTGTGTCTGGTCAGCAAAGGTACTTTCGTCTGCCTCTCTAATGGAAATGCTCGATAGCGAAGTAGCGGAATCCACGCTGTGAATAGCCGCATTCGAATGCCCTCTATTGCGTGTGCTTTCGAATTCAGGGATCGCCAATTTCTTTCGTTGACTATCTTTCCGATCCATACTAACAAAGGACGGATATTGGCTCACGGACTGTGATAGACTCCCGGAGGAATCCATGCGGGGAAAAACTGTACCCTTTGATGCGTCCTCCGGAATCGACTCGTACACTTTACGGGCATTCAAAGACAGCCGGGGCTTGGAGTCGTGAGCTGTCTCTGACATTGTGAAGTACAAGAATACTTTATTTTTCTGTTACGCAAATGCTGACTAAAATTAGCAGATGGATAATTGATATCTATAACGGTTTATCGATATAGGTGGAACAGTAAGGCCAAGAGTTATTGACACAATCACTTCAAAACATTGGCATATCGAGTTTCGGCCTCTTTGACCAATTGTTGTAATCCCACGATCACAAACTGGTGCGTGAGGTTAGGGAACTTGTTTCTATGCAGTCCAAACCATTCCAGCGGAGGCGTGGCATTCCCCAAATCACGTAGTCTAGGAGTTTCGATGTGCGGCTCCTCCAGAGGAACATAAACGTACTTTTCGTCAGACTCCACGTCCTTTAGCCTATCCTCCAAGTTGACGGCCTCGAAAATCGACTCCTTGTAATTCTCCTCCAGCAGATCGTCGAAGTCCGTTCCGTAGCCAGAAGTGAAAATACGCAACGCCGTGAGACGAGTCTTCAACGTTGTTGCATGGGAATACCACATCTCTCTAATAAAGTAGACAGAGCCCAGCTTCCACCTGACGTCAACGTTTCCTCCAAAGGAGCTGCTAAATTTGAACTTGACTAAATTTGAGCCTGGAGGCTGGAATGCATCCATGTAAACGTTCAGCGAAGGAAACACAAAAATGCTGCCACCAACGGCAGTATTTGCAAGTTTGGCATAGCTCCGAACTCCTGGTTCTCTGAGTGAGGCCTCTGTAGGCTTTGTTTTGAAAGATGAAAGAGCCACTGTGAAATTGTCAAGATTCATGTCCAGCTTGTTTTCCATGATACTCGTTTTAATTTGCTCAAACTTGGCCCTCGAAGCTCCAACCCTGATAACCAGCGCCTGCGTGTCTAGCAGACTACTTGGGAAAATTTGTAACTGCATTGACCCGATCCGGACATCCAAGTCAGTGTAGAACTCGTCGATCACGTCCAAAAACATTTCCACTGTCTTGACCGTGCTTGAGCTCGAACTGTCCGTTTTGCGCGAAGCAGGTAAGGACAGAGACGACTCCGAAGGTCTCATTGAGTCCTTGAAGGATTCTGTCTGATCATCCAAAGCATCATTGAGAGTTTGATGGTACGAGATCTTGATATCCTGTCGAATTCGCAATCCAATGGTATAAATGTCCACGAAATTGGAAGCAGTCAAAGCCGTCATGTAAACATTCAAAGATTCCATAGAGGTTTTTCCAACCAACTTGTCTGCATTGTTGTCCACGCTCTTGTTATATATGGAAGCCATCGCCTTGGTAATCACTGCTATGCAGAATATGTGATAGTCAAGAGAGATTTTCGTTTCTAACGACCGGAATCCGGCGGACAGGAAAACAAGTGGAATATTTTCCATTCCTCTTTCTTTCGACCATGAGATGGCGGAAGCCATTCTAGCCCTTTCAACAACCAGAAGCCCTCCAAGTCTTCCTTCTGACGTGATTCTCAGTTGACCCAATTCTAACTTCAGGTTTTGGTCCCTGTTGGTGACCTTGGTGGATTTGACCCAGCATTTGTCGGCTTCCACGTCCAGCGTTCCAAGCGAAAACCCAAGATCCACCTTTAGTTTTACCTTCCCCACCAGAAGAGTGAGGATCCAGGGAAGTACCGTGGTGTCCGACATGTCTTTGACTCTCGCTGCAATATTTTGGAGTGACAAATCTTCGCTCTGTTGTGGCTTCTCAACAGATACTTTGTAGAGTTCGGATGGTAGCCAGATTTCGCGGAAAATGTCAACGTCCTGTCTCTGCTGTATGTTTAAATACGAGTCAATGTTTGAAATCTTTGACGTATTCGACATTGTCTTAACACCGTCTGCTTTGGCAACAGTTGCAGATAAAAGAATGTCATTGATCCCTAAAGAGCCGCTGGTTTCCTTCGAGTAGACGTGATGTAACTTTGCTCTTAGTTGTTCGATACAGATAGTAGTGGTGATCAAGTCTGTATCGGTATTGAAATGCCAAAATAGTCCATTAGTAGAGACCGCGGCCTCGACTTTGGCACTTGGCTCACAACTCAGCGTGAGTCGCTGAGGCTCAACCTTGAGCGAGAAGTTGATCTTGAATTTCTCAAAGATGCGCTCCAAGCTAACACCAACCGACTCCTTCTCTCCCACCGATAAACGTCTTTCTTCTGGTTTTCGCGTTGCAGGAAGCTTTCTTTTCTTTGCATGGTTTCTATTTGCAAAGGACTTCACACTTTTAACAAGACTGACAATCACGGGAACACAGGATGCTGACAAAGCGTTGTCTGTACTCGAAGTGACAGCCTGTATTGAAACAACGTGCTTCTTCACTGAGTCACGGCATCTGATGTACTCTGTCGCGATCCTTACGGATGGCGCCTGGAGACATAACGATGTAGGCTTATGGTTTGGGTCCGTTGCAGGATTGATGATCATGATTGAAGCACCATTAAATGCAAAGATACAACCAATAAGCCTCAAGTTCGAGTGTATAGAGGAAAAGAGCGTTGGCGAGCCGTCAGCTGTTTCGGAATGTGCGATTTCGTGAGAAATCATAGTTTCCAACTTTTCTTGAACATGAACAACGGACCATGCTAGTCGATCCGCCACAGAAAAAAGCGTAGTTTCCAGCTTAAAATCAACCTTATCACCATGAAGCTCGGCATCAATATCTCTGCCTTTGGCCGTCTGGGAAACCTGATAATCAAGCTCAAATCTAGGGAAATATGCCCTATTAGCACTCAAACTTTCGTCGCTGGTGGAATAAAAGTTCATGGAATTATTCCCGTGGGCAGTTGCCAAATACAGGCTTGAGACAAGCACATTTCCCGTTTTTGTGCTGCATACAATCTCAGCTTTTTCGTAACCAACAATAAAGCCGGGTATGTCCGACGAATTTGACAGCGTTCTTTCTGGTTTTGGAAGCAGCCATCCAATACACATATTTTTGGACACTATTCGGATCGAATAGAAACTCAAAAGATCCCATATTGCCTCCGCGCTAACGTTCTGTCTTGGTGCAGGTTTGCGAGGGAACTTGTAGGTATTAAATTTCTTTTGGAAGTCGAAATAAACATCAAGGAGTTCTCTAGTGAAGTGAGAATCCAACACAAATCTGCAATGATCACTGATTAATTCAACCTCGTGGAGCTTTTGCTCACTTGAAACGGACGTCGATCCTTTCAGTTCCAAATTGATATCACATATAGTAAATCTTGAGGTCTGAGGACCATGAGAAAGCATACTAAATCTCATGGAGGGAAGCTTTAGGAATCCTTGAGGTTTGTTTCCAGTGTAATTGAAATCAGAGGTGGCAAACTTCATTGTGATCTTGCCACAATCGAGAAATGCCCGATTATCGTTGAGAAGACATGTGAACGAGAAGTTGTTCAGAGCAACAGCAACAGCGGCCTTCACAATGAAGGAAGAATCACTTGATTTGGACACGTGATTGCTTTTGCAGCCCAACAATTGAGATAGATTATGGAACCTTGACCTGAATTTCTTAAAGTACTCCTCCGCAACACCGTAATCAGTTTCTGCAAGTTTCGCCAAATAGATGAAGTTGCGCTGCGAGCAATTGATTCCAAGTTGATCTGCATGCACCTGGGCAAATACATCAAATCTACCGTACTTCTCAATAAAGCTCGTCAAAACTTTCAAAGTTCCAACAGAAACGGTACCAAATTGCACTTGCTGCAATGTAGAAGTGGAAAGTATTCTTGACCTGATGCGAGAAACTGTAAGATTTGACGTTGCACCCCGATCTGAAGCTGAAAATTCAAACGCAATATCCTGCACGTCCATTTTATAAAGAATCGGTGACAGAACCTCAAGCTGCAAAGAAAGTTTTGAGACAAATAGACTACCCGTAACTTTTCCTTTCAGTTCAGCAAAAAGTCCATTGCTTGATTCAGTAACAGGGGATTCTTGTCTTTGAGATTCAATTTCTTGGCTTTGTCTCAAATTGTTGATCAGTGGGGCCAAAACTTCATATTCTTCATTTATAAGCACGTCTAGAGCTTTTAGGTAGAAGTCTGACCCCGACCCTGCGGAAACATTGATATTTGAGGTAGACAAGTCCACATAAATCTGTCCATGATCAGTTGACCTTGCCTTGGAGACAAGCAGCGAATTTTCAAAGCAATTGAGGTGCGCTATCTTCATTTTATCGAGCATAATATCAATCCCAAGCGTTGTATTGTTGCATAGCATAGCAAAGAATAGATCCTTCGAAGTTTTGATACCGGACATCGTTAACACAGAATTACTACCCCGGACATTGACCGAAGATCTATCAATTGCAACCTGGTGGGAAAACTCTTTAAACAGAATGTTTGTGCTGAAAAAGATCGGATCTGGCTCTGATTTGTTTGTAATTTCAACGACTTGTTTTGTATTTGCTTTTGACGCCATATTGGCAACCAAATCGTTGATATAGGGAATTGATTTCTTCATGGAACTGATACTGGTATTAAGGGCTCCGATGGAGACTCCAACATTTATCTGATCATGAACATTTATCATAGAGAGCTCGGTGGCCATTTGGTATAACTCTTCCGACAGCTTTTCTTTGCTTAATGCGAGTTCCAGGTTTTCAATCACCACCAAATTTTTGAAAGGATGAACATTAAGTTTCGATGTTGATAGTGCCGCCGTCAGAGAGAATGACTTCTGCTCAACCCTGGAAGTGGTATCTCCAAACACACTCATCAAAACATAGCTGCTGGAGATGTTACTGAACTCCCATCTTCTCCAATTGAGGAATATATCGAACACCGTTTCTTTGGCGTCTTCCGGGGCATTCCAAGAATGTTCGTCGAATCTTTTCTGTGTAACGGCGTGCCAACTTTTGGGCAAGTTGTAAGCAATATGTCTGATTCTGGTAATAATCTTCCAGCTGTCTTCACGCCGGATGTGCTCGTCGGAAAATTTGCTAATGTAAGACGGCTTGGTGATACAAGATGGATCGTGGCGCACAGAGTAATCCGTTCCGCCTTTAGAAAGGGAATATACGGTGTCAATCTTGGCCTTGGCACTATTTGCCATGGCTTCAGAGATTTTTGCTAGTGCCGTCTTTATTGGATCAGACAAAATGGAGATATAATTCTCAACCCATTGGAGGTTTGTCGGATCCACATCGAAGTACAAATGCTCTTCATCGATCATGACACTGGTTGACAGTTTGCTATTGAATAGATCAGTCTTGAGCTTCGTCGCGTCGAGACTGCAAACAGACCTGCCGCTTTTTAATATCTGGATCGAGAGCCCAGAAATATCTGCTGCAAAAGAGTCCAGACCGCCTTCTGGTTTAATTGCAGCAGTAAATGCTGGATTGGATATACTGATGTCAACGCAATTTTCAGAAAATCTCGAGTCTGTCACTTTCAAAGTGATCATTGGCATCAGAGCCTTTATGTTGACTTTCTGGAAATTTGTAGCATGTTTCTTTGTCAAGTGAGAAATAAAGTCATTTTGAATTTCATCCAATACATTGGTGACAGAAATGGCCTCCTTATTTGAAATAATGTAACTCAATACCAAAGCGATTTTTGGATCAATGTATCCGTCAATTGTACCAAAACTGCATACTATGGAATCAACTTCAAAACCGTCGTTTTCCGGGGAGATTTTAGGAGACGAGTCCACTGCACAAGACATGCTACCACCTGGAAATGAAGATGAATCAGAGTTTTCGTCATCTCTCAGGGAAGCCTTCAATCGTTCAGGATAGCTTAGGATCAACAAGTCTACCGAATTCGTGTTGAGAGGTGGAGGGACATCAGGGAAATTGAGGAAAGGCCTCAAACCTCCATAATTTTCATGGTATGTTTTATCTCTATCACTTGGTGAAAGCAAAAATGGACATCTGTGGAAAGGCGCGTCATGAATCTTAATATGCGCTCTTTGTGCTTCTTTGCGAGTATCAAAGTCTGGCTTTTTAACAAAGTCACTAGCGTACACAGATGTTCTCACATCCATGACAGTGTCAGTGTCGTTGACACCTTGTAAGACAATATTCTCAATTTTGAAATTGATTCTGCTATTGTATGTAGCAGACGACTGATCAGAAATAGTTAGATGTAACGTTTCCAATTGAACTGAAAGACCATAAGAAGGACCATTGATTTTCAGCAGAATTTCGGGACAGCTGAAAGACAAATTCAACATATCAAAAATCACCTCCTCAGGAAGGTCTAAAGAATTCTCTGAGTCATTGTATCCTACCGCAAGTGACCCAAAAGAACGGCGGACAATGTCAAGAAAAATGGGCTCTGATTCAACGACTATCTGTCCTGGATGGAAATCCCACCTGCAATAATAAGTTGGTTCATCTGGGGGGAGCCCAAAAGCTCTATGGCCATGCACTGGAAGATGATCAATAAAGAGCTGAGGATCAAATTTCACATGTTTGGAGGTGGTACTAAAAATCATGTCCTCGTCAGCGTTTTCCAACGATCGCCCATATATCTCTGAGAAGTTAGCTTGGAGATCCATGTAGTAATTATTGAATCGGAGATCAATGTCCAGGCTTTCGAAATGAAGTGCAACATGTGTTTCGCAGTCATAATTATGTGCTGGCAAGACGAGGCATCCATTTTTAACGCAAAAAGAAAAATGAAGGTCCGTCTCGTTTCGTAGTTTTATTCCGAACGGCTTGAACTCTTCTGGTGCTGGTTTTTCACCAGACTTGTCGTTCATATCTTCGAGAAATTCTCCAAGGGTCTGGAAGTTGATGTCTTCCCCAAAATAGTTGGCTTTGAGAAGCAACACATACTTGATGATAAATCCATAGCATTCAAGCGTTGTATCCTCACAAACGCAATTGACTACAATGTTGTCAACTGTATCTATGTCGATCACATTGAAATAGGTGAATGATCCCGACATCTCAAAGTTATTAGCTCTTCCAACCTCTTTCTTTCGCAGGAAATTATAACCTGTATGCCATGGTGGGAAATGAACAGCCAAATCAAAAGTGGTGTTGAGCTTGTAGTCAAAAAACGTCGACTTTCGATACACCGTATCTAAAGGAATGCCGACGGCTAAATCCAGCTCGGATCCACAAAATGAAACGTATATGTTGTCATTGTAGTCTAAAGGATGGCTAACAATATTCTTTTCATTCAAGTTGAGAGAGATGTTGTAGTTGTAAACCTTCCAACTGATCTTATAGAAAAAGGGACGGAATAGCTCATAAGGAGTTGGATTTCCAGAGCTAAAATCCCCAAACATGTCTGTGAGTAACTCAATATGCTCCCTAAGCAAGTATAGTTCAGCATTCGTAGACCTATTTTGGAAACTCCAGGTTGCAGCGCCATTCCATTGCAAAGGATACCCTACATCTGCATTTATAGTGTGTTTCATGGCTTTGAAAAACACCTCATGATTCACACTGGAAGAGATGACTGGGTTATTAAAATCCACGTGAAACTTATTTGACCATCCACTCTCTGCGCTGGGGATGTACGAGGTTGAAATATTAAAGGTGGAATTTTGTCCCACCTTGAGTTCCAACCACCCAAACGGTCTGCGCTCTAGCTGATTTGGAGAGCTGTCACTGTTGGAATAAAGAATATCTTTGCTGCTCTCTCTAAACGGAATCCGTAGCACCAGGTCGTCGACACTTTCAATAAATAGTTTGAATCCTTCGTATCGCCTTTTTGATCCTGCTTTGGGACGGCTCATCGGCTCAGCGTCCCTGCAGACAGAAGGAAACAGCATTTGATGTAAAAGAGCACGCTCTTTTTCAGCCCACGGTCCGTAGTGAATAACTCCTTCTGAAACCGATATGTCAATGTTGTTCGCTGGAGGTGCTTCGCCATTTCCAACATCTGGTTCACCAGCGGAGATATTGGCTGCAGATGCTGGCGTATTCCCTGGAATGTCGTAGTAATAATGGATATCAACGTAGTCGGAGTCGAAAACATGAGTGTACCGAGCGTACTCGGACTGTGAGAACACGAGCGCGTCTTCTTTCTTCTCCGAAGGTGTGCTTTCGTCAAAAGAACTCAACATCGAACTATCGTAGGACAAGTATCTTTCAAGACCGCGCCAACGATGCAGCTCTTCCTCCTTAGTCTTCTGGCTATCTTGTCTGGAACCATTATGATACAGTCCCAATTTCTCAAGAAACCTCTTGAATTTATGATTTTGCTCCCCATTAAATTCTTTTGTGATCTGATCCATACCTTCGTATGAAACATTTGGCTTAAGATACAATTGCAGCTGGTTTGCCCTAATATCGTGATCAACCCTACGCTTATCGTATTTCGAAGCTGGCCGAAGAAAATCAAAAAGTCCTTCCAAGGATGTGTATGATCCAACCAAAAGGGATGTCGTTGTTTGGTTGCCTATTACAAATCCGCCTTGTTTAATCAAGACCTTGAGGGGAAGCAATTTGATAAATTGTGGGACATAGCGCTCTCCCGATTCTTCAGAGTCGTTGATTGTATTTTGATCGCTGCTACTTTCGCTGCTGTGACTTGTAGAGTACGATTGCTTTTCAGCATGACTGGACTCCCTATTCAGCTTTTCCAGCAACTCTTCGTAAACATTCATTCGGTTGTAAACAAAAACCTCAAGGCCATAGATTTCCATCAGCAACCGTGTTGGAAGTAGCCCGTTTTTTGTATTTTCAGGCTCGGTCACAAATCCAGACTGGCGCACGGATGTGAGCCAATATCTCCATGTGAGCCACCCTTGATGAATTAAGATCATCTCGTTTTTGGTTATAATCGTGACATTTTTGAAGAAAAGTCGTCCTCCGAGAAAGGAGACTTTGTATGATTGAACTTTCAGTCGTATCTTGTGTCGCTTCCATAGAATATACTTCAACAAGAATGACAATATTGAGCCCATTAAGCGATTGAAGTAGAATAGTATTCCAATGGAACCAAGAAGAGCTATTACCCATTCAACCATGTACACCCATTGCAGGTTTATCGATCGGTTGACCGATGCATAGCCGAATTGTGTTGTAACGTCCATGGCTAACAAGGCATAACTTGGTGTTTAGTTTAAACCAAAATATTTACTTTGGGGCAGGCGCGAGGTGTACAATTTATTACACAATGTTACTCGGGCGGTTGACCAGTGGTTTGTCCAAAGATGCTTCAGCAAAGGGTCAAAAGAAGACTCATACATGGTAGCGATGATCGTCTGTTGCATAAGACAACGACCAGTCGAGAATGATCGACTTGGCCATTAGTTATTATGTAAGCGAGAAGATTGAAAATCCTGGGCTCTAAACCTAAATTTGAAATATTATAGTGGCAAAACAGTTGAACATCTTTTGTAATAATATTTGACATGTCGAGAGAGGCTCCATTGAAAGCTGAAAAAGATTTCACCGAGACGCTGGACGAGCAATTGCCTCAAATTGAGCAGTTGTCCAAATCGGACTACAGGTCTGCCGTCGACAAGCTGCTGTTGTTGGAGAAGCAAACAAGGCAGGCGTCCGATTTGGCTTCTTGTAAGAGGATCATGATAACCTTGATGGATCTTTTGGCTTCAAAGAAGGACTGGTCTTTGCTTAACGAGCAGATTTTGCTGCTTTCCAAGAAGCAGGGGCAACTGAAAGACTCCGTTAGGGTAATGATTCAACAAGCGATTTCCCATCTCGATGAAATTCAAGATCTGGAAACGAAGATTCAAACAATAGAGACCATTCGCACAGTGACCGAAAACAAAATCTTCGTGGAAATCGAGCGTGCAAGGGTGACAAGAATACTCAGTGATATCCTATTGGAGAAGAAGAATGATTTGGATAAAGCGTGCGATGTGTTGTGCGAATTGCAGGTCGAGACGTACGGGTCTATGGAACTGACTGAAAAGATTGAGTTTATTTTGAGACAAATGACTTTGAGCAACAAGAGAGGTGACTATCAGATGTCTAAGATGCTCTCGAGAAAGATCCTGGTGAGATCTTTGGAGAAGTTTGCAGACCAAAAATTGGAGTACTACAGGCTAATGATTGACATTGCTTTGAGTGAAGACGACTATATCAACCTGGTGAAGTATTATCTCGCCATCTACGACATCCCGAAGATAAAGGGAGACAGCAACGAGTCTTTGAAGGCCTTGAGACAGATTGTTTACTACAGTGTGCTTTCGCCGTATTCCAATTTGCAGAACGATTTGATCTCTAGAGTGAAGATAGACAAAAACGTTGATAAGCTGCCAACTGAAAAGGAGATCTTAAAGCTGTTCACTACAAACGAGCTGATCAACTGGAAAGAAACTGAAGCACGGTTTGGCGATTATTTGTTTAGGGATACCACCTTTGATCAGTCGACTGAGAAAGGTAAGCTGCATTACAAAGATCTCCAGAAGCGCGTGATAGAATACAATTTGAGAATAGTCTCAAAGTATTACTCATCGATTCGATTGAAAAGATTATGTGAGCTGCTGCAACTGGAACAACAGGATGTTGAACTGAACATTATCGAGTTGGTGAATAATGGGGTTATCTACGCTAAGATAAACCGGCCACTGAAGATTGCCAGCTTCATCAAGCCGAAGAACGAGAATGAGTATCTGAACGAGTGGAGCTCAAATATCGACCAACTTCTTAGCAGTATAGAGACTGTGGAGCATTTGATCACGAAGGAGGAGATGATGTATGCTGCGAAGGTGAAATAAATAAATGCGAAAGTAGATTATGCTTCACGCTGTTGTAGTTCCAGCTCTTTTCGTTTGCGAGCGCTTTCAACGAGATTATTCCATCGTTCTTTTAATTTGATAATCTGATTCTCCAGAACAATTCTATCGCGTTCCTGCGTAGCAATCTTCTGTTGTAGCTGGTCAATCACGCTCTTGAGTTGCTCGTACTGATCTCCTGATTGCTGTGGCGGTCCATTTTTCAGCAATCCCAGGAGATCACCGATGAACTCGTGATTAGCCATCAATTCGCTATAGTAAACTAGATTAAGTTCTGTCAGAACGCTGTTCTTAGCCTTCAGTTCTTCTATTCCCTGATGTTTTGAGGATTTTTCTTTAAAATTGATCAGCTGGAGATCGTGTTCAAGCTTGTTGATTTTGTCCTGCTCGATGAACTTCACCTTGTTCGAAGTCAGATCAAAATTGAGGTTTTTGACCATGAGAAGTTTGATATGCTCAATAAGCATCTGATTATTGGGCTCCTCGCAAAGCTCCTTTTCCTGAACCGGAGTTTTTTCTCGCTGTTGTTTATATTCCTTGGACTTTTGAATTAACTTAAGCTGGTCTATACGTTTGATTATTTGGGACTTAAGGGTTGTAAGTGAATTGAGCGTGTTGAAGTGGTTTATCAGCGATTCTTCAGCTATTCTGTCAATTATGTCCTGTAATAATGCAATTGAAGACTCATGACAGCTGATTGAACGACTGTAATCGCCTTTCATCATTGCCCTCTCCGCATTGTGCTCGCTCTCATACACCTTTCTGTTAGGCCCTCGAATATTATCATACTTACCTCTGAAAGTCCATGCATTGTTAATATACCATAATTATTATTTCAGGGGCTGCCAGAAAGAAGCCGGGAATTTTTTAAATCACCTTTTTATCTTTGGCGGGTCATCATCATGACCAATGTCAAGCTTTTACAAAAGGACGCTATCACTCTAGATCGATTCTGGGACATTGCAAATGACCTGTTTCATTCAGACAGGCAAATCGATGAGCTTCGAGATGGCTGTACGGAGGACAAGGTCAATTCGCTACTGGTGAACTACTTGACTCTTGTTTGTGAACATTGCGACCAACTCACAACACCCGACACTGAAGAGCAATTTTATAATGACATATCAGAGTATGTCACGTGCCACAGATACTATCGATCGAACATGCAGTTCTGTGTTCGCAAAATGCTATCGTTGCTCACGTACAGTGTTGGTTGCAATGAGAGTAATCTGGGGCTGGAATCTGACATGCTGGACAACGTCACAAGGGAACAGGTCAACGAATCCATTACAGTCAACGAGAAGCTAATACGAATAATCGGGTGGATTCTCATAGTTAACTACCAGTCGGATAAGGACGCCCTTCTGCAGATTTTAAAAGATTTCAATGGATTTGAGACTCTGGCAGGCGTGCTGTCAAATTATTCACGAATATCACGCAATTCGAATGATAAGGACCCGTACATTGCGAACTATTCGCCTTACTTTGAGCTGTTCTACGAACTTTGCAAAAATTACGAATTTGATAGCACAGAGCTTGACCACGTCCATTCGCAGCTACTTGAGTACTTGTTTGAGAGCCTAGAAGTCGTACCAAAAGAGAATAACATCCTAAACTTCATGAAATTCAGGCTGCTACTGGTGCTCAACGAACAGTTTATGGTCTCTCAGTTTTCGTCCACGGCAGATAGCTCGTATCAGATAGAAAACCGGTTTTTCATCAAAATGACAGAGGATAGTCAACGATTCCAAAATTTCAACGAGGTACTCATTTTGAATTTCAATAGAGAGCAGGACCATGTTATTCAAATACTAATGCTCAAGGTACTGTATCTAGTGTTCACCACCTCCCACACGTGTGGAAAATTTTATATTAACGATCTCAAACTCATCATAGATATCATGATCAGAGAACTGTTCAATCTGTCTACTGTGAGAGAAGAAGCATTGATCAACACGTATTTGCGCGTGCTGTATCCGATGATATTATTTTCAAGCATCAAGGAAGAAGGATACAAAAGAGAAAGCATTTCTGAGGTGCTCAGATATCTCGTCGCGGCAGAGCAAACCTCCGAGACTACCAAACGGCTGGCCGAACGGTGCCTGGTGCTGGACTATTTTAGCGACAGGTACGGCAGTCCCTTGATTACGCGGAATCCAGCTCCATACATACTTTCGCGCGAAAACTCGTCTCAATCCTCTGTGGTGAGCGAGATTGACTCGCCAGACTCGCCAACTGCACCCATAGACCGAAGCAGGAGCAATTCGTCGGTCTCGTCGCAGGACTCCAAAGGACTACATCGCAAACGACCACCTCCCCCGCCCCCACGCCGGTACAACCAGAGAAACGGCTCCGAGCTGATGCTGAGTCGGACTAAGGTGGCCAATAAATAGTGTGTAATTCGAAATGTCAAAAATATTTATTTATTTGATTAGTCTTGAGGAAGATTAGTAGAACATTGAGCGTCATGTCCTTTGCTTTGCGAAGTCTCAGGTGCTCACCAGTATCAAGAAGACTATTATTTGTGCGATACCAGTCACAATACCCAACAAACATGCCGCCCAATAAGACCTTGCAAAAACAGCATGTGTTGCGCTCGGGATTGGAGAGGTTCATTCAGAAACAGGCAGCTAGGCCAGTGCCGACTGTGGCGCTTAACGACCTCCTCAAATTTAACTCTGCAGCCTCGCACAGGGACAAGTCGCTGATGCTGTTGGAGAATGCGAACGAGACGTTGAACGATATGGTGGTCCTAGTGACTCGGCGACTCATACAATTTATGAAATTGCCCTACATTGTGGTCCTGAACGCCAAAATCGCTGACATTTACAACGCATATTTGGATACCTTGAAGGTGATCTTGGAATTTGTGGCAGAGTGCGACCCGGCAAGTGAGCTAACCGAAGAGTTCACTTTCAACATCCAAAATTTGGATCAAAATGATCTCTTTCTCCAAATGCTGAAAAAAACCATCGACATGCACACCGATAACCTATCGACATTGAGCGAGGGGTTTGAGGAGATATCTGGATTGAACCTTGTTGATGAAAAGACGTTTCTGAACGACCATCTAAAGGAGCGGATTCTGATGCGCTTGCTGGCCAACCATCACATCCAGCTCACCGAGCAGCTGAATTACAAAGGGGAAGAGCTGGAAAGGTTGGACCAAATTGGTATGATCGAGCCGAACATGAACGTTCTTGAGGTTCTGCACCGTTCGTTTGTGTTTGTCAACGACATGGCTGCCCTGAAGTATGACGAGAAGATCCGGATGAACCTGAAAACGGTGACAATTAACGGCGACGATACCACTACAGAGCAGGTTGTGGAGAACTTTGAGTCGCCAGACGGACTAGAGCCGCTCAAATTTCCATACATTTCCAGTCACATTGAGTATGTGTTGAACGAAATCTTCAAGAACTCGACGCGGGCCCACATAGAAAACAACGTAAAAAAGCCAGTGGATGTGCTTATAGTCGTGAACAAACCCAATGTTGAGAAGCCAGGCCCACAATTTTACAAGCTAGAAATGCGCATCGTCGACCATGGTCTAGGAATAAAGCCCGAAGTTCTGGACAAGCTATTTGACTATTCGTTCACGACTTTTGATTCTGAGCTTGTAGAAGAGGATTCTTACAAGACACTCAACAACACGGGCGCAAATCAGGCCAATATCATAGCTGGCATGGGCTACGGTCTGCCGCTGAGTCTCACTTACAACAGACTGTTCAACGGCGATATCGAGCTCAAGTCCGTTTACGGCCAGGGGACAACTGTCTACCTAAAGTGGGTCGGAGTCGATGCTAAACAAATACCTTAGTTTATGTACATGGAGTTTCTAACTTAAAGCGTATCACCTCTCTTCGGGCTGAACGCGACGTCACGAGACATAGGACTTAAAAATCCAGCCTGTATGGCTCTTTTAACCGCTCTGGTCATTTGTTGCTGCTTCTTGTGGTGCAGCTGGGTGACAGAACGGTGGTGGATGTTACCTGTGACTGACAAATACTGAGAAAGGACTTTTGGGAAACAGTAAAAGTCCAGCGGGCTGACTTCTTTTGTATTGAATGCGGACTGCGCTAGTCTCTTCCTCCTGTTGTCTTTTTCCTGTTTAGCAGCGTATCTCAGCCTGGCCACCGAGAAATCGAAAGGGTCGTAGGTTTTTTGGTTTTCGAAGCCGTTAATCAGTGCAGGGTTGATAACTGCCTGTCTTCTGCTTTCGAGATCTGTGTGTTGGTCTTTGATGGATTTCATGGCATTTTTGAGCGTGTAATCCTCGCACTGTCTAGCGGAGGAGACGAAAGTTCTGCGGAACATAAGCATGAGCCAAATCGAAGTTTTATTTTATTGTAATTATTAGTTTGGTTTTTTCGTTTTAGTTTTACCCGGCTTCTCTGTATGACAGTGCTAACAAAGACCGAAGACTGTCCTGTTTGTCAATCGCCAGACGACACAGGTCCCGGATCTGACCTCGTCTATGGCTGGATCGGTTGCGAGCTGTGCCAACGATGGTTCCATCCGTCCTGTGTCAAACTGTCTCCTCATGAGATCGAAACAATAGGCGAGTACCACTGTCCAGACTGTGCCCCTGAACACGGCCCGTCGGTGCTCAAACGGAAATCAAACCGGTCGCGCAAGAAAATTGACTACATTGCACTGAACGAAGGTCAGCAGCTTCGCGAAGTTGACAAACATCCGCACATTGATAACTTCAAGATGTTCGAAAACGATAGACCCCTGGAAAATCTGATATACGTTGTTCGTCCAGAGGTGGACGGCAACGAAAGCGGAGTAGTCACGGATAGCAAACTCACGCAGATAATATTTGAGACGCAGCTGAAGCGGCCCATTCTTGTTCCAGCATGCAATCCAGCTCTCCCAAACTACAAGAACTGCTACGATCTCACCTTCAGGTTTCCTAAAATGACAGTCGACCAAATAGCGGAGGAGGTGGGACTTGACAAGGAGCTGCCGGTCATGGATGTCCTTACGCAAAACAACTCGCCCAATTGGACGCTAGGCAGGTGGAGAGACTACTTCAATCTCAAAGCTCAAGATAGAGATCGGATACGCAACGTGATCAGCTTGGAGGTGTCGCAAACCAAATTGAACGACAAGATAGAGTTGCCCAAATCAGTGCTGGATATCGACGTGGTGAACAAGATTTTTATGACTTGCAGGTCCGAGCTGGAAGCGCACGGGATCGAGAAACCCAAAGTCAGTAAATATATCCTCATGTCTGTCAAAGACTCGTTTACCGACTTCCATGTGGATTTTGGTGGGACATCTGTGTACTACACTATATTGCAGGGCCACAAACAGTTTCTAATGTTCCCACCTACGAAGAGGAACCTTGCAGCATATGAGAAATGGTGCTTGTCGGATGATCAAAACTCATTCTGGTTTGGTGATCTCGTCCCCCCAACAAAACCAGGTAAGGAGCCTATCGATCCGGCCTATATGAACAACGGGGTGAAGATTGATATCGACGCCGGCGACCTGCTTATTCTCCCCTCTGGCTGGATCCATTCAGTCTATACGCCGTGCGACTCCGTCATTGTGGGCGGTAATTTCCTCAACATGCTGAGCCTGAAAAATCATTTGGAGGTTTACAAAATTGAGATCGACACCAAGGTGCCTGAGAAATTCAAATTTCCTAATTTCATCAAAGTCATCTGGCTTATTGGTTGGTTTGTGATGAAAAACAACAACCTGACCGAGTTTGAGCTGGAATGTCTCTCAAACCTTATCCCATTTTATAAGAGTCAGCTCCGGGATATCAAGAACATCGACACAGCAGACAAATACCATAAGCGAATCATCAGCAGGATAAAGAACTCCCTACCAACAAGCGTGATTGGCAGACCTGCAGATTTCGTAGCTGACTTTGAACGCTGGTATTTTCTACAAACAAAGAAGCGCAAGTACGATGATATGTAACGAAATGACCAAATCCATTGTACGAAATTATTACATCAAGCCAAAATACGTAGACCAGAAGCAGGAGCGCCCACTAAGGTGACCTTTGTGATTGAGCAAATCTTGCCCTTCTCGCTCGCATGGTACTTAGCACCTGTAAGAGCTTCCGTCACGTAAGGAGAACCCCTGTATATTGGTGTGAATGTGCCGGCACAAACGTCAAAGTCGGCATACGGATCGAAATCGATCTCCACGGCATCGGTAGATATAGAATCCGACTTGGCCTTGATCTTGTTAGCCTGCTCTGCTCTTGGCCCCGAGGTGATTATGGAGAGGAACTCGCCTGCAAAGTAGGAAGCCAGGGCATAGTTCTTGTATTTGAATGACTGGGTCATGGCAACCTGGAGAGCATTGACCCTATGAGAAGGTTGCAATTGGGCTCTTGTGAAGTATGCTGCCAGCTCCAAATTGCGCTTCACATCGTCCTGAGGCAAAGCTCTTCTGGCAAGCTCGATAGAAAGACCAAGAATATACTCCTTGCAAACGGCAAGCACCTCTTCACACTTCTCTTCATCATCTGCATTGTAAACCACAGATGTAGCAACAATGTAGATTAGCTCCCTGAATACCACGATCGCCTCTTCTAGTTTGTTAGCTTTGAAGAGCTTGAATCCTTCGTGCAATCCAGCCTCAAGCTTGTCGAAGCCCGGAACGTATGGAAGAGCCTTGGAGCCATTCTCTTCCTCTGGGTCAGCTCTCACATAAGATTTTAAAGATGGGAGACCGTCGATGGCTGGAATGAAAACCTTGTTGGCTTGGTAAATTTCAAGGAACCTCTTTCTTAAAGGCTCGAAATTGGCTATACCGAGCTGCTTATTCAACATTTGAGCAGCAGGCTCAAATGCTCCCGCTGCAATGTATCCTGCAGCACATCTGGAGTTTCTGACCCAGTTTCCAAGCTCGCCTGACAGAGCTCCAACATCTTCAACATCGTCATCAACTGCATCCTCGTCAACTTCGACTTCAAGCTCTTCCTCGCCCAAATCCCATCCTTCGTCGTCGGCAATCGGTTCAGCATCCTCGAACAAGTTCTCGTCATCTACAGAGGCAGCAAATCTATCAGTGGCGGTAGCTTCTGTTTGTGGTTGGTCTTCGATGGATAAACCTTCGAAGTTGCCAAGGAGAGCTTGTTCAAAGTAGGACAAGGAAGCTTTCTCCAGAGGCCATGGCTCAGTGATGACAGAAGTCACTTCAGGAACACTGTTAGGCTCTCCAAACGAAGGCATTTGGATGTCTGCCTCCGTTAATCCCGCCTCGGACAGAATCGATTCTGCAATATCGTCAAGACCATTAGTCTTGGCCGTGGCATATGCAAGTGGGAGAAGGCCAGTTTCGATGAAGGTGTTGATTCTTTTTTCAACAGAGTTCAAGTAAAGACTGTTTTGGAACAAAGACGAGTAGTCGCCTCTTGCCTCCGCAATTTGCTCCATTTTGGAAAGCTTTTCAGTCTCACCAGTGATAAGGTACAGGAAAGAAAGCTTTTCGAGTTTCTTGAGTTGCTGGTAAACAAGTTCGACAATCGGAACATTGCCTTGCAGAAGGGCCTCCTTGCCAAGTTTTTCCCAAATGACTGGGTTGTCAAGTTTCTTGGCTTCTTCCAAAGCGATGTCCAGGTTGTCACATTCTATGGCAAGTTCAAATCTGGTCTCAGAATCTTCAACAAACTGCAATGCAATTTCAGGATATCCCTTGGCTTGCAGGTAGCCGATAATGTTCTGACCCACGAGGTTAGAAGTCTTGATAATTCTAAGCACCTCATTGAAATTCTTGTTCACCAGTGCTTTCTTGAATCTGTATTCAGTAGGGTCAATGGTCACAACTTCCACCTCGCCCTTTCTGTTCAAACAGAAACACTGTCTGCCTGAAACCTTAATAACATAAAGAGTATTCTCTAGAGTTTTAATGGTTCCGTTGTCACCATTCAGCAAGGCGTACTTGATGTGATTCAGCGTTGAGTAGATCAACACGCCAGAGTCGTCCCAAGCTGCACTCTTGACTCTGATAGTCTCATGCATCGACATCAAAGTCTCCAGCTTTTTGTTGGCAATGATGATGGTATGTTTGGACAAAAGAGCAACATACTGAGTGTCTGCAGACCAAACAGCATACTTGGCATTGCTGATCTGGATCTTTGCAAGCTCTTTCTTTTGCTGGACGTCGTAGTGGATAACTTCGTTAGGTTTCATCAAAAGGATCGTACCTGGACCGGCATACAAGATGTCTTTGACAGCAGAATCAAGGTCGATAACTTTGGTCACCGTGTTTCTGAGGTCTCTGACTTCCAATTTGTGTGTAACTTTTGAAAATGTAACAAATCTATTTCTGGCAATGAAGCAAGCTGCTGTAGCTGCGCCCTCACCTCTTGGACTTGGCTCTAGTGCACCAACAATCTCCTTAGGCAAATCCATGTAGGAATATACTCCGTTTTCATTCTCTCCTGCTTGAACCAACAACGAGCGCTCGGCAGGGTTGTAGGATATGTTTCTAATTTTGGTCCATGACTTGCTGATCTTGTTCAAAGATAGCATTGGCAAAGACACTTGTTGCTTGTCAAACTGATACTGTTGTACCTGGCTTTCATTGTTGACAAAGAATAAGGTGTTCTGGAACAAAGTGCTTGCCGGTCTTTCTCTGTCAAGCTTGAAAACCATGACACCTGAATCATGACATGTGGCAAAGAGATTCATCGTTGGATGAGCGGCAACAAGCCAGAACCGATCGTTTTCCCGCTTGAATTGTTTCACCGGTGTTCTTTTGTTTAAGTCCCAAGTTCTAATTGTTCTGTCCTCGCCAACCGATATAATGAGATCTTCAGTTGGGTGGAAGAGTACACAGGGAACGTTATTGGTGTGTCCTCTGCAGCTGTCAACTTCCCAGGCTCTGGTCTCGCTCATTCGCCAAAGCTTAACGACTCTGTCGTCACCTCCCGAAACAATCAGGGGAAGCGTTGGGTGGAACGAGGCCCAGTTGACACCCTTGTCATGGCCTTCGAGCACGTACTTGACAACGGCATCCGTGTTCCCAAAGATGTCTTGCTGGGGCACTTGATTTCTGGCGTATTGTTCTTCGAAGGAGCGCATTCCACCTTGTGGAGCCGAGTGCTTCTTTCTCAATCCGGAGATGTCCCAAACTCTGACCGTCTGATCCAACGAAGCCGAAACGATCAGATCCTGGGAGGGATGAAACTGTGCTGACATCACGTAGTGGTTATGGCCGGTCAAACAAGCGATCTCCTGACGGTTCTGCCAATTCCAGATTCTGATGGTCTGATCGTCAGAACACGAAATGATCCATGGCAGATCGTGGTGGAAAAACACAGTTCGAACGTAATCCAGATGGCCGTTCAAAGTGAACATGCATTTTCTAGTTTGCAGTGACCAAACCTTTACAGTGTAGTCGTCACCACCGGAAACAAAGATCGGTTGCGTAGGGTGGAAATCGACAGCTCTCACAGGGCCGTCATGCTCTTCGAATCTATCAATAAGGGTACCCATCCGGTAATCCCAGAGTTGGATGGTGGACGAATGCAACGACACCAAGATCCAAGGCCGTTTGGGGTGGAAGGCCACGCCCTTAGCTCTTGAAGACTTGGATTCAAACTAAAGAGAGTTAGCATACAGTACACGTCAACAGGTCGAGCAACTTACCTTTGTGAGCATCTTCATCTTGAATAAACAGTTGCTTGGAGCTAAGCAAGAATTGGTGCAATTGATGATAATACTCCAAGGAGTTTTATTTAATGGATGAGTGATGCGTGCTTTGTTTGTCTTGTTGTTCTTTTAGTTTTTTCCAACGAGTCCAAGAGGAAGACTCGCTGACGTAAGCAATGGAAGGGGCGCCAGAGAAGCGAGGGAGCAGGTGCAAGGGTGGAAGATATGTGCCGAAGCAGCGGTGATGGCTCTTGCGAGCATTGGCAGGCTCTACTGTGGTTTTACGAAATTGCCTTCTGCCGCGAGCAGCTCCGGCTAACGACACGCTGGGTGCAATGACGGCAGCTCCACAAAATTCGGCCGTCTAGGTCTCTGGTCGTGCATTCCCAATAAAATTTTTCATAAAAATCAGAAACAGGTATAGCAGATCTATTCTACTTAATACCACCATGTCGAGATTTTTTACGACTGTGTACGATTCGGAGGAGTCTTCTGACGAGGAATTGCTTTCTTCGTCGGAAGAGCTTCTTTCGTCATCCGAATCTGAGGCTGGCGGACGTTCTGAGGCGGAAGAATCCGAAGAAGAGGAGGACGACGACGAAGAGTGGGCCTCCAGCTCTGACGACGACTCTGACGACGACTACCATACCGGCAAGGTGAGAGGACCATCCTATTTCCTGAAGAAGGATTTCAAGAGCGGAGGAGATGACAGCGACTCAGACAGCGACGCAGAAGAAAAGAGGGTGGTGAAGAGTGCGAAGGAGAAGTATTTGGAGGAGATTGCTAATCTCGTGGACCAGATTGAGAACTTCTCGATGGTTGAAGACTGGGTGAAGATATCGACCGAATTTGACAAGCTGAACAAGACCGTTTCGAAATATCCACAGTTCCACATTCCCGTGCCGCGTCTGTATATCAAATCGCTTGCCATTTTGGAGGACACCATTTCTGCAGCACAGAACAAGGACGTGAAAAAGAAGCTGAACGCGTTGGAGTCGAAGTCAATGAACGTGGTGAAACAAAGAGTCAAGAAGGCAGTAAAGGACTACCAGTCGGAATTGGAGTCATACAGAAAAAACCCAGAGGCGTACGAGAGCGGAACCCTAGTCGAAAGCGACACTCCAAAGGAAACTCACACTACACAGACTGCTCGCTCGGAGGCTGCTGGAATATTCACGATTTTGCGTTCTATCATAGAAACTAGAGGAAAGAGAAATGTCGACCTTGGTGAGCAAATCAGCCAATTGGAAGAGCTCACACAACTAGCCAAGGCGCCTTTCCATCTCATCTCCATCTACCTGCTTCTTGTTCCTATCAGATTTGACCTGTATGCCAAAGCTGCCTTCATGCCTTTGGAACAATGGAAATATGCTCTTAGAGACATCAACGCTTTGCTGGACGTGCTGGAAAAAAACCGGGACTACGTTGTCAGCGAGACTGCCGCTCCGACCGACGATATTGAGACCGAGCCGCCAGCAGACGCGAGCGGTGTCAAGCAGATGATTGGCTCCATTGCGTCATTGGTCGAGAGACTTGCTGACGAGCTGACTTCCCATCTTCTGGCCATCGATCCCCACTCCACAGAGTACGTGTCCAGACTCAGAGACGAATCTTCAGTGTACACTCTGTTGGTGAGAGCTCAGGTTTACTACGAATCGATCATCACTAAGAAGGAGCTTCAGACTCCAAAGGGTGACCAGCTTGCTAGAGTCATTTTGAAAAGAGTGGATTACATCTACTTCAAGCCTTCGAAGCTCATCATTTTTGGCGAAAATACAGTCTGGAAAAAATTGGACGAGTCGCTGGACTCGAGCATTTATCCGAAACTGAAAGAGTCCGGACCGCAGGGAGTCGAATACACAAACGGCCTGATGGATGCACTCTGCCTAGTGTTGTACGAACAGCCAAACTCTGTGTTCAGAAAGAAGGCCGTGCTTTACCACATTTACTATTATGCGTTTAACGACCAGTATTTCAAAGCTCGTGACATGCTGCTGTTGTCGCATTTGCAGGCCACCATCCACACCGCCGACCCCCAATTGCAAGTGCTTTTCAACAGATCGCTGGTCCAGCTGGGACTGAGTGCATTTAGATGTGGTCTTATCCACGAGGCCCAGCAATCATTGTACGAGATTGCCACGTCTCCAAGACAGAAGGAGCTGCTTGGCCAAGGAGTTCAGAGATTCCAAGTCCAGCAGTCCCAGGTGGATAAGCAAAGACTGCTTCCTTTCCACATGCACGTCAACCTAGAGCTCCTAGAATGCTCGTTTTACACGGCTTCCATGCTGATTGAGGTGCCCTTGATGGCGCAAAACCCCGACTTTGCTAAGAGAAGAGTCGCCGTGTCCAAGTCGTTTAAGAGAGTGCTTGAGTATCATGAGAGACAGATATTTGACGGCCCTCCAGAGTACACAAGAGATTACATCATGCTGGCAGCCAAGGCTCTGCTCAAGTCGGACTGGAAAAAAGCCAGCGAGCTGATCAACTCCATCAAGATCTGGGATCTTTTCAATAACAGCGACAAAATCAAGGTCATGCTTCTGGAAAAGCTCCAGATCGAGGCGCTGAGAACTTACCTTTTCACCAACGAGAGTTTCTATTCCAAGCTTTCCATCTCGACGCTGGCTGCCATCTTCCAGATCGAGGAGAAAATCGTCAAGTCCACCGTCCTCAAGATGATCGCCAACGAGGAGATCACCGCTCTGTACAACCAGCCAGCCAACATTCTCGAGTTTGTTGAGGGCAACAAGCTCAAGGCTTCGAAATTGCAGGAGCTGGCGTTGAACCTGAGCGAGAAGGTGAACCAGATTGTTGAGAGAAACGAACGTCTGAGCTTGGGAGGTTTCCAGTATCCGTTGGAGAAAAAACAAAACAGACCAGAACGTGCGAATGGCGTTGCCACCAAGCAGTAATGATGCATACCTTGAGCGAAGGCAAATTCATAATATAGTAACAAGCTACCATAAAAAAACCCAGCCTCACATAAAAGTAGAATAATTTAAAAAATCATTAGATAACCCAATGTACCACTATGCGCTCCCTGATTAAGTCCCATAAGGAGAGCTCTAGCGCAACACGAGCGCGACCACGCGAGGCCATGGAGCCATCCTCAACAGTCTCAGCTGGACGGAAGCTCACCAACCCTATCAAAAGCTTTCTTAGACACAAGATGTCCAGTACGGGGCTGGGGTCCTCAGGCTCTGCTAAAACGAAACCCACGCCGGCAAGTTCGCGCATTTCAAAGGTACCAGACTTGGAAAAAGACGGAGATTTGCAAACCCCGACTATTTTCGGCAAAAAGACTCACGACTGGAGTGCAGATGCCAGTCCTAGGTCGTTGGTCTATGCCTTTGAGAAATCAGAGTTCAGTGCCCAGGTCACGCCAGAGACATCCAAAGAGGATGAGGAGCCTCCAAAGCTAAACACAGAATCGACGGACGATTTTTCTATCGTGGTAGTGAAACGACGGGAGGAGCCACAATCCGATTCTTGCTCCAGTTCGATCTCGTCACATTTCTCGTTCGAAGGTACCGGCCGAAACGCATCGCTAAAATACTACAAATCTTACGACCAGGTGAAGTACGAGGAGATGAAGGCGCAACTCAAACAGAACCAGGATCACTTCAAGGAGTTTATCAATGACACAGAGTCGCTCAACGATTTGCAGGAGGACATGAATTTCTACGACGACAAAGACCTCGACGATTCAGAGGACTTGTTCAACCGTAAGCTGTTCTCAAGCGATGAGGAGGCAGACGACTATGAGAATTTTGACAGTCCTAAAAAGGACGCACCCGAACAATTATTGACATTAAACGGACAATACTCTTTCCATTCAGATCAGGAAGTAACCATTGACGATTTGAGCCCGCCTCTGGTTGCCACAGACCCGTCGTCATCCGACATCCAAGACCTGGTGACCAAATTCCGCTCCAGTAGCATCAAATACCACCAGCTCGAGTCCAACGACGGCGACGAACTGGAGTTCCTGGCCCAGAGATATTCGTGGTATCCTGACGACGAGTTACCGAAAACAGAGCCGCTGGACTCGTTGCTGGACGAAATCAACGAGATACCTGAAGATTTCGATTTTGAGAGCGAGCTTTCATTACCTCAACGCACGTCTTCATCTGTTATGCGAAAACAACGACGTAAGCAACTGCTAAAGTCAAACTCTAAATTCAACTATGCTGGCGCACCTAATTCTTCAAACGACCGCATCAAAACGGGCAACAGGACAATCACACTTTTCAAACCTGTCTCGCGTTCAAATAGCTTGGAATTCAACCATCACGATAAACCACTCCCTGAGCATCCAGTGGATGCAAGTGCGAGTGAGGAGTACACCGACGAGCTGGAGGACAGCACTGAGCTCGTAAGCTTATCAACACCAATCCAACTGCATTGTTTTGGGCCCCATAGTGACTCTCCGTTGACGACAATCAGCGAAGCGTCTTACGATAGTGCGGCTGCACGCTCGCCATTACGCTGAACGTCTTATTTATGCATAAATGAAATCCTCGCTGATGATTCGGAGACTTGAGAGCATACGATGCGAGGGGGACATGTAACCGCGCGAGACCTCTTCTGAGGTCTGTATACCGTTTTCACTGTAATCATAATCAATTTCATAACCTGCATAGGCACCATTCCTTGTTTTTTGCATGGCCACTGGTTCACCGCCGTTCTCCTTTTCGTCAGACGAGAATACGGGCCGGTTCATCAACTCTATTGCATCTTTGTAGGTGGCGGTGAAGAACAGGGGTTTTCGAGGAGACGAGACTCTAAACTTCCGAGATGGTGATTTCGAGTTTGAATTTGAATCTTTTAACTCTCTCTTAGGCTTCTCAGCATCAAATCCTCCTAAATGACCACTACTCGAAGTGCTAAGTTCCATTTTTATTTCAGCATCATTTTCAAATGCACTCAGTATAGGCGAGTTGAAAACCAACTGGGGAGATATATCAGCGATGGGTTTGAGAAGGTTTTCGTCGGGAACCGGAAGCTCTGGGATAGCTAATAACGAATGCGGGATGCATTTTGATGGCGAGCGCGGCGAACCTCGTTTCGAGGGAAGCGGTTGTGTACTAGGCCTGTTAGATCCCTGCACGCTCTCGTGCCCTCTGTGTGCAATCTTCTTAGGGAAAACAATTTCTAGAGGGAACGGTAACCCATTAATCATCACATAGCTGATTTTCATCATTCCTGACTTCGGTCTGCTAGATGGAGGTCGAAGACTCATTTGGAGACTTTCGTACGACAAAACGCTGTGCACAGAACCAGTTCTCCACTTTGACTCAAATATGTTACCTTCAGAGCCGTGCGATCTAGAATTCTGATAAGGTGAACCGGTTCTATTTTTGGGCGGCTGTCCGATACCAATGCCATCGGACGAAACACATGGGCGCAGTGGAATCTCCGAGTCCGATCTCGTCAATCTCATGGACTTGAAGTCCTTGTTTGATTCTGACAGCTTCATGACTCCAAGTGCAACCGCTAGATCAAAAAAAATTACAGCGAACGCGGGTTGCCTAGAAATTTAGGCAAATTGTAGCCGCACGTCAAATGTGCATATCCGCACCCTTAACAAGTATTCCAAGTCTGTTGACAGTATCAATCCTCACTTTTGTAGAACTTCCATATTTTGTCTTGGAACGCTTTTCGTCAACCGCCTGATCTTCAAAGACAAACTTGGACACTACCGATATGCCTTGAAACACATCATCAACAAATATTAGATGGTAAAGAACTGAATCCTGATTCGTTTTCCATATTAGTAGGATCTTACCGTCCCAGCGCGTAACATCAACGGAGCTGACCGGCATAAGCTTGAAAAAACTGTTTGATGGGTAGTCATTGGCATTTATGATAGCGAGCTCTCCCAGCTTCAGTACAGGCGATGTGGAAAGGTGCGATTTCGGGTCTTTTTTGCGGATTGAATTGCTGATCACTCTCCATGTATGATTTTCCCTTCCTCCGTTATCGGTTGATTCCATTGAGATGTCAGAAGGCACAAGAATCCAATCCTCATCTTCGTCATCAAAGTATATCTCGCTATTCATGAGTTTCTCGTATTCCTCGTTGTCGATAACACTTGAGGCCGACTGATCTTCAACCACGTGAGCGCGCATGAATGGATCTTCAGTCTCTTCGTAGAATATTGCAGCCGAATCCAAAACTATGAATTCATGTGAATTCTGCAAATTTACATGGAACGGTTCTTCTAATGTGAACCATTGATCATTCGTTGAAAGCAATGGAATCACAAGACATCCACTTCTCACCTTCTGAACATTTCTATAGCGCCGTTCAATATAGTAGCCAATTTTGAGCTTGAAAAAAGACTTTGTTTTATGGTTCAGCTTGTAGGTCAATTTCACGTGTATCGTTGGGAAAGAACAATCCTGGAAAAATGAAAATAATGAGAATGAATTAACTGTCTGGTTGTTAAATACTTGGTAGCCGTTATCGTCGATGACTTCAACGTATTTGATCTCCACACAAGAGCCCCCATGAAACGAATCCTCTTTTGATAACGTCCATTGGATCCCATTTTTATTTCTTGTGTGAATCGCATAGGGAATTTCCATTTGCAATGAACCATGAACCCAGTTGTCGCAATACACTTTTTCGCCGCACTCGTAAAACGTACTGCCTTCTCCAGATCCAAAGTTGGTGTAGAAAACAAAATTGGAGTCGTTGATCTTGTAAAGAGGCGAGCTATAGGGCTTAAAAGTAGTCGCTATGGAAGATTCACCATCAAAAAAGCCTATCCAAAATCGAGTATCATTTTGGGCAAAGTCTTTTCGAGCCAAGTATTCATATGTCCAAGCGGGAGCAAATAGAGCGACATTGGAGCGGTACTTCTTGATCATCTGGCATGCCAGGGCCGAATCATAACCTCCTTTTCCTATCATCGTGCCTCTTCCCCATACATCGTAGCCAGCATAGACCTTGAGTCGGGATCCTAAAACACCAACGTTTTTAATATTATCTTGGAGATGCTTCACGTTCCACCAGTAGTTGGTGAAAAAGGAATCACAGCAGGAGAAAAAATTGTGGTTGGCTTCGGTAACACCATTCTTGTAGAGAACCCTATTTTCTGGATAAATGTAGGAGTCGTACCATATAAGCTCTGTTGATGGATTTCGCACATGAAGCTCAGCTCTTAACTGTTCCAAAAATGGCTCTAGAAGGCTGGCTATTCGTGTATTGCTGAACCTGGTCTCTATGTTGAAAAGGTAGCCATCGAACTGGAAATATTCCACTAGCGCAACTAGGCATCTGACAAAAACATACTCTCCGTTTTGCTTTGTAAGCAATTTATCAGCCTCCTCAAAGTCGCGATAAGTGTTGCCCTCAAAGATAACAGTGCCCAAACACTTGATCGCGTTTCGGTGGCACACATTGATCCACGACACTGGCGGGATACTGACGCGATGATGAGAGAAATACACAAACTTGTCGACCAGCTGCGGGTACTGGAGGAAATAATGCTGGCCGTCTGGATGGGGGAAATATCCAAGCGGATCCGCATCCTCGTTGATCTGGTAGCCGCCTTTCAAATCATGGCAAACCAGAAGCTTAACGTCTTCTGGCGTGCTTTTCTGTCTTGCTCTTGTATAATGTGCGAGTTTTTCTGTAGGTTTGTTGAAGTCGTCGAGCTCGAACGACTTCTCACGGATCTGTTTTTCCCAATTTGCTAGTTCATCAAGGGAATCGAAGAAAGAACACTTGAGCGACGAGAGAGGCAAATTAGTTTGGGGCAACGAGGAGTGTTTAGCCGTGTTTCGAGGCATTGGTTTTTTACCAAGCGCGTTGCGCTCCCGTTTACGTGAACAGAACTGATTTGATGACAAAGAACGAGTTTCGGCTATATCCCGTATTCCAAACAAAGTGGCTCTGATTGTAGATAAGGCGTAATAAAAAACAATAAATCATTGTGGGGGTAACAGACAGGGGGAATGGATTGATAGACGCGCCGATCGACGCCAGAGAAAGCTAGGAGGGCGATAAAAATAGCAGCCAAGTCTGTCACGTTCCTACTTGAGGCATCGACGACGAGTCAAAATCACATATTGGCAGGTGCATAATTTGTTTATAACAAACCGTTGGTAACTGACGTTATTACTGTTTATGTTTTAAGCCTCGTTCGGCACTGAGCTCTAGAAAAAAAACCGAGTGACAAAATTTCTCTGTATACATTTGTAAACGTTACACAAGATGGGTCTGTTCAAGAGAAACTCGCAATCGTCTGGCGACAAGATGAAGGTCAAGCTGACTCACGAAGACGAAAAACGGCTCAAGATGCGCTCGGCCAACGTGCACGATCCGATTTTGGACGCGGTCAACGAGGCACAGCCGTTTGAACAGTCCGCCAATGAACACCAAAGACAGTCGTCGCTGGGCGACGCCGGACTACGCGACGTGTTCGGTAACACCATTGTGAATCCAGACATATCGAATCCGTCCAGATCCAGAGACGAGCGGCCCTTAGACACCATACGATCGTTCGAGTACTCGGTGACAGGCGATCCCACCTATAAACAGCAGCTCGAGACCCCAAGTTTAGGATGGAGAGTGAGACAGGACTTCCCGCTCTACACCGGCAACCAGTATGCCCAGGGTTACGGTGCAGGACAGCAGCAGTTTGACGAGTACGGTCAGCCGATATACGACGGAAACGCGTACCAACGGCCTCAACCCTCGTCTACAGAACAGGGCGTGTACACACCACCAGCTCCTAAGGAGCCGGAAAAGAAGAAGAGAGGACTGTTTGGCAGGAAGAAGAATTGAGCGATACTACTAGAGAAAGAGAGAGCACACTCAGTTGAGCCATCCGGCCCACGACCTTTGTGAGTTGGCCTGTTGCTCCGGTTCGGGGCTCGGTCTTGTATTTTACTATGGATGCGATATGTAAGGAATGAATTTTTTCTGTATGAATGGCGTAAATAAATTTTTTTAGAAGAAAAAAAATCATTATGCTCAGAAGACAGGCTAGAGAGAGAAGGGAGTATCTCTATAGAAAAGCACAGCAGTTGCAAGAACAGACGCTTATAGAGAAGCGCAAGCAACTCAGTCACGCGCTGGCTACGGGGAAAAACCTGCCGAAGGAAATTGCCGACGATGAAAAATTGCAAAAAGATTATTTATATGACGAATCGATCCAGGAGACCGTTGATGACGAATACTCAGCGCTTTCAGGCCTTGTTGAGCCGAAAATAATAATCACCACGTCTAGAAGCCCTTCGTCCAGACTTTCGCAGTTCACAAAAGAGATGAAGTTGCTTTTTCCTAATGCCATGAGACTTAACAGAGGTAATTACATACTCAGTGATCTGATTGAGACCTGCAAAAAATCGGGAGTCACAGATGTCATAGTCATTCACGAGCACAGAGGTGTGCCTACAACACTCACAATTACACACTTACCTCATGGGCCTTCGGTTACGTTCACTCTCCACAACGTGGTTCTTCGTCACGATATCCTAAATGTTGGCTCGCAGTCAGAAGCGTATCCGCACCTTGTTTTTGAGAACTTCACCTCCAAACTTGGCCATCGTGTTGTGCAAGTGCTGAAGCACCTGTTCCCGCCAGGAGTGAAGTCACAGTCGCCGAGAGTCATTAGTTTTGTGAATAATGATGATTTTATCAGTGTGAGACACCATCTGTATGTGCGGACCAAGGACGATGTCGAGCTCAGCGAAGTGGGCCCAAGATTCGAAATGAGGCTATTTGAAGTCCGGCTCGGAACTATGGACGACAAAGACGCCGACGTTGAGTGGATGCTGCGCCGGTTTGTGCGGACTGGCAATAGAAAGAATTATCTGAGCGAGTGATAATTAACTAAATATATTTCCTATAAAATATAGAGGTCCGTGTCAAGTACGCAGTCTTTCATTTACATAACTATGCATACTATCTTTGTCAGATTCGTCGTCGACCAAAACGTCATCGATGTTGTGGCTGCCTGTTTTCAAGGAGTGCTGACTGGCATTCGATAACCTAACCGGAATTTTCTTTTTCTGGAATCCGGTGAACCTGAAAGGAATTGAGGACTGGTCAGTTTCGTTATCGGAGTCTGAGCTCTGCATGTCAACAGAGAACTTTTTCCCTGACTGGACACTCGAGGTTCTCTGGCTAAGGGGGCCTCTTGCGAAGATTTGAGGCGAAATGGGGCCTCCGCATGGAGAAAGCGAGGAACTCGATGCCTGGGCTGAGGCGTTAGGCCCAAAGGCAGTATGGATTTGAGAAGGCTGGACGCTCACCGGCGACCTTTGGGAGAAGGAGGCCGACGAAACAGAGTTGGTCCGGGACAATCTTGGGTGGTTCGAAAGACTGGCACTGATACTTGGACGTCTAATAGGGATTTTCGATTCCTGGTCCTCCTGGGTGATCATATCTGCGTACGAGCAAAAGGAGAGAGTGGATTTGTTTTGTTTGAGCAGGGGCGACGTGGCAGGCGAACTTTGTTGTGCTTGAGGAATATTCGATGTGGTGAGAGAATGACTGAACGCAGGACGCGGATTCTGGTTGGCCATCAGCTGCTCAGTCAGATTTGAGGTGCTGCGTTTCGTGCTAGGTCTAGAGGAAATAGACATTTTTCTGTACCCTGGCGAAGCGAACGCGGCCTGCAAGTTGGCGGCGGACGATCTTCTTGGATAGCGCATATCGACTTGGTCGAGCTCGTCGTTCGAAATCTGCGCGGTAAGATCTAGCGACGCGGGAACAAAGTTTTCTGTAGAGTATTGCCGAGGCAGAGAAGACGAGATCGGCTGAGAGTCGATTAGTTGGTCCTGCACAAACCGCTCAAAAATCAAAGAGTCCTTGCGCTTCGAGTGAGAGCCTCGGGAAGCGTTTGAGCGGGATTGAGATGGCGACGACGGTGTGCTGGGAGGAGGCACGCTCTCCAGCGATATCTGGTCGCCATCGAGGTTGGAGTTGGCTCTATGGCACTGGTCTTCGTCAGACAGCGAGAGAGGCGAATTCAAAACATTCGCGTTTCCAATCGAAGAGGTTCTCGTGCCACGGCGTTGTGTGGTCTGTTCTGCCGGATCGTGACAAGACTCCACCTTGGATAAAGAGTGCTTTTTCTCTCCAAACGTAAAGTTCGACAATCTGTTCTGATTGGACGGAACCAGATGCGATTCCTTACTGGAAGGTGACAACATTAGCAGCAACCCTGTTCTTCTTCAATGATTCCAAACTTTGGAGATAAAAAAATACAGTGTACCTATCTTGACCTGTCCTATGCAACACTCTTGAGTTTATCGTGCACAGACAAAGTCGACAAGTCGTGCGCACCACAACACTTTTCCCGTTCTGGTGATGCACTTCTGCACAATCTCACGGGCAAAATAGGAGGATTGCCGCCGGCGCATGAATTGTCCCGATCGATGAGAGCAAAAGAAAAGTTACCCGACCGGGGCAACGAGCACGGCGTTTCCAATTTCTTTTTCCTCTTGTCCTGGCGTAAAAGTTTGTTTATTCTTCCGCGTCCTCTTGTCCGCTCGCATACTCCGTTTGAGGCAATTTCACGTGACAACAAAGCACATGATGTTGCGCCATGTGATTGCTTTCCTGACTCGATGCTACACCTCGGACTTTGATCTTTATGGTGCGATTCTAAGGTCATCGGCCCCCTTATATAAACAAGTGGAGAACCCAGCAGCCGGAAAACTTTGACATTGGGCGGCAAATCATCTTGGGCCACCCGCTGAGTTTAAATCATCCATCTTTGCGTTTGTCACTGCATTTTCTCTTTTCGCTATGCCTACCAGTCTTCAGTCTTCCACCCAGCTCCAATTTCCCGCCCATGATCTTTCCCCTATGATTGACACTGTCTGGCGCGCCAAGCGCTCGTATGACGATGCCGAGTATGGTTCTGTTTCGAAGAAAGTACGACCATTATCATCCACTTCCTCCAGCTCAGAGTTTGTCCAGAGTTGCCAGCGCGGAGTACCTGATGTGGTGATCAAGCAAGCGCATTTGCCTAAGTCTAGCGTTTTTGATTTGCTCGATGTGGCCACTGATAATGACGACATGTATTTTCTGGGACCAGAATCAGACACCAAAATTGTATTCAATCGGCATAATGCCAACCTCTCGCTTCCGATGGTTCTCTTCTTCTTTGGCGCAGCAGAGTGTGATTTTCAGCTGCTTCAGATGATGGACTCTGCGCACTTCCCCGGATACGTTCTTGGGGTAACCAGTAACTACCACGGTTCCAATAGCTATGGTTTCCCAATATTGCTTGATTCGCGTGGAATATTGGCAAAACGTCTCGGGGTGACCGATCCGTTGGGCGGCGGCACGTATCCGCTAGCTTCAGTAATGGTTTTCAACAGAAGCGGGCTCGAGCTGGTGAAGATTCTTGTGAATTACGACTACAACAAATATTTTGGCTCGGGGCAGAGCCTACAACAAGTGGTTGAGGAGACTTTGGAGTATATTAATGTACACTAGCTTTTTCGACGCTCTAATAAAAGACACTTCATTATCGTATAAACGCGCTCATGCGACAAGTTGTTGTCTTTCCTGTTCCAGCTCTTTGAATTCGGCGCTTTTCTGGTCAATTTGTTTTCTGACTTCTTCGAGGGCTTTTTCGATCCGGTCAATCTCCTGTCGCTCTGCTTCTTTGGTGAATTTGGAATTCTCACTTTTGTAGGGCAGCAACGAGCCGGGTTTGGCGGTCAGCAGTCTGAACATTCTCTCTGTAGGCTCATTGAAAACAATCTCGTCAAATAGTATGCTTTCCACTCTTCCGGTTTTCTGGCTTTCTTCCATGTCCGGTCCATACGGATGGAGTTTCAAATGGTGGTAGAACGTGATATTTTTCTCGCCGCAGTCGTTGTTGAAGTATATCTTGATCACAATCTCAAACTCTCCCCAACCGGTCTCAGACACCTCGAATGGCGGCTCTTCGATGGACCGAGTCGGATTGTTGTAAGTGTCGTGCAGTTTAAACACCACTTTACGAATATAGCTCGACAAATCGTTGCCTAGCGGGTCAGCAACGAATACTTTCCATGTGTGCGTGTGGTCTGCGGGCGCGCCTTCGGGAAGCGGGTTGGTCTCAGAGATCTTCTGTGCCACATTGCCATAGATAATAGGCTTGGAAATAGAGATGTTTTTGATTCTGCGTGAGGAAGAACTCTGAGGAGGCATCAACGAGGAAAATAAGTAAACTAAATTTAATAAAAAAAACTCAGATGGAGATTTTTTAGGCTAGATATTTATTCACATAATCTCACTGAACCCGGTTCCAACACTCTTGACAAATCCCCCCTCCTTCGCAGCCATCTCGTAGTAGCCATAAATGGTGGTGACGGCCAAAAGAATGGATGTTCCAGAGCCCAGACAGCCGGAAAGATCGCTAACAACAGACAGAGCACCGATGGTGGCTCCACCAAACGCAGCAGCAGTTGGAATGATTTTCTTGAGTTCTTTGTAGACAGAGGTCTCTCTGTGGCCGGCAATGACCAAACCCTGGTCCTTGAACTGCTTGGCAACGTCTCGAGGAGAAGAGCCAGAAACCTCGATCCAGGTCTTGGAAAAAAATGCACAGGTGGCCAGCACAAATATAACGTAAATGACGGTTTTGATTGGATCTAGAAACGCTTCAGTCAGGGAGAATGGTGGCTGCATGTAGTAGGCAATGCCCGAAGAGGCAAACAGCTGCTGAGAGCCGGCCCTTGGCTCCCAAGAGCCAAGTAGCTTGACAATGACATTGTTTGGGAACCGGGTGTAGAGCATCTGGGAAATGATGAAGATGTTGGAGGTCAAAGCGCTCTGCAACATGATTGGCATGTTCGAGGTGTAGAACAGTCTGATTGGGTACAAGCCGTACGGGCCTCTCTGTCTTGTGGATTTGACCGGAAGCTCGACCTTGAGCGACTGCAAGTAAACCACGGCAAGGAAGACCAGGACAGTGACAATCACCTGGAACATGTTAGCGGCGTTGTCTCTGTAGAAGGCCTCGATCAACGCAGCTCTCTTGGACTTCTTAGTGAAAAGAAGATGGACAAAAGCCAAAACGGCACCTTCAAATTCTGTTCCACGTCCCCTGTTGATGGTGGTTGGAGCGAAACATCTCCAGAAAATTTGTTCGCAGATATTGGTGGCCATGAACAAAGAAATTCCCGAACCGAGACCGTAGCCTTTCTGCAACAGCTCGTCCAGAAGAATAACCACCATGGCAGCAAACACAAGCTGCAAAATCAGCAACAAGCACACGCCGGTGCCCAAATCACTTGGACGGCCATACATTCCTGTCAGAACGTACACGGTTGCCTGTCCCACAGAGAGCAGAATGGCAAAGATTTTCTGGGCAATTTGCAGCAATTCGCGGTCCTTTTTGTTTTCCATGTTGACAGTGAGCAGCTGTGTGCCTTGCAAGAGCTGGAAAACCATGCCCGAGGTGACAATTGGCGAAATACCCAGCTCCATTAGCGTTCCCCTGTTCGAGGCCAGCATCATTCTGAGCCAGTATAGAGGGTCGGAAGAGTCCGACGCAGTGATGCCGTAGAGCGGAATTTCACTCATGACCAAGAATATGAGCAAAGTGACGCCTGTCCACATGAGTCGTTGATTGAAGGGCACTTTTCTTTCTGGGGCCAGTACTTCTGGCAGAAACGGCGTGAACGGTTTCACAAGGTCCAGAACACGGACTGAGGGTTAGTGGACGGCAAACACAGCCAAACGGCGCGGTTTTATAACTTACAGTCGCTCATGTTTCGATTGCCTGAAATTATCAAAGTTCAAACGTTTTGACAATTGAAAAATTGACACCTACACGATTTAATTTTTTATTTAGATGAAAAATCCGTCATTACTTCTTTATGTATTGCAGCAGTTTCTCGACCTCCTTCTTGCTTCCGAGCCAGATTCCGCTTCTCTCGTGGATCTTCTTCGGGATGAGGTCCAAAATGCGCTGACCTTTGTCGTTAACGGCCTCTCCACCAGCCTGCTCCATCAGCAGAGCCATCGGGAAGCACTCGTAAAGAACTCTCAATTTTCCCGTCTTCGATTTTGAATCGGCCGGGTATGCAAACAATCCACCGTACAACAGTGTTCTGTGCACGTCTGCCACCATCGATCCAACGTACCGGGCCGAGTACGGCTTCCCATTGTTGTCTTCCTGTGGTAGCTTCAACGATGCAACGAAGTCCTGCACTTCTTTAGGCCAGTAGTACGAATTACCCTCGTTGACCGAGTAGATGGCTCTTTTCTCTGGCACTTTCAAGTGTGGCTTGGTGAGAATGAACTCGCCAAGATGCGTGTCCAGCGTGAATCCGTTGACACCATGGCCCGTCGTGAGCATTAAGTGCGCACTTGCGCCGTACATGGTATATCCTGCAGCCACCATTTCTGTTCCCGAACGCAACACGTCCTTGATGCTGCCCTTGGAGCCCGGTTGCAGCTTGTAGACACCAAAAATCGTACCAACAGAAACTCCGGCGTCCAGGTTCGACGAGCCGTCAATCGGGTCGCAACAGACCGCGTAATTGCCCTCGGAGCCTTCAAAAATAATCAGATCTTCCTGTTCCTCGCTGACAAGCACTTTCACGTTGCCGGAGCTCTTCATAGCGTTGATGAAAATGTCGTCTCCGATGACGTCGAGCTTCTTCTGGTCATCTCCCGTGGCGTTCGTGATCCCGGCCAGGCCAATCAGATTGACCAGCTCGGCTCTGCGAATGGTATGTGCAATGAACTTGAAGGCGTATTGCAAGGAGTTGAGCAGCAATGTTAGCTCACCAGTAGCGTGCGGTGCGTATCGGTTCTGCTCTTCTAGAATGAATCTGGTCAGAGTGACCAAGTCGGTGTTGATGGCTTGCTTGGATTCAGACATTTTTGTGGAAAAGGCTAAAGGGATACTCACTATTTATGTACCACGACTGAATCCGGGGGAATTCTGGGGACTGCGCTTGCGCAAAAAACTCCGGGGTTTTTTCCCGGCCGGTAGCCTAAAAAATGACTATGTACAATTTTATAGCAACGAAATAAATCCGTCTATTGCCTTGGACCGCGCAGGCTCGCTCAACGGCTTTGCTCCGGAAAGATAGCTCATAAACAGTAGCCGGCCAATCAGCGGCTCCTCAACAACGCCCATCCTGAACGGCTCCGCCATCTGGTCCTGGGTCGTGTACAGTTGGAACGACAACGCCAACTTACCGTCACTCAGAATCTGGAGCATCAGGGTTGAGTTTTTAGTAGCAGTCATCTTGCGAGCCCCAAACGCCTTCCGTAGCTGGTCCAGCCCAGCGTTCAGCTTCTCGTCTGTTCCATCCCCCCGCTTCATCAGCTCCTTATACTTGGGGTTCGACTTGATTGATTTAATTAGACCGTCTCTTAGATGGTTGAAATCGGTGTTTCGCACGGGCACGATCTTGGCAGAAAACCGCACACCAGAAGACAGTAGCAGCTCAACCACCTGCGGCGAGAGAGCCGGGTCTCGCAGACTGAAAGCCACCTGCGACGGGTCGGGACTGACGCTGGTGAGCGTCTTTTTCAACAGCGGTAGGTCTTCTCGGGCCACATAAATTCCCAGAGCGTACACCTTCATGTTCAGAAAAGTGACCATTCTGATACCGTACCCAAGCAGCTGGAACGGTGTTTGCAACAAGTAGTCCGAAGTGACGACAGGGAAAGCGTGCACGGACGAGTCGACGCTCACGAGGTTTTCTGGATCCTGCTCAGGTGCGGCGTCGCTCAGAAGTTGGGTGTACGAGAAATACGACCCAACGGCCACGCCCAAACCGCTAGATGCAAAGAGTCTTCTGCTGGAGGTTGCATGGCCCACGCCGCTAAACGCCCGCCGGCCAAGCCGTGGCCAAGTTTTTTTGATTGCGCAAAGCCCAAACTTAAGCATTAAATTTAATTTTTCTAGCTCGGTGTTTTTCTCGCTTTTTTCACGCGTATTCGTAATGTCAAACGAACCTCTACCTGACCCAGAATCCCGGCTCAAATCAACGCTACAAGTCACCGAGACTGACGACACGAACCTCGAGTTCATGGTTCCGGAGCCACCGTTCGAGAAAATCTCCAAATTGCGGCTCCTGACATTCATCGCTCTCATGGCTACCTCCCAGATTTTATCCCAGGCGCTTTTGGCACAATCGCTTGTCCCGTCCCCGTACACGGCAAAATCGTTTGGCGTGGAGGGCGATCAGGGCCAAATTTCGTGGATGACGGCTGCCTACTCGCTCTCGGTGGGTACGTTTATCCTGATCTCGGGCAGGGTGGGCGATCTGCTTGGCTACAAAAAAGTATATCTAGCCAGCTATCTGAGCTTGGCTTTGTGGTCGCTTCTGGCGGGACTGAGCCAATATAGCGGCTCAATTGAGTTTTTAGACATCTGTCGTGCGCTCCAGGGCCTCTCAGTTTCAGCTGCCGTGCCCAACGCGCTCGGCCTACTGGGGCACTATCTGCCCGTTGGAAAATTACGCAATTTAGCCTTTGGATTTTTCGGAGCAGTCGCGCCCTTGGGTTTTGTCTTGGGCGCCCTCATGAGCTCTGTACTGGCCCAATTTGCCTCGTGGCCCTGGGCATTCTATATCACCGCTATCGTGAGTGTGGTTAAAACAGCGGTGTCAATTTTCGTGATTCCCAAAAATATTGTCACCGTCCATAAAAACCTCACCGCACACCATTTCGACCTATACGGAGCTGCTACAGGTATCAGCGGCCTTGTGCTGATTAACTTTGCCCTCAATCAGGGGCCCGTTGTTGGCTGGAGAGTGCCATATGTCTACATTCTGCTACTAGTCGGAGCTGCATTCATGGGTGCATTTGTTTGGATCGAACGCGTTGCTACACACCCCCTCGTGCCCAAACTCAACACCGCCGTTGTCTTCACGCTCGCCTGCATTGCCTTTGGCTGGTCCAGCTTCGGAATCTGGATCTATTACACGTTCCGGTTCGCGTACGATATTCTCAGCCTTAGCCCGCTAATTGCGTCTGTGCAATTTATTCCGTCGTGCATCGCTGGATTGCTGGCCGGGATGATCACCGCAAACCTCATCCACCGGGTGCCAGCCTCGATAATGCTGATGATCTCAATGGCGTGCTTTGTGGGCGGGCTCGTCATCATGGGACTCAGACCGAGGGGCCAGATCTACTGGGCACAGAAGTTCCCTTCCATCGTGGTGGCCTGCTTTGGTATGGATATTAGCTTCCCATCGGGAATCTTAATTCTCTCCAACAAACTGCCAAGACGCCACCAGGGACTTGCAGCGTCGCTTGTGACAACGATTGTGAACTACGCGATCTCGATAGGTCTGGGCTTGGCTGGCACTGTCGAGTACTATAAAATCCAAAATGGAGCAGACACGTACACGGGGATCCGCAGCGCATTCTACATGGGTATGGCGCTGTCTGCTACTGGTCTAGTCTGCTCCGCCGTCTTTGTGTACTACCAGCTGGTCAGACACAGGCACAGTGCGTATAAAATCTGAAAAGTAGCTGCGCTTGAAAGGTACCTATCACGTGACCCCAATTTGCACTATATAATGGTTACCGATTTGTTTTCCGTATTAGGCTAACACATCCCTAAAATTAGGCTATCAAATTTACTTCACCAGCAACTTTCTCTATTCACTTTTCATCCCAATTATGACCTTCACCACACAAGCCGAGATCAAGTCGTTTGGAGGCAAGCTGGTCAAGCTCCAGCACGACTCCAAGGAAACTAAGACCAAAATGGATGTCAACCTCTACCTGCCTGAACAGTACTACGAGCAGCCAGACTCGAAGTTGCCAGTGCTGCTCTATCTGTCGGGACTGACCTGTACTCCTAACAATTGCTCAGAGAAAGGCTTTTGGCAGCCATATGCCAACAAGTACGGCTTTGCAGTGGTTTACCCCGACACTTCTCCAAGAGGAGCCTCTATCGAGGGAGAGGACGAAAGCTATGATTTTGGCAGCGGTGCAGGATTCTACGTCGACGCCACCGAGGAAAAATGGTCTAAGAATTACAGAATGTATTCGTACATTCTAAAGGAGTTGCTGCCTAATCTGGCTTCTTCTTATTCTCGGCTGGATTTCAACAACATGTCAATTACAGGACATTCCATGGGAGGTTACGGAGCATTAATGTTCTATCTGAGAAACCCAGGCAGGTTCAAGAGCGTGAGTGCGTTTTCTCCCATCTCGAACCCTTCGAACTGTGCGTGGGGTCAGAAATGTTTTGGCGGATACTTAGGTGCGGACAAGTCCAAATGGGCCGAGTACGATCCGTCCGAACTGGTCAAGAAATACGACGGCCCAGATACCCCGATCCTCATCCACACGGGAACTGCGGATCCGTTCTATTTCAGGGACCACCAGCTGTTGCCTGAGAATCTTGTCAAGGCGAGCGAGGACTCCAAGCTCAAGGGCAAGATTGATCTGCATTTGGAAGAAGGTTATGACCATTCCTATTACTTCATCTCATCCTTCACCAAGGACCACGCTGCCCATCATGCAAAATACCTCGGCCTGAGCCCTAAGTTATGAGTGAGTAATGAATTTCATTTAGTTTAACTCAACCATCTCTAAATGGTAAAATTCAACTGATGGACCGTCATCCACCGGCATGTGCGCTTTTTCGTAGACAACCAAGGCGATGTTGCCTTTGTTCACAGCAGTCTCTGTTGCCATAGGACAGCTGAGCGGACCAAACATGGAATAGGCGACCATGCAGGAAATAATAAGCAGAATAACACCGGCAAGTGCTCTTCTAAACCTACGAGCACCTTGTTTTCTGGAAGAATCATCCTTGACGTCGTAGAGTTCGGAATACCGAGGAGGCTCGTCTGCTAACTCCTCCTCCTTATTGTACGTATCCGGCTCTCTCTTTTCGTCCACATTCACTTTTTGGTAGACAGGTTCCACCTTGTATATCTTCGGCTTGTACTGGCCCATGTTGGTTGGATCGACTTGCGGATCGTATTCCACAGGTTCAAATCTCAAGTATGGAGTAACAGACGTTGTGTTTTTGTTGGTCATATTATACACGTGTTTAGGATTCATCATGCACATTTTATATGTGTCTTCCAAGATAAGGATGGCAACTAAAAAATGGAGGTCATCTTCTGCGTCGGCGACGATCGACTTATCATGTACACATAAAAAAATAAGACTACGTCTTCTTATTTCCGCTTCATGGTTCCGCGTCCCCTTCTTGTTGAGGTCCCACAATATGTGGACTCCGTTGAGGACGGCGGTGAGATCAAACTGGTTGATTCGCACGAAAAGACAGTCTCCTGTTTCTACAGTCTGTGGTCGCTTTTCCACGGACGCCACAAGGTTGCTCTGACTGAAACAGAGACAAAGGCGGAGCAAATCTACAACGATCTGAAATTTGAGAAGCCAGTGGCTGTTGACCGTGTGGACACCACGAGCAGGTTGACTCGTTTGAGAAGTTTGATGAGATCTTACAAAATCGGCGTCTATATTGTTCCGTCGCAGGACGAGCACCAGAGCGAGTACACTTCTCCCAAAGACCAACGCCGCGAATTTATTTCCGGCTTCAGCGGAAGCGCTGGAGTGGCCGTGGTGTCACACGATGATGCTGTGTTGTCAACTGATGGCCGCTATTTTCTTCAGGCAGAGCGGCAGCTGGACAAAAATTGGACTTTGCTGAAACAAGGAGTCCGAGGAGTTATGACTTGGCAGCAGTGGTGCATTGAGAACGCAAAACTGTCCAAATTCAAGACTATTGCTGTTGATCCACGGCTGGTAGACCACAAACTAGGAACGTTCCTCCAGGAAAGATGCCATAGTGCCAACGTCGAGTTCCTGCCCCTGATGGACAACTTGGTCGACAAAGTGATGAAGTTGGAGCACTACACGCCGCCTGTGCCTGAGTTGGACTATATTTTTGAACACGAAGTGCGTTTTGCAGGTGAGCACGCTGCAAGCAAGATCGCTCGTGTCCAGGACTATCTTCGAGAGACTAATGCTTTTGCCCTGATCGTGTCGCAACTTGAGGAAGTGGCATGGTTATTCAATCTCCGTGGCAGTTCTATCCCGTACAATCCCGTGTTTTTTTCCTATGCCATTGTCAAGCTGGATGGCGTGGAACTGTTTCTGGACAAGTCGAAGCTGACGCCAAAGGTTTCCAAATATTTGTCTACAATTGCCAATCTTACAGTTAGCAGTTATTCGCTTTTTTGGGATAGCATCCCTGCACTTACAAATAAATCCAGTGACTCGTGCATCGTGGTGCTTTCCAACAGTCCCAGCTATGCTTTGTATATGAACGTTGCGGCTGCTTTTGAAGTCAGAAACCGGTCTCTTATCACCGAATTAAAAGGAATCAAAAACCAAACGGAGATTGAGGGCAACCGATTTGCTCAACTCAAAGACTCGATAGCACTCATTCGCACGTTTGCCTGGCTGCACGAAGCGTTTTTACCTCCTCGGGCACAGGTAGACGAGATAGAGGTTGCCACCAAAGCTGCCCATTACCGGAACCTCATGCCCAACTTCAAAGGACTCTCATTTGAGACGATTTCCAGCACGGGGCCAAACTCCTCGGTGATCCATTACGCCCCGACCCTCGAAGAGTTCTCTGTGCTTGATCCTGATAGTATTTTTCTGCTGGACTCGGGTGCTCAGTATTTGGACGGAACTACAGATATCACTCGCACACTGCATTTCAGCAAGCCTAGCTACGACGAGATAGAAAAATACACATTGGTGTTGAAGGGCCATCTAAACGTTGCCATGCTCAAGTTCTCGCCCGGAACGTCGTCGTCATACATTGATTCCTTAGCTAGAAAGCCGTTGGCAGAAAAGGGACTGGGCTATAACCATGGCACGGGCCATGGTATCGATACATTTATTTGTGTACATGCGGGGCCATGCGGATTATCTCCTGCCGAGACGAATTACAACTACAAGCCGCTGGAGCCGGGCAACTTTCTCAGTGACGAGCCGGGATACTACAAGGACAACGAATTTGGTGTCCGGATTGAGAGTGATTTGCTCGTCGTTGAGAGCGAAGATTCGGATGGAAACAAGTTGCTGGAGTTTGACTACTTCACTCTTGTCCCTTTCTGCAAGAACCTCATTGACGTGAGCCTCCTGGAACCCGAGCAGGTTGAGTGGATCAACAACTTCTACGACAGAATCCGCACCTCTACTATTCCTATACTGGAGAAGCTTGGCGACACCAGAGCGATTGATTGGCTGCTGAAAGAGACAGAAAAATTATAGTACGTTGAATTTGGGCTATATACAGACACCTTGCTCATGATGATGATGATGATGATGATGATGATGATGATGATGATGATGAATATGGTGAAGCTAATGAATTAAATGTTTGACGACCTCGAGCGGACTGTCAAACTGCGAAATATTTTCGTGCAAATTGACATAGTAATACAGCTGTAGAACGGGATCGTAGCGGACTTCCCAGTGGGGAGGGAGTTTTTCGAAAGCGTCGGCAAAATCATTTAATGACAAAATAGACTGTGCGGTATCGTTATCCAAGGAGTCGCAGGAAGCTGGGGAGCTAGCCTGCGTAGAGGTGCTACTATGCGAGACAGTTTTTTTCAACAGTCGCGGGAGCATCGTCTTGATCCTGTGCAATTTGGTACGGTCCATCCTTGTTTTTCGCCCATATTCTTCCATCAGGGCAGTCATAGTATTATATAGTTGGTAAGCGATATGCACCCTTAGTTATCGCTTGGTACATATGTAAGCGTGGAATAGCAAAAATTGACTCGGTCCGAGTTCCTTTCGGGCCGACGCAGCAAAAAAAAATATTATTTCCGGTTTTTATTTCTAATACGGAGTTAACAGACTCATGGAGTTCGGATTTACATAAGCGTGGTCCGGCCGCCAATATCTGTGCTTGCCTGACCGTCGGGCAGGTGGCCCTCTCGCTTGCCGTCGACAAACTGCGAGTAGATGCGGGCAAAGTTGCGCAGCTCCTTGTTGGAGATACTCTTCTTGGTTTCTTCTAGAGCGGTCTCGAAGTGACTGTTGCAAATAACAATCTGATTTGGCTTTCTGTCAGAATCTTGCTCCGCGTCGTCCCACGAACTCAAATCCGTAACATGCAGGTTCTTACAAATTGTGTCGATTTTGCCGGCAATATTTCCCGAAGGTTGTAAGTTTTTGAGCATGCTGAAAAATTCTATCTTGCGTTCCGTAGTGCCCTCGTTCGCGTGTGTAAGCTGGTCAAGATTATCGTGCACAGCTTTCAGATACGCATTGTATACAAAAGCTTGTAAGTCTGCACCGGAGTAGCCTTCAAGTTTTCGGGCAAAGTGATCGAGCCGGCACTCCTCAGACACGTGGAATTTGGAAGCAACCGTCTGCAATATGTCCAGGCGGTTCTCGTAGTCGGGCAGGTCGCACAGAATTGACTTGTCCAGCCGACCTGGCCTCAACAAAGCAGAGTCAATTAGATCTGGACGCGATGTGGCCGCCAGCACGTACACGCCGTCGAGTCCTTCGGCACCGTCCATCTGCGTCAGCAGCTGGTTGACCACTCTGTCGGTGACGCCTGTCGAGTCGTGGCCTCTCTTCGGGGCAATCGAGTCGAACTCGTCGAAAAACAAGACACACGGTTTTGCGCTTTGTGCTCGATCAAATAGCTCTCTGATGCTCTGTTCGGAAGCTCCAATATATTTGTTTAAAATTTCCGGGCCCTTGATGGAGATAAAATTTAAACCGCATTGCGACACCACGGCTGAAGCCAAAAGCGTCTTTCCGCATCCGGGGTACCCGTACAGCAGGATTCCGGAACGCAGACGCAGGGGACAGTTTGCGAAAATGGGGGCATATTTGGTTGGCCATTCTAGAGTCTCCAGAAGCACCCGCTTCGCATCTTTAAGACCACCGATGTCCGACCAGGCCACCCCTGACTTCTGTAGCTTTACTCCACGCAAAGATGACGGAACAAATCCCTGCAATGCGCGTTCGAAATTTGAGGCTCGCAGATGGAAGTCGTCCTTGTCGATTTTCGACGATATGTAGTCGTGGAAGGTCCTGTCCGCAAGGACCTTGAGATCTGACGGAAGGTATCCCTCTGTTTCGACGGTGATGTCGTTTAAAATCTCCTCCTTTTCGAGATCCATGTTGTAATCGTTAATAAAGCTCCGTAGCAATTCTTTTCGCAGTTCTTTATCCGGAGCTTTCAGACTAAACTCCTGCTGGATAAGATGGGTCTGGAAAACCGTTGCATTCAGCGCTTCCTTCGATTTTGACGAGCACAGGAGCGAGATTGCACGTTCTCGTGTAAGGACTTTTAACGAGTTGACCAAAAACTCGCTAACCTGCCTGCTCAGCCCGGAGTCTCCGTGCTCCATTTCCTGAGGAATTAGAGAGTCTAGGTTTTCCAGCACGAGCACAGACGGCGAGTGCCAGTTGACTTCCTTGACTGCTTCCTCTAGTAGGGTTTTAATTGCGTGGAAATTGTCGTTTGAGATTGTCTCGCAGTTGATGTTCTTCGAATAGTATCCGTGCAGCGTCACCAGGCGGTGTGCAACCTCGTTGATCAAGGTTGTTTTTCCCGAACCCGAGGCGCCAGAAAGAACACAGTTATGGCCATGCCTGACGGACCTCACCATTCGGGCAATAAGCTCCTTGTGTCCTACGATCGGCAGATCTTTTTGCTCGTATTGTCTCTCCACAAAAGACTCTGGTTTCAGCCGTTCGTCACCTAGCTCGAAATTCGGCAACTTTTCACCCAGCAAGGCCCACTGGCAGCCGTCTCTCAGCTCCAAAAACCCTCCCTGCGGCAGTAGGTCAGGAATCACTGGCACCTTCATGCCGTTAGTGATCGGACATTTGGTGAAATTTAGCCGTTTAAAGTGTTCCTGGAATTTTGCACTCAGCTCCTTGTTTGCCTCTGCCTGCTTTAGTTGCCGGTCCTGGTCCTGCTTGAAAGCCAACTCATTCACGGTTGACGTTTGTGTGACAATCTTGTGCAAAATAACCGTGTGAACGTCGGTACCATATTTTTGTGGAGCAGCCTCAATACAAACCATGTCTCCGCAACGGTGCTCGATACCGAGAGCAATCGCTAGCAAAGGTGAAACGCCAGCGCTGCGTTGCGGAGCAAGAGGATCGTGAACTAGGATGGCGACCACTTTCCGTTGCTCTGTGTCGGTCTGCGCAACCGAGCCGTTGACGCTTTTATGGTCAACCACAGAAGAGGAGTTTTTCCTTGAGCTACCTGAAGATCCAGTGTCGTGGTTCTTCGTCTGCTCCGCCACAGAGCTAGCTTTGGCAGGCGTTCCTGGTCCCGTGATCACAGAAACCTGCACGTATTTTATGGATTTGAACTGGTGGTTGATAAAGTTTTGGTCCAGATTGACATATATTTCGTAATTTGCGGATGAATGGTTAACATGCTGAAAAGTATAGTGCGGCAGAGAAATCGAGCGCAGAAGACAAGAGGGTACAGGGTCAAATTGAGAAGAGCGACGACCAGACACAGACCGTCTGCGTCGTGAGGCCCCGTCGCTCTGCTGTTTATCGCGTCTGTGCACCTTCGGTATGATGTGCAGCTCGGAGTCGTTGACCAGGATTCCGCGCTCGATCTCGTCCGTTTCCGATTTGATTTTTTTCACCACAAACTTGATTACGTTGTTGGGGCTGGAGCTGGGGTACACGGCGAGTTTCTGGCCCACAACAGCGCATCTCACCTGGTTCAAAAATCGATCCTCCACCGTCTGGGCGTACATTTCGGTCAGCTCCCAGTCAGAGCTTGTTTCAGGCTCTAGTTCGACGGATTGGATCTTGGGGAGCGAGAGAGATAAACGAATGACGATTTTCCTCGACTCCCGAAGTCCAAGGGAGCTCGCATAGACAGAGTCAATCTCAATGGTCTTCGGATCGCTTGAAAAGTAGCCGTTCCAACCAACGAGCCATTTTGTGTCCTTCTTCGCTCCACTGGGACGGAAGTTGAGCTCCACCGCAATGTTCTGAATGAGAATGTTGTTGGCGAGAAATGGATTAATCAGGGGCGCCGGCAGGTTGATGAGACAGTTGTTGAGTGGCCTGAACACCACGGTTACCTCCTGTGAGTCCATAATGATCGGGTATGGATTTTCCCCGAATTATTTGACCCGCTTTAAATACCACTTGGAGCTCGGTTTACCTAAAATGGATCATTTTGTCGATAAGGGTCGATTGGCGGTCGAGTGAAAAATCCGCGTCGACAAAATAAACCAAAATAAATTTTATTATTCTCGTGTCATGCCGGCCAAGGGGTGGAAAAAAGATGGCGATGACTCGAATTTCGAGACGGCAGCAGACAACGAGAAAGTTTCCATTGAGTCAATGCTGTTTCCCAAAGCCACAGTGCATAAGGTGGCCAAAAACGTCCTGTCGCAGTCGGAAACCAACATGATCCTCGCGAAAGAGTCGCAGACGGTTTTGCAACGCGGGTCCGTGCTATTTGTCAACTACCTGTACCACCATGCGAAACAGGTGGCGAAGGAGCAAGGACGCAAAGTTGTCAACGCGAACGACGTGCTTGCCGGCCTCGAGCGCGCCCAGTTTGCGGGATTCGTGCCCGCTCTAAGTGAGGAGCTGGAAAAATTCAACCTACGCAAAGAACACAAGAAAAAGAAGAAGGACGAGATCAACGAACCAGACGATGAACAGGAAAACGAGCACAAGCGGGCAAAAGTGGACGCGGACGAGGCAATGACCGAGGACGTTCCGGAAACGACTCAGGACGATGCAACCGCCGAAGCGACGGAAGCAGGCGAGGACACTGAGGAGGCCGAGGAAGAGGCCGAGGGTGACGATGCGCCTGCGTTGACCGCGTCGCAACGTTTGCAGCAGGAGATGAAGGAGCTCGAGGGAGACGAGCCTACAGAAACGGCCGAATCGGAAAACGAAGGGTAGAATTATATTGCATTAGATTGTCTTCTGGTGAGGCTGAGACGGTTTAGAAGGATGGAGACACTTCGTGTAGAAGGGCAGGCCGCACTCGAGGCCGACAAATAGATATATCACGAAAAGGACGACGGTGCTGACAAGAACGATGAACTTGATGTTGGACCACCAGATCTTGCGTTTCACCATCACAGTTCTTCTGCGAAACGAGCCAGCAGAGGAGTTGAGATTGCTGGTTTTGTTAATGAGAGAGTTGAGGTTTTCGCCCCTGTTGAGGATGCGGTCGATGTTTTCGGACATGAGATCTCGAATTTCGTCTAGTTCGTGAGTCGTGGTGGCTCCGTAATTGGCCGTCAACTGCCGCAGCTTGAGTTCGTGATCCACAATCAGATCGCGCATTCTGTTCTTAAATTCGTAACTGAGCGCGCCGTCTTCCGTTTGATAGAAGTGCGTCAAATACTCTTCCATGATTTTCTCCATCAGATTGTACACGAAGCGATCGAGCATGCGATCATTGCAAAGAGCCACAATTGTAATTAAGTTGTTATTTTTCATCAGTTTCTTGTGGTAGTAGAGCATCAGGTTCGTGAGAATGTTGCGTGGGCTCGTCCCGTGCGAACCCGTCACGCCCATCACCACGTTGTCCGCCAGCTTGAGGCTGTTGATTCTCGTCTCCTGGACAGAATTGATCACTCCCAGATTCTTCGACACGAGCTCCGAGTAGTTCACATTCAGCTTGCTCGTAAAGTTGACATTGTCGTAGGTATATAGTGTTGTCGAATTCAGGCTCAGCGCGGCGTAGTAAACGCTGCTGTCGAGCTCTTGCTCAAGGCTCATACAAATAAATAATCAACTTAATCACGTAATCAAAAATCGCTGTGCATTTTATGTACATTTATTTTACACAGGCATTTGGTAGTGCAGATCAGTGAAGTCGGAGACCAGAAGCACCTCCAGCGTGCCAGATGTGTTCACCGTCAGCGTCCCCTCGACCTTGTCGACTCCAGCCACTCGTTTTGGAGAGAGTCGTTTTATAGCGTAGATTTGGTCCCTGTCGAGGTCGCAGGCTATGGCAAACCACGTTTCCCTCTGCGGCTTCGAAAACTGTGGACAATACACCTTAAAATCGCGATTCAGGGGAGGATTCGTGTGCACCAGCTCGACGTGGATCTCCTTGTCTGTCTTCACAGCCTTGTATTTGCCAACAGGAAGAGTCGAGACAACTTTTCTAAACTGGTCGTAATTCTTCGGTTTCGTCCTGTGAGCCAGTTTTCGCAGCTCTCCGGTCTGCTCCCCGGCTTTCTGGAGCAATGAAACCGGTGGCAATCCTTTGAATTCGCCATCGTTGTCCGTTTTTTCCCAGTCATTCGCTCTTAGGCCAGGCAAAGTGTAAATAAAGTCCTCATCAAACCAGATTGCCTGCTTCACGCACTGCATCAGTCTGATCAGCATCAACACCGTTGACAGGTAGCCCAACTCTGCCGCAGCATCGATATATGCCTGCAGTATCCGCAGACTCTGATCCAGCACAGAAACAGTGTCTTGAGAGTAGTCTGCAATAGGCAGCTCGATTCTCGAGAAATAGGCCTGTAGCAGAAGGAACGCCTTGATGTGCGGGTCCCAGATGAACTCCGCGTATTCCATGTCGCTGGCAGGATAGCGCATCTGCTGCGACAGCTCCATGTTGATCAATTCCTCGCCGTGGCGGGTTGGCAGCTCGTCATACTCGGTCGCTTCGGCCAGCCATCTTAGACACTGGCGGAATGAGGCTTTGGGAATCACAGATCTAAGAAAGTTGCGCAAGGTCTTGTGCGACAAGTAGTAGTACGAGGCTATCTGGAGGAATGGCGTTGGTTTCAACTTGTCTGAGTATGAAATGACACATTTGGACTCTTTCAAGTTCTCAATGGAATTATCGATCAGGTCGCTCAAAAACTTGCTTATTCCCTCGGTGCTGTTATCGGTAATTCCATAGTAGGTCGGATTATGGTGAGCTCTTCTATACAGGAACGTCCAGGTGAGGAACTCAACCGCGTCCTGTCTGGTTTTGATAGTGCCTGCAGCGATCTCCGCTCCCAGGTGGTTATCCAGCACTTTGTGGAGCGATGACTCAACTGGGAACCCGACATTGAGGAAATGCTTGTAAAACTGTTTTTTCGATTCCTTGGTGAACACAATAGCCACGCCGCTGGTGTCAAAAGCAGGTCTTCCTGCTCGCCCCATCATCTGCAAAATATCTGTCAGGTCCATGTCTCTGTAGCCCTCGATTTTGGCATCGAAGAACTGCGTGCCCTTGATGATCACCAGATACGCAGGCAAGTTGACTCCCCAGGCGAGTGTGGACGTGGCAACCAGAATCTGGATCTTGCTCTGCTCAAACAGCTTGTGCGAGATCTGCCGGTCGCTCTCCACCAAGCCGGCATGATGCAGCCCTATACCAAACTGCAGAGACAGTTTCAGCGTTTCGTCTTTGACTTTTGGCAGGATCTGCTGAAGCTCTGTGTCGTCCATCTTCAGGAACCGTCTTGGATTTTCCTCCATTCCACAAAGATGAATGAGGTCCAGGGCAGTCAGTCGGGTCTGTCTTCGCGAGGCGACAAAGATGAGGACTGGTTTTTGCGGTGAATGCTGTTTGATGGCCATGAACGCTGGCTTGTTCATCGTCTTCATCAGCGGACAGAAAGCCAAGTTGTCAGGGAACCCATCAATATACATCTGCAACGGCACCGGTCGCACGCTGGGCGGGAAGTTGAACAAGCCTTCCCTCACACCCAGCCAGCCGCCCATGTCCATGGCATTGGAAATGGCAGTCGACAGACCAAGAAGCCTGATAGGCTTTTTAGTGAAGGACGAGACAAAGTTCATTCTGCTCACGATGATCTCCAAAATTGGACCTCTGTCGCTAGCTAGCAGATGTATTTCGTCCATAATCACAAGCGAAACGTCCTGCACAAATTTCCGTGTTTGCCAGTTACGAGAAATACCGTCGAATTTTTCTGGAGTGGTGATAATTATGTCGGCCTCGCGCACCTCGCGCGCCTCTGGCAGCGAGTCTCCTGTCATTTCCACAACACGGTGCTTGGTATTCCTCGAAATGCGCTCTCTCCAGTCGTCAACCCGCTCTCTAACCAGGGCTTTCATTGGCGCAATATACACCACCTTAGACCCGGGAAACTCGTTGAAAGCGTGCCAGATGGCCAGCTCGGCAACCACGGTTTTCCCAGACCCTGTCGGCGAGCCAACAAACACGCTAGAGTTGGTGTTGTACAGCGTGTGGAACACCATTGTCTGCATCGGGTTGAAATAGTGGAATCTAGCTCCGTAGATACTCTCGATCTCCTGGTTGTGCAGAGCTGTGATCGGAAGCGGTTGCAGTCGCAAAAGCTTGGTCTGGATAGTCTCGTTGTGTGGCTTAATCAGCTGCTGGAACGAGACAGCATGGATGGTCTCAGACCCAATCCAGCTGTCGCTGAGGGCCCGGACGACGATCTGTGGTGGGGGCGGGTCGCTGAGCGGGATCATAAAGTCCATCTCATGCGGCGCGTTCATCTGCCGCTTGCTCAGCAGGAACTTCTCGAAGTGCAATACCGAACCCTTGTTGCTCTCCTCCACCAAAAGCCAGAATATCTGGACGTTGCCGTGCGTCTCAAAATGCCACGCAAAATCCGGCTCTATGGTCACGTGCACACGCATCACGTTTATTGTCACGGGAAATACCTCGGCGTCCACCAGCACGTATGGGAACCGGCCCACGAGTCTGTACAGAATAGGCCCCATTTTGGTATTGTGCACGAGGTCCCCGAGCTCGGCCGCACTCATTTCGCGCAGCGTCTCCATCGACGGGTTGTGTGCTTCGATGTTGCGATGGATCTGCTGCGGGAGCTCAAACTGTCGCATTGGGTGGTTAAATGACCAGAGCTGTTTCTCGATAGATTTGCAGATGGACAGCATCACACGCGCAAAAACGCCCCACCGGCGGTTCAAACCAATCAGAAACAGCGCGCGGCAAATTCTCGCAGCGTTCTGTGCCACGTAGTTTGCGTCTGAGATCAGCGCAGAGTCTTTAATCGCAGCCCGAGAAATGTACGCCTGCAGCAAGATGTTAGACTTGCCCTGTGCGGAAGCCACCTCTGCAGCAATTTCGCACGCCGTCTTGTCAGTTTTCAGCTGCTCCAGCTCCTTGGACTCCTCCTCACGGAATTTGATGTTGTCAAACTCCGAGCTCATCGCAATGATACTTAGCACATCCGCCTCGGTAGCCTTGGGGCTAATCATCTGGTTGAAGATCTCGACCGACTCATTCAGCAGGTAGAAATCAGACGCAATGCGGCCCAGATCCTTCGGAATGAACGCACCAGACCGTTCGTCAAATATAATCATCTGCAACGAGTGAAGTTTTTTGGCAGCATCGATAATCATGTCACGTCTTTTCTGCACCAGAAGCGGGTCTTTGGCAAGCTCCTGCCAGTCTATTCCGTACGCAAATGGGTTCTGCTTCATCCGGACGTACATATACGTGTAGCCCAGCCATTGGACCCCCTCGTCGATGTTGGTGACGGTACCCAAGGAGATTTCTGCGTTCAGATTGTCCACTAATTTGGCAGACAGCTTTGACTCGATGGGATGCTGTTGCAAGAGAAGCGAAATGTAGTGGTCCAGCTTGTCGCTAGTGGTGCACAAAATGCCAATACCGTGACTCTCGAACTGTGGTCTGCCGGCACGGCCGAAAATCTGGATCACGTCGGAAATGCCCAGATCCACAAAGCCACCGGCTTTTGGGTCGTACACCTGCGTACCCTTCACGATGACCACGGCAGCAGGTAGGTTGACACCCCACGCAAGCGTCGCCGTGCAACATAGCACCTTGATCGCCCCGGAAAGAAACATTTTCTCGGTCAGGTTTCTGTCACTCCGCAACATTCCCGCATGGTGGACACCAAACCCGTATTGGAACAGCTCTCGAAGGTCTTTATTTTTATTTTTGGTCATCTCTCGCTCAAAAAAGCTGTGTTTCGGAGTAGCAGAGCAGTCAAAGAGCCATGACTCATCGTTTTCTCTGGCCATCTTGATGAAGTTGCGCGCAGTGTTCACCGTGTCTTTTCTCGAGTGCACAAAAACCATGACCTGGTGGCCTTTTTCCACCATCTCCACCAGCTTCCTGTACGCCGTCTTGTCAAGCTTGTCGCGTGATTGCATGCTTCCTGCCTTGGCCCTCACTCCAATGAGCTGCTGTTCCAACGGAACTGGACGGAACGACTGGTCAAAGTAGAACATTCCGACCTGACGGTTGACTCCCAGAAAGTCTGCAACGTCCACGAAATTCGGAAGCGTGGCAGAAAGACCAATAACGCGGATCATCGACTGCGAACTTTCCACCTGCCGCAGCGTCCTGGCAACCAAAGTCTCAATCACAGATCCTCTGTCCTCGTGCAACAGATGGACCTCATCTATGATCAGCAGCTTGACCTTCTCAACCAGCTCACTGTCGCCGGTAGACTTCCGCGTTACCACGTCCCATTTCTCGGGAGTCGTGACGATGATCTGCGTCATCATGATCTCAGCCTTTGTGAGCTGCATGTCGCCAGTGAGCTCTCTAACTTGTATTCCGAGCCACGCCAGTTTTTTGCTAAACTTTTCGACTATTTCTGCTGCCAAAGCTTTTAGCGGAGCAACATAGACAATTTTAAACTCGTCGTAATCTATGTCTGCCTGCACACTGTCGCCGTCCGGTGACTCTGTCAGGAACTGTTTAATTGTGTGCAGAATGGCCAACAGCGCGACATCCGTCTTTCCCGCACCGGTCGGAGCACAAACCAGCATGTTTTCGTTCGTCTCGTACGCAACCGGGTATATTAGCGATTGCATGCGATTGAGAGTCTTGTACTGTTTGAACGTGCCTTGGCAAAGATAATCCAGTGTCTTCATCGGGATGTACACCTCTTTGAATTTTGACACCTTTTTCTCAGACTTGGGGATAATGATCTCCTCGTAGTTTTCATATGAGTTCCTCGCGGTGCCAAACGGGAGACTATATTTTTTGCCTGTGAACGAAACGACATTGCCCGCGTCATGCACTCGGAAAACATGCGGATACTGCTGTTTGGTCTGCTCCCATTCCAGTTTGGCGTTCTTTGACTCTTTGCGATTTTCGTTTGCTTGTTGTCGGATCTCTTGTTCGCTCATCAGTTGAAGCATCTTTTCCTCTTTTCTCTTTTCGTCGAGAATGGCATCCTTGTTTTGCAATATCTTTGATATCAGGTCAAATTCTCCAAAACCTAAAAGATCAACCAGTCCCGACTCGATGTGCGAACCGTTGTCTGACTTAAGGATCGCAAGTATGCTTTCCACCATTTGTTCGGCGTTTTCAGGGTTGATTCGCTCACAATCGCTTCTGATCTCAGAAAGAAGCGCACCAGCTTCCTTCTCTTCAGTATCCTCGGTCGATTCGTCGTCAAGCTCTATCTCAGCACAATTTTCAAACTGTTTGAGTAAATCAGTCACCTGCCTGGAAACGTCTATTTTTGAGTTTCCATCGCCAATATCCGGCACCTTAAAATCTGTCCCCTCGTCCCCCAAATCCAAGCGGCTCAGCGTCTCAATCATAGGCTGCATTGCCTGCAGATACGACGACGTAGACGAGACATTATAGGAAGACATATAAAAAAATTAATTTAATTTTTCTCCCTGTATAACAATTAATAAAAACCAAAATTACAGATCGAACTGACCATTCACAAAATCGTCGTCAACGTCCATATCATCCCGCGCCTCCTCTTCGTCTTCCTGGCTCTCTTCATCAATGACCTCCTCCTCGGGTGGAAGATTTGGATTGCCGGGAATCAAAGAGCCGTATGCCGGCTTGTACGAGTTGCCCAGCCTCTTGCCCATGCTGTGACTGTTGAGATGGTCAAATATCATCGAATCGTCAACATACGTAAATCCTTTGAAGTTCTCCTGAACAACAGAGGACAATGGGGTTCCCATGGTGAACTGTTTGTTGATGACCGACGTGGAAGCATTTGTGAATTCCGGATCAAAGTTCGAAGTGTCTAGTTCGTTTGCAATGTGCGGGATAAATGGTGGAGGGATCTTCTTCTGTTTGAGAAGAGCCCAGTCGATGTCATTAAAGAAAGGATGAGCTCTGAGTTCTCTAGCGTCATTAATAGCTCCCAGTCTGTGACGAGGGTTTCTGTTAAGAAGGCCCTTCACAAACGATCTACCTTCAGGCGATAAGACTTCCTTCGGGAACCTAACTTTTCCAAAAGCAATGTTTTTGTACATTTGCTGGGTGTTGTCCGCATAGAACGGAGACCAGCCGCAGCACATTTCGAAAATCAGAACACCGAGCGACCAGAAATCAACCATTTTCGTATACCCAGATTCGTCCAACAAAACTTCAGGAGCAAGGTACTCGGTTGTTCCGCAAAAGGTATTGGTGGTGCCGTTGGATGCCAAGTTGGCCTTGGATAGGCCGAAGTCACACAGTGCAATGTGTCCATTGGCATCCAAGAGAATGTTTTCGGGCTTTAGATCCCTGTACACTATATCGTTGTCGTGCAGATGCTCCAAGGCCAGAACCAGCTCTGCAATATAAAACTTGGCTCTCTCCTCTGTGAATCGTCCTTCCTTTTGCAAATGCCAAAAAAGCTCTCCTCCAGACATGTAGTCGGTAACGAGGTAGAGATCGACAGGCGTTTGGAACGAGAATTTGAGACCCACAATGAACGATGAGTCTGCGCTAGAGGTGCGCACCAAAATGTCTCTTTCTCCAATCGTATGTGCAATCTCCTTCTTTCTGACAATCACCTTTTTGGACAGCACTTTCATGGCATATATACGCCCTGTGTCTTTCTTCTGGACCTGGAACACCTGGCCAAACGTCCCCTTACCCAAAAGCCGGAGAATCTCAAAATCTTCGGGACCGTATTGTCTCTTTCTGGTATTTGAGTACTCGATCTGAACTTTTATTTTACCGCTAACAAACTCCGTGTTGATGCGGGATTTCAGATCAAACCACTGCTCTGCTCTATTTTCATGGATGGTTTGCGGTTTAATCCGTATGTGTCCCAAGAAATGGTCATTCTGCGCAGAATCGTAAACTGAAATATCTAGCTCAGATGTTGCCCCAACAACATCGAAAATGGCCTTGTGGTGCCAGACAGGGTTCGAGGAACTGTAGTTGTGCGACATGATATTAATATTGTGCTGTGACGAGGTTTGAGTCCTCACTAAAGGCCGTCTCTGCGGAGCCTGATTCGAGCTCTGGTGCGGCTGAGTCTGCGCCGATGGCGGTGGCATGTCTCTGCTTTGGTCAAAGCTCTCCGGGCCTTGTGTCACAAACTCAGAACTCTCGAACGTGCAAACGACATACGGAAGCGAGTTTTCAGACGTCACGTTGAGACCCACAGCCTCGATGATGCTGACTCTGAGCTTTCCCCGTGGAATACCAGTGGACGTGTCCGTGTCGCTAGTAACAGCATATGCTGGAGTCGATGCCGTTTCGATTGGCTGTGTCGATTGGGTAGACGTGGTCGACAGCTGTGCCGTCAAATTGCTGCTTTGTTGCGTTTGATCTAAATTGGTAAATGTCCTGTTTAAAGAGTTCTGCTCTCCCTTGATAGTGGTGCCCACAGCAAAAGAATTATCACTAAGGGCAATTGTAGGTGTCGCTGGCTGGGGAATCATCTCAGAGGGGAACGACGTCGTGCTTATTTTTGAGGCAGGCATGCTAAATTCCGATTGGCCTGCAGTATCTAACGGTTGTGGTTTCTGTTTGCCAAAGGCAAAAATTGTTTTTGCAAATTCTGACATCTATCAGACTGCAAATCCTCTCTATACGAGTTGTGACACGTCCAGATGACTCTTCTTACAGATGAGACTTGAAAATGTGCGAGGATTGAAAACAGCCAAACAGATTAGTAAACTTTCCAATCTTTTTTTTTTTCTTCTTTTGGCTCTGCAGTTTATTCCGAAATTACGTTTTATTGCAACCGCTATTGTTCCAATGCTGACCGTTATTATTTAACGCTGAAATGCAACTTTGCCTAAACCTGGGTACTGTGTGAGAACATCTCAGGATCTTGTATTTCATTTACTACATGCCCTAAATATCGCACGCCTGCCAGGATAGCCTCTTATCTCATTTGATAAGATCGGCCGTCGTTGCTTTTGGTCACAACTTTTTCGCTACATCTTTGCACCGCCTTAATCTGGAACTATCCGAACGTTTGCAACCAGCTCTTGATTGATGGTAAGAAATCCGTTCTGCGTGTATCCAATGTTCCCATATGGGTTCGATGTTCTAAGCCAACCGTAGTCAACCCAGACTATGTCGTTCATGTCCAAATTGCACCCATTAATTTTTAGCAGCCTCAGCGAGCAGTTGTACTGGTCCACCTCGACAACCTGACCATATCGGTCGATTTTACCAGGCGTCAGCCGTTCAAAAGTCATCCGAAGATTGTCTAATGCCGGAACATACAGATCCTGTGGCAAAATCGGCACAGTGGCATTTTCATCTGGTTGGTAATTTGGTCCTGCCACCACTCGGTAAATAGGCGTATCTAAAACTCTCTCTATAGATCCAATCAGGGCATCAAAATCTTCTGTTGATTGTGTTGGGAACGATATCATCCCACTAGTTCCAAAGAGATCGTAAAATGGCCCGTCGATCTCGATATCTGTTGTATTTCTGTAATAAGGAGGGCTGTGCAGCGCCACTTGATACCTGCCATTCACGCGGTAGAACATCGGGTACTGGAGGATCTTAGAGCGCATAAACATGTGATTCTGTGAAAAAACCTGACATTTGGACAACCCCAAGTAATCTGGATCTAGAGTCATGTTCATTTCCTGAATAATTCTGTTTGAATGTTTTGTGGTCATATACGGCTTGAGTAGCTGGTACACTTTTGGGTTCACGAATATACGCTTTCCCGGCTCCAGATTGGAAGGATATTTTACGTGGTACCTGTCCAATGCCTCCTTCATTCTTTCTGTCAATGTGATAGGTGTGTAGTCCGGGAGTGCATTTTTCTCGAGTCTTAGTTTTGCAAATTGGATATCTACCTCCTGAGGCGGAGCTTGTACAAACAGTTTATCCCAAACCGCTCTCATAGCTCCTTTCTGAGTTATTTCTGGAATCGCAATGTCCTGGCGCATATTGTACACTTTCAACTTGTCATCAAACCAAAATGGATGTGCTTCCGTCGAAAATATCGCTGCACCGTTTTTTGTATGGAGATCATTATCTGGGTCGAACAGCAAATACAGGTACTTGAGCGTTTCGCTCAAGACAAAGCTCTCCATCCGTGCCTGTCTGGTGCCCACTCTGATGTCGTCAATTCCTGCAAATCCGCAAGGAGCACGAAAGTCTTTTTCAAAACGCTGCAAAATGGCTTCGCCAACGCGCAAAAAAAACGGGTCCTTAGTCGCTCTATAAAGGAAGTACGTCGACTCAACGAATTCAGGACGTAAGGGATACCATTCCAGAAGGACGGCGTCGTTCATTAACGCTACCTTCGTTTCCTCAACAGACATTCCTGGCAAACTATCCAAAGGATGGTATGGCTTCGAGTCCCTGTAGGCGTAGTTCCAACGGAACCCAGAGAAATCCCATCGTTCAGGAATGGCTCCGTAAGTGTTCCACAATTTGAAATATACCGTGTAGAAGTCAAAAGCGTTTTTCAAGTCTCCGGCTAAAACCAGCAGCCCAGGGAAAAATGCCCCAAGAGCGTCGATCCATTCCCTGGCCGCCGCTGCATTGGAGACATGAATGTTGGTAAAAATGCCAATTGAATTTTGTGAGTGCATAAGCAGTGCCTTGTAAGACTCTTGCCAGATGTCATTGAATATTTCATCGTCGAATAATATGGAGTATTTTAAAGCATACTCGTAAAACGAGTCGATGGACGCACCAACACCCGTGATCTGGTCCGTGAAAATGTTGGACCGCGCATCCACAGTCATTGGTAACAATCCCAGCACAGTTTTTGAAGACCACATGTTGAGGAACGTTTTTCTGGAAATGAGTTCGAAAATTGGGTCGTTGGTGAGTCGAGAGAGCAGTCCAAACTCTAAAATCAGAGAGGTTATTCCGGCAGTGCATTGCTCCTTTTGCAGGCTCTTGGGTACCTTAAGAGGCCCGTACCTGAGATTTGTGCGCGGATACGGCACTCCGGACTTGTTTTCAGATGCCAGCACAAGTCTTTTTCCGAGATCGTATGCCAGACGCAGAAGAAACCCGTCGTAGTTTTCGATACTATATCCTCGACGTTCGTCGGACGCATATAAGTGCGCACTCAATAGTCCCCCTAGGACTCTGATGGTGGTCTCAAAAACTTGGACGTTTGCGTCAATATCGAAATCCTGATAAGTGTCTCTTATCAACTGGATATTTCGTTCAAAGCCCTGCTTGTCTCCAAGCACCACGAATGCGTCCAATGTATCAAAAAGAGTTAGGGAAAAGTTGCCCATCGCATCGTTCTTCCATGTATTGTGGATATCCTCGTAGTCGCGAGACGCAGGTTCGCAAGTGAGCGGGTCCACCTCGTCATAAGGAAACCCATGGGCCATGTAGCTATTGAACCCATGATAGAATAGGCTTTTCGTGCGGTTGCGCAGGTCTTTCAAATGAGGCTCCGAAAACCCACCGTACTTTTCGGATGACGCATACGTTACCGGAAAGAAAGTGACGAGAAATTGCAACAAATATACAAGAACAACCGTCATGTCAACATTTGCGATTTGAAAAAAAAAACTCCAGGCTGTGTATCATACATAAAAGACCAGTGTAGCTTAGCTATGCACTTGAAGCTCCCGAAACCTTTACATACTGCGTGTGATACTCCGGTAGACAAGAAGTCCCAAATCTGTCCCGCATCGCATTGAGCAAACTGGCGCTTTCGTACGCAGTCCCCCTATTTCTTCCGGCTCCGCAAAACCATCAAACACTTCAAACTTATGTGCCAGAACTAAAACGGAAGCTATGTCGTGTAACACAAGATTGTCTCTCAGTGAGTCAAATTCACCGGCTTGCCCGCCTCCCACTCTTTCAGTGCATTTTTGATATTTTCCCAGAATTTCAGCTTCACTGTTTCAAGGGCGATCGCCTCATAGTCCTCCGTTTTGTAGAGCTCCTCGAGTTTTGCAATGCTTTTCTCAATTCTCTCATCATTCTCTTGTTCCAGCTTTGCTAGCTCCTGCTCACTTTGTATATCTTCTAGATCCTCATGAACGTTCAATATTTCCATCAAAACAGACTGATCCTGGAACTGGAACTTTTTGTTCACCGCATCGTCGTTTAGGTCAATATTGGCGTTTTTCTTCAGTAAATACTGCGACCGTTTCAAGGGGCTCGACAGCACTGTGTATGCGTTGTTCAGAAGCGACGACAGATCGCCTGCCGTCTCGTCCTTAATCCGATTGAGGTCCGGATGGTTGGTGCTTTGAAGCAAGCGGAACTCTTTCCGAAGCTGCTTCAGGTCCACGGAGAAAGGAGAATTGGGTGGCGACCCTTTCGGGAATGTTTTGGGAAATAGTTTATAGAAGTCCACTAGACTCGAATTGTGTCTGGCTATGATTTTGAAAGGTATCCGAACTCTATACATAATAATTTGGTTCAAATAATTTAACCTGAATATTATTCTATCAAATTTACCCCTCGATTTAAAACAATTTCCTCATGGCAGGTGGAAGACATTTATTGCGTACAGACAAAGAGGTGCAAAAGTTCGCCTATTTTCGGGAGAATCTGGCAAATTACTACAAATTCAATCTTAAGTCAACCTCCATTGCCGTGGTTGCCCTTGTGATCATTCCTGTGTCCCTCATGTATGTGGCATACAACACCCATACAATTGATATTGTTGCCAAGAGGAGGACCAAGCCAGTGCAGGAGGACTGGTCACCAAGATGATCTGCGATATTTATTACATATTTATACAACCCAATGTTATTTCATTTATTGTCTTCCTTACCGTTGTCTCCTACGTTTCCTCTCCATTCCTTCCAAAATAACCTCACTGTCACGATTGTCGGTGTACCCATTATTATTCACATGCCCATTTGTGTATTGATTCACTGTGGGAGGCTGCGAAGGCCCCACTTCCACAATGCTATCGTCGCTGTCCTCCAGCTGTCTCTCATGTTCCTCCCATAATTTCAGCAGCTGTGCCAATTGGGCCTCGCCGATCAGTTCTGAGAGTTCTTCGCAGCTATTGAAAAGTAGTTGAGCAGGATTATACCTTGTAAGGTCGTCGTTGACAGCGTCCGTCCCATATAAGCGTAGATTGTTGAGGATTTTGCAGAGCACACTCAATTGAGGAGCCCAATTGCGATTATTAAAAAACTTCATGGACGAACAGATTAGCGTTTCCAAATGGAGCGACATGTTGCCAGTAGCAAACTTGATGGATCCTACCTGGAGCGTGATCTTAACACTGAGATGCTGTGCGAGCGATTCAATGAAATGCATGCACTCGGGCGTGTCGATTCCATCGAAAATCAACTCTTTTGGCTCTCTGAAGGTGAGAAATAGAAAACTCATAAAGTTTCCCACACTCACATAGCTGGAGTTGTCGAGTGGCAACAAAAAGTTGAACTTCGTCGCACAATCCTGCACATGTAACACATACCGAAACCATCGTTCTTCAACTTGTCTCGACTCATTGATCATGGCAAATCCGGAGCTGCACATGTAATCTTCAAAATCAAGGATCTGGAAATTGAGCACTTCAAATGGCCGCAGTACTCGAATACAGCTTGCAATGAGATCACATATGATAGCATTGTATCCAAAGATCATTTCTGGTACGCGCGCGTGACTACCTGTGTTTTTTATCATGCGACAAACAAATTCCACTAGCTTCTCAAATCCAAGAATCATTTGACAGCCATCAGGCACCGTTTTGTAGAACAACTTTTGGTAAGTTTCCGAATTCAGATCTCTGCTCTCATCACAAAGTATAGCAACGCCTTCATTGTCCACGTACGTGATGGTCTTGTTATTTGTAAGTAGTGCGTATACTCGCAGTCTTTGTCTTAGAAAATCAATGAAAGCTTCATTTTTGAACTCCATCAAATATGGCTTGAGCACTCTCATACGCCCTAGTCGCCTCACATACTCAAACAGTTCAAACTTATCGGCAAGGATGAGCTCAATCTCCACCTGAGTAAGCACAATGGAATGATCTGTATGCTCGAAACAATAATCCAGAGAAGGAGACCCAGATCTGGCCAGCAGATCGGTTGCAGATTTGCTTCGCTCAAAAAGTGATAAGTAGAATAAATTTTGGGACTTGTTGAGCTTGTCTCTGAGAGATTTTTTGAGCCTATCGTCCACAATGACTCGTAAACACATTAAATTAAATAACTTGATCCAAATTGTGGATAAATATAATTGAAGGCTTTCTACACCTTACACCGAGTGAAAATGAGATTATGTCATTACTAGATAGATTAGGGAGCAGTGGTGAGCAAGACCATAGCAACGAAGTCGGGTCACAACATTGGGTCCATGATATTTTTGCCTTCGCTCGTAATTTTCTTTGCCCACTGTCTTGCCAAAATCGACACCTTCATAAATTTGCGCGAAGCATACTTCTTGAAAAACTCTTCGTGCACAATAGGACTGATCAGATAATCAATGATCATTTCGCTCACTTCCTTCAAATCGCTCTCTTTGTATCCCCCACTGTAGTGAATGAGGTTGCCATTCCAGTCGTTCTTCGACAGCATTTTGCGTGCTATGTACATAGCAGCTGCTGAACACAACGATGGTAGGTATCCAATAAATTTGTGGTCGATGATTGATATTTCTAACAGATATTTGCCAATGGTTCTGGACTGAACGTCGTAGTCATCGGCTTTGGAAATGCGTCGTAGGAAATTCATAGGATTTGGGTAACTCATGTTGAACTGGAGAATCTCCAGGATGAACTTTTCTGCGTTTAATATCTCCTCCTCAGTGAAACCTCCGTCCGTCACGTAGGCATAGTTCTTCACAGATGGAGAATACACCTCCTCGTATTTAGCGGCAATGAATAAAGAACCAGTGGCCAACAGCTGCAATCTATCAACTTGTACACTTTCGCGTGACATGAAGCGATCCATAATGTTGATAGCAAGATACAATGTTTCTGGAAGGAGTCTGAACTTCAGATGCACTTCGACCATCCAGTCCACCAAAATAGAACGCATCTTCGGGCGCAGATTCCTTTGCCAATGCAAGTAGTTTGGATCTGGAAGAGTCTTGAGCTCCAGTTCATGCAAGTATTCAAAGATGTCGTTAACGTACTCACTCACCATCAGCGGATCGTCGGCGTCGTCTGCATCAAGATCGTCCCAGGTGTAGTCGTGTTCCACCTTAACTTTCTTGACTTCCTGAGTCCCCTGCTCTAGAAAATCGCTGCTCGAATCTGTGGCCTGTCTTTTAAGTGACACGCGCTTGTCGCTGTGTTCTGGTTCCTGCTTGTCCGCATGGATTTTCAAGGGCCTCACAAGTTGGCCTCCAGTCTTTCCTTGTTGTGACTGTTGATGAGGTAGACTCTGTCTTTGTCTCTGTGTCTCTAAAATGCCCGCGTTATTGTTGATGTCCGTCAACGCCGAGCGCGCACGCGTCAGCGATTGTCTTGGTCGAGGTTGGCTGTCTGCCAATCCTTTGGAAGACATCACACGGCTGATTTGCGGCATGTTCTCGTCGTCCATTTGCATTTGAGAAAGTTCCTGAGTGTTAGATTCACGCGAGGTCATTAGTATACTCACTCTTGACATGATGGAGCACAAAGTTTTGGCGTAATTCTCGTCCTTGTTGCTTTCTTTTGGTATCCCTTGTAAAACACGTCCGCTACTTATCTCTCTGTGGATCTAGCTTAATTCCTAGCGTGTATTTGTTCCAGTACAACTATCCTCTTTATGCAGTCTCTAAGGTTTCGTGTCAACTCAAAACGGCGTCCTACACTCCTTGAAAGCCAGCAAACCAGTCCTAAAATTCACTTGTTTTCTTTATAGACTTTGGTTTTCCCTAAAAGAGAAACGAGAAAAAAAACACCCGTGCTTTCTGCCATCCTGCCTACCAGGGCAATATGTAAACACTAGAAAGTTATTTAATTCTAGGTGCGAGGTGTAAACGCGTTTGTTCAACTATATCCCATTTTACGGTCGTACTCTTCGGTCTCCTTCTGGCCCAACATATCGCTTTCGTTCCATTTGATGTTCAGACTGCCATAGTAGCTTCTTTCAAAAATTTCTGTGCAGTTGATCTTCTGGATCTGGCCAAAAACCGAGCTAGGATTGATCTTAGCCTGCCGTTTAAGAAGCTGCTTGATATTCGCGTTCGAACCCCATGGAGCAAGCTGCTTCGACGCTTCATCATCTTCATTATCCGAGTTTATCTCTGGCAGATTGTTCACGTCTATGACGACTGGTTTGGAAGGCCTGGAAGTCATCAGCTCGCTTGTAGGCTTTGTAGCAGGCTCCGGTAAACGATTCAGTTTCGAGTGATTCACAGAGATCTTTCTCAGCTTAATGTCCGCACGCTGTCTTTTGGCTTGCAGTAAATGCTCAGACTTTTTGCGCTTCTCTAATTTCTTATGCAAGTCTATCAAACTCTTTGCATCTGGCGAGCCAACTCCATACTGCGATTTGTTTGAGCTCGGTTGTAGCATCTGCTCGGTCAATGGCAGCTTCGACCTATTCAGTTCATTAGGCAACTTCAATTCAAGCTGGCTCAACTTTGAATTCTGTGTCTTCTTATCCAGGTTGGTTAATCTCTCCGCTGGAGTTTTGGTGATTTTCGAAGTTGGGATTAGAGATTTACTTTTTGATGGCGAGCCAGTCGCTTTTGTCACCTCATTGTGCTTCTCCAACTTTACTGATTTCAGTAACTGAGATTTATGACGCGAATCGTCGATACCGAGACGGGCAGGGGTCTTCGTAAGGTATATGTTTTCTTTCGAAGGGGACGATTTACTGCGTTTTGTACTGGCTTCAGTTGGTGCCATCAGCCGCGATAACAGATTGGAATGCGCGTGTTTGTTGGGGGATTTTTTTGAAAAGCCGTTATGTTGTTTTGAAGGGGTTTTATGAGGCGATTTGAGCAGTTCGTTCTGTAGGGGAGAAGACTTATAAGCCAGCCCCCTATTGATGTTGATGGTGGGCTCGCTGCTGCCTGTATTCGATGGCGACAGATCGCTAATTGGGGGTAACCTCAAGTTGTACGGCTGCTTAGTTATACTGGAATTGAAAGAACCATAATCCTTGAAAGGTGACAATTCATCCCGGTTTTCATCCCTTAGAACGTGTTGTGTAGGTCCTCTAATCTGTTTGGTTGTTCTCTTTGACTGGTGTGTGGCCTTGCTCATTGATTGTTTCTTTCCCTGCTTGATCATTAGAGGTTCTCTCGATGGCAGTTCTGCAAACTTAATAGGCGACCTGCCTGCGTTTGGAGTAGTGCTATTGTTGACACTTGGCAGCTTGCTTGTTTGCGCATCAGTTTTGAGTGGTATCCTTATCTGTGCAAGCTCAATCTTTTCGAGTTTTCCAATTTGGAAGCTAATGTCGTTGTCAATGTCGCTTAGCATGATATCTCCCTCGTCCAGAAGAACCGATGCATCGGGCGGTGATTGAGCGGGCTTTTCTCCTTGCTTTGGAACAGAGTCCGTGGGCGTGGTGGTGGCTGTTTCGTGTGCAATTGGACGCGTGAATTCTTCTTTCGGCGACGATTCTTCATGCATTAATGTTTTGCGAGCAAACGATTTGCGAATGTTTTTTGAGATTGCATCGAATGAGAGATCAGAGGACTCTTCATTATCGGAAACAGCCCTTTTAGGAGATTCGGAGACAGGCTGTTCGCAGGCCTCAGGGGACAGAGTCGGAAGTTTGTCTTGCAACTGCGAATGGTTTTGCTTACTTGATTCAGCCTCAACTACAGCAGAAGCCTGTGGCTCTGGCGAATCGTGCATGGATGGCTCTTCGTCGTGAATGTCCTTGCTGCTATGCTGGGTCACTATATTCGTCTGTTCTTGGATCAACTCCACCCCGTTTGAATGTAATTCCCTCAGAGGCGAGCTTACCCTTTTAAGTTTTGCGGGTGACCTCAGCAACACCATCACACTCTGGTCTTTGTCTTGCTGTCTTTCTTGGTCGTCTTCTAATAATGACAAGTCACTCAAGTCAGAGCAGCTTGTGATTTCATGCATAACCTCATTAATCCATTCACTATGCTCCATCATAGCCAGTCCAAGTTGATCAACACTTGATTTTATCAGCTTAGTCTCCACGTTGACTTCCTGGGCAAACCATTTGGAAAATCCTGGAATTGTTACTGTGTCAACATTACCAACGGTGCTTTCTCGCTGCTTCTTCAAGCGGGCCGCGGCTTTGACTCCCCACATGTGGATATAAAAAACAAATATTAATTGATTTGTTCGTGTTGTTTTGTTTTTGGGACTTCTGGTGCACGACCTCAGAAAAAATATTTGAAATATTTTTGATCTTGGATTCCATATATTAACATAAGCAGCATAGCCTTAATATGTCCAAAAAAGCCAAATACGTCTCCAACATAGACACGGGCGTCTTGCAGCAATTTTCAGGATACTTAGATGTTTTGGATAAGAAAGAAGAGCCCACACCAGAGTCGTTACAGAGTTTTTCCTCGTTCCTAGCATCTTCTCAAAACTTAAATGCTCTTGTTCAGGCCTTCTCATATTATTCCACAGTTAATGACCATTCTGGTCTATCACAGATATTGCAAAAACTTGTGAGACTAATAAGACTTGGAATTAGCTATCAAGAGCTTCATAAACCATGTTCTACTTTGATACAAGATATCCTATCAACTCACAATATCAAGATCTTTTACAGATGTCTTAATAATCAAAAAGCTGGAATCACAAATCCTGCATTGAGGTTACTTTCATCGTCGCTGGAGTTCAGAAAAGGAGCATATGTGGATCTGTTCCTCGACAATTTCGACCTCTCCCTAAAAGTTCTTCCTCAGCTTCTTGTACCAATAAAATCAGAAATGGAAGATCCGTCAAAATGTAAGACTAAAAGCTCCATTCGCAGCAACTTCATTTTGTTCTGGGTATCACTGTGCACACAAGCCAATCCTTTGACTAGAAAGGACTTGTTATTCAATAACAGGAAAATAATCACAAATTGGATTAAGTACATGGCAACCCATGATTCTTACGACACGATTAGACAAACTCTCACTTTTCTTGACAAGTACATCATAGAGGAACGCTCCTACAAAAAGATGACCAAGTGCAAGATATTTGGAGATTATATTCCCAAGAAGCTTTTGGAATTGTACGGCGTCGAGGCCGTCCGTGATGAGGTTCATGAATTTTTGACAAAACTAGCAACAGACCATGAAGTGGGCCTTGTGTTCTCTGATGACAGAAACATGACAGATACAACTGGTGCCTCTGTGACAATAGGAGACCATACATTCAAAATCCATAATAAATTGATATTCAGCCTGATCGCCAGTTGCAAACCTTGGACTGATCTAAAACAACTGGATCTGATTGTATCTGTTCTCTCTGCTGTTCCAGAACTAGTTCCTTGCTACAATTATAACCTCGGGCAAACAATCGGGGTTCATGATCCCAAACTATCCGCTTTATATATCGCAGAGTCACTACTTCTCACCAAAATCATCAGATTACCGGTTGCAGAAAAGGTTTTAGAGTCCAATTCCCCAGCATCTCTTGTTGTCGAATACATCTGTCCTAACTCGTTGAGAAGAACATCGTTTTCGAAGGCTCTTTCCACTGATATTGGTCTGGTGCGTCACATCGGTTCGCAATTACTAGTTGATGTGTTGCAAAAGCTCCAAAAGAGTTACCCATTCATGAACCCGGATGTGAGAAACGAAATTCTGGAAATCCTTATTAACCAACGCTTACCAGATTTCAGTTTGATAATTGGTGCTCTTAACGACTGCTACAAATCTGAGCCTTACAATAAGCTTTTGATCGTCAATCTATTGAAAGCGTGCGAGTATTACCAAGCGGTTCTCAATCAGTCTGTGCCGATGACTCTACCAAAAATCAACCTTGGCCAGGAGAATGAGTTCAAGGCCATCGACCTCACGATTCTTGAAAGCTATTTGAGGTTCAACTCAGATTCTCAGCAGAGTAAATGGTTCAATGCAGGAACTGCAAAAAACTCGCTATTCACAACCATTTTGAGACTGCCATACCGATTGAAGGAAGCTCATATGCGGACTAAGGTAGTCGGTGTTATCTCAAACCTCATCGACTCGTCATTATCTTTCGTTGACTGCAGGCAAGAAAACTCCATTCTGATCACGCAAGCCTACGCCTTGGTATATGCGTTGGATCAATTTTCTCGTTACGTGAAAAACGAGGAGGACATAGATGCCATTTGCAAAACACTGGATGAGGCCATTTCCAGAGTTATGAGAACGCCGTACAGATACATTGATATTACGCGAGATTTTGGAAAACCGATGAGCCCGTTTTATGTTGCTGCCATTGAACAGGCCAAGTTTGCAACCACCGACAGTGTGAAGGTTTGGGTCAACCTGTTGACAAGATATATGTTCTTAATCGGAGAACCTTTGGATAGCATGAAAAAGGTCTTGTTGAAGTATTGGTCGGATGATCAGTTGCAATTTGACAATTTTGAGTCGTCCTTGAAGGAGTTTTGCTCTTTATTTTATGGGGATGAAGAAGTATCGTTCTTTGAAATGGTGGTCAATTATCCAGTATCCAAATTGAAAAAGGCCGTTTCCAGTAAAGTTGCAATGTCAGATATTGATGCTATTGGCCTTCTAAGAAGGCTGCAATTACTAGCTTCCGACGAGACAATGCGACTTGCAGACATCGAATCCATTGTTGTAGAGTTATTTTCCAAGCTTGCAAACTATTTGGCCCAAAGGACTTCTTCACAATACGACGCTTTTGATCAAGTTGACCTCTTCAAAACAAAATACTGGAGCCCCCTGTATGTCAACGGTGTACACTCAGAAAAACAGTATTTCGTGGCAGGTTTGCTAAACGAGATGTTCTATTCTCTTTTTGAGCTTGACCACTCCATCCGTGCCAGATTAACAGACTACGAGAATTATGTCCATAATTTCAAATCGCCAGTTATGGAAGAACAGCAGATCCTTGCAAGTTCATTATGGGTGCTTGATGATTCCAAGCTACTTGGGCATCTATTTGACCCCACAATCATACAGAGCAAAGTTCTTGAGCTGGCTGCTCTTAGAGATGTGGAAGTTGACGCTAACGATCTCACTAAAGTGGCAGATTTTGTGACGGAGACAAGCCTTCATTTTTATGTCAAACTCGTTTCGAGGACCAATTTTGAGGAGTTCCAGATTATTACTCTTGCGCAGAAGGCGCAACAAAACGAGCTGGTGTACTCCGCTTTATCGGCGATCTTGAGATCCAATGCTGATAAAGCAAGAATTCTGTTGACAAACCGAGGACCTGCTATCAACAGCTCAGTGCACGGCCTCAACTATTTAATCACACTTAACGAACATGCAGAATCAGAGTCGCTACGTTTGGAGTTGGAAAATATAGCAACAGAAAAATTGCAAGACTTCTTGTCCACATCCACAGCCTCCAATGTTCCAATATATGTCAAACTTCTCGCAGGCAGCGCGTCCTCCGACTTGTTTGCTCGACTGATGGAGTTTCCGCCGTTTTACAACAACGCCGCTTACATATTTAGCCCAGAATCTGCCTATTATGTTTCTCAGTCTGTTGACAATGTGGACTTGCTCAAGCAATGGTGTTCCAAAGCCATCTTATACTCCACAAAAATGTTTGCCGAGAAAGATACGCTTCCGGAAAAGTTTTTGACGTTCATCAGCAGTCTCAAGGAACTATTGCTAAAGATTGACATTTGGACTATTGTTCCGCCATCGATTCTCAACTCTCATCTGGAGGTGCTTTTCTCCGAACAGTGGATACGTTCAGAAGACATATTGCATTACGCTTCTTGGCTATTGATGACCACTACCTCAAAAACCATACAGCACTCAAAACATGTTCAACTGTTCATCAACAATAAATTCAATGTGTTAAATGAGCTGCCGTCGAAGTCGAACTTGTCCGCCAGATTCTATTCGACAATTATTCTCTACTACTTGGTGCAGGTCGGGCCAGTTTCCAATTTTGACGTTGCAAAACGTATCCTACAGTTCTACTCAGGGTCTCTTCGTGCAGACGACCTGATTCTTAAACACATTCTAATGGAAATTGAGCAACATGTGGGACAGAGCTGGCTAGGGTTTGTGGCTGATTGGGAGTTTCTGGACGCGGACTCTTATGAGTCGTCCACCACTAGATTCATCACAAGCAGTGCACATGGTCTTATTGTGAATCTTTCCAAGAAATTCATCAACAACTCAATTGCTCGATTTTCTGGCTCCTGTAACGATTTCTCCCTGCCAGCGGCGAAGAAGCCGACGTGGCAAGACTGGGAAGACTTTTTGGGCCATAATTCTGTCATCCTTGAACACGCAGTCATCAGCGACATTTACGAGAGAACCATATACGATCCCGAATTCATAATGCTGTTGATTGTTAATAACGACGAGCTTTTCAAGACACAGCAAGATTACGTGGCAGTGGACGTTCGAAGGCTGGTGGAAACCGACATCTTGCAGTTCATCGTGATGAATATGAGCAACTGCAACGAGGAAGTGAGACATATTAGCCGCAAAATCTTGCAATCATGTTACCTGACGATCGATACAGAACTGAAACAACTTACAGAACTGAAAGAAGACAAGGCGAAGACGAAGGGGTCTGCAGACAGAGCAAAGACAGATGTGGGCACGCTTCATCTGTTCTCCTTCAAGGACAGACTGACGTTCAAGGTATATTTGGGTAATCTTCTATCTACGAAGGAAGAGTGTTCTCCGGTCATCACAATAATGCTCTCCCATTTGATTCCGGTTCTAAACAATCCGGGCCATTACCTCTATGAAAAAGCTTACAGGTACATCTTGGGCGGATCGAAGTTCCGTCCGTTTGATATTCCGTTGCTCAAAGCGGTCACCCAACACTTTGTTGCAGACAAACACCTGGGCCATTCCAGGTTTGATGAAAACTACTACAAGCAGCTGTCGTGGGTCATTAGTACTCTTACAAAGTCTCTGAGTCATCAGGACGACCTCAAGGTCATTAACAGAAGCGGAATACTGGAGTACCTGATGGCACTCACAGGCTCTCCTTTCTTGAGCTTCAAACATCAGCAAGAAATAGTTCATCTATTGCACAAGATAGCCGAGCTCCCTAATGGAGCAGACCTGCTCATTAGATCGTATGGAGTGCTGAGTTTCACAGAGCTTCAGAGACTCAGACTTTCTACAGACACGGTCTCAAGCAACTTCCAGCTCCTTGATTGGCAACGCTTTGCCGTCAAGGCGCACGTGACCGCTGATAAACGGGCTTACGAATGGACAAGTGATGATCTCAATCGGTCAGTGAAACGAGTCTTGACCTAAGAGTCAACCTCCATCGCATCTTCTTGCTTTGCTTCCTTCACCTTCCGGGCCGCCTGCACCGCCTTCGTCAAGAACGATTCCTTATCGTTGCCGGTATTTTCCAGTCGACCACCTTTCAAAATAACATGGCCGTGAACTTTGGTGATGAAGTCGCCGTTTTCGTTGAACACAAGTTCCGATCCCACAAGCTTGGACCATTCGCCCTGATACAAGTTGCTGTTGAGTTGCACTAGCGGCCTGTCCTCTGCCAATCCGCTTAGTCTGATGTGGGCATTTTCTGAAGACGGCTCCTCAAGCGACTCGTCCACCTCCTGCTTTATAGAATTCGCATTCAAAGAACCTTTTTCGAGACTGATGTACTGGTTAGGCGGGAACTTGAGCGCAATGTAAACGTCCTCAAATTCGTCCTCGTCTTCATGTGCAAGGCCTCGCATTGGCTACTTGGGCAGCTTTCTTTCGTGCCTCAATATCCTCCTTGCTTCCAGCCTCATACTGTGCAGTAGCAAAGTGCCAGTTCATCTCCGGACCCCCGCTTAGAAACTCTGTATTACCGTTCATCGTCATAACCCAGCCATTAGTGTTTTTCTCGTAGCGGTCTAGCGAGCATGTGCTGGCCTGTATCCTGGTACTCACGCCATCACCCCCATGTTCAACTCTCAAAAACTCCCTTGTACTTTGGTATCCCATGAGCGACATTCCAAGAGCGATCTTCAAAGCAGCATGGGTGACAAGGATCACAGAGGTGACTTGCGGATACATCGACTCGACCTTCGGTATGAACTTCTCCCAAAACAGCCTGCATCTCTCCAAAAGCTCGTCCTCTTCCTCTCCCTCCAACGAAGGAACAACTGTTTCTGGAAGCCACTCGTCCGACAGAGCTGCAAAATATTGCGAAAGCACGTCGATTGTCGCAGGCTCTGGAATGTGGGACCTGCTGCGTCTGTACCATTCCCCAAGCCCGCGGTCTAGGTATATTTTCAGTCCCAGCTTTTTCGCCGTCGGCTCGATTGTCTCAATACATCTGTAAAAAGGACTCGAGAATATTAATTCTGGTTTAGGCTCCAGTTTGTCGCATATATAGTCGGCCAGTTCGTGGGCCTGTTCCACGCCATGGGGAGCGAGCAAAGGGTCGCTCTCGTTGTCTCCTAGCGGACTGTCGCGCTGCTGATCTTCTGGAAGCCAGTTTTCACGGTACCCGTGTCTAACAATGTATATAGTCTTGAGTACCATGAGAAAAAGTAAATAAAACTGAAAAAGTATTAAAATATTATCTGCGGTGATTATTCAGATACTAACAGGCACATAAAGCTCACATTATTTATTCTTTGTTGTCATCCTCCTTCTTGTCGTCTTCTTCGTCGTCGTCCCAGTCAAAGTCGTCGTCGTCGTCAGCAGGCTTGTGTTGCAGTATTTCCTTCCGTTTTTTCTCCTCTTCCAGGATCTTGGCCTTGCTAGAGAAATAGGTTTTCCAGAACACTTGTTCATCGATCTGGTCCGGAACAAGCTGGTCGATCAGCTTTTTCAAGCTCTCTTTTGCAGCTAGTAGCTTCTTTTCAGCCTCATCCTCCGCAGTCAGCACGTAATCTTTGACACTCTCACTATTCCAGTTCGTAAGATACAAGTCTTTGTTGTTCTCCAGCTCGTGCAATTGAGCCTCGAGTCTGCTCGTGGCAAGGTTCTGCGGCATATTGAACATGATTTCGTCCTTTTTCGCGCCACTCGCCTCCTCACTGCCAAATCTAATACCCGTCTTATCGGCAAGCAGACTTCCAAGCTTGGTGGCATACCCCAGCGTCAGGTTCTCAAGCTTCTCCAGATCCTGGTCTAATCCATCAAGATATTTGTTGGTATTCTCATTGAAACTCTGCAGCAGCTTGGCGGAATTCTCCTTGATGTCCTTCAATTCCTCCTCGTTGAGCTTACTTTGCACCTTGGCCAGGTTCTTTTCCAAATTCTCCTTCGTGGCATTGATTCTGTTTTGCAAATCAATTTTCTTGGTGATCTCCTTAGTGTCGGTCAAAAGATCTGGCAACTTCTTCTGGAAATTGCTCAGATACTCGCTGAAGGTGTTCCAGCCGGACACGGTTTGGGATTCGATGTTCGAGTACACTTTGCCGACTTGGTCCTCGAAATTGTTCACCAACTCCTCCGTCTTTTGATCTCTGTGCTCGGACTCCTGAGTCTCTGCCTCAATAAACTCCATGGTGCTTGCAATCAATTAGAGCTCAAACTGTTGGTGTCACTAAATTAATTTGCGTTCATTTTTGGCTCCACAGGGAAATTGGTTTATTACGTCATCAATGACTCAGACCCTTGAGACCGGGCAGAGACTCGGCCTTATAAGGTGAGCATTAGCGTGTTCCTACCCACAATCGGAATTTTACGGCATTTTCCATAAACTACCGTTTGAGCAAGTGGCACTATATTCACCCGCACAAATCACCAGCCCTACAAATTCGGCTTATGGCACTTACCCAATAAAGTAAGCTATCTAAGCAAAAAAAAAGCAATGATTGCTCTGCCGATTGATAATCCCAGCCCAAATTTAGACATCTAGATAATCGTGGCTGCAAGATTAGCTATCGTCATGGGACACATAGAGATATCTACGGCGTTCGGGATCGTGGGTATCTACAGAAGTATCCGTGTGCTTACCTCTTTCCTCTTATTGCATCAGGAGAAAGTGCCACACTCAGATGATCAAACGAACTATAAAACGGCCACGCACTGGTATGTGCCGTTAATTGTTTACAAGGATGGAAATAGCTAGCGTTAGTTATTGTTGGCTATTGTGTATAGAGCAAAAGAAATAATAAAAAACGCAAGGCCAAGATTTTTGAGCGGCACTGACATTGTTAGGAGCCACGTAGATATGGAAGAATTCCTGCAGCCGTCTCGGTAGACGGATCCTCAGTCGCCAATAACAAACAAAGCCTACGAGTGTTCTTCTCCACCAGTTACAAGATAAAGAGAGTGCACATTCCTGAATACCGATTTCAGAAGTCCTGTGGCCTAACCCGCAATTTTGTATCTGCTCCAAGTTATCTTAATTCAACATGCTTAAAGCTGGAAACTTTGGTGAAATCAGTCCCCAGGTGTCCAAGGCCATCGACAAGGAAGCCAAGGACAACCTGGTTTTCAGTGCTGAGAGTGAATACCAAATCGACGCCGTTCAGGACGGCCGCCTTTCTCGTGGTCTCCCTTTGAAGTTGTATCGCTACTATGCGGACATTCAGCGTAGCTATGAGAAAGCCAACGACTACGAAGGCCTGTACATTGCTCAGAGAAACCAAATGAAGACAGATGCTCGTGCAAACCTTTCTGAGGAAAAGCTGGACACCCAGCGCAAGCTTCGTCGGGCCAAGGCATACTCCGCCTTCTTCATCATCACCACTGATATCTTGGGACCTACTAATGCTCCATACGCTATCGCCCAGATGGGTTACGTTCCAGGTGTCATCCTGTACGTCGTCTTTGGTCTTTGTGCAGCTCTTGGAGGTTGCGTTCTGAACTATTGTTTCTGCAAATTGGACTCCAACAATTATCCGATTCGGACTTTCTCCGATCTGGCCGGAAGAGCCGTTGGAGCCTGGTTCCGCTACCCAACAGCGCTGTTGCAATTCATCCAGATGATCATGAACGTTGGTCTGATCATGCTGTCTACCGGACAAATTCTGGCCCAGATGCTCGTTACGAACCGGGGCCACAACTCGCTGTGTTTCACTGTTGAGGTGCTGGTTTGGTCATTTTTGGGTATGATTCTTGGCCAAATCAAGACTTTGAACCGTTTCGCTCACATCGCCAATTCTGCTGTCTGGATGAACGTGGCTGTTTGTATCATCACCATGGTGGCTGCAGGTGTGGAAAATAAGCCAAACTATGACTTGTTCTGGTCCAACTATGGATGTACGGCTCCATACGACACCCTGGAAATCGTCAAACACGCTATTGCTCCAGGTTCGCTTTCTGACCGTATTGGTGGACTGAACAACATGGTCTTCGCTTGGGGAGGTGCCACTATTTTCTGTGAATGCATGTACGAGCTCAGAAGACCTATGGACTTTTGGAAGGGCATGATTAGTGCACAGGCTTTCATTCTGGTGATTTACCTGGTCTATGGTCTGTTCATCTACTCGAAACTGGGACAATGGTCCTACGTTTCTGCCAACATGGGTATTTCAAACCACGCTATGCAAAATGCCACCAACGTCCTTAACCTTGTGTCTGGTATGCTTGCTGCCACGCTCTATGCTAACGTCGGTCTGAAGGTGCTTTACCAAGGATTCCTTGTTTCCGACTTCAAATTCCCTCAATTGACCACTTACAGAGGTACCATTGTTTGGGGAGTTCTGGTGGTCGTCTACTGGGCTTGCGCTTTCATCATCGGTGTAGCCATCCCAGGTATCAGTGAGTTGGTCTCCATCATTGGTGCCTTCTGTATTTTCCAGTTTTCCTACACCTTGCCATTCTTGTTCATCCTTTGTCTCTTGATCCGGATGGACGTAACAATGCCAGACAGTTTCGATCCCGTGTCTGAAAAAGTGGTCAAGGTAGACACTCTGCGCAACTGGTCCCGTTGGAAGCGTGGCCTCACATACGGAGGATGGAAACGCACTTGTATTAAAGTTGCTGCTTTACTTCTTTTCCTTGGAGCCCTTTCCTGTGCGGGACTTTGCTCGTACTCTGCTATTGAAGGTGCCATTGAGTACTATACGACATCCACCGCTAGTGCATTTGGATGCGCGGCCCCTGTTACGCCAAATCAAGGATTTAGCTGTGCCGGTATCACAGTCAGCGCCAACTGATAGTAATTGGTGGCTTGAATGGAATATGCGACCTTCGTACACACCAAATTGTAGGCGAAATAATTGATACAAAAAAAAATATCGTACTTAAAATTAGCTGAATTTGATACATATTTTTTGCATGCCCGAGCCGTTTACACCTCCTATCAAATTTGCCCGGGTGAATCCAACACTTGCCCGTGGAGCGTATCCACGGCCCATCAATTACAGATACCTGGAAACTCTCAAGCTGAGTACTATGATTGCGCTGACGCCAAACGAAATCACGATGGAAAACGATCCATCCTTATATTCTTTCTGCTCCAAAAATAAGATACTTCTAGTCCACTTCGAAACCGACCATTCGGCCAAAGATAAGGGGAAAAAGAGAGGAATACCAATTGAGTCCGACCAAGTGCTGAAAATACTCGAATTAATTTTAACCAAGGAACGCTCGCCAATATACATGTTTTGCAACAATGGAGGACAGATCACGTCGCTCGTGGTGGCATGTTTACGCAAAATACAGCTATGGAACCTGGTCTCTATCTATGATGAGTTCGTCAGATACAGTACAACTATTAACCAGAACGACAGGGCATTTATCGAGAGCTTCAAAGCTCGTATAAAACTGCCCTCCGCCGACAAACGTGTGGACTGGCTCTGGAATGGCATGAGTCCTCACATCATTCAGAACCATCCAAGCATGAAGTACGTCTTGTTTGGCGAAGATCTCAAAGAGGATGCCGTGCAACTCTAGTCAAAAAGCATTCCTGCCGCCATCTCCACATTATTATTAGTCTGTTGCAATGCGAGCTCCGCTTGTTTCCGGTCAAATCCCATTGCCACAAGCTGGTCAACCTTTGCTGGATCAGCTGTCGATTTCGGAGTAGCCTTTTTTGGTCTCTTGGTGGCTTTTTGGGCGTCTGCCAGGTTGAAGATGTTACCTCCGAACTGTGACGAAGGAGCAGCTTGCTCTACCATGCTAGGACACTCGTGCTCAGGCAAAAACGAGGTGGACACATCGTCGATAACCAACTGATTGCGTTTTAGGTCGATATTCGCCTGATATCTTCTTAGCATGTCCAATCCCAAAAGCATGTCGACATGTGTGTCAATGACTGTGAATGTGCACGGGAAGTATCCGTTTTCAATTTTCAATGGAGCAGAATGAATTCTCCCCAATATTTTGGTGGAGCCGACTCCTCGGGCCTCTCCAATAAAACGTTTGTCGATCAGTCTCGTCAGGCCTGTCTTTTCCGCCAGCGAAGGAGAAATGATCGTAGTCTGTGCACCAGAGTCGACAAACGCTTTGACTGGGGTCCCGTTCACCTCGCAGTTGATATACAGCATGTGCACGCTGGTGAACGACTCTGGAGAAATCTCCATGGCTGTTCGCAGATTCTCCTCGATGGCTTCCTGGTTGATCAGCTCCATGATTTTTTTCTGATTTTCCGGATCATCTGGATTACTGTACAGTTGAGCCAGCTCTTTTTGGTGATCTACCTGTAATTGTCGCTGGTTTTCGACCATCTTTAATGCCAGCTCTCTGAATCTCGCAGGGTTGTGCAAGGCGGCCCTGGTCTCTGGATCTAATTGACCTTGGATCTGCGGGTTCGCGAGGTACTGTTGTCGAACTGTCTCAAGCTGGGCGTCCAGGAATCCAAGTTGAGGCTGTTGCACTGGGCCTGACTTTTTCAGGATTAGCAAATCGTCATCTTTGAGTCCAAGGTCTTTGAGAGTCCCTTTTTTCGAGAGATCTAACTGTTTGCCGTCAAAGAGAAGCACCTGTTGGTTTTCATCGATATTTGACTCTGACTTCAAATAAGCCTTGAAATCCGCAAATTCAAGATCTTTGGGCAGATCAGCCGTGATAATTTGGTCCGTTTCCTCAACAGCGATGGTCAAATTCATATCTCTTGTTCTTCGTGGCGATCTGGGGAAATTTTATTTATCAGCTATATTTTAATTTTTTTTGCCACTGGTTGGGTATTTATAGCGATGAAGCGGGCTGCAGCAGTGGCCTCCGAAGGTGGCAAAACCTCGGTGAAAAAGGCAAAACTCATCCAATTGGAGGAGGCGTTTCCCAAACTTGATTACTTTGACCGATTTCGAGACAGTAAGGTGGACCCTGAGAAATTGGCCAAGTTCGAGGAGACAAACACCATAGAGGCCGTCGACGGACTCAAATATATATTGTCGAAAGACCCAACTTTGGAGCGATATCTTACAAAGCCATTCCACTCTTATTTGAAAGATGCGAGCGGAACTAAACCCCTCAAATACTATTTCGATAGCCTAGTCAGCGGAATGATCTCGCAGCAGATCAGTGGGAAGGCCGCCAAAGCGATCAAAAAGAAGCTGATTGACGTACTGTCAAGGGACAGTGAACTTCCAGACCCGGAGATATTCGACTCAAAGTCGATAGAAGAGCTCCGAAGCTGTGGTCTATCAAATAAAAAAGCAGAGTTTGTGAAAAGACTAGCCAAGGCCTTTATCGAGTCAGAGGAGGTGCCCCCAGAGGGGGTCAAATTTTCCCAATTATACTTCCAAACCAAGGACGATATAACCATCAATCTTGATTTACAAAAATTCAAAGGCATAGGGCCGTGGTCCGCGTCCATGTTTCTGATGTTTGCACTCCAACGCTACAATATTTTCGAGGTTGGAGACCTCGGAATACGGCGAGGGGCCACGGTGTATCTCTCTGAACGGCCCGAGCTGCTGGCAGAGATAAACGCAAAGCTCAAGGAGCTAGACCTCCCCAAACTGCCAAAGTCGTCGCAGAATCCAAAGTATGTATCTGACCACGTGATAAACTGTCTGGCACACCAGTTTGTGCCCTACAAGAGTATCTGGATGCTTTTGCTTTGGCGCATAAGTGACACGTCCATCGATGCATTAGAGTAGTGTACATACGGGTTTAATCTAGTTGTTTTGTGGCTGAGCTCGTTCTCTCGCCAGAGGGCACCAGCATGGCCAGCTGTCTGGAATTGATTAGCATTTTAGGGCGTTTGGAGATCAGTTTATCACCTTCGTATTCCTCAACGTCTTCAAGCACAACGTTCACGAAGTCATCGAACCCCACGAGTTTGCCCACGAATTCCTGGTCTGTAGTTAACAGAATCCAAATCTTTGACCCAATACACTTGTCAATCAGCTCCAAAGGAAGCACTATGTCCGACATGTTTAGCAATAGTGTGAACAAAAATAACGGATTTATTTCACCAAAACTTTGTGCCCCGCCACCACCGCCACCTAGAATTTCCAACACCTTTCCAAAAAATGTTATCTATTTACAGCACTTTCTTCCTCCATGTCGTCCATCGAGTCAACAACAGAATCGTCCAGCTCTGCATCATCTCAGGATTCCAAGCAAAAGCTAGACAGTGGTTCCAAACAGAAGCCTGAACATCTATGTATACGGCCGCTCACAATCTACGACTGGCAGCAAGTGATGGAGTTAGAGGCCCAGGGATTCCCCGAACACGAGAGATGCTCCGAGGAGAAAATCAAGTACCGTCTCACAGTGTGTCCGGAGCTGTGTTCAGGACTTTTTGTGAGGGAGTTCGAGGAGAACGCCGCGCAAAACGACAGTCCTCCTCCGCGTTCTACCATCGTGAAAGAAAAGCTTATTGGACACATTCTAGCCACCAAGACTTACGATTCCACCATCACGGAACGGTCTATGGCGATTCCGAAGGACGAAAACGATTCCCAGAGCGGCCACGTCGAGAATAGCCGCACCATCGGCATCCATGCCGTGGTGATCGACAGCCAGTACCGCGGATTGAAACTGGGGTCTCTATTGATCAAGGACTACCTGCAGAAACTGAACCAACAGTATGTGGCAGACAAGGTGGTTCTACTGGCCAAGGCTCAGGTGACGCCGTTTTACCGCGGGCTGGGCTTCGTGGACGACGGCGTGAGCTCTTGTCGGTTCGCGGGCGAGGAATGGCATGATATGCATTGTGATCTTACACACGAAGACGAGGACGAAGACATGTAACAGTGTTTGTGGAATTCTATTAGAAGTATGGGTCGAACAGCCTTTTGAGCCAGTGATTGCGGAACACTCTCATACCGTACGAAGAGCCGGCTTCGAAGTCGCCACGCAGTCGCGCTTTGACAAAGTTGCGCTCCACTATTTCAAGACGTCGTTTGTAGATGGTGAAACTAATAATTGCGTACGCCAGTCCTATGATCAGGTCCAGCCGCCAATGGTGGTCCAGATACATCGTGGCCCACCACTGTAAAATGACAAACACGAACATACCAACTTTTGGGAACCGCCATTTGGTGTAGAACGCGATGAAAAACATGCATTGGACCGCCATCGCCGAGTGCAACGACGGAATGGCTCCGAACACGATCGGGCTCTTATGGAACCCTTTGGAGTTGAGATGTGTGCCGAGCGCGACATCCACACGAGTCAGGCCGGCCGCGTATCCGGGCATATCGTAGTTCGCGGCGGCGTCCTCCCCGTACAAGTGGATGAACCACGGAGGAGCATTTGGAAAGAGCATGTGAGTGATGACGCCGGCGATGTTTTGCGTGCCAAGGGCAAAGGAAAACCATTTAACCGCGCCAGGTGCCTGGAAAACATAGAGATAGATTGCTGTGAACAGCGGCGCAAAAAAATGGAACAGGACGTATGAGACCCACGCCAGCAAGTCCCGTATGGTAGTTTGAGGATAAATTAGCGCGTGATCGATGTTCAGGATTGGCCAGCACAGCGCTAGAATGAGAACGGGGGCTGAATAGATGCAGGAGAGAGGGAGGTAGGTTGGCTGGGACGACGACGTGAGAGGCAGATCTGTCGAGGATCTTCTGGACCCGCTAGAGCCACTGGATCCCTCCGAAATGGTGCCTGTTTGCGACAGATGTGTCATTTCGACGTTATTGTCGAGCTGATTTTCTTCGTCGTTTTTCGTCGAACTCACGAGCACGTGTTCCTCCTGGCCCGACTCAAAGTGGGCACGGTGCGGCACTTGGTATAGATAGCTCCAAAGCAGATATGAACACGTGAATATCAGAAGGAAGGACACCCAGGCAGAGAGTCTGTTGGGGTCAAACACGAATGAGTCCAGCGACATGGCCAGTTTCACGTGGATCGTGGGCCGGATCTCGTTCGGGACAATTCCGGCGTTCTTGAACATCAGCAACCATATAAATACAGGCGAGAAGTTGAGTGCAAAATTCAGGATGAGGCCAAAAATTGATCTCTTGTTCAAAGCCTGGCTTAGCATATGTTTTGCCAGCTGGAACAAGAGTAAGGGTAATCGAGGAATGAGCGATACGGAAGACATGACTATGTGGTTCGCATGTAATTCCGACGGCTTAGAGATGGTGGAAGGCACTGTGACAGTGTCTCTGATGCGACGATATTGTTCCTAGGTGGAAATTTTTTTATTGATCAAAATTCGGTAAGCCTTGCAAGATAGCAAAAACAATACCGAGCTGCATTCGCACCCTTTTTTGACCCTTTTTCAATATTTTTTACATCGATCTCGGGATTATCCAGATTCAGTAGCTTACCAATTATATATGGCTCTCAGTCCTCGACGCCGATCCCTGCGTTTGTCTTGAGCTGCGGCACAGACGTGATTCGAGCGTCAAGCTGTCCCGTGAGCTGCGGATTGTACAACTGCGTGAAGAACTGGCCTGCTCCCTCGGTGAAGGACCCGGTGCTTCGGCCTTGCGAAAGCATCTGGTTCGTGTACCACCACCCCATTCCGTCCCAGATCCTCGATCTCCAGGGCACGACGTTCGCAAACGTATGAATAACCTTCACTATATACTCGTATTCGTCCAGGTCAGGGTGTGCACTTCTAGTTTTGAATTCGTTAATCATGTTGGTGTAGTTCTGCACAATGGTGAGGTGGCTGTTTTTAGTTATGAGAGAGTTGTAGTCATCTGAGTGCTTTCTGTAGTCGATAACCAGGCCCTCGATCACTGCCGAGAAGATTACCTGCGCGTCGTAGTGGATCGTGACGGTGTCTGTCTTGGTAACTTCAGTGGCCGCTGTGCTGGACATGGACGCGCGCGGGGTGTCTGTGTTGACCGATGTGGATGACAGGGTTGTTGTGGTAGTGATGTAAGCTCCTGTGCTTGATGCCATGGTCGAGGAGGCGGCTTGTGACGGTCCAAATGACGTGACCGTGGTCTCTGTGTTTGCGTCGGAGATATACACCCACGGCTGGTAATATGTCGTGGTGAGGTAATCGGAATTTGCCGTTGGCGTGTCATAAAGCATCTGGAGCACCAGGTACGAGCTTTTGGCCTCCTCGAGAACGCGGCCGCTCCATGGAAGCTGGCTCAAATACGCCAGCAGCGTATCGCATTCCAGGTTCACTCGCAAAAGATCGGACTCCGAAGAGTATGCGCTGACTATCTCGTTGAGGCTTGTTGCAAAGCCAGGGTTTGTGATGGCCATGCTGTTGTATTGTCGGCCGTAAGTAGCAATGTCGTAGCAGAGTGCATTGCACTTGGCCAGCTTGTAGTAGGTCATGTACGTGGCCGACTGGTCGTCCGGAATGATGATCTCTGTGTCCCAGCTGGATTGGGATGGCGTTGAGGACGGGAACGTCAAAATGGTCTGGATAGCCGAGTCGACAGAGGTGAAGCTGGTGTAGTAGTTGGTGGCCACCGACAGCACGTATTGTTGGGCAGTTGAGGGCAGTTCCGAGAGCATGGAGGTTGCATAGTTGATAATGGAGGTTGCTAGCAGATGGTCGAAAAACAGGTTGTTGTCGTACTCGCTGGCCAGCGACGCAAAAACCGAGGCCTCGGTGCTTGGAAAATAGGACGTTTCATGAGTATAGTAGAAGTAATCGCGCATCGCTAGACCCACGGCATAGTTGTAGTCTGCTTCGGCCACGACGCTATTGATGCACGCTCCAAGCAGCGGAAACAGCGCGAAAGCTAAAAGCATGGGCGGAGCGGGAATCCAGCTGGAACGGTTGAATTAATGCAATTTCGTATCTGGCTCTCGTCGGTGCAGAGATGAGTAGGGTGAAAAATAAAAATATTAAATTAAATAAGCCTTTCTTATGGACCAGTTCCAGAACACGTCGTTTGCACAGATGCTGCAGGCGCACGCACCTCAGCAGCCGCAGATAAACTTGGAGATAGACAAGAAACGAATTGATGTGCTGCTCAAAATCAATACTGTCCTGCTCCAAAAGTGCCTGCTTCTCCAGCCCTACATCCTGAACAAGTCCAACTCGATGAACCCGGACTACAACCAGAGAAAAGAGACGTACCAGAACTACCTGAAGCGAATTCACTTCAATCTCACGTGTCTGGCTTCCATCAACGATATCCACTCCACTCCGCCCAACGTGCCTAAGAAAAATTACAGTATTCCGCAAATAGTTCTTCCGCCGCCAGAACTGCCCGAGCTCAACGAGCCTTACAAGCTACTCAACCAGCTATATCCCGAAGCGTTGCCATTTTTCCAGAGACGCATGGAGGCAGCAAGACAGCAGCCCCAACAGATGCCCCAGATGCCCCAGATGCAGCAGATGCAGCAGATGCAACAGCGCCAACCTCAGCCTCCAACCCAACCTCAGCCTCCACAACAACACCAGCAGCAATTCCAGTTCCGCAACCAGACATTTCCGCAAGAGGAGCAGCATAGCCAGATGAACTTCGCCTGGAACTCGCCTTCTGACCTGCTGGCCCCGCGTGCCAAACAACAGCAGCAGGCTCCCCAGCAACACCAGATGTACTCGCAATTTATACAACAGCAGTTGAATCAGCAGCACCAGACTATCCAGACGCCTCAGACCATGCAACCGCAGCAGGCGCATCAGCAGCAGCAACCACAGCAACAGCAGCAACCCGTCTTCAACCAGTACACTCCTCAGGACTTCACTAATTTCCAGCAGCCTCAGCAGCAGTCGTTCAATGGTAACATGGGGCATTTTGAGACAAAAAATGGCAGCTCTGTGCCTTCTGCTGGCAGCTCCACCATGCTGAGTCCAGAGCAGATTCTCGCGAGCGTCAACAACCAGCAGTCTTCGACCTCTTTAGATGGATGGTGAGGCGTCGATCGTCTCTATTTTTTTGCGTCGTTGCGCGAATCTAATAAATATTCAAATTAGACTTGTTGTAACACTAATTTCTCTTCCCCACACTGATTTGCTCATGCCCTCGGGAACCAGCAAACCTCGCACCCTTCACGAGCTGACGGGGCTGGTCGACGAGCTGCTTGAGTCGTTGAAGGTCGGCTCGTCGAATTCCACCAAAGAGCACCTTGTGAAGGCCCTCGAGTGCATTGAGAACTACAAAGGCGTTGTTGGGCAGAAACATGTTTCTGAGCTCGCAACATCGGAATTCGAGGAGGGGTTTATCTATTACAATGCAGCATCTAGGATATTGAGCGAGCTAATCCCAAACCTCAACGACTATCGCCAACTCAAGCAGAAGCCCAGCCTATACCAGTTTTACGCAGATCTGATCAATTACCTAGTGAGACAGCGCCCCACATATGAGGCTATGAAACAACATATTCGTGGATCCTCGGACAGTCTGGTTTTGAGGCTGCAGACCCTAAAGGGCGGGACAGACACGGTGTCGAATGGTTCGGCCAAAAAAGACTTTACCCAGCTGTTCGATTCCTTCGGCGATGCCGTTTCAGTTTCGCAGCTCTTGTCGCTGCTGAAACACCACTCTGACCTCGTATTACTTATAGATTTGCGCCGCAAACGAGAATTTGAGTTCGAACATATAGACCTCGCAGATCATATCATACAGTTGGAGCCTGTGTCAATCAGAGACAGCTACACCTGTCACGAGATAGAAAAATATTCCATGATCACGGACACAGACGAAGAACGAGAACTGTTTGCACGGCGAGACCGCTTTGAATTGGTTATTGTTCTAGACTACAATTCCACAAGGGAGTCCAAAAGTCCGGAACTTGCGCGATTGATATCAATACTGACCACCAAAAATGCTGGGGTCTTTCTTAAGCGCAAACCGGTCATTTTAGACGGCGGCTACAAGGCATGGTCGGAGTCCCGATCTTCTCTGTCGTCGCCAATGCATGGGCCCCGGCCCGTTTATGGACGTGACCGGTCGGAGTCTGTGAACTCTATCTCCAGCCACGAAGACATCACAGTCAAACGACGGACGTCCTACAACGAACGGTCGCTCATCAAGAATGTCGGTGAATTTCTTTCTGGCCAGTCCAGACCGCAATCCAGCCAGAGCTCAGTCGAACTCAAGTCCCCTGCAGTCGTGCCCTACCATGAAATGTATAGCCGCATGGACCTCCCGTCCCCAAAACCCGAATTGTCCAAATCATCGAGCTCACCGTCACGGCCTTCTCCTGCATTGTTGTCGCCAGCGCTTCTTCCCAGCTCGCGAAGCTCGCCGCCTAAAGCGCAGCTACCAATGCTGCCAACGAAACCTATATCGTCGCCGGCACCAGTCTCCAGATCAGGCTCTGTGTTCCAGAACTCTCTAAGTGTCATGACTGGCCTGACAAACCTGGGAAATTCCTGTTACATGAACTCTGCGCTCCAGTGTCTAATTGGCTCCAAACGACTTACCGAGTTCTTTATTGTCGGCACATTCAAACAGCACATCAACATGAATTCCAGACTGGGATCAAAGGGCATACTGGCGAACGAGTTCTCATCGTTGCTGACAGAACTATACAGGAAAAGCAGTCCCAGCCGTCCGCAATCGGTAACGCCCCGTCAGTTTCGCAAAGTGATAGCATCTCTCAATAGCATGTACAGAACGTTGGACCAGCAGGATTGTTCGGAGTTTTTGAACTACGCGCTCGACTCCCTCCACGAAGACCTCAACGAGAACGGCAATCATCCGAAATTGCCCGAGCTGAGCAAAGAGGAGGAAGAAAAACGCGAGAAACTGCCAATTAGAATCGCCTCGACAATCGAGTGGGAACGGTATCTCAAAACCAATTTCAGTATCATCGTGGACATTTTCCAGGGCCAGATCATGTCGCAGCTCCGGTGTCTGAACTGCTCCACCACTTCGACCACATACAACGCATTCAGCACTGTGAGTTTGCCGATTCCCGAGAACGGCCCCAAATCCACGCTGGCTGCTTGTTTTGACGAGTTTGTCAAACCCGAGCTGCTCGAAAACGACAATGCGTGGCTCTGTCCGCACTGCAAAACAAAGCAACGTACGCTGAAGCACCTCCAGATCTCCAGACTGCCCCAAGTGCTTATCATCCACCTCAAACGCTTCAAAATGGGCAACTATCTAACCAAGCTCAATACCTACATCGACTATCCTTTGGAACTGCAGCTGGATAAGTATTGGCCCAACGTTGGGAGCGAGCTTGAACGCCTCGAGCTTAGCAGACTGCCGATCAGAGGACAAGTTCCGCCTTTCAGATACAAGCTATACGGAGTGATCAACCATTATGGAAACCTCATCAACGGCCATTACACTGCCTTTGTCGAGAAGGGACCGGGCAACGGCTGGTGTCTATTTGACGACGAAAAGGTGTATAAAAACTGCGCGCCAAGTAAAGTTGTCAACGGAGACGCGTACATGCTATTTTACGAACGTGTCTAATTTTCCACCTCTCCAATGGTATAGATACCCTCGCTCGCGCCGTTCAGATCGATGAACTTGTCGCATTTTGGCACCTCATTTGCAACATGTCCAATCACAAGGACGCATCCTTTCCACTGGTCGATCAGACTCTTGCCCTTGATGATGTCCTCGTTGGACATGGCACTGAGTGACTCGTCTAAAATTAATATTTTTGGCTGGTTGATCATGGCGCGCAGCAAAAGCACCATTTTCTGACTGCTCACAGACAGATCTTCGAACTTTGTATCTTTGTACTGCAACAACCCGACGTTTTCCAGGTATCTGGCGATTTTCTCTTTCTGTTCGGGTGTCGTCTTGGGAGGTATGTACGAGCCCGTTTGGTAGCCTGTCGAGATTGCTTCTTCGACAGTGAGATGTTTGGGGAAAATGGCGTGTATTTCCGGAGACGTGAACCCGATCTGCTTGTTGGTGTCAAAGTAGTTGGTTTTTCCCGTTGCTCGTGGAACGCCATTCATTTTAATATGTTTGTTCCAAGCCTGCGGGTGGTCCAACGTAATCAGAGACAGAAGCGTGGTTTTTCCAGAGCCATTTCTGCCTCTGATGTGCCATTTCTCGCCGTCCCGAACAACCCAGTTCAGATTCTTCAAAGCAGGTTTACCTCGGTACACAACGTTCACGTCGGACATCTCGAGCAATGGTGTTTCGGAGCGTTCTGAAGACTGTTCGTGAGGATGGTACACCTTGGCTTCCAGCTGACTTTTCATCTGTTGCTGCTGTTCTCTGTGCGCGGAGCGCAGGCTGTTCAGCGTGTCCACCAGATCTGCTCTGTTTCCGCTCTCGATAATTCCAGTGTGGTCCACAACGGCCACCTTTTCTATCCACTGGGGAATCTCGTCCTCTAGTTTGAGCCCGAGACACACGGTGGTGGGAGCCGCTGTGTGCTCCAGAACACTCGAAACGGTCTTCTTCGCAACAGGGTCCAGCCCCAGAAACGGGTCCTCGATCATGAGCAGGTCCGGCTTGCCGTAGAGACTCTTTGCTATGCGGGCCCGCCTGAACTGTCCGTTACTGAGCGTGGTAATATATTTCTGCTCAAAGCCCTTGAGACCGACCTTTTCAAGGATCTCGTCCAGCAGGCGGGGATCTTTTTGGTGTTGCGAGTTGTACGAAATGTTGGCCACAAAATCGGCCACCAACTCGTCCACCTCGCGGTCCTTGAAAAATTCGTATCGGCTGGACAGATGGGTAAATCCACCGGAGGAGTTGGTGGCTCCATGGCCAAACGAGCCGTTGTTGACAAAGTGTAGCAGCTCAATTCGCATGTCTGGTTTTTTCAGACGCAGCGGATACGTTCTGGCACGCGGATGGGGTAGAGCGAAGAAGGAGCCTTGGAGAGCCTGGAGAAACTTGGAGCGGTGAGAGTCTCCCACAATGGCCCATTTTTCGCTCTGAAAAAGCGAGAATGTGATTGGGTTCTGAAAAACAAGCGACTCCGGCTGGTTTTTCAGCGTCTTCGATAATAAACAGCCTTCCAGTCTCACGATAGAGCTCATAACTGACTCTTATAATAAATTTCTGCCAAAATTTCCGGGCACATATCCAATAAATATTTAACGCACCGTTTTCTGGTAAACAAGGCGAAGCATCCGGCTGTTTACCATGGACAAATTTGTTTACAAGAGGCTGCCGAATGCTCCCGAGGAGCATCTCTCCGAAAAGGAGAAAATGGAGATGGAGTTCGGCACGCTGACCTCAAAAGATTACCTGTACGAGGTGAGCTACGACCCTAATCAGCCGTTGAATCCTGCCGTGGACGAGCCTCCGTATTTCGTGGTCATCTTCACGTATCTGAACTACCTTATTCTCATCATTATCGGCCATCTAAAGGACTTCTTTGGGAAGCGGTTCATGCCGCAGTATTTCGAAGCCGTGCTGCCGAAAAACGGATACCCTCCGTGGTACTCGGCTTTCGAGTCGTTCTACCCGCGTCGTTTGAAGAAAAGACTGGACGACTGCTTTGCGCGGCCGATTTGCGGTGTTCCGGGCCGTTTTGTGAGATGCTTTGACCGCATCTCGCCAGACTACAACGAAACCTTCCTTTACAGCGGAGAGCTGAAGCCGCTGCTTAATTTATCCTCCTACAACTATCTCGGGTTTGCTCAATCCATCGGATCTTGCACGGACTCCGCTATCAAGAGCGTGGAGGAGTACGGCACCTCTTCGTGTGGTCCAAGAAACCAGATCGGAACCTGTGACCTCCATAAGGAGACTGAGGCATTGGTGGCTCAGTTCGTCGGTAAAGACGACGCGGTGATGTTTTCCATGGGATTTGGAACCAACGCCAATCTGTTCACGTCGTTGGTAAACTCGAAGTGTCTCGTGATCTCAGACTCGCTGAACCACAGCTCTATCAGATTTGGTATCCGTCTTGCCGGTGCGGCCGTTAAAGTGTTCCCGCACAACGACATGAAAAAGCTCGAGCAGATTCTGAGGGAGTCGATTTCACAGGGCCAGTCCAAAACTCACCGCCCCTGGAAGAAAATCGTTGTATGTGTGGAAGGTCTGTACTCGATGGAGGGAAACCTCGTCGATCTGCCAGCCCTGGTGGCTTTGAGAGAAAAATACAAATTCTACCTGTTTGTGGACGAGGCACACTCGATCGGGGCTCTGGGAAAGTCCGGTAGAGGAGTTTGCGACTATTTTGGAATCTCGCCTTCCAAGGTGGACATGCTCATGGGCACCTTCACCAAGTCGTTCGGAGCCGCAGGTGGATACGTGGCGGCGGATCAGGAAATCATTGACAGACTCAGACTGGACATCAGTACCAACGTTTACGGAGAGTCGATGCCGCCGGCTGTGGTCACTCAGATCAACACCTCGTTGAGAATCATTATGGGACAAATCAATGGCGACGAGGGCAAGCAAAGACTGCAAAGAATCGCTTTCAACTCTAGATACCTGCGTCTTGGGCTCAAACGGCTTGGTTTCATCATTTACGGTGTGGACGACTCCCCCGTGGTTCCTCTGTTGCTATATGCGCCTCCGAAAATGCCTGCGTTCAGCAGAATGATGTACGAACGCGGCGTAGCTGTCGTGGTGGTGGGCTATCCGGCCACAGAGCTCATATCGTCGCGTGTCAGACTGTGTGTTTCAGCCTCGCTAACGAAGGAAGACATCGACAGAATCCTCACCATATGCGACGAGATCGGAGACAAGCTGTATCTGAAATTCAGCTCGGGCATCTCTGGCGGAGAGAAACACCCGGGAGACTACAAAAAAGGAATCCCCCCTAGATGGAGCCTCAAGGAGGTTTTAGAACGCACTCCTGAGGACTGCAAGAAGCCTACCTACTAATTTCGTCAGCATACACTAAATAATTCAGTCAAATATCCTACTTATGTTGTATTTACAGTTGCTGTTGTTGCCGCTTTTCCTCTGTCGCGATCTGCAGCTCGTCCAGTCTTTCTTTGGTCAACAGTCTCTTCATTCTCGCCTTTTCTTTAGTCTCGTGCTTGCCAGGACGAAGCAGCTGTCTTCCTGGCCAGATCTCAAAGTCCTGCATGTATCTTTTGTCAAAGTTGAACTCCATGTGGACTACTTCGTCGGTAAGTCCTAACTTCTCGATCGCCCAGTAATATCTCTTGGGATTGTCTTTTTTCAAGTACTTGAGCAGTTTCTGTCTTTGCTGGGTCAGCATACGTGCATGGCGGATATGAATTTTGTCCTGCGGGTTCTTCTTGATGTGGTCCATGAGATTAAACAGCTTCACAGTCATGACAGCGGCCTGGACCTCTGACGAGCCGGTATCGCCCTCAAACCTGCCAAACTCGGCAACGGCCATGGCCAACATCCGTTTGTTCTTTTCCTGTTCGTCTGTATTTCTCATGCTGAGTATTCGAAGCAGCACCTCTCTTTTTTCCGCCTCTTCGTTTTCGATTTGCTTCACTGTGGCCTCGTCGTAACCGAGCGTCGACACAGACCTGAGAACCTTGGATTCCTTGGCTCCGTAGAGCAGCTTGTCTACCTCTGTAAGATCGAATTTCTTAGCCAGCACGTTTGGCTCCTCAATCTCAAGTTTCAGTCTCTCGATAAACGGATTGTTGGCTCTGCCGAGAACAGGATCAACCTTTTCCTTGGTGAGCAACTTGCTGCTTTGCAGCACGATGTTGCGCTTCTTTTTGTGTGATGCAATCTCCATGCGCTTCTGCTTGCTCAGCGCAGCCGCCACACGCGAGGTGTGGAACCTTCTGGCCTGTTGTTGGAAGGACTGTAGCATACCAGTTTTCAATAAAGTGGTGAATTTTTCATAGAGGAGGGTAACCACAACAGAGCTGGCCAAATTATTGGGATGAAAATTTTTTCTCTTATTCCACTATGAAGTATATCCAATCCTCCGAAATCCTCGACGTTCCTCAAGACGTGTCTCTCGTCATCAAGTCGCGTAACATCCTCGTGAGAGGCCCTCGCGGTGAACTGAAGAAAGACCTGCGCCACATCGATGTTACCTTCACCAAGTTGTCCAATACACAGATTAAAATCACTGTTCACAACGGAGACAGAAAACATGTCGCCTCGCTGAGAACCGTGAAATCTATCATTGCCAACTTGATCAAGGGCGTCACTGTCGGCTTCAGATACAAGATGAGGTTTGTGTATGCCCACTTTCCTATCAACGTCAACGTTGTGAACGAGGATGGTCAGGAGTACGTCGAGATCAGAAACTTCTTGGGAGAAAAAAGGCTCAGAAAAGTCAAGGTGTGGGAGGGCTGCAAGGCCGTCATCTCCACCGCCCAGAAAGACGAGCTCATTGTCGAGGGAAACTCTCTCGAGAACGTGTCGCAGACGTGCGCAGACATTCAGCAGATCTGCAGGGTCAGAAACAAGGATATCAGAAAGTTCCTGGACGGTATCTATGTTTCTGAAAGAGGCCACATTGTGGAGGCCTGAGCATATAGTTATGATGACACTTTCCGCCAATTTGTGCTGCGAGCGCCGGGTGCCTCGCAGTGCTGCGAATCGTTGCTTGCTGCAAAAGACGGCTCTTTACGATTACGCAAGTAGTTTCTGTAGATCCTGGTGTAGAGCCTGTGTAGTGTCTTCTCCCTGTATCCCCGGTGTCGGGTGTGATTATTTTTCTCGTCCCGGCGATTGGCCAGACCGGCTTTTTCTTAGCTGAGATTACTTAATGTGTGACTCTGCAGACTCTGGGCCCATTTGTGTGCTAACTAATTAGTAAGTGGTGGCAGCAATATATAAATTGCCGATTTCCTGTGCGGGGTGAACATCATTGCAATGGCTTCCTTCTCTAGAACCGTCCCCAAACTCAGCTTCCGGCCTCTCATCGCAGTCTCTCTAGCTGCTGCCGGAGCGTATGCTTACAACGAGAACAATGGCCCTTCTCCGAGTCGCAAACCGAAGAATTCTGGCAAGCTCTTGGCTTCGTCAACGTTGTTGGCTACCAACGTGAGAGAGGCCAGCGCCGCCGTCAAGCCTTTCGAGGAGTATCAAAAAATTTACAACGACATAGCAGAAAAGCTCAGAGAGGAAGACGACCACGACGATGGCTCGTATGGCCCTGTTTTGGTGAGACTGGCCTGGCATTGTTCCGGCACGTACGACCAGAACGATCCGTCGGCGAACAAGGGTGGCTCGTACGCTGGAACAATGAGGTTCCAGCAAGAGCAAAACGACCCAGAAAATGCAGGCCTAAAGGTGGCACAGGATTTTTTGGAGCCATTCAAGACTAAATATTCCAATCTGTCGTACGGCGATCTGTGGACGTTGGGAGGCGTGTGCGCCATCCAGGAGCTGAGCGGACCAAAAATCAAATGGAGACCCGGCCGCAAGGATCTCGGCTTGGACGCCGTTCCTCCATACCACCGGCTGCCAGATGCGTCTCAGGAGACCGGAGAGTACGTGAGATCGGTGTTTAACGGCAGATTGGGCTTTACGGACCAGGAAATGGTGTGTCTGATTGGCGTGGGTCATGCTCTGGGCAGATGCCACCCCGACGCATCGGGCTACGACGGCCCGTGGACGTTCTCGCCTACAATGGTGACGAACGATTTTTTCAAGCTGCTTTTGGACGAAGACTGGAAAATCAGAAACTGGGACGGGAAAAAACAGTACACCGACTCCAGCACCAAGTCTTTGATGATGCTGCCAACCGACATGGTGCTGAAAAAGGACTCCAAGTTCAGAAAGTACGTTGAGCTGTATGCCAAAGACGAGGAGAAGTGCATGTCGGATTTTGCCGACGTGTTTTCAAGACTCCTTGAGCGGGGAATCAAGTTCCCAGATTCCACCAAGCCCATGGTTTTCAAAACTCTCGAGGAACAGGGACTCTAAATATATAAGTATAGGCATGTAGCGTAAACTATAGGATTCCATTTTTCTGGCTGTGTAATCGCAGGCTATTTTCATCGGAGTGTCTCTACCTCAGGAATTATTTCGAATTTATTTCTCCAATGGTGAAACCAATTATTGCTCCCTCTGTTCTGGCAGGTGACTTTGCGCAGCTCGGCTGCGAGTGCCACCGCATGTTTAAGTGCAACGCCGATTGGGTCCATTTGGACGTCATGGATGGCCATTTCGTCCCTAATCTCACCATGGGTCCGCCTATAATTTCCAGCCTGAGAAAGGCTGTTCCGAGAGACGAGAGCCAGCCGGGGAAATTCTTCTTCGACTGTCATATGATGGTCGCCAACCCTGAGCAGTGGGTTCCTGAGATTGCAGATGCTGGCGGCGACCAGTATACGTTCCACTACGAAGCAACCAAGGACCCTGTCGGACTTTGCAAGCTGATCAAAAAGCATGGCATGAAGGCCGCATGCGCCATCAAGCCGGGCACACCGGTCGACGTGCTCTATCCACTCGCAGAGCACCTGGACATGGCCCTTGTGATGACGGTCGAGCCAGGCTTCGGAGGCCAGTCGTTCATGGCTGACATGATGCCCAAGGTTGAGACTCTGCGTGCCAAGTACCCGCATCTGAACATCCAGGTTGACGGAGGACTTGGTCCCAAAACCATCCCGGCTGCTGCCAAGGCGGGAGCCAACGTCATTGTTGCCGGCACGTCTGTGTTCAAGGCAGAGAAACCGGAGGAAGTTATCCAGCTGCTCAGAGATTACGTGTCGAAAGAACTGGAGTCCCGCGGACTTCTTGAGTGACGCAACTTGCCGCAATTCGGCGCATTATTGGTCTTTTTCGATTAGCATAAATCATTCTATTCTATAAAGTCAGCGGTCCTCCCAGTGTAGTACCCTCGCCTGAAACGTCGTACGCAAACCCACTGGACGCTGCGTCCTCGACCACCGCCCACAGGGCACTTCGCACGGTCTCCTGGGATTGTTCAGTGGCCTCGTCGATCTCCATCTGCTCCTGCTTGGCCTGAGCGTCCACCAGCAGCTGGTCGGTGTCCAGATTACGGGCTTTGGCGTACTTCTTGTTTCTCTCGATTTTTTTGCTCTTTTTGTTCGACAGGGTCGTAGTAGTGACACCAGAACGGGATGGGCCCGTGTACAACGCGACGGCTGTAGACTTTGGTGCGGCGTCTCTGGAGGAGCTCCGCAAACCAGCTCTCTTCTTCCCCAGCGACTGGCGCTTTTGCCGTCTGAGAATGTTGTCTTTGGGTTTGTTGATGCTGTTTCTAGATGGCATACTGACAGATTTGACTTTTTTTCTCTCTAGTAAAATTTACTTTAAAATTTTCAACCACACCTTAGGCCAGATACGATAAGATAAGCACACGTAGCAGCAAGTGAAACACGAGAGGCCCGAGGAAGGGGATCGACTAGCTCATATGAGACTGGATGAATGGGATGCAGACGTGATCAGATGAATGCTAAGTTGTGTCTGTCCAGACAGAAGAAGAAAACACTTACACGAGGGCTTCTGACGAGACCCTGCGTCGTAGACGGTACCTCCGGCAGACTAAGACGGGGGTCGACTTCAAGCATATCTTGGAATGGTTCCAAAACCGTCTGCGGAATCCGAAAAAGGCGTCCAAAGACAAAACTTGCTACACGCAAAACTTTGCAGTGGATCAAAAATGGGTTTTTGTTTCCCACCAATAAACATTCCCTTGTACCAGGTTGTGAATCTCGGAGTTGCAGAGAGCAGAGGTTCATTCCGTCTGGGTATGACGTCAACAAGTTGCAGTGACGTGGTACAACAAGACGCTTGTTTGTGTGGTGCGGAAGGAGCCGGAAAAACATTCAGGATCTGAGCAGGATTAATTACGCGGTGGGCGGGACGCATACGAGTCTTTGTGCAGGAAGGCTAGACTGATCCGAGTTAGCCAAGTAACAGAATAGGCAATTCAGCACAGATCTCATAGCTTGGTATCAAAAGCATCTGCACAAATAAGGTCCTATAGTTGCTTATTATGCCAAACTATAACGATTCTTTTTCATGGCACTTGTTGATCTGCAGGTAAACGTCATACTCGTTTCTTTGTACACTGCTTAACCTTCATTTTTTTTTTTTGTTGAGGGACTACCTTGCCTAATACTCATTTAAAACCCAGCTTTCGCCATCTGCTCTGATTCAAGATACAACACATCTCAATTCACAATATGACTGCTATGGATAGACTGGATCACGTTAGTAACCAATTGGCCGCAAAGCGCCAGAAGAAAAACCCGGAAGGCAAGCCTTTCCGCATCACCGTGGTGGGCTCCGGCAATTGGGGGTCAACGATCGCAAAAGTGGTCGCCGAGAACGCTAAGGAGCTTCCGGAGGAGTTCCATCAGATTGTGAAAATGTGGGTTTTCGAGGAGGAAGTGGACGGACGTAAGCTGACCGAAATTATCAATACGGACCACGAGAACGTCAAATACCTCCCGGACGTCAAGTTGCCTGATAACATTGTTGCCATTCCGGACATTGTTGACGCTTGTGCGGACGCCGACATTATCATTTTCAATATCCCTCACCAGTTTCTGCCAAAGATCCTTGCCCAATTGAAGGGCAAGGTCAACCCAAAAGCACGCGCAATCTCCTGTCTGAAGGGTCTTGAGGTCACCAAGGACGGCTGCAAGTTGCTCTCGAACTATATCACGGAGGAGCTGGGAATTTACTGTGGTGCCCTTTCAGGAGCCAACCTTGCTCCGGAGGTTGCCAGACAAAAGTGGTCAGAGACCACTGTGGCTTACAGAATTCCTCAGGACTTCCGTGGCGAAGGCAAGGATGTCGACCAGAGCGTGATCAGAAACCTTTTCCACCGCCCATACTTCCACGTCCGAGTCATCGACGACGTTGCTGGTGTGTCCTTGAGTGGGGCTCTGAAGAACGTCATTGCCATGGCCGCCGGCTTCGTCGAGGGACTTGGCTGGGGAGACAATGCGAAGTCAGCTGTGATGCGGATTGGATTGGTCGAGATGATCAAATTTGCCCACATGTTCTTTGAAGACTGCCAGTCCACCACTTTCACTCACGAGAGTGCTGGTGTTGCGGACATCATCACGACGTGCGCCGGAGGCAGAAACGTGCGTGTTGGAAGATACATGGCAGAGCACAAGGTGAGCGGTTTTGAGGCGGAGAAGGTCTTGTTGAACGGCCAGTCCTGCCAGGGTCTGCACACCACCAGAGAGGTGTATGAGCTGCTGGCTGCCAAGAACGTGATCGACGAGTTCCCGCTCTTCAAGGCCACGTACCAAATCATTTACGAGGGGCTTCCTATGGAGAAGTTGCCAGAGTTGCTTGAGGCATCTGAGGACTAAAAAAGCTTGGTTGCAATTTTTATACACTTAGTTCGAAAATAATATAGCTATAGCTCAAGTGCAATAGAGAATAAAAATGGGTAAAAATGAGTTAAAATAAAATATATAAATTGTGTTGAGCATGTTTTTCAGACAAATTTGTTCGCGCAGCAGAGTCGGACTCTCCTCGGGAGTTTTCCCGAAAGTCAATGTGCGTTTGCAGTCCACAAGGGCTGCCGCTTCCAAGAACCAGCTGACGCCTGAGGAATTGGAGCTGGCAAAGAAAATGACGTGGGAACAGTTTTTGGCTCTGAGAAAAGAACAGCACCGCATGTCGTTGCTTGGATCCGGTATCTCGAGTTTCCTTGCCGTTGCGATCTCCTGGGGATACGTTTCGCAGATTGAGATCGACCCTACAGAGACCATATTCGGACTAGACACTTTCACCGTTCACATTGGAGGCATTTTGGCGATGGGAGTGCTGGGATTTTTGGTTGGGCCTAGCTTGATTGGCGATCCATTGTTTGCTCTGAAGAACCGCAAGCTCATGGACAGTTTCCGCATCAAGCAAAAGCTGTTTCTCAGACACATAATCAAGCGCAGAGTGGACGCCTCCAGACAGAGCATGAATAATCCTGTGCCAGACTACTACGGCGAGAAGATTGGGTCACTCAAGGACTACAGACAGTGGCTCAGAGACTGCAACGAGTACAGACGCAAGGCGAGAGAATTCTTGTAGATGGGTGTATGTAGGTAGTGCTTATGTAAAAAGAGTCAAGAAAAAACAAGCTTTTTAAATAATGTCGAGTGGGTCTAGTTCGAATCTGGAAGACCTATATTTGCAATCGTACTCGTTTACGACGACGGCTGCTATTATTGGCTCTGTTGACAGGAAGGTGTTTGTGCTGTTGAGAGACGGCAGAAGCGTTATTGGCGTGCTCAGAACGTTTGACCAGTTTGCCAACCTTGTCATTCACGACGGTGTGGAACGGATTTATCTGGATAGGTCGCGTTACGGCGAGTCGACGGAACCGCAGATATTCCTAATCAGAGGCGAGAATGTTGTCATGATGGGCGAACTGGACATCGACAAGGAGGACGAGCCACTTGAAAAGCTGACGAGAATAGACTATGGGGCCGCCTTTGGCGAGTGGAAAAAAGCACAAACGGAGATCGTGGAGAGACACGCGATTGAGGACAAGCAACTGAGAACCAAGGGCCATCTGACGTCGTTTTTGACCGACGAGTTCTACTAAGTGGAAGCTCCTGTACATTAAATCATTAAATGCTATTAGATGCTATGAATGCTAAGCGTCCTGTACCTCGTTCTTGTCGCTGAAAAGCACGTAGTCGCGGGCTCTTCCTATAGGGTACCGTTTGAGCGTTCCGCACACACACGATACAGCAAGAACGTCATTTTCTGCGCTCTTGGCGTTGCTGGTATTTTCGATCCTAATCGAGGCTGTCCGTCCGGGCAGCTGTAGACGGTGGCACTTCTTGCAGATAGTGCGTTTCAAGCTGGGGTCGAGTTTGAGCACCGTCTTCTTGGCCACTACGTCCATGTTGCGCAGGTACATCCTTGACAGCGCACCGTTAGGATCCAGTTGCGCAGCCGCCTGGTACAGAAACCCGAGCCGCTGGTAGTGGTCGTTTTTGGGCACCGTTTTGGGCGGTCTGTGTGTCTTGGCCGGATTCTGCTTCTTCATAAAAAATGCATTAAAATAAATTCAAATATATTTTTTGCCACATTTCTTATGAGTGGTTACGACAGTGCTTTATCTATTTTCAGGTAAGTAGACAGACAATTCCTGACTAACAACCAGCCCCGACGGACACGTGTTCCAAGTGGAGTACGCCCTGGAGGCCGTGAAACGTGGAACGTGTGCGGTGGGCGTGAAGGGCAAGGAGGTTGTGGTTCTTGCGTGTGAGAGACGAACCACACTGAAATTGCAGGATCCGAGAATCACGCCGTCGAAAATCAACAAGATCGATACACACGTGCAGTTGGCGTTTGCTGGGTTGAACGCAGATGCGAGAATCCTGATCGACAAGGCCCGTGTCGAGGCGCAATCCCACAGACTGACCCTGGAAGACCCGGTGACGGTGGAATACTTGACCAAGTACGTCGCGGGCGTGCAGCAGAGATACACCCAGAGTGGTGGAACCCGGCCTTTTGGTGTTTCGACGCTCATTGCAGGCTTTGACGAGAACGACAAGACGCCTAGGTTGTACCAGACAGAACCTTCAGGAATTTACTCGGCGTGGAAGGCCAACGCCATTGGGCGCAGTAGCAAGACGGTGCGCGAGTTTCTGGAGAAGAACTACGACAAGGAGCAGGAGCTGGACGAAGCGCAAACCATCAAGCTGACCGTCAAGGCGCTGTTGGAGGTGGTGCAGACCGGAGCCAAGAACATCGAGATTTCCGTGATGAAGCCTGGCAGAGTGATCAGCCAGCTGTCCAACGACGAGATCGAGGCGATTGTGCAGGAGATAGAGGCAGAGAAGGAGGCCGAGGCAGAGAAAAAGAAGCCGAAGAAAGCCAGTGAATAGATCCACCATAGCTAGTAATTCTATTTACAATGTCCTAGTTTCGCCCTCCACGTCGATGATGTCGCCCTCGCTCGACGGCGTCTTGATGACGAAACGCTTGTTGGCCACAAAGCCAAGTGGAATGATCTCGATCACGCACTGGCTCTTGCCGACGCTGATGCTTTGCTCCAAAAGGTCCTGGAAGATCGGGGTGTCCAAATTTTTCAGACTAAAAATGACCTTGGCAATTTTGTCACCGGACCGTTTGTCGTAGAGATATCTGCTTTGTACTGTTATCATATCCTCCACTTCCTGGACGACACCGTTGATTGTCTGTAGTGAGACGTTCCAGTCGTACTGCACGCCGTCCAGAACGCCCAGAGCAATGTCGTTGACCGACTGGACGTTGAAGTAGTCTGCAACGCCATCCTCGTTCAGCAGGAACGCGTCAGAGACACGCCGGAGCACGAAGTTGGCCAGGTCGCTGTTGATCTGCTCGATCGGCGGCAGCACCAATGGGTTTGCGCTGTTTCGGGGCCGGAAAATCAGCGTCGAGTCTTTGAGCAGCGTCCATTTCTCGCTCATCTGCTTGCGGTTGCGTCTCTGGGCGATTTTGTACGCCATGAATGAACCCACGCAGAGCGGCGGAACAACCAGTGCAAATATTGGCAGCGCAACAAACACCACCAGCGAGCCAACAGCCGTGAGTCCGAGCGCTAGCTTGAGCGAGTCCGGCGTACGAGCAAGTACCTCATTCAGAAGAGAGGGCCGATCGATCCGTTGTCGCGGCGGCCGCGAGTACCGGTGTGTCACGAGACTGGAGTGTACAAACCGACACCCGTGCCAGAAAAGCGGTCTGGGCAAAGACCGGCCCACAATTCTGCTGCCTACCACAGATCTTAATAAACAACTCATTATCAGATTTATTTATCCCCCTGAATTAATTACGATTTTCTTCTATTATTTTTTACACCTCTGCACCGAGCACGGGCACCAAGCGAGCAAAGAGCAGGTAAGAGGTGTGTGTTTTCAGTTCGGGCCCGGTCTTGGACACGTTCTGCCACTGGAAGCTCTCATCTCCCTCGGCAATGCGTCTTCCCTTGCCAAACGGATTGTAGCCGCGATCTTTTTCGTTGCCGTCTGCGTCTCTCTTTGGTGGCAGCTTCTTGAGCTCTGCTCCCTCCTTTTGCCGTCTTTTCACGTCTCTGAGCCGCTCAATAGCGTCGTCCAGCTCACGCACCATCTCCTTGCGGGCTTCCCATTTTTTGGCCTGCACCTCGGTCATCTCGATTGCGGTCCAGCCACAGTCCTGCAGTGCTTCCACCGCCTTGACCACCTGCTCGATGCAGGGACTGAAACAGCAGATCCCGACGGTCTGGTCCTTTGCAACGACTCTTGACAGATGCGGTATCGCTTCCCAGGGCGACGGAAGGTCCAGAAACACCATCTGCGCTCTAATCTCTGTGTCTATGTCGAAGCCTTCGTTGCAGACGTCTCTGTGCGTGAGCGTGACATTTTCGAGCTTATGGCTCTCAAATTCCTCTTTGGCCTGGAGATATCTCTGCTCGTGGAACTCGTACGAGAAAACACGCCCAGCAGGGCCCACGGTTCTGCTGAAAGCGTGCGTGAACGAGCCCGATCCGGTACCTGCCTCAATCACCCTGCTACCCCCCACAACGTTCATTCGCTGAACAATGTATGACGAATCGTGCGTATAGACAATCTGGGTTCTGTGCGGGAGAGAGATGGTCCACAGCTCGGGCGTGGGGAGCAGAAGGTAGATGAAACCGACGTTTTTCGCAGACGTCACTTGCGATCCAAAAGGCTTGCCAATCATGTCTGTGTGCGGGAAGTTTCCGTACTTTGTCTGCAGAACATCGCCGCTCTTGACAGTAATGGGTTTCAGGTTGTCACGGCCAATATACGCCAGCACAAGGTCGCCCTCGGCAATGGTCTTTTTATGCTGGAACATGAAAAATGTGCAAGTATTTAAAAAATATTTTTGAAAAAATTACCCTAGATGCAGATTAGCATCGTGCTGCGAGAAAAGAGCAAAGGGCATAATAAGCGGGGGAAAAAAACGTAAACCTGGAAACTTTCCCAGCTCTGTCTAAGTGTTTGCTGCTATATACTCTATTGCAAAGCCTTGTTCCCATTTGTGCTATTCAGAGTGTGCGGATTTCGGATGTTGTAGCAAGTCACGGAATGCGTTTCTAGTAGGCGACAGAATTGATTACATGGACTCGGTAGACAATCCAGAAATGTGCTGGCCATGGCTGCTCTTGCGCTTCTGGAATACATGTGCTAGTGTGCCCAAATGCGCGCCTGGCAGAGCCTGCAAAGGTAGGCCCCATAATCGACGCTATGGCGTCGATAGACGCATAAACAAAGCGACAGAAATGGTAAACAATCAACATAAAATTAAATAAACAGCGCCAAAGATCCCGAACCTCTACACCAACGCGAGCGGTTACAACTTAACGACACATTCTTCCCTATCTTCACTGTCTTGTCACTATCAATAGCTAATATAGACCAACACCCGCTTTCAATAAATTGGCTAGAAAACCATGAGTACTAATGGCATTAGCTACGGTCTGCGGACCGGCGTTCAGCACGACGAAAACGCCCCAACAAATCTCAAAGAGCACCACCAGCCAACCAAGGCCGTTCCGGCAAAACAACGAAAGGTGCTAGGAGTGATTCCAGACTCCTCGCTGAACACAAGACAAGCAGATCCGAAAACGCTCAGATCTGTCAAATCGCAGCCAGAGGAGGAGGACGAGGAGGACTACGACGTTTCGCAGTTTGTGAATGAGCCAATGTCGCCGATCATGAACGACAGAATTGTCCAGGAGATCACCAGAGCGTACATCAAGCACTCCAAAGACTATTTGGACCCGACCGACGAAGACACTTTTGACGTGTCGATGGTGGCCGAATACGGGAACCAGATCTTCAACTACCTCCACGAGCTCGAGTACAAATACGCCCCTAACCCAAGATATGTCGAGGAGGTGCAAAATGAGCTGACTTGGGAGCACCGGGCAACACTGATGAACTGGCTGGTGCAGCTGCACGCGCGGTTCAACCTGCTACCAGAAACGCTGTTTCTTGCTGTCAACATCATCGACCGGTTCTTGTCGGTGAAAACAATCTCGCTGTCCCGCTTCCAACTGTGTGGTGCCGTTGCTCTGTTCATTGCTGCCAAATACGAGGAAATCAACGTGCCCACCATCAAGCAGATGATATACATGGTGGGCGACCAGTTCACGATCCCAGAGTTCTTGCGCGCTGAAAAATTTATGGTCGAGGTGCTGAAGTTCGAGTTCGGCTGGCCGGGACCAATGTCGTTTCTGCGCCGGGGCTCCAAAGCCGACGACTACGACAACGAGGTGAGAACGCTGGCCAAATATTTCATCGAGGTGACCATCATGGACCCCAGGTTTGTGGCCTCTGCTCCCAGCTGGCTGGCGGCCGGTGCGCAATTCCTGGCGCGCAGGATGCTGGGCCGTGGGCACTGGACCGATCTGCACGTTTTCTACTCGGGCTACACTGCAGAGCAGCTGGAGCCGTTGGCCGAGGCGGTGGAAGAGTGCTGTTTGCGCGCGGCAGCGCACCACCAGGCGGTCTACGAGAAGTACAGCGAGCGCCGGTTCAAGAGGTCTGCTAGGTACGTGCGGGACTACCTCGAGGCTCTGTATCAGGAGGAGTAAGGCGGTTCCTTGAGATTTACAGTATTTACGCTATGTAGTAGTAGGGTCGAGTAATACCACGTGACATGAGCAAGGGCTGTAGTTATGGGTGCAGCTGCGGCCGGCACCCGCCACGGTGGCTGGTAACTGTTTTTGGAAAAATTTGTCAAGAAAAAATTCACCTTTAACCAAACTACACAGTTATCGCAATGTCCGGATCAGGTGCCTCTGGAAACAAGTTCCGTATGTCGTTGGCCTTGCCAACTGGAGCTATCATGAACTGCGCAGACAACTCCGGCGCTAGAAACCTCTATGTCCTGGCCGTCAAGGGTACCGGTGCCAGATTGAACAGACTGCCAGCCGCCTCTGTTGGAGACATGGTGATGGCCACCGTCAAGAAGGGTAAGCCAGACCTCAGAAAGAAGGTCATGCCAGCTATTGTTGTGAGACAGGCCAAGGCCTGGAGAAGAAAGGACGGTGTGTTCTTGTACTTCGAGGACAACGCCGGTGTGATTGTGAACCCGAAGGGAGAGATGAAGGGATCGGCCATCACTGGACCTGTTGGTAAGGAGTGTGCCGACCTGTGGCCTCGTATTGCCTCGAACTCTGGTGTTGTGGTTTAAGCAGGACCGGGCTCGATCTTGATTACGTAAAGAAGGGAAGATGAAATAAAATAATTTATCGATTTTTGTCTGTAGACACAGATGCGGCTATTCCAGATCGCAGGTGCGTTGTCTTCTGTCCACTGGCTAACAATCAGAGTCGCTTGTGTCGTCGAAAGTGCGCGAGCGCGCCGAGGCGCTGAATGAGCTGGAGGCGGCTGATTTGGGCTCGGCAGCCCTGCGCGACAACGCGGACCTGCTGCTGCGTGCTCTGTCGCAAAGCATAGCGCTCGACGCCGTGCCGTATTTGCGTGCCGACGTGTCTGAGCGCGGATCGGGCGTTTTGGAGACGCGGATCGGCAAGATGGCGGATCTAGTGCGCCGTTTGTGCCAGGCGATCTCGCAACCCGAGACCGTTGCACGGCTGAGATATCGCCAGCTGAGCGAGATGGTGGACCTTCTACTGGGCCACATGGTGTGCGGAGGCGGCGAATTGCGCATTTTCGAGCCTGCTGCGCTCGCAATGGCGCGCGCTTTGTACTCTCTGGTCTGTGTGCCGAATTTCAAGAGCCACCTCAAACCGGAGAACCACGAGGCGATCGTGCGGATGGTGGTGGACTGTTTGGCTCTGGCGGGAGAGACACAGCAGATTTTTGTGAACGCGCTGCTCCAGCTGCTATGCGAGTACGTCATTCCTGTGAATTCCTCGAGCATGGAGATGTTTTTACGGGAGCAAACATATTACAAGGCATTGGTGAGGTTTTGCGAGGGCCGATGTGGCGCAAAAATGGCCGAGACCGAGACGGCTGTGTTTCTGGTGCGGCTGATGCGCCAGGTGATGGCAGACAGCCGGCTGGTGGACGCGGCGCTGGCGGAGCGCGCTTTTTGGGCGGGCGTGCGAATCGTGGCTGGAATGCGCACGGTCAGTATGGCTGCGATGCAGCTGGCGGTGGCGGAGTTCATTGGGGCGATGGGCGAGTTTGCTCACGTTTTTGGGACGAACGAGGCAGAGATTCACTGTGTGCTGTGTTTTGGCGTGCAAATCTGCGCCGCGCGCCGCGAGGCGGGCCCAGCGGTGGCCCCGACGCTGGAACGGTACTTTGCTGTGGCGGTGCCGCCATCTGGAGCCAAAAAACAGCGTCTTTCCGGCGTTGCGAGCCAGGTCTCGCTGCTAGTGCGGCGCAGCTCGTGTCTGGACTTTGTTGCGTTTTTGGCGGACAATATCGCGGATCTGGACCGGTCTGTTGTGTGTGCAGCGCTGGATATAGTGCACGAGTGGCTGAAGATTGATAGAGTGCTGGAAAAGCTGGCTTCACACGCAGAATATCTTGCTACGCAATTTTTGCACGTTGTCCAGTTGCACGACGCCAGTCTCAGCCAGGGCGCGCTGCGATCTTTAGAAGCACTGTTGGCAGAGTCCGACACGGCCCCGGAAATAGACCGTGTCGTGAAAACGAGTCTGGAGCTAGTCAGGGACCCGAAACTGTGCAGAGAGGCATGCGTGCTCCTCTGCGCAGCTCTGCGGAAAAATAATATCTACAGTCTGCTTGACCGCTCGACACTGCTGCAGCTCACCATGGCGATCGATATGTTTGATATGAACGGCCCGCACAGCGTGTGTGCTGAGAGCCTGCAGTTTTGGGACGCGGTGCTCGAGTTCTGCCAACCTGCAGTGGAGGAGCTAAGAGACTATTTCCCGGATAATAAGCGGCGGCTGCGCAGCAATATTGTCGACTGGGTGCTGCACAAGGGCTTTGAGCCGGCGACGGTCGACGATGCACGGGCCATGGCTGGTTTTTTGAGACGGAGTGCAGATCTGGGGCCAAAATTCGTCGAGCTCGAGACGGCTCTGCGCAGGTGGCTGCGCGAGATGCGGCCATCGCGCGAGGCCGTGTGCTGGGCGCTGCTGCTATGCGAATTGGGGGTGGTAGACGAGGGAAGTTTGGCGTTTGAGCCGGCGCTCGTTGTGAACTGCGCCGTCTCGCTCGGCGTGGCTCCGCGGTTTGTTTTCGCTCTGGAGGCACGGCCGCTGGACAAAATGCTGCTGATGATCAACAGCGGGCAGGTCCAGTCTGACGAAACGGCCACCTTGGCCTCGCAGCTCAGTCCGGCGGAGCTGCTGTCGGTGTGCGAGACACTGGCAGAAAAAAACATATTTAGTGCTTCCCCCGAGTTGCTGGTTCCCCTAGTTACCGCACACGAGACGAAAACGGCGGAGCGCACGGTCGTGGCTCTGTGCCGACTGCTCGAGCCCCACGCTGGTGTCTGGACGGGCTCGGACGCGTTTGTGCACCTGTGTGATATTTACGAGTACCTGCTGCAGCTGGACGAAAAAAAGCTCGTTTGCACGCGGCTGGCAAAGTTTCATGTGCTCAGACTGTGCATTCGGGTGTACACCGAAAGGAGGAAAGAAGAGGATTTGGCACAGGTTGTGCGCTCATTCACAGAGAGCAGCTGCTACGTGCGGCTGGATGTGGCTCCGTTTCTGGCTGGCCTGGTAGACCTTGATTTCGACGTGCTGGCCACGTTGCTGGCCACGTTTGAGCCGCGGCGGTGTGTCGAGGCTGCACGTGTGTTTTGCCGGTTTTGCGCCGCCGTCAGCGCGCGGTCCACGGCCGCCCGGCTGGCGTGTTTCTGCAACCTGCTGGATCTGTGCTCGTTTGAGAACGTTGCCAACTTGCTACCAGAAACGCTGGCCGAGCTGGCACACGGCTGCGGGGGGCCACGGGCGTTTCTGGAAAAATACAAGCTCCCCATCGTGAAGGTCTGGATGGGGTTTGGCCGGTCTGTGCTTGCGTTTCCGGGCGAGCTCTTTTCGCTGGACACGCGGCAGTTTCTGCAGCTGGTGGGCGCTGAAGTCGCCGCGATATGTCTTGCCTACGGCGGGTCTGGGATGATTGCGCGTGTGGCGGGTGTTTTAGCGTGTAGCACTCGCGTGCTCGTGCGCAACGCGGTGTCGCTGGCCGTAGCTCTTGCCTGGACGAAAAATGGTTGCCGAAAAAAAATATTCGCCAGACTCGAGCAACACTGCGAAGACGAGCTCGAACGCCAGAAATGTCTTGTTCTGGACCGCATCGTGCAGCTCAGTGGCAGCGAATTTGCCCAGTTCGATCTGCAAATCGAAGACGGCGTGGCAGAGCTGTTCGATATGGTAGCAGGCCCTGTGAATGACGAGCTGGTGCATTTTCTATGCATGCGCGCGCTCGCACGTCTGTGTGCCGCTCCGGCCGACGAGCAGGCCGCCCAACTTGCCTGTTTTGCGACTTTGGTGCAAGACTGTCTGAAACTGCGTATTCCGGCCTCGCTGCGCAAAATTTACATTCCCGTCGTTTGCAGGTACGACAACACCGTGGCAGCAACGCTGGCAGGCGTTGGGGAGGATCAGTACGAGCTGTGGACGCCGGTGCTCGCCCGCGAACTGCAGGAACGCAGCGAGCTAAGCAAGTGGCTCTATAGAAATAGAGACAGGTTCAGCGGGGATGGTGCGGAAATGGGGCTGCTTCGGACAGCAATTGCGGTTCTGGCTGGTCTGAGGTGCCAGCTAGACGCCGAGGACGTGCTGGCGGTGCTGGTGGCACGCAAAGATACGTCAACGGTGCAGCTGCTGTCGGCGCTGATGGAGCAGGTAGATATTCCTCCGGTTTCGGCGTGCGCCCCAGACATTGCGGCCAGACTTTACGGTGTGTTGGAAACTGGCGTGGCGCATAAGCTGCGCACATTTATTGCCCGCTGTCTCGCACGCACATACGAGCAAACGGGCTTCAATGCGGCCACAGAAAAACCCGAGTTCGACCACCGCCTGTTTGGTCACGTGACCCGGGGCTCGATGAATCTGGCCTGGCTGTTGGACGCATGGCGGCTGCAGCTGGCGTCTGTGCCGGCCCGGTTTGCGTATCTCTGTCTCTGTGGTGTTCTGCGTGCACATGACCTGGAGGTGTCTTCTGAGGAGCCCGTTTGGCCGCTTGACGCTTTTGTCTGGCGACATCTGGACACCACACCCGAAATCAGCGTCGACATCGAAAATCCAGCATCCTGGGCAGTAGACACGTTTCGTCGTGATGTTTTGCTCACGCTGTTGCCCACGCAGTGGGGTCCTGTCGCCACAGCCCTGCGTAATCTCGTCTTCCATGACCAAACAGCATTTAGCCACGTCCTGCTGTATCTCCTCGACAGGGACGAAACCAAGAGCCCTGTTTTTTCCAGAATGCTCCATGCTGTCTTCTCCAGACCCGTCGATCCCTGCATTACCAAAGACTTCATTGAGTTCGTGCTTCTGCTGCGTGCTGCCACCATCCGCGAAAATAAATCGTGTCTTCGGTTGTACGCCCAGCTAGACCTCGAAAAAGTTTACAAGGCGGCTGCTCCGCTGGCTCCTCGCGCCGCTCTCATGCTCATGGAGGAGCACTGCACCAGCGGGCGGGGCAAGGACTGGCGCACAGAGCCCGAGTGGCTGTACAATACATACGCTGCGCTGGACGAAAAAGACCTGTTTTTTGGCCTGCCCCTGCGCTCCAGCTGGGACTACGGCGTCGACAGACTGCACTGGACAGACAACACGAGCGGAAGACTTATGTTCGACAACGCCAGGTACAACGAGCTGCAGGAGCCGCGCCAATTGGTGGCTTCGCTGTTTGATACCGGGTATGATCGACTCTCAAGCTTGCTGGGCGGCCAGATGGCGACATTGTCGTACGAGCAGCTGTGGAAATTGGGTGAGTGGAAACTGCCAACGCCTGTGGTGCGCGACAAACACACGGCGATGTACTCGCTGCTGAAAGACGCGCCGAGTGTGGCCACTGAACGGACCGCGCATTTTGAAGATAGGTTTGGCGAACTGGCACAACAGTTTGAGGTTTTCCGAGATTTCAGACGCGCGCGTGAGTGGATCGTCACGCTGGCGACGTTTGAGGCTGTACAGACGCCGCGCTGCGACTCGTGGCTGGCACACAAGGCGCCGTTCGAAATCGCTGCCGACTTGTACCATGCGCGCACGGGACTCTGGTCATGTGACGACGAGAACGGCTGCGCCGTAGGCTTGCACCGGTACGCGGAGCTGTGTCGTGGGAACGGTCGCGAGCAGCATGCAACGAACGCGACTGTGCGTCTGGCGCGTCTGGGCGAGCGGGCAGGCGCGCGCTCGGACGTGTGGGTGCTATCACAGTACAATGTAGCCGCGTCCTTCTGGACACAGCATGAGACCAGCTATGCGCTGGAGACGTTGCGGACGGCTTTGACGCACGTGTCTGTCAACGGCGAGCTGCCACGGGGGCTTCTTCTGGCAAAATTGGTGCAATGGTCGCACGAGTCGCGGCAGGAGACGGCCGATCGGTTGATGAGCAAGTACGTGGAGACGGAAGCGTGGGGGCAGGGCCAAGAGACACAGCTGGCGCAAATGTACCACATCCTGGCCGAGTTTTGTGACGCACAGGTGCGTGGAGGCGAACTGGACAAACAGATCGAGAAACTGGCGGCGGCCGTGGCGCAGCGGGAGCACGATCTTGCCGAACTGGAGAAGTACGGTTCGAGCGTGGGGCGCGACGAGATGCGGCGGAAAAATGCGCGGCGGGCACACCAGAGGCTTCGGGTGCAGCAGGAGACAGAGCAGGAGGAGCTGGAGGGTGCACGGCGCAACAAGAAGAGGTATCTGGAACGAGCCGTGGAATTTTATGTGCGCGCAGCGATCGCCGACAACAGTTCCGTCGATCGCAACGTGGACCGATTGTGCGCACTGTGGTTAGCACACACCGACGTGGACGTGGGGGCAGGGCTACACGAGATCGAAAAACACAAGTTTGTGCCGTGGCTGAACCAGCTCACATCGCGACTCGCGAGCCAGGCAGGCCGGTTCCAGCGCACGCTTCAGCAGCTGGTATTTGATATCTGCGTGCGTCATCCATACGATGGGATGTACTTGTTGCAGTCACTGATGCTGAGCGGGCTGGAGAGCGCCGACGAGGCATCTGTTGGGCGCGGCGAGGCCGCTCGCAGCGTGTGGTCTCGGCTTCTGGCGTCGGATGCTCGTGAATATGCTACCAAAGTGGAGGCAATGACCAAGGCGTGTGTGGAGCTGGCGAACCGCAACTTGCATGGGGCGAAACACACAGACGTGGGGGGTTGGTGGGTGCGCACACTGCCAGGCCTGCAGATGCCTGTTCCCACAGTGCAGCGCCGCGAGACAGGTCCGGGTTACGACCCCGACCAGTACGTCGTCCAGGTGGCCCCCACAGCGAAAACCGCAGCGTCAGGGCTGAGCTTGCCCAAGATCGTCAAGATGGTCCTGGCTTCGGGCGAAACGCACCGGATGATCCTCAAGGGCGGCTCCGACGATCTGCGCCAGGACAGTATCATGGAACAGGTGTTTGGGAAGGTGAATGTGCTGCTTTCACAGGATGCCCACGCGCGTCGGCGGCGGCTGCGTGTACGCACGTACAAGGTTGTGCCGTTGGGACCCCGGTCCGGTGCAATCGAGTTTGTGTCCAACTCTGCCTCGCTGGACGAGTTGCTACGTGGGTTGCATGCGGGGGACAAGTTACGTGCAGACCGCGCCCGCGCAAGGATGAAGAGTGCACAGGAGCACTCGCCGGCGCGCCGCGTTGCGGTTTACATGGACATCTGCGAGCAGGTGCAGCCTTGTTTCCGGCATTTTTTCTTCAACAACTACACGGCGCCGGACGGTTGGTTCGAGGCGCGGCTGGTGTACAGCCGCGGGCTCGCGACCACAAGTATCGTGGGACACATGCTTGGGCTTGGCGACCGCCACTGCAACAACATCCTCGTCGACAAAGTCTCGGCCGAGCCAATCCACATCGACCTGGGCGTGGCATTCGATCAGGGCCGCGCATTCCCCGTGCCGGAGATCGTGCCGTTCCGGTTGACAAGAGACCTGGTGGACGGGCTGGGGGTGGCGGGCACGGCAGGCGTGTTCAGCCGCAGTTGCGAGAACGTTTTTGGCGTGCTGCGTGCCAACTCGACGCACATCAGCGACATTCTCGACGTGCTTAAATACGACCCACTTTACTCGTGGACGGTGTCGCCCGTGCGGGTACGGCGGGTGCAGGAAGAGTGGGGGGGAGATTGGGATGAGGCTGCGCGCCGCGACGTGGGGTCGGAGGCCAGCATGGCAATCGACGGCGTGCTGCGCAAATTACAGGCTCGCGGGCTCAGCGAGGAGGCTGTGGTGCGCGAGCTCGTGCGCGAGGCCACTGATAGCCGCAACCTGGCGTTGATGTATGCTGGGTGGGCTCCATTTCTATAGAATAGAGTTTGGTGGTTTTGTGGGCTAAAGGCACGAGATGATCCACGGAGCCGACGGCAGTGGGAGCACTCTGCTGGAATTTTGTCTCTAAGGTCTTCAAACAACTGTCTCCCTAATACAGTTTCTGTTAAATTTTGTAGACACTTTTGTTGCAGCAATAGGCAAAAAATTCCAAGTTATTCCAAATGAGGATGTTGGGCGCGATTGGCGAAACGAGGTGAAAGCTGTGTCCCTAGCTTAGTAGGCTACTAAAAAGGTGGAGGGCTCGAAACACCTTCGGAAGCGGCCAGAAAACATATTTTCCAAACGCGTCTTTTGAAGCAGTCGTCGATGTGTTCCAAATGCCAAGAAAATAACTCCATATTGCGCAAGAAGCGGATACGCAAGCGATAACTATCGTGTGAGCATCTGCAATGTGTTTCCTACTGTGGCACAGGATTGTCAAGGTAGCGGATAGAAGCTACTGCGGGCCACGTTGTGGGATCGAACGGCTGAGGCGAGGCTGTAGAATTACTACTTGAGCCACCAACACCTGACTGCTAAAACCACACTGTCCCGGTGGTGGAGCTTTAGGGACACGCAAGATGTCCTCAAGAACGCGCAGAACGCCGCTCCGGCGCGATCGGGCTTAGACCCGACACTCCGGACCCTGTCGCTCGACCTGTTTACTTTTGGCTATGCATCTGCAGCCATCTGCGGATAAATAACATTCTAGATTTTTTTCCGGATCGGCTATTGCAAGATCGTGCTGGTACGTCAGCAGCTTCTAGAAGATACCAGCCCCGCGGGACATTACAAGTGAAGAGTCCCTGTGTCCGTTAAGGCGACACACTTGCAGGGTTGTAAATAAGCAGGTGGATTACGCCGTGGCGAGAGATTCGCCCATGCGCGCAATACCCCACTGCTAAAGTGGTTCGACCGCCATTTTGACGTCATTGCAGATGGCCCGTTTAGAGGGCATGGTGGAAAAAGTGGAATTATCCGAACAAGTGCAATTCTAGCCTCCGCACTGCACGGCACCGATCTCTCGTGAAAACTCTGCGTGATGGTGGGGACGTGTATTGTTTGGAAATTCATATTCAGCCATTATTAATGGGCAAACGGAGTAAATCCTGACGTGGACTACCTCAAGTGGAAATTCCAAAAATTTTTGCATTGTTCTATTTGCTGCACAAGCACCCCATGATGTAGCGTGCACAATAGACCACGGGCTGTTTTTAGAACAACAACAATACGGTCACTCTCGCGACTGGGGAAATGTGGGGCCGGCCGTGCACGGCGTTGAAAGGGTCTTTATCCGAGAAATAGTCTTCCAGGCGAGAAAGAAGAGTGTAGTAAGACCTGTTGCAAACTTGGCCATGATGAACAGTACGACCCACACAGGACCGTAAGTGAGGACTATCCTGATGTTTTTACCCTTCCCGTTCCAAATATTTTTCCATTGCCTTGCTGCATGCAGCACAACAAAAGTCCAGATTTTTCTCCCCACCTTTTCTCAAAAAAACCTGGGGGGCTATTGGACATCCATTGTTTACCCTTGGTATAAATACGTGTTGTATCCCCAGCAATTTCTCCCGTATCCAATCAACTATTACAAACATGGCTGGCGACAGTATTACTGGTGTGGCAGGAACTGCTGACGTTAACAGAGTCGAGGCTCCCTTGACTGTGAGAGCTTATCTTATGTGCGCCTTTGGTGCGTTTGGAGGTATCCTTTTCGGATACGACTCCGGTTACATTTCCGGTGTCATGGGTATGGACTACTTTATCCATGAATTCACTGGAAAGGTGAAACACGGCGACGATGACTCCTCTTTTGTCGTTGGATCGTCTCAAAAATCTCTTATTACTTCTATTCTTTCTGCAGGTACCTTTTTTGGTGCTGTGTGTGCCGGAGACTTGGCCGACATGTTTGGAAGAAGAACCATTATTGTGACCGGCTGCAGTATCTACTCGGTCGGTGTTGCGCTCCAGGTTGCCTCCACCACGGTGGCTCTGCTTTCCGTAGGAAGAGTTATAGCAGGTGTTGGTGTTGGTTTTGTTTCGTCCGTGGTGGTTTTGTATCTGTCTGAAATTTCTCCAAAGAAAATCAGAGGTGCCATCGTTTCCGGTTACCAGTTCTTCGTCACCATCGGATTGCTGCTCGCGTCCTGTGTTGACTACGGCACCGAGCACAGAAACGACTCCGGCTCCTACAGAATCCCTATTGCTCTGCAACTCATCTGGGCCATCATTCTTGCTGTCGGACTCATCTTGCTCCCAGAATCTCCTAGATACTACGTCCTCAAGGGCAAGTTTGACAGGGCTGCAAAGGTGCTCTCCAGACTTAGGGGCCAGCCTATCGATTCCGACTACATTCAAGAAGAACTCGCCGAGATCGTGGCCAACCACGAGTACGAGAGGAGCGTCATTCCAACTACGAGCTACTGGCAATCCTGGGCAGCTTGTTTCACCGGAGGACTCAGAAGACCATCCTCGAACCTCAGAAAGACCATCCTCGGAACCTCCATGCAGATGATGCAGCAATGGACCGGTGTCAACTTCATCTTCTACTTCGGTACCACCTTCTTCCAGCAGCTTGGCACCATCCACAATGAGTTCCTGATCTCGATGATCACTACGATCGTCAATGTGGCCTCAACTCCTCTGTCCTTCTACACGATCGAGAAATTCGGTCGTCGTGCGCTCATGATCTACGGTGCAGCAGGTATGGTTGTGTGTCAGTTTATCGTGGCCATTGGTGGTACCGTTGATGGCGACAATCAGAAAACCGTCAGCGCCATGATCGCCTTCATCTGCATCTACATTTTCTTCTTTGCTTCGACCTGGGGTCCGGGAGCTTGGGTTATTATCGGAGAGATCTTCCCATTGCCAATCAGATCGAGAGGTGTTGGTCTGTCGACCGCCTCCAACTGGTTGTGGAACTGTATCATTGCCGTTATCACTCCTTACATGGTTGACGGCGATAAGGGCAATTTGGGTGCTAAGGTGTTCTTCATCTGGGGCTCGCTATGTGGTTGCTGTCTTCTTTATGCCATTATGCTGATCCCAGAAACCAAGGGCCTGACTTTGGAGCAAGTCGACAAGATGCTTGAGGAGACCACCCCATGGACCTCTGCCAAATGGAAACCTCACTCCACCTTCGCTGCCGAGATGGGTCTTGCCAAGGACGACAAGGGCGTCACCCACGAGCTCAAGGAGCACGCCAGCGTTGAGAGTGTATAGGCGTTTAGTATGTATACTACGGCTAATATGACATTATGAGCGATCCGAAGAGGGCGGGGCACGAGAGTGCCAGATACACTGTATTGCGGACTCTCGGGAATGGTGCCGAATCGATGGTGTATTTTTGTGCTCTGCAACGGTGAATTTTCGGTGAGTAGTTGACCTTTTTTTACGGCCAAATACAGATTGATCTTCTCATCTCGACATTTGCATGGTGTTCAAGCAGTCGTAGCTGATTTCAAGCTGCAGCATGTGAGGTCTAAAACAGTTTTGCCAGGCCGTCGCTGTTGGCCTCCCTGTATAGTGTCCGGTCATCAAAACGTTAAAGGTTGCAAAAAGCGCGGATTGTCTTGATTACTCATTGCTCTTGAGTGTGGAGTCCCGATATGATAAGCAGAGTTTTGAAAACAGACATATAAAATCTGTACTCACCAGTACAAGTTATACGGGTCCCTTTGAGTGCTACCAATTTTCGGCTATTTATTTCAATTTATGTAATTGAAAAAATTACTCCATCATGAGCAACAGGGCACTTCGAAGATTGCAGAAGCAAGAGCTTGAGACGACGTCCGACGATGAGCCTGAGTATGTGCCGCGGCGGGCGACGAATGCATTTGCACTGTTAGGCGACGACAGCGACGGAGGTGAGAGCGAAGAGCAGGAACCGGATAGAGAACAGTATATAGAACAGGCACCAGAACCAAAGCCCCAGCCCGTCAAGAAAGGAAAGAAATCGAGGAAAAAGAAGTCGCCGCATCCTGAGGACGATGATATTGATGCAATTCTTGCACAGCTCCAGATCTCCACTCAGACCACCGATCAAGACAAGCCTTGCGACAGCTTCGACGGCCCATTCGAGAATTTAGTCGATGGTGCATCTGAATTGACCGCCGCGCGGCTCCAAAGTGCCCTTCCGTTGCTCCAGTTTGATCCGCGCGATCTGGATCCGGACAGAGAGTTTGAGGCCGTTTTCGGCAAACTCTCGTCAGCGGCCGTCGACGACGCAGACGCCACGCCGTCCATGTTTGTGAGTCCGGACGTGTTGAAGCAAATCAAACTGCTGAGCAAGCGGGTGCGTGGCTGGTGTGGTAGAGATCGCCGCTCGATCCCGGGAACTTCCCGCAAGCTCCTGATGTGTAAGATCCGCGACGACTGGATCCCAACGCCTAAGAAACCGCTTTCGATGGAAATGGTGCCTGGCAGCACCCATGATTTTTGCGTTGTCGAGACACCAGCCTATCCGCGAGCAATTACCACACAGTTTTACATATATACCGTCATCCATCCCGACCATGAGGCACTAATTCACCTGCTCCAGCAGTACCCGTATCATCTTGAAACGATCTTGCAGGTAACATCGATTCTCCAGCGCCAGGGCGACAATTCGAACACCAACGGGCTCATAGAACGGGCACTTTTTGTTTTTGATTGGAGCTTGCGAACCAACTTCCAGCTCGGAAGTGGTGACTGTCGCTTGCCTTTTGAGTATTTTCTCAATAGACAGTGTTATCTCACAGTGTTCAAATATATCACCGTGTTGACCCAGAAATCTACCTTTTACACGGCCCTCAACTACTGCAAGTTGCTACTGTCGTTTGACCCTGCCGGCGACCCGTACGGAGTCAGATATTTTATTGATTTTTACGCCGTGATGGCCGGCGAATTCCAGTATCTGGTAGACCTGTGCAATAGCTTCCTGGTCAAGACCTATAGGGAGTGGCTGACTCCGCCGTTGGCATACTCTCTAGCCATCTGCCAGTACAAAATAGACCCCACGGCTGCCACAGACGCTCTGTCCAGGGCTTACAATACGTATCCTTACACAGGTGAGATGTTGCTCCACAAACTGGCCGCACAAAAAGAACCTTCTTCAAGGGTGTCTGATTACATCAAGCTGGCTACCGCGGTTTATCTAACTCGCGTGGAAATGATGCTTGAGGAGACAGAATGCCGGGGATGGATGGTAGCCGAGCTCAAAAAAGCTGTCCAAAAGGGCAAAAAGGCCGGTGTGCAGTTTGACAAGAAGGAGATCCCAGAGAACTTGCTCCGTCACGTGATCTTGTCAAACGAGACGAATGCCATGGCGCGCATTCCTATGCAGTTCTGGAAAGACCATGAGATCTTTGAATTTGACGTGCTGCCACCAAAACAGGGCGAAGGCACCACCATTTTTGACCACATCGACCAGGCCCGTGTGAGCAATGCCATCATCCACCAAAGCATGGAGCAGGAGGAGGAACGGCAGATTGCAGAGCTAATTCGCCGCACCGCAGAGCAGGAAAACTAGATCACAGATAGACCCTGTTGGATGGTATGTGCGACGAGATTGTCACCCTGGAACAACTCCCCAGTCATGATGCATTTGCTGTCACCGCAACTGAGGCTCTTGACGCCGTGCACGAGCCATTGGTGGTCTGCAACAGGCTCTCTAAAATATATAATGTGATCCAGTGAAACAGAAATTTTAGTCGTCATCAATGGACGCATATTTAGTCGCATGTTGGTGTTCAGGTAGAAGTAATCTGTTAGATACGCCGTGATGCCCCATCTCTGGATTTCGTTAGCGGCGGGGAACTTTGGCCGCAATTTGTACCACAATGTGCGTTCAGATACGGGGAGTTTTTTCTCTGGTTCTGATACCTGTGCCAGATCAAACATGTGCGGCGGGAACTGCCATTCGATGGGCTCGTTGTTGTAAAAGTGTTTTAGGCTGTGCAGCTCGCCTTGGCGACCGTTGGATTCTGCCCAAAGCTCGAAAGCTGTATTTTGGTCGACAAGCCCATCCACAGCAGGCGGGTTTCGGTGATGGTGTAGCTGGCCGGTGACTTTACCTGCGGTTCCCTCCAGGAGGGTTTTCTGGATCGTGCAAACGGCGTTGAAGGCCAGTTTTTCACCCTGTAACAGCCGCACCTCCTTCACCTGGTAGTTTTTGCTCACTTTGAGGTCCTCTACTTTGTACACAAGCGGCATGTCAGGTTGTACTGCGGCTAGAAAGTGGCAATGAATCGAAAGCGGTTTCCATTCGCCGCACTGCTCGGTCTGCAGCGCGGCCACTATGGCCTGTGCAGCAAGCGCTCCTCCATACAGTCCGCGGCCTCGAAAAGGGACCACCATGTGCGAGTCGTTCACAAACACGTTGTGCTGCGTGGGGCGCAGGTGGAGAATGTTTTCGAACGCGCGCGTGGAGTACCTACGAGCAGTTTTCAGCATTAGCGTATATTCAAAAAAAGTCTATTTACACCAGCCACACCAAAACCATTCCGACAGCGGCCGCCAACCCGGTGGCCACGTTTTTGCCCGCGGCGTCGTGGTATGTGGTGACTGTCGAAACGATGGCCGAGTATGATGATGACGAGCTCAGCGTGCTCTTCGTAGTGTGGGTATGCCTTGTAAGCGTGCCAATCTTAGTCGACTGTGTGGTTGGTGGGGGCACGTAGGTACTCGATGTGTTGGCCGTCTGGGTGCTATTGAAGTGGTAGCCAGTGAATATTGGGGCCGGTGCCGTGGTAGTGGTCTGTGGCGTGGCCGTGGAGCCAGGAATGATGTTGTACTCGGTGATCACCGTACTATGGTTGCCGATGAAAGTTGTGTACGAGGACAACGACTCGGTCACGGTTTGGACGGAGCATTTCCCGCCAGGACAGGTAGTGGTGACGAGCGTGGTGAGCTGAGGCAGTGACGAGGTCTCTTCCTGGTTGAGGCTAACGGTGGCGGTGAGATAGTACACGTGCTCGTCTCTCTTTGAGTTAGAAGCGGCGTCGCTGATGACAACGGCGAAAGTGGCGGTGAAGACGCGGTTGTAGACGTTAGTGGCATCAGGCGAGACGAACTGGAGCACGTTGGAGCTGCTGAGCGACGAGAACGGCGTGGACACAACAACATCGGTGGCAGAGGCCGTGGAGAAATCCTCGATTCCGGATTTCACAGCGGCGGAACCGGCAAAAACCTCGGCGGTGCCCGGCACCCACTCAAAGTTGGACGTTTTCCCGATCGACACAAACGAGACAGAGTCCCAGGGACCGAGCTCTGTGGGCACGTAGATGGCAAATCGTGGCAGGTCATCTTCGAGGTATGCTTGGATCCACGGGGTAGGTGTCGGCTGGACCGTGGAGGATGTGTTGGTGTAGATTCCGGAGGCAGAGGCCACGCAGAGCAGGAGAACGAGAGAAAGACACAACATGGTGGAGAAGAGGGATGAGGGAACGAGTTTATATATGTGTGAGCTAGGCCATGGCTGGGTCTGTTTACTAGCCGATTTTGCGAGCCCAATAATGCATTCTGCCAAAACGGATTATTTAGAGCCAGCCAGGTGCCTGAAAAAAACCAGCCAAAAAAGTTAGCCCCACAAACCGAGGCACTAAAAAACCAGCCTTAAAAAAAATTACACTAAATCAAGCCACCAAATTTTTTATTCATGTATTAATGTCGATTAGTACTGCTGCAACTCTTTGTGCGTCATCTCGTACTTGATCCAGTTCGGTAGACAGTTCTGGCGGTGCACGTCCTCGGGCGCAAAGTAGCCAGAGTCCTCTGGCGCGGTGCACTTGTCCGAGTTGGGGATCGACTTGTACGGCGAGTGGTGGTAGCCGATGTCGCGGAACCAGTGGATCTTGCTCTTGTCCTCGAACAGCGCCACCCCCACGGAGTGCACCGGCGCATCTCCCCATCTCTCGTAGTAGAACCCGCCAGCGGCTTCCAGAGCATCGAACCATTTCGAGTACGCTTCTCCCCGGTAGAAGTCCATGTTGGCGATCTCGAAGTTCGACCAGAAATGGCACGTCGAGTACCCATTGGCCAGCTTGGTGTACTCCGGGTTCTGCACCGAGTCGGTCAGCCACCGGAACGCGCCGTTCGGGTGCACGTACTGCGGGTTCTTCTTCACAAAGTCCAGCGTCACCGGCCACAGCGTTTCCACCGTGAGCGGGTCGTCGTACAGCGAGATCGTAAACCCATACGTTTTGTCGTTGTCCTCCATGAATTTGAAGATGTCGTAGTCGATCGAGCAGTAGTAATCTGTGTTGGGCTCGAATCTCCAGTACCACTTGAACTTCTTGAGGCCCTCCAGCCGGTAGAACCAGCCGGAGTTGAAACGGCACATGTTGTGGTAGCTCTCCATGTCTGCGTACTGCACACCATTCTCGATCAGTTTCTGTATACCGGCCCTTTCTTTCTCCGGGTCGATATTGGCCGGTTTGTTCCAGATCTCGGGCGGAATGATCTCAAAATACACCTCGCCCGAGCAGTGTCTGCGAACCGTGTCCTTGAACTCCTGCGTGAACTCTTCGTCGCCAATAAACGTGTACGGGTAGTGGAAGTTGTGGTTCCAGGTGTTTTCGATCTGCCGGATCGTGTGCACAATCGCCTTGAGCTCCTTGTTTCTCACCAGCGTCAGCATCGTCGCGTTCGCCCGCGGATATTCGTCCTTAGTCAGCACCCGCTTCAGCCCCGTCTCGTCATACACCACGTTGTACGTCAGCTTGGCAAACTTCGGCTCCGTCACCTTCTTCGAGTACACCTCCCTGTAGAAGTCCATATTCTCCTCGACAATGTCCTCGCTCGAGCTGTTGTATTTCGACTGGCCAAACTCCAGAACCTGGACTATTTCGTCGAACGTCAGCTTTCCGTCATGGTTTGCATCCACGAGTTGCTCCTGCTGGGCCCCTTTGCCCGTGCCCATCAGCTTCTCGTTGAATTGCAGCCCGTACTTGTTGACCGACGAGGAGTACCGATTCAGCTTGTTGACGCGGTTCACCGTCGGATACAGCTCTCGCTGCGGTTCCAACGAGCGCCTCCGCGACAGCGCAACAGTCGCCGCCACGAAAATCACGGCCGCTATCAAATATCTCGTGGACTTGTGCATGGCCATGGTCTACACGTAGAATATTTTTTTTTTTATTTTTCCCTGCTGATTTCACTCTCTCTCCCATCTCTGCACCATCTTTCTTCCGAAGGCAAATGCCCATCTTCAAGCTATCGGCCACTTTGCAAGGCCACGAGGACGATGTGCGTGCGCTGTGCTCGCCCGACGCGGACACGCTTGTCTCCGGCTCCCGCGACTCCACTGTGCGTGTCTGGCGGCGAATTGACCCCCGTTCGTGGTCAGAGCCCACCATCAACTACAAGTCCGCCAAGTTTGTCAACAGCCTGGCTTGCTACAAACACGCGGGCGAGACCTTCATAGTGAGCGGCGGCAACGATGCGCTCGTCAACCTGACGCTCGTCGACGCCACTTTCGACTGGGTGGACCCGGCCTACATTCTTGTGGGCCACCAGAACAACGTGTGCGCGCTCGCGTGCAAGGACGACCTGATCATGAGTGGCTCGTGGGACAGCACTGCCAAAGTTTGGCGCAAGGACGGCACCGTGGTGTACGAGCTCAAGGGCCACGAGAACTCTGTGTGGGGTGTCCAGATCGTGTCGGCGACGCAGTTTGTCACGTGTGGGGCAGACCGCACGATCCGGGTTTGGAACGGCGCCCGCGAGGTGCGGCAGTGGATTGCGCACACGGACGTCGTGCGCGACGTGCTCTTGTTGCCCGATGGCACCCTCGCATCGTGCTCCAACGACACCACCGTCAAGCTATGGACGCTGGACGGCGAGCTGCTGAAGACGCTTCGCGGCCACCAGAACTTTGTGTATTCACTCGCGGTGCTTCCGACAGGCGAGCTCGTGAGCTCGGGAGAAGACCGCACGGTCAGGGTCTGGGACAAGGCCGGCAAGTGTGTCCAGACCATCACGCTGCCCTGCATCTCTGTGTGGAAGGTGATTGCGCTGGAGAATGGCGACATTGCGGCCGCGTCGAGCGACGCGCAGGTGCGAATTTTCACGAGAGTCGGCAAGCGAGTCGCAGCACGCGAGCTGCTCGACAAGTTCGAGGCAGATCTGCAAAACTCCACCGTCAACGACTCGGTGTACAACGTGAACAAGGACACTCTCCCGGGAAAAGACATTCTGAAACAGCCAGGGACAACCGAGGGAGAGACCAGGACGGTCCGCACAGAGATCGGCACCGCCGAGGTGTACCAATGGAACGAATCCAAGTGGAATAAGGTCGGCGAGATTGTCAATTCTACTTCGACGGACAAGAAGAAAGAGTACAATGGCCAGTTCTACGACTATGTGTTCGACGTTGACATTGCCGACGGCCAGCCACCACTGAAGCTGCCCTACAATACTAACGAGAGCCCGTACGCGGTGGCAGACAAGTTCCTGCTCGACAACAATCTGCCGGCCTCGTACTCGCAGCAGGTGGTAGATTTCATTCTTGCAAACACCGGCGGTGCCAGCTTGGACCAGCAGTCCGGCCCTAGCTCATCGGAGCCGTACCAGGACCCAGCGTATCAGAAACAGGGCATCTTACCGCAGACAGAATACCTGCAGTTTGCGAAACTGGACGAGACGAGGATCCGGACTGGGTTTTCGAAACTTAACGCCAAACAGCCTGTGCAGAACCAGATCGAACCTACGGAGTTTGAGACGTGTATGAACTGCCAGGATTTTAAGCAGTTGGCGACCCTGGCCGGCAAGATGATCTCAAATTGGGATGCCAGCTCAAAGCTTCTCGGATTCGACATTCTGCGGTTCACGATTCTGCACACGCCGCCGTTCGAAACGCTGTTTGAACTGATCAAAATCGGGCTCACGTCGCAGTCGCCCAAAGTGGTCATGATGACGATCCGACTACTGGTCAACATCTTCAGCGCGAAGCAGTGGGGCGAGCGTGTTTTTGCGGACCCAGACCTGATGGATGTGATCTTCTTGGACGACATTTTGGACGCTCTCAAAACAGAGAAGCTGATGAGCATCACCGTCGCGACGTTTGTGCTCAACTACGCCGTGTTTATCCGCAAGCTGCGGGACGAATCGTTGTGCACGAAGCTGGCTGCCGTGATCAACAAGTTTGGCGTCGCTCTTGCCCGCGACGAGGAGTCGGCATACCGGCTGTTGGTGGCCATCGGCACCCTCAAGCCGTTTGGTACCAAGATAGACGCAGCAGTGACCACTGAACTGCAAAAATACAAAAGTCCGCGTTTCGACGCGCTCTGGACAGAAATCAAATAGACGGATTATGACATTTTATTGCTCTATTTGGTAACTCCTTTCTCTGCAAACGCAGAAACAACTTTGTTGTAAACTTCCTCCACAGGCTGATTGCAGTTGACCTTGACCACGCGGCCTTGTTTGTCGAAATAGTCCACCACAGGCATGCTGGTCTCCAAAAACGTCCTGAACCGTTTCTTGATGCTCTCCAGGTTGTCGTCAGCTCTTCCAGACGTCTTTCCTCTCTCGAGCAGTCTGTGCAGCATGACTTCCTCCGGACACTCGAAATACAACGTCAGCTTGCTCTTGACAATCAAATCCTCAAAAGAAACAGCCTGGTCCATTTTTCTGGGGAACCCGTCGATCAAGAACTTAGTTTTCTTGTTTTTGGTGTATTGTTCCACGATCGCGTTCTTCAACAAGTTGATCGTGATCTCCTGCGGCACAATCAGCCCCTCCTTGATGTAGTGCGCAATTAGCGAGCCATACTCGGAGTTCGGCTTGGCCTGTTCGGCCCTCAGCAGGTCGCCAGCCGAAAGATGGACAAAGTCGTAATTTTTCACCAGCTTGGCGCACTGCGTGCCCTTGCCAGAGCCAGGGCCGCCCAGCACAAAGATCACGTCAATGTCGGAGTCTCTGAACAGCGGGCCAGTTGGGTCAATGGATGCCCTAGGCGGCTTGCTCGTCGAGTTGAGGTTGTAGTAGGTGACACCAATGGCCAGCCCTCCAAGCAGCAACAACGGGTAGAAATGCTTGGATTTCTGCTGCTGTGACGAGTAGAAACGCGCCCCTCCTGCCCTCGCAGCTGGCACTGCACGCAGTACTCTGTGGCCCGTGATTATTCCTCTGGAAGGTGCAAACAGTCTCAGCATGACGAGTTCCAACTCTAGTTTTTTTTAATTTTTTTTGTGTTCGCTACGTTATCACAATAATAGTATATACACAGGGCTGTGCAGAGTAACGTCTAATTGCTACAACTCTATAATCACCATCTCATCATCGACATGTCGTTTCTCAGTCTGTTGTAATCGAACAATGCCTCGATCTGTCCCGTACCAGCAACGGCAATGTCCTGGTCGTACAGGTATTTCTGGGCCCATTGCGACACCTTTTTGTGCGACACGTCGTCGATAGACTTGATGATCTCGGCCTCAGATTCCTCAAAGCCGTGCAGGAAGGTGTTAATGGCCAGCTTCTCAGCCTCCTGGGCAGACGACTTGGCAGGAGAAAGCAGCTTCAGCTTCAGGGCAGCCTTACCTTGCTCCAGCTCCGTCTCCGTGAACGTGCCGGCAGAGAATCTGTTCCAGTTCTTGAGCGTGAAGTGCACCACCTCGTCCAAGTATTCAATGTGCTGGGTCTCCAGATAGGCTCCCCATAGGGACACATCCGAGTAGCCAAGCGAGAAGTGGTCGACCTCGTCGGTCATAGGGTTGGCGTTGAAGAACTGGGCCAATTGTGGGCCCTGGAAGCTGGAGTACAGGTCGTTTGCACGGTACAGGCCATTGATTTGGGCTGCAACAAGACCAGCATAGTAGTCTGGAGCCGATGGGGCAGGACCTTGGGCAGAGATGGCAACGTGGGCGGCTGGCAAGGTGTCGTCTCTGAATCTGGCGTCGGATCCCAAGAAGTGGAATGGCTCGAACGCTGGCTTAGATCCCGCAGGAACAGACAGCTCGGAAGCAAGCTTAACCACGTCGTCGTGTTTGACCTCACCAACAGCCACAAGGGCCAGATTCGAGGCCACAAACTGCTTGCCCAGGAACGACTTCAGATCCATGGACTCCAGAGTGGCCAAAGTGTCGGCCTTACCGTAGGTTGGCAAGGCAAGGGAGGTTCCCTGGAATGCGGTGGAAATCATGTGCTCGATGACCATAGGCTTAGGCTTGGTCTCGAAGGCTTCGGCGAAAGCGGAAGCCTCTGCAGCCTTGTCTTTGATGTAGGACTCGTTTTTCAGCAGGGTCTCGAGGTTGCCAACAAGGATCTTGATGGTCTTGAAAGCCTCCTTGTCGTTACCCTTGGCGAAGGAGGTGACGGCCAATCCGGTGACTTCCTTGGCGTTGGAAGAGCTGACCTCAACACCAGACAGCGCGTAGGCTTCCTGGGCAGCCTTGGAAGATGCAACCACAGATCCAGCAAGCGTCGAAACACCAGAATTGAATGGGTTCTCGGATCTGGAACCAGAGTTCAAGTACAGACCAATCGATGAGGTAGACTGCGAGCCTGGCTTGGACACAACAGTGATGCCATTAGGCAGCTTGGTGACCACAGACTTGGCCACCTGTCTTGATGAGGAGAAGAATCTTCTTGACAACATTGGAAAACAAGGAAGGTTGGAAGAGTTGTGGATATTTTTTTTTCGAGCAGAGCGGGCCAATCAAATTTTCATTAATATTAATGGCTGCTGGTGCAGAGATGGCGGACGCTCGCTCATAACTTTTTCAAGCGCGAGAGGAAAAAACTTCACACCATGTCAGAGCTCATCAAAGTCGTCAAGGCGAGCAGACCACTGAAGCGGTTTCCACAGCCCGTGAGCTTGCCCACGGGATTTGTCAACACCCGTATTCTGCGGGACAATTTTAAGAGGCAGATGGCTGCGGAGCACGAGGTGACCAGCAAGGCGCTCAAGTTTATTGCTAGAAACGCGGCGCTGCCTCAGAAAATGAGACTCGAGGCGCAAATCCAGCTGACGGCAATGCCCAACTATACCAGAATGAATCAGGTGCGCGACCGGTGTCTGGAGTCGGGAACGGCAAAGAAAATAATCAAGCCGTTCAGAGTCGGTAGATACCAGTTCAGATTGATGGCCAAGGAGGGCGAGTTCCCAGGCGTCAAGAAAGGTGTCTGGTGATGTACTGTACATAGTTATGAGCGATGAAATTAAGGGGTATTCTTATACACATATATACCCAGTATTTCTGCGAGCGAGATGCGAGAGTCCTAGTCCGGCTAGAACAAGAAAGCCTAACTTAGTTCTCTCTGTACGAAATTTTCTTGGCCAGCTTTCTGAACTTTGCGTCCGCCTCGTCAGCCTCAACGGTTCCTGGGTTGCTCAAAACGAACATTCTTCTGGTTTGCATCGACAGCGGGTCCTGTTGGACGATCTTCAACCGGTATTGAGCAAACGACTGGAAGTGGCCAGCAGGAGCCTTAACGGCGTTGGCGGCCTGCGCTTGGGCTTCCTTCTCCTTCTCGAACAATCTGATAGCTGTGGTGGTGAATCTTCTGACTGACACTCTCAAAGACATGCTGCTTGAGTTTATAGGGACCGGACGCTGACTTTTTATATTAATCAGATTGAGGGGGTTTGGAAAATTCGCACACCCCTCGTTTTATTGTGCACATGCATGATATTGAAAAAATTGGTCACGGATTTTTTCAGTCTCACTATCAGTCTGCTTCGGCTATCGTAAGATTTTAGGCGAGAACAGCAGCGCTCCTGCAATTTGGCAGAAAACACCCCATTTTCCCAGGAGATAAGGTTTCGTGACCATGTGCAAGATGGGGTCATGGTCATGGCCGAGATTTGTCATGATCCGGTCTCCTCAGTCTCCTCATTTTGTTTTTGTTTTGGTGTCTCCTCGCGTTTTTCGGAAGCACAGTGTAGCTATCCCGTATGCCGATAACTCAGACCGACCTGAGCAAAGATTGGCGTCGGTGTGGCTTTTTGCTTGCTCTTATGTGCATGTGCGCGTCTGAAACATAGAGTTGCTGACTTAGCTCAGTTGGGAGAGCGTCAGACTGAAGTTCTGAAGGTCCTGAGTTCGATCCTCAGAGTTAGCATCTTTTGTTTTTGTTTTTTTGCTCTCGTTTTTTTAAGAGCACCTTTTCTAGTTTTTGTTCATGGACGACGAGTTTGACGATTTCGGCGAGTTCGAGGAGTTCGAACAGCCCCCACAGCAGTCGGGCGCAGACACGTTCATTTTCGCTCCGGAAAACGGCTCAGTTGAGGAACTCGGCCATATGATACACAGTCTTCTGGGGTCCGAGCCGTCAAGCGAACCCGCTGGCGACCTAAAGCTGGACCAGCGGTGTCAGGATGTCTACGAGAGACTCACATTACCGCCAATGAACCTCCAGCAGGTGAACTGGAAACGCTCGCTTCTCCGAAGACAGCTTCTGTTGAGTCTAGGTATTCCGATTGATCTGGACGAGGTTCTTCCCTCTGGCTCGAAAACCAGGAAATCGAAGCTCTACGACAGCAATGCATTAGCGGGATTAAAGAACAACGAGCTCTCACAACTGGAAGAGCGGATAGCAAAGCTGGAAATCGATAAAATAGAAAAGGATAAAATACTAGAGTCGAGTGCCGCTGTCCTGGAAAGCGTGCACCAGAAAGTCCAGCCGGAGTCGTTCTACCGTACAGCAGCGCAGCGTGGTGAGCTGGAGAGCAAGGCCAGGGAGCTGGAAAGCGTGCGCGACGAGCTGCTGAAAATAGCGTGCAGTCTGAACCTGCGTTTAGAGGAGCTCAAACAGGACAACGAGATCTATTCAATGTACGTGGAAAATCTTGTTGGGAATACACAGAAGCGCAGACGAGAGGAGAAGAAGGGCGATCGAAAATAAACGGCGCTCTATCTCCAGACACGGCCGCCCTGGCGCAGTCTCCGTCTGTAGAGACCAAGGGCCTTGATTGGAAAAATAAACCGGTAGTTGGGATACTCGATCGCACACGAGTGGTTGAACACCCCTTCCACGCCCTCAATTGCCCAACTGCCGTCAGAAGCCTGTCTTTGCAGCAAAAGCCGGATGCCGCGCTCGATCACCGTCAGATCGGGATACTCTGCCAGCAACAGGCCGATCAAGGCCCAAGAAGTCTGCACCAAATTCGATTCCTTGGTGCTCACATAGGTGTGTGTCTCGCAACTCTTCATTGACTCGCCCCAACCCCCGTCAGGAAGCTGCCTTCTGACGAGAAAATCGCATCCTCTGCGCACAGTGTCGCTGTTGGCATAGCTGTGCCCCGTCTCAGAAAACGCCTCGAGCGCAAACATCCCCGAATACGTATAACAGATGCCCCAGCAGCCGTACCACGAGCCGTCCGGGTTCTGCGCCTCCTCGATGTAGCACAACGCGCGCGAGATGGCCCGCTCCACGTCGGCCGCACGGTAGCTGCTGTGCTTGCGGAAATACACCAGCCCCAATATACTCGAGTCGGTGCACTCGACGTACGGATACTCCACCATGATGTTGCCGAACACCTCTGCTGGATTCAGGAGCTCCATCAGCGGCGTCGCCTTGATCTTCTCGTACGTCGAAAACGAGCCGTAGTACGACATCAGCCGCGAGCTCCAGTCCACGTTCTGCAGCGAGAGCAGCACGTCGATCGTGTTATGTAAGCGCTGAATCAGCTCTGCGTCTGCAGGACGGGCCATCAGCACCGCCTTCATCGCCTCGGCCGAGCAGTCGCTGACCGTGTAGCCCTGGTCCTTTGTCGAGAACGGCCACGCGCCGCGTCTTTTGTCTCTGTACGAGCCGGGCACGCACTCTGTGTCCAGCTGCGACCGGAGCAGAAAGTCGACTGCTCTGTCGTGCGCGGCGGCCACGGCCTCGTGGTTGTGCACCTGCGCCACGTGGAAGCACTGCACCGCAAACGAGCTATCCCAGACCTGCGAGCCGTTCGTGCCCATCATGGTCATTCCAAGGGGGCTCAAAAACAGCTCTTCTTTCAGCCGTTCGGCCACTCTTTCGAACCGTTTGCTACGGCCCTCCTCTATGTACACCACGATACTGTTGAAGGCACCGTTGACGGGAGCAATGGACAAATCGTCCGTGTTTTCGAGCTCCTTCAAAACAAGGCCGTACGCAATGTCGTTGGCCCATTTGGCGAGCCACCGTGGCCGGTACCGGTCGTACTGCACCATCATCCAATTCACCGCGTCCAGCACCTTGGTGTGCGGATAGTACAGGTCTATGCCGCACACTTTGTTGCGACAGGCGGCGAAGTTTATCTCTGCAAACGGCCGCGTGTATATCTCGTCGCGGATCTGCTTCAAAATGGGGTCCAGCTTGCACTGTGCCTTGCAATTGTATAGATACGACACGGGAGCATATATGGCGCGCGTGTGCACCCACCACTTCATGGGGTGGACCGGCAGCCAGTAGGGAAGCGCAAACAGCTCGCTCGGAGCAGGGTTTACGCCCTCCCATTTGTACAGGTTCAGCACAGACAGCCAGATCTTGCCCCAGTGCGGGTTGCCCGTGGCTCCGCCCATGGCCAGCAGCGTTTTTCTGGCCTTGACGCACGTGGGGTGGTCGGCGCCGAGCCCCAGGAGCCGCAGTATCACGTAGTTGATCGTCGTGCCAAAACACGTTGACTTGTCCGTTTCGTGAAGCCCCCACCCGCCGTCGACAGGGTGCGCAGTGTTCACAAGGTACCGCACGAGCTCTGTGGTCACGTGGTCGGGGATCGAAGTGCCCGTGAATTTTGCCGACGCAACGTATCCGATGGTGACAAACATCGGGCCTTTGTACATATTAGGCCACGTGCCGGACTCATGCTGCACACTGGCAAAGTACGCGGCCGCTTTCTCGATCGCGTCGTCTAGCGATGGGTTTCCACTGGCGACAGGCCTGCCAGTCTGCAGAAGGTGCTTCTCAACTGCCGAAGGCTTTTGCGCACCATAATGCCATTTCTGGTTTCCCAGGTCGCTCACTTCGAGCGTCCAGTGGAGCTCCTCCGTCGCACTTGGCTCAATGCCCAGCTGATCCGAGTAGTACATTGAATTTAAATAAACGAGAAATATTTCATTTTTGGGGGCATGCTTATGTAAGGTATAAAAAAAATTTACTCGATTTTCCAGCTACCTGTTTGGCCGCGCACGCCGTCGAAGGTGAGACAGTTGTCGAACGAGACATACTGGTTGGTGAGGATCTTGATGATCTCCTGTGATGCGATGCCGCCCGTCAGTGCGCAGACGTTGTGGAGCGCCGTGCCTTCTGCCCGGAGCAGCTCGTCGAGCACGAGTTCCAGCCCGTCGGGGAACGATTTCAGCGTTTCCCAGCGGCACAGTTCGGAGATTGCCAGAGCGCGCACTTCAGACTGGTCTTTCTGTGCGGCGTGGCGTTTGTGTTCCTTGTAGAACGTGTTGAGTGCCAAAAACCCAAAATAAATGTTGGTGTTTTGTAGCACGGGGTTCGACTCGCTTAGCATATCCGAGCTCCACACCTTTTTGGAGCCTCTGTGCACTTCCAGCACGCTGCAGTTCTTTACGAACAGCTCGATCCCGGACTGGGCGATCTGGTCGGCCGCCCGATTATGCTGGCTCGAAAGTTGCAACGCCAGTTTTGTGAACTCTTCCTTGTCGGTCTCGTGTTTGGCCCTGTAGATGCCCTGCAATTTTAAGTATTCTTCGGTGTTGCTTGCCATGTCGGGCAGCGAGCCGCTGAGCGGCAAGACGCCGTGTTTCTCGTAAAATTGTTTCAGTGCCTCCACCAAAATCCAGAACGAGCTCGCCGTAGACAAGTCCACCTTCTCCTGCATCAATTTTGCCAGTTCTTCGCTCAATTCGCTCGACCGTTTCGTCACCAACGCGGCCTTTTTGATCGCCTCCTCCACGTTTTCCCCGTCGCCAAGCTGTGCAAGCCGCTGTCTCGCCTCCTTCGTGCTGGGTCTTCTCCCGTGCTCCCGCATAAATTTCTGGTACACCTTGATCAGCAGCACGCAGTACGGCACCTGGGCCAATCTGGCCTCGTCCACAGAGTCCACGTACTCCTGCAGTTCGTCCCAGACCGCGTCTATGCGCAGATCGTCGGCCCGGCTGGAATGAGTCTCGACCATCGTTCGCTCCTCGCAGTACAATCTGACCAGGGAATAGAGTCCGATCGAGTGGACATGAAGCAGCGGCACGCTCAGATCCCAAAGCAGGTCAATTAGGCAAACGCACGGGTCCAGCCTGCAGTTGACAACGCAGTCAAATTGGGACCAGAACGAAGGGTCCGTTAGAAGAGACTCAAACGGAGTCTTTTCGTGTAATACCGCACTGTCTGGGTTTAGTTCGCCCAGATGTTTCGCAGCGCACTCGCCACGCAACTTGTCCGTGTCCTCTGCTACCACAAAGAAGTTTGTCGCAAGGTCCTCCTCCGAAACACGTTCTGAGTCCACCAGGACGATCCGGCCCACGCCAGCCAGAACAAGATTCTTCACGGTCTCGCACGCCACAGCATTGGCCTCTATCACGCACACCGCCGAACCGGCCAGCCGTTTCTGTCCCGCAGAGCTCCACAATCGCATCTGGCGGTCATACTTGCTGTTCACCTCGTTGTCGTTCATGAATATTAATTAAATACGAAAAATAAAAATAAATGCACTATCTGCATCTCCTAGACTATTGTACACGTAGGTTTGTCAGGATCGACAATGTGGCCATACTGCTCCTTGAATATCTCTTTCTCGTTCTCGCGCTGCTTCTGTTTCACCTCTTGCGGGAAATAGAGCTTCAGATACGCCATTTGGGCCAGATCGAGGTTGCGCTCGTCGGCATGCAACACCACCTCCTGGCGGCAGAGCGGACACTTGTCCTCCTCCTTGCGCTGCAGCTTCACCAGACATCGCACACAGAAAAGATGTCCACAGTCCAGTCGGATGGGCTTGAAAGCCACAGAGCAGCAGATTGGACAAGTGTAGTCGTCTAGCTGTGGAACAATGTTGAGTAGTCGCTCGCCGATTATCGCACACACATCTTTGCACACCGTGCTATTAAGGATATTGGCCTCAGAAGACTTCTTCAGCAGATCAGGGAACAGTTTCAGGGAGTTGAGCGTCGTTTGCTTGTCGAACTTCTTGAGGATCTTTTGCACAGCCATGCTATTGATCGCCTGGTAGTTGGCAACTTTGATGATCAGCATGTTCATCTCTTTGAACGTGGCAAACGCCCCGAGCGAGTTGCGCTGTCGAAGCCTCTTGAGGATGTTTGTTTCGTTCACACGGTCGATGAAATCGCTCATTCGCTTGCGCGAAACCGCCACATCAACGCGTCCCGAGCATCTCTCTCGGGTGCCAAAGAAAACCTCGCTCTCTATGTACATCTGGAAGATTTCTCGCCAAACATACATGTCATTTTTGCGTCTGTTCGGAGACCCGACCTTGCCTATCACAGCCGCGAGATTCTCAACCGTATCCACAAGTTCGTGTTCCTGCTCGTCTCCAAACCTGTTTAGCTCCTCCAGCTCCTCATACAAAGTCTGGAAAAAGAGGGTATCTTGGTGTAAAGTAACGGTCAAAACGCTTCCGTCTCTCTCTTTTCGCACAACTGAGAAAGAATAGTCCATTTCGTTCAGCTTAGAGATTACTAACTGCTCCATTTCCCGACTAACATCGGTCGTCAGCTGGGGCCGCAATTGATGCTGTATCTGTTCTATCTCATATGTATAGCTCATGTTCTCCCTTTTCAGCCCCACGTTCTCGAGCTCCTCAACCACCCGATTGATCCTCTTCTTTAGCGCCTTGTACTGAATAGCTTTCTCAACCCACTCTGGAGGAACGCCGTCCTCTTGGAGAATCTGGTGTAGCAGCTTAGCAAACTTCATTGTCCGGTCATGCTAAATAGAAGCAAATTTATTATATACATTTTTTTTTAAATTTAATTTCCATTTTTTAATTTATTTTCACAACGTGCATACAAACTTTGGAGCCATTGCTCAGAGTGATTGAGGTTAAAAAAAAAACTTATTTTTTCTTCTTGAAAATGTTGCCGGCAGTGCCTAGCACCTTGCCGCCAACCTTACCCGCAGTACCGATCACCTTTCCAGTGCCGTCTAGTCCTGTATTAAGGATTTTTCCAGCACCCCCCACAGCGGTTCCGGCCACGTTTGGCAGCTGTTTCTCTGCACTCAACAGGGTAATGTAGGATGGTTTGAAGCTAAATGCCACAACCAGCTCGCCCGCAGGCTCTCCATCATCGTCCTTCAAAGGCAACGTCATTTCCTGGACACCTTCGGCAAATGGATTAATCTCGCTCATGTTCAATTTCACCTCACCTAGTTTGTCGTCTTGCTCCAAGCCAAAATCCCAGTCGGACACTTTGAACCTCAGCACGGAATTAACTCTATTATCCACCTCAAAGGATGTCTCCTGATTCCATTCTGGGTCTAATGTCTTTTTAATCGTCTTGGTTTTGAAGATCTCCTCGTCGTTCAGGTAGACCTTTGTAAATGGATCAGATTTTCCGTTCGAGTCCGCAGAAGGCAATCCAGAGCCTCTGATGACGCGCATGGTCATATGTCCCGTGTTTCCAACAGAGTCTTGTGCTGGTAGGTCCTTCATCAAAACAGGAATCCATCTGGTCTGCAGCTTGATGCTGGCTCCGTTCGACAACTTGACAACGCTCGGCTGGTCGTAGGTGCTCTCGATCAGATCCATGGTGGACATAGAAGCCTCTGCAATGGCTTCTTTCTTGATGTTGCTTCTTTTCTTCTCCGCGAGCTTGATGGTGACCTCAGAATATTTGAGTTCTCTCACCAAACCTTCTCCGGTGGCATTAATCTGTTTGTCATGAGAAGAAAGCCTTGGACTAACATATTCGGGATATCCAGATCTATCGAGAAAGATCTGCAAGTAGCCGTCTTTTGGAAATTGTCCTTCTAACAGAGTAAAAACACAGACACCGCAGTTGTAGTTGCGAACTTTGTCCAATGGCAAATCGAGCTTAGGCTTCGCGTCTTCCATCTCTTCCTCCTCCTCCTTCTCCTTTTTCTCCTCTGCGCTCTCCTTGTGGCCCTCACCATCATGTTTGGCTTTCTTCTCCTCCAATGTCTTCTTCTCCAGAATGTCGTCCGGAGTCATCACGGGAAGAGTAGGGAAGAAAGACATGGAGTATGTGACAGTGCCCTTTGCGCCACGCTTAGGATGCACAAGTCGTCCTTCTTGAGGTTCACCATCGGTCTCGATCGGGTCTCCCTTGTGGTCGAACTCAATAAACTCGTTGAGTCTGACCTGGAACGAGCCCAAAGTTCTATCTGGAGTCGATCTTTGGACATCCATGGCTTCAATTGTCACTCTCTGATTAGGAGATGCAATAGGCACGTAGATAGACTGGTTGAAAACAGGGTTGGTGGTGGAATCCTTCGTTAAAGTTCTTCCTTTCTGGACACCGTTAATCATGACTCTGACGTACGGATCAATAACACCAATCTTCTCCAGGTTGATGAGGTTCATGGCCTTGCCAATATTGAAACGAACAACACCGAACGGCTCAGTGTAGCCCATGGCGCCTGGCACTCCAGTCATTGCCACAGAGCTCCAATTACAGGTCAGCTTCACCTCACCAAGACCTTTGGTGAGAGGCAGCCACTCGTTGCCGACATATGTGGAGTCAATCAGGTCTGTGAGTTTCATGGTGGCAGAGCCAACCAGTTTCTTGGAAGAGTCCCGCAGAACAACACGGACTTTACACTTGGACCTGTTGTAGATGATTTGGTTGTGGCTGATGCTCCACGAGGCCTCCTTGCTCTTTTTGACAACGCCTGTGGTGGCCTTGAGCTCACTGTCAACATAAAGCTCGGCAAATACGTTTCCGGGCTTCTTGTCGTCCTTGTTGTAAGATCTGGCGCCCAAGAGCCTGATGACGGCCACACCGGTGTTAAGGTCTGGAGGTGGAGAGTAGGAGCCGTCTGGAAGCTTGGATCCTTGCAAGGTTTTCATCATCTTGAAGTCCAAAGTGACATGTCCAGCTTCTCTGTTGTTTCTCAGAATAGGCAGCGTGACGTCTCTAAGCTCCCCTTTGAGCATGATATCCTCCAAATCGTACAGAACATAGCCCATCATCTTGTCCTTTCTACCGTCGTTTTCGTTCTCGTCGTAGAGCGTGATCGATAGTGGCTCGGACGACGTCTTTAGCATGACATTGACTTTCTCGTTCCACACAGGATCCATCGTGTCTGGAATAGCTTTGGTTTTCGCCAGAACAGCACCTCCTGTGGAGAACGTCAGGTACGGATCGATGGTGTTGTTGAACGTATCTGCAGCCTTGAGACCCTTGGCGTGCTTGACGTTGACCTCCAAAATACCCAGAGCACCGTCGAAACCGTTACCATTGAGTAGCTGTTCCAAGTTGAGCTGGAACGAGAGCGGGTCAAACAGCATTGGGCCGGCAAACTTCTTCACCATCTCGTTGATAAACATGTAAAGGCCCGGGATGTTGAGAAGTTCAAATGGAAAGATGGTGTCTCCGCCAAAAGGCTTGGCCAGGAAGTCGAAGTACGGAGCCTCCAACAGCGACACGTTGACCGTTTGGATGTGCGGGAAACTCTTCATCATTCTCAGTCTGACTCTCACCTTGGCCTGGAACGCAATGTCGGAAACCACAACTGGGAGCGTGAGGCCAAATAGCTTGGCCTTGACAACAATGTTCTGGTTGACGTAGTTCTTCAGCTGTTTCGCAGTGGCGTCCTCAACTGCGTTCGGAGTCATCGAGACCCACCAATCCATCACAGTGATGTCGTCGCCGGTGCGGTCGAGAGTGCGGACCTTGTCAATTCGCGGTGGCTTGGTGCCTAGCGTGAAGGTGTGGATCCAAAGCTGTTTCACGAACGCAGGGATTGGCAGCCCAGCAAGAATCACATTGGCCTGGTCACACACAAGCTGCGCAGCCGTGGGCTCGATGAACCGCCAATAGCGGTCCAAAAACACATTGAGCCAGTCCATCGTCTCGAAATCGTCCTCAATGTGATTCACAGAAAACTCTCTCTGCGCCTCGAGTCTCAGTTTGAGCCTGTACTTTCTTATCGACGCACGGTAGTAGAGCGCCGACGCAAGCATCACAAAGAAGGTCGGGCCCAGCGAAAACCGAAATCGGCCCAGAAGCCACGACAAAAGGCCACCGAGGATCACAATGCCAACGGTATGATACCAGTCGCCGTATGCAATTTCTGGCAAGTACTCGTCCAAAAACGTCGATTTCGTCAACAGATCAACAATCTCCTCCTCGTATGTGAGCGAGTCTTGGTTCTCCCATCCCCCGACCTCTTTCCAGCCAGTAAAGGCGGCGGTGTGAGGAAGACGCTTCTGCTCTTCCTTTTTCTTTCTCTGCTCTAGCAGCCTCTTGTCGGTCCTGCTCACAGGACCGTTGAGATCCAGCTCGTGGAGATGTGTCTTTTCAGATTCAATTGTCTCCGTGGACATGGAAACAGATACGGTGGAAGCAAGTGAAACGACTTTATTTACTTCACCCCTACAGAAATTTCCTAGAGTTGCTGGTGTACGGATGTGGGCAAGAAAAACTTGCGCTACACCAACTCGCCGTACCGGTTGAGACGGCGTTCGAGCAGCTTCACACGGTCGCCGACGCTTACCATGTAGCCGTGTTCGACCTGCACCGCGTTGACGCCGAAATAGGTCAGATTAGGCTCGCCCACATCGACGCGGCGGAACGACGCCAGCGTGCGCGAGACCGGCTGTTTGGCACGCTGCTTGCCTGTGTCGAAGTCGATGTTTGGGATCGAGCAGCGCGGGCATTTGGATGCAACCAGCCACTCCTTGCCACTGATCGTAAAGCGGTACCAGTCGTCCGTGTCGTACGGTTTTTTCGGCCCGTCGATGACAATATTGGGACGGAAATTGGTCGAGGTGGTGTGCACTTCTGGCCCATGTTCTTTGGCGAGACGAGCGTTGAGGTCTTTGATGTCCGCGTCGGAAATGAGCAAGATCGGGAAGTAGTCCTGGAACTTTGTGACGCGGTACTTTTGGTGCGAGCCGGGCGTGTAGTTGGGCAGTGCGGTGAGGTGTTTCGGCGAGTTGGTGACGACCAGTTTCCCAAACGGAGCGTACAGCAGCTTGTAGTGTTCTGGCAGCCCAACGGCGGCAAGAAACGGCTGGATGTCGAGCTTTTCGAGTGTCACCACCTCGAAGTCGACTTTCCACAGCTCTGCCTGCTGGGGGCTCCCCGACATCTTCTCCAGGTAGTCATTGGAGACGGTTTTGGGCACGCTGAAGTAGTCCTTGTTTTTATAGCCAACGACGAAATGGTCGTCTTCCAGACGAAGCTCGACCTTGCTCAGCGATGCGTACTGTCTCAGCGATACCATGACCCATTTTTGCTGCACATTATCGAATTTGCCTAGCATGTACATTCTGTCGCAGTCAAGCCCGTGTTCGGTGACTTTCCATGTCTGGACACTCAGCGCGGGGAAAGATTTGATTGGATGCACGCGGATCTCCTTGACAAACGTCTCGGGCTTGTCCAGAAACGGGATCCACGAATTGACTTTGTAGGTGGTGTTGATGAGGTATCTCACGGGGGCGAGGTTGAGGCCGAGTCCGTGCTGGTGTTTAGTCTCGTGGAGCGAAAGCGCCTTCAGGAGCCACGTGAGAGTGTTCAGCGCTGCCACGGCACAAACGAAATAGAGGGGAATTGCATAGAGGAAAAACATATCACCGAGGCCCAAACATTAAATAATGGAGTGTTTTTTAATTAATTAATTATCCGATAAGATAAATTTCCCCAGCCACACCCGCTCAGCCCAGCCACCAACAGAGATAACAAATTGACAGGCGCCCCAACAGAACCTGCAATTCTTTCTTTGCTCCATGAACTCGTCCGACAACTCCAACGATTGCCAGGGCGACAAGGACCACACGTCTGTTTCCGAGCCCATTTCACAGATGCTGAGAGAGCCCGTGCCGCTGGACGTCCCGCAGCCGTCCACCCCTCCCACACATGGCCCTGTGCCGTGCTCTGCCAGCTCTGCGGGCTCGTCGGAAATAACCGCACTGTCACTCTCGTCACCGCCGCTGACGCCTCCGCCACGAGTGATGCGCCGTCTGACGCCGCTGGGCAAGTTCAGTCCGCGCAAGCGAGCGAACTCCATAGACGACGACCTCGAGACTCACGCCAGCCGCAGACTCCTGCTGCTGGACCAGCGCACCTCACGCAGTGCCGCGCACACAGAATCCGTGTGCAAGAAGCTGAGCAGTCTACAGCAGCAGAAACTGAGAAAAAAAGAGCTGCTTCTGGAAAAGCTGAGCAAAGCCGTCAAAAACAGACAGGAGTACGTGAACCGCAAACGGCTCATAGCATCGAGCACGGTGCGCCACATCTGCTCGTCGGGCAGCAGCGACGACGCCCGGAGCTTGGAGATGTGCGTATCGCACGAGCAGGGCGCGTGCGCGTACAGCTTTGCAGGCTTGTTCAAGATTGTGGCTGGGCTCTCGGTCTGGGAAAATCTACGACGGGTGCCGATCTTTGTCAATTTCGAGGACGCCGTCGGCAAGATAGACATCGGCAACACGTACAGGTTCATCAACAGCCGCGAGATCACCCGACTGACGTCGTCGCTGTTTGCGGAAATCGACGTTTCGAACGGACTAGTGGATGCCTTTCTTTTGGCACGGTGTTTCCTGTTTGGCTTTGCTATTCTGGTCGAAAAGGACAAGCACGAGCGCTACAACCGCGTGCCGATGTACGCGGTTCGGCTGAACGCCACACAGCCGTTTTTCGACCGTCTGGCCAAGGACTTCCCGAACCTGAAGCAGCACCACCTGGACGAGAGCTACTACGGGTTTCTTGTGGCGGAGCTGCACACCGCCACGTTCCATGTATGGAAGCTGTTCCAGCGGCTGGTGCAGCTGAACGGGTCCGAGTTCGAGAAGTACGCGTTTAAAGACGCGCTCATGGCCACCTACTACCCGGTCTTCCAGGTGTTCAAGTTCAACCACTGGTTCCGCAGTCTCGCGTTACTGTCGGAGAGCAACGACGGGCTGAGCAAGCATCTCGGCTTTTTGCGCACGATGCGCTCGCTCACGGCCGACAACGACGTGCTGCTCAATGAGTACAAGTACATGATCCGCAAGGGCGAGTCGTTCATCAAGGCCAACAAGGAGCGGTTTTCGCGGCTCAAGGGCGACAGCCGCGCCGCAGACCTGGACGCGATTGAAGCAATGGAGCAGGAATTTGTGGCGCGGCACAAGGCAGCCGTGCTTTCTGGCTCGTCGCTCACAGACGACAACCCGCTGATCTCTGTGTCTTCGCGAAGCCGGTCGACGCTGCGCAGCGCTGCGCAGCGGCCTGCGTCGCTGGTTCCGCCCACGTTCACCGTCGATAACTGGCGCAAGTACTTGTTCAAAGTGCTGCTCGAGTACCGGTCGCGGGGCGCGCAACTGCGAATGCGGACGGGCAAGTCGCCGCGGGGCGCGGCCCAGCTGCCTGCTGCTGAGTGCGACATGCTGGCTGAGTACGTCGACCAGCTCCAGCCCGACATCGAGGCGATCCGCGAGTGGCTGGGGCTCAAGACGTACAACGAGGGCTGTATCGAGGCGATCGAAAGGCTGTCGTACCTGGACTCTGTCGAGGCCATGATGGTGGACGTAGCACAGATGGTGGAGCGGTGTTTGTACGCGATGTTCCTCGTGGCGGAGGACTCGAAACGGACGGTGAACCTGGTTTTCGCGCAGTGTGCCAATCACCGCAGAGAAAACTCGACCGCCATATCCTTCCTGTCCGACTCGGTGCTTGTGCTCAGCAAGCTCCGCAGTGGGAAGCTGCAGCTGGCGGAATATTTTCAAATGAGTCTGGGCGTGCTGCTTTGGGAGACACCGGAGTTTCTGCGGTGCGAGGCCGAGTCGTTGCTGGCGCAGACGGCCCAGGTCGACAAGGCGTTCATCCAGCGGTTTGTGGAGTTCATCAAGGACTGCATGGTGTTTGGGATGAATGGCTGTGTGAAGAGCTGTCTACGGTTCATTGGCAGCAACATCGTGGAGTTTGAGCGCGACGTGTTCGAGTGCAACTACCCCTCGTCCAAAGTGTCGCTCAACTTGCGCTTCCCCAATTTGTACAAGCAGATGCAGCTGCACAAGGATCAGGAGCCGGCGTGCGGCGAGCAGACACAGGAGCGGGCGACGCTCGCGTTCTACAACCGGGTGTTTGCGGCGTTTGTGTGCAGCAGCAGCACCGGCAAGCTCTACGAGATGCCCGAGTTTCTGGAGAGCTTTTCGATCCAGCTGATGGAGCTGAGCAACCAGGTGCGTACTCTGGTGACGCTCCAGTCGGTGACGGTGATTGTGATGAGCTCTTTGGCCAGTCGTGCCGAGCCCGGGCAGCAGCTGGTGGATTTTGGCAAGCTGCTGGTGGAGCTGGATGGGTTTTTGCTCAACTACTTCGAGCACACCGAGTCCAACCGGTTCGGCAACTTCTTCAAGGAGGAGGTGTACAAGATCCTGTGCACAAACGTGTCTGAGCGACTGCGCGGCCGAGGCTACAACGAAGAGGCCATTCGGGCCGTTGTGGACATGAACCTGGACTTCAAACACGTGTGTGGGCTCATAGCGCAGACAGAGAGGGCTAGCATTGGCAGCACCAAAGTGAGCTCACTGAAAACGATATACTGCAACGCCATCTATGACATCATAGTTCTGCACGGCCGTGTTTTTTCAGCAAATACGTCAACGAGCGAGCCGGTGCGGCGCAATTCAGCCGAGGTGGAAAAAATATTTCACTCCGAGATGCATAGGGCATACAGCAAGTTCTACGCGGCCGACCTTGTGCGCGACAAAATCGACAAGATCGTGCGCGACTACTACGCCGTCTTCAACGCGTGCGTCGAGGTGCACTTGCAAAACATGTACCTTGTATTGCGCGAGTTTGAGGAGATCTGCGCCTTTGAGCGCACACAGTGACGGAGGAACACGGTTGCATCCACCCCAGACGTGCGCGAATTCTACGCATATGCAGACTGTAGCAATCCTGACCATCGAGAATAGGACGATAATAGTATTACAATAGTGCTCGCAAAAAGAGACGGAATTTCGGTCCGCTCCACGTTTGGCGAGGTGTACGCAGAATCATAAGAGTATATCGTGTCATCCTGTCATCCTTCTACCTTGTAGTCTACCACCCCTCTCAGGATCTTGATTACCCCGTACGCCTCGTGGACCATCTCGTCGGGGCTGATGGCGTTGTTCTTGGACCGGTTTTTGCGCTCGCTCCCGGGCACGGGCCATCTGCAACGAATCATGAGCCGTGAGCACTCCGAGCACGTTGGCCTCGTTTCGCAGCATTTTTTCTTGCGCTGTCGACACGTCAAACATCCTCTTCGCGATCGCTTTGTCTTTTCTGGCGAGCCAGACCCGGACCACGGCGAGTATTCCGTCGCGCTCTCAGCAACAGGCCGTACCAAACCGTTCGAGCTTTCAACGGCAGCCTGGCTCACCATCTTGTACATCCTTGATTCCATGTCGTAGCACAATACCTGGGGCTCCTCATGGCCGAGTTTGTGGGACGGGTGGCCCAGACTGGCGCTGCGTCGTATATTTATCTGCATACAAGACGGCTTGTGTGCTTTGTGCGAGTTCTGGTGGTATGTTGGGCTGGCCGGCGCGTGCCTGAGACGCTGCTCCTGCTGCGGATTGGCGTAGTTGTAGTTCTGGTACGGCGAGGGCGCGTACAGGGCCAAGTCTGACAGCATAGGGTTCAAACTGGGCATGGTCAGTGGCTCGTGCGGCTCGTGCGAGTGTTTGGATGCTAAGAGCAATCTGCCGGCATTTGCTGGGGGCGCTCTGGTATCAGCCTGGTTCGAGGAGTCCATGTACCGGTGAAATTGAATTTGGGCCAGAAAGCCGGGTTTATATATGCTAGGGGAGGCCTGGCTGGGGTGTAGAAAAGAAACCGTTAAATAGAGTTGATTTGATAATCGTGCATTAAATCTGGTCCATACGGGTTAGATTGATGGCGGAACCGAAGTTTTCACGCAAGTGAGGAGCAGGGAGCAACTATTTGGGCTTACTCAGTGAAAACATACTGATTGCCCAGACGCACGGAACTCTGGAAAACAAACTATTTCATGCATGAGCATGCGCAACGAAGCCTTTCCCATACCGAAAATATAAACTGTTCGCGAGCTGTCAAATTATGCGCAACAGGCAAATCGCAGCCCAATCATTACTGAGCCCGCAGGGCGGGGACCCGGCTGTGCGGCCTCGGCACTCGCAAATACGAGTCTGTACAGCAACTGCGCCCCAATGAAAATGGAGAGTTTTGTGTTCCCGGCCCGCAAAATCCTGGGGTAAAAAGAAACTTCTTTAATCCGAGCTCAGCGCAGAGTTGCGTGTGCTGCTGCATTGCATTGTATCTGAAACAGCAAGGAAGAAGTAGAGCGGAAAGAGCCCTTGAGACGCAATTTAGTCGAGGCACATGCGCGTCGATCGTCGCGTCACAAAACCCAGATCTTTTGAGAAACGACGGGCAAAAAAAAAACACACCAATAAATAGATACACGCACCGCTCCTCATGTCTGTGGCCAGCAACTTGCAGTCCTCCATCACGTCTCTGCAAAACTCCATCAACTTTCTCAATTGCGCAATCGCCCCGCTGCGCCAGGTCACTCACGACGTTGATCGGTTCAAGACAGTACTGCGCACAAAGGCTGTGTTTGATGTGATCCCCGAGTCGACCGTCCAGAAACGCACCAAGGCCGTCTCTGAATTTGTCGAGCCCCGTCTGAACAAGGACCATGAGCTTCTGCATGAGATTATGGCCGAGTTGGCGCGCAAACAGGACCGACTCCACAAACAAATGGCGCCGCTGGAAAAAAAGCTGGAACGCGTCAGATCACAGCATGGAGCAACCATCAAGGTGCAGAAAGTCTCTGGCTCTCGCGACGACATTGCCCGTCTCAACACTCTGCGCGCTAAAAAGCTCAAGCTGGCGTCGAGATCAACTTGAGGTTCTCCAGCAACTTGCCCACGCTTTTCTCCAGGCTGTCCAGCTTAATGGTGATCGACAGAAGCATTGGGTCGCTCGTCACCACGTCGCACGTCTCCTGGATTGTCACGACAACTGGATTATCGCTGTTGTCCACGTACGTGATGCTTTCCTCGAGGTATTTGGTTGACATTTTGAGCACCGTGGAGCACGACGGCTCTGCGCTGCCCGCGAACACCGATTTCAAAAAGCCAGTGTTGTCGGCACTGTTCTTGCGTCGGGAATCCAGCAGCTTGCGATACTCCTCACACAGGATTGTGGAGATGGACCGTGTCCTGTCCTGTGAGATTTTGGCGCGCACATGGTCTGCAAACGAGATCCGGTTCGGCACGTCGATTATCAGGTCCCACGGCCGGTGCGTGATCGGCTTGATCACCTTGAGGTCGATCGAGAGGTCGCTGTTGCTGATCACCAGGTCCAGCGCCACGTTCTCGGGGAGTTCCGGCTCAAACAGCTGGTGCGGTAACCTGTACCTGGGGAACATGTAAGCCTCTGTGGGGAACAGCAGAGACTTTTTGGCGAGTTGGACCTGGCTGTGTAGCGTCGACAGAACTTTCAGCAGCACAGCAGGCTGTGTTTCTGGCAGCGACTGTATCTTGCTAATGGTGTTGATAGCGTTGTATATTAAATCGTGACAATCCAGTAACTGGCGGAGTATCAGCGTCGAGTTGTCCTTGAGCCGCAGATGCAGCGTGCGGCCAATGCTTTTGGACCGGATGGACACGCTCAGGCCCGTGACCCGAAAATTAGAGCGGCTGATCACGCCCTTGAGCGTCTCCGAGTTATGCGACGACAACGGGAACTTGAACTCCTCGCCGTTGTTCTCACTAATCTTAGCCATACACGAGGCGAGGTTTTCCTTGATATTCGGCAATTGTGGCCGTATCACTTCGTCAATGAGCCACGCCTGCTCTTTAGCGCTGTCAGCACATAATTTCTCGGACGGAAGAAATATTTGCGTAGACATGAAAATATTGAAATTAAATAAATCAGAAAAATCAAATAAATATTTTATGGATCTTCCTCATGATCTGGCTTCGGCGCTGCTGAACCAGCCGTTAAGCTATATTCTCCCCAAACAGGACAGTAAGTATTTTTGTCACTGCTTCTGACACCACAGTTGTGCCTTTTGGAGGCCCCTTCGAGGTCCGTTTCGCCCCTGCCCAACGCGTCTCCCCAGCAGACAAAAGGGACGTCGATGACGAGCTACTGCGGGAATTCAAGGTTTCCGATCAGCTGGAACAGATCACCTTCAAGAAGCCAGCCATGAAACTCCCCGCACGGACTGCTGCTGAGCACACCGAGCCGTCAGGAATGCTGGAACGACACATTCTGGCCGCCGTGAGCTCCAAACGGTCGTGGACCAAGCCCGATCTGAAGGTCAAGAGAATCAAAATCGACAGCACGCCCACCGATTTTGACAGCGCACAACATCAGCCGAGTGACACGGGCTTCTCCATTGCCGAAGAGAGGCCGACTGTTCATCTGGACTCTGGCAAACTGCAAACAGAGGCCAAAAATAAGCTGGTGTCCATTTTGCAAGATCCGTTCGAACTCGACCCAGACACGCTACAGGCTCTTGAGGACAGCATGAACCGACTGTGGTACGCGAAACAGCTAAAGGACGTCGACGCGCAGCTTCTTGTGCGTCTCAACGAGACGTGCTCCGCGATGCTGGATTTCCAGTTCGCCAAATTCGGCGGTGACGAGATCGACGCCGCGTGCCAGGCCGCCAAGTGCGCAATATTGGTGATGCTGGTCTTCACAAGCAACCACAGCGACAAACAGCTGTACCTGGAAACTTATCTCACCTCTGTGCTGGACTTTGTGTACGCGTGCGGCGATGCTTTGCAGAATTCCAACGTTTCCGACTTTGACGATTTTTTAAAGAGTTACATCAAGATCATGGACCTGGTGGCCTGTTATGCCAAACAAAACAGTCTGGAGGACAGCATAGTCACCAAATTGGAGTACTTCACACTGAAATTATGTTTTTCCGACTCAAAACAAGACCCTAGCTACGACAGACTCCGCGTAGCAGCCTCAAACGTCATATACGAGATTTTCAACAGAAACCCGGATCAGCGCGTGTTTCTGCTCCACGAGATCGTCAACAGCTTCGACCAATTGTCGCCGCACAAGACAAACTCCCGCCAATACCATCTCGCGCAAGGGTTCAGCGTCCAGCTGGTGACCATGCTTCTGGTGCGGCTGATCCAGTCGTTCAGCGTGTGCTACGAATTTGACGAGGCGTACTGGAAAGTGAGCGAGAAAAAGCGCGAGGAGCTGAACTCGAGCATCTACAGCCACATCGACGCGTCGGCAGACGAGCTGGCTCGGCTTTCGAACGAAATCGCCTCGTTGCTGGTCACAAAAATCACCTCTAACTACGACCCCACAGGGAAAAAAGTGCTGGAGAACTTTATAGAGGACCTGCTCGCCATGACCGAGTATCCGGAATATTCCGGCAGCGAGACGCTTCTCGAGTCGTTTCTGCACACTCTCATGTTCGTTTTCAGCTCGGACAACTACTCGGCGCAGATCGAGGCGTTTGCACTCGAGCTAATGGGCATTATTGGCTCAAAAATCCTCGCGCTGCGCAGAGGCCAGCAGCCGCTCCGTTTCAGTGCCGATATGAGCGTTGCCGACTTCCAGACGCTGTTCGAGCAGTACCTTGCAGTCTGGCACAACTTGAAGACGTACCAGTCCTTTTTTGCGTTTAAACTGTTCACGAAGGTCCATGCCCTTACAAAGTCTGCGTCAGACAAATTGCTCTCCTGCTGCCAAAGGGCCGAGTTCCTGCTACTTCAAATCATCAACCAGAAAGTGCCGTTTCCCAAGATCGACCGCCCGGCAGACTATCTTGCCGTTCTTGCGTCGCAGAACCTGTTTGCTCACTACGACAGTTCTCTCAGGCTGATTGTCAAGTCGCTGGACCACCCGCGCACCAGGTCCAGAAACAGAGCAGTCAAGAACCTGTCGCTGCTGATTGAGCGCGAGCCGTCGCTGCTGACGCTGCCGACGGTGAAACAGTCGCTGGCGGCGCGGCTGGTGGAGCAGTATGCGTCGGTGCGCGACTCGATCGTCGAGCTGTTGCTCAACACCGTGCCGGCACATCCCGAGCTTATCAGCGACCTGTATGGTGCTGCGTGCGACCGAATTGGCGATGCCAGCATGGCTGTACGGAAAAAGGCCATCAGCCTTGCCAGAGTGATGTACGAGCACTCCACGGAGCAAACGGTGCGCACGGCCGTCTGCGAGAAGCTGCTGCGGCGGCTGGACGACGAGGAGGACGCCGTGGTTGACCTGGCAGTCGCCTGTCTCAAAGACCTGCTGCTGCTATCACACGAGGACCCGCTAGCCAGGGCAGAGACCATGGTTTGTGTGATTGGCAAGTCGGAAAAGAATTGGCACTACTTTGAGCGGTTTCTGCGCGAAAAAGTCGTTCACCACTTTGCAACGAGCCCAGAGCTCAGGAAAGCGGTGGCTGCCGTCATACAGGCTATTCTGGAGCATGTCACAAGCCAGGTGCACTGTGACCACGAGCGCGTGCAAAACATGACCGGATTGCTGGCTATATTAGTCAAATGCGACGGCACGTTGCTCTCGCAGGACCAGCTCGTGTCGCTCCAGCCATACATCACCGACGACAGCTCCACCGGCAGCTCGCTGTGCTACAATATCTTGCAGATATTCCACTACACCTTGCCGCAGACGCGGTCGCTGAAAAAAACCTTTATCCACCGGTGCCAGACGTCGCTTCTGGCGCGGCTCACCAAGTTTAACGCGCGCGAGCTCGAGGAGGCCATGCCGTGTCTGTGGCTGCTGTCGCTGATGAAAAAGGACACAGAGAAGCTGTCTCGGGCCTGCATCTCGTCGCTGGCTCTTTTGAGGCCGTATCTGGCGAAAATCAGAGAAAAGAGCTACGAGCCAGACCCCAAGGTGTTCCGACTATTATTTCTTCTGGGCAACGTGGGGCGCCACTGCCGGCTCGACGCGCACACAGAGTTATTCCAGGCCGCAAATCTGGGCTTCAAGGCCACCGACACGGTGTCTGGGTTCATCATCAAGCATATTTCGGTATTTTGCGACGAATCGCTTGACGCGAGCTCGCAGCGCGTGGCGATCAAAAACCTGCTCAACGTATGCATCACACACCCGCGCTGGTTCATGAGCGAGCGCATTCTGGACGTCATGGACCGCGCGTTCCAGAGCAACGACCCAGACCTCCAGGATATCGTCGTTAACACGTTGGCGACGTTTCTGGAGCTGCAGGACCGCGAGGCCGTGCTGCGCAACGGACTGGACTTCAAGGACTCCAAGACGCTGAAGCTGGACGTGCAGGTATTCCACGGCGAGTCGGCCGAGTACGTGAACGACGGAATATGCTCGTCTCTCGTGCAACGGTATCTGCACCATGTGCTGAAAAACTGTCTCGTCGACGAATCGGGCCACTCGCTGCGCGCGGTGACTTTCCTCAAGCTCGTGGTGAGGTTCGGCTTTGCCAACCCGAAGCTGTGCATCGCCACGATCGTTGCTCTTGAGGCGTCCCAGACGCCGGCGATTCGGTCGACAGCGCTGGCGATGCACGAGCAGCTGTTTGAGAAGTATGAGTCGCTCATCGAATCGGGCTACATGGAAGGGCTGCGCATGGCTTTTGATTACCGCAAACGGCTGTCTGGTCAGCTATTGTCGGAGACGACGCTTTTCCGGTGCATGATGAGCGTTCTGGACGGCAGCAGGACGGCGGGAAAACGGTTTCTGCGGCTGCTTATGAAACTTGTCGCGAATTTCGAGGACCCGGATCCGCTGTTTGTGGGCTACGTCGCGGTCAACCTCGCCGCAGTCCATTTCCGGCAGCAGGACCACGTATATTTCCTGGTTTCGGGTCTCGAGCAGATTATTGACTCAGAGGCAGCCGAGCTGGTCGAAAGAACGGACGAGGAGGACGACTGGGACGTTCTGGGTGCGCAGGCGCGGGCGCTGTTTGTGCTGATGCGGCTAAAGGACGTCTTAGTGACAAACTATAATTTGTCGGACGAGCGAATTCTTAAATATCAGACGTCTGCCAAGGATTTTAGAGGCGCCATCACGCGTGTGGATACTGCTCCGCTGGACGTGGCCGATTTGGATCTCGCCAGGCGCAAGGGCGGAAGGGTCTCGCAGAAGCTGTGCACAAAGTTGCTGGAATTAGTAGAGGATTAATTTTAAGCTGCTGCTACACACCCTGTAGAAAATTTGGGTCAAAGTCCGACCGCCGCGAAATGTACTGCTTCAGCACAGACTTCTTCAGATATATCAGCTGTCCCTCGTTGCACAGGTCCTTTAGCAGCTCGGGCTGGCAGGAAAACAGGTTAGTGAGCTCCCGGAGAATGCTGAAGCGCTGTTTGATGTCGTCGAGGCCGTCGTACGCGTCGAAGATCGAGATGTAGTGGATCACGTCCTGGGTGAGCACGAGAGAGCCGTTGGAGTTGACCCGGAACCGCGTGAAGTGGTTGATGAGCAGCGTGAGCAGACTGGCGAGAATGCGGCGGATGGTGTCCATTTTCAGCGTCGGGTTGAAGCCCAGATGGTCGTAGAGCGCGCGGAAAACTCTGTCGAGAAACTGGAGCATCTTGTCGCACGTTTCTGTTCTGTCGATTGTTGGCTGCGTCGCCGGCTGGAAATCGTCCATTGCCTGGCCGCTGAGGATGTTTTTCATGTTGCGTTCGATTAGCTCCAGCAACTCATCCACAATGATGTTGAGACCAAGCTCGACGTCCTGCAGATACGAGTTGAACATGAGGCTGAGTCTGTTTTTGATTTCTGCGGACAGAATCAGCGGGTAGAAGAACCGTTTCACCACGATCGACAGCAAGTACACCTGGACGCAAACCAGGCTGATTTGCTCCACAAACTTGAGGTTGATCTCGCTGGAGCCGAAGAACGATGAGAGTTTTTGCTGCTGCATCAAAATCCCATTGTAGTAGAGGTTTTCGAGCTCAATGGCCAGATACGACTGGCCGTAGCTCATGATCAGGATATCGAACATTTCGAGCGAGTATTCGTTGATTTTCGACGGCACCAGCTCGATGGCTCGCGTGAGAGACTCCACCACGGCCTTGGGGATTTTCTCGGCAATCACGAGCGACACCTCGGACCCATCGCCGGTGTCCTGGTCAAACGAGTCCGACACCACTCGTGCGCCCTGATCGCTGCCCCCGCGCACCTTGGTCCGCGTGAACCTCTCTCTGAGTGAGGACCGCTCCATGTTTTTGATGAACTTGGAGATGGACGTCAGCTTTTTGGACCGCTTGTACGAGAGCAGTCTACGAGTCGAGTTTTCGCGCTGTGGAGCATCCAGAAACACGTCCTGGTCGTATTCGGACGCCACCGATGTGCTGGCGTCTTTGGAGTGCAGGATTTTGTTCTCTAGCAGGTGCTTGTTGACCACTTTTTCGTTTTTCTCCTCGAAACGCGCCGTGAACGAACCGATCAGCTCCGAAAGATTCTCTTTCTCCAGGTTGAAGTAGGCATCCTTGTCCAGGTGCTGCTGGAACAGAGCAGCATGGTACTTGTCCAACTCGACGCCCAGGTCCACCTCCTTCTCTCCAAAATAAGCTTTGAGTCTCTGAGTTAGCTGGTTCACCTGGTTACACAGCAAGTGCAGCACACGCAGGTTGCACAGTTTCGAGTACGAAGACGCCACCCGCAGCAACAACTGGACGCGGTTTCGGATCAGCTCCCTGTAGAACCGATCCACAAACGCCAGCAGCACGGCCCTGGTGTGATCGAGAAAAATCTGCTGGATTGTGTCGTACTCAGTCTTTGTCAGAATGTCCTCGATTTCCTGCAGCATCGCCAGCGTGAGACCGTCGAGCTGGTACTGCGAGAAGCTCGCGTCGCACATGTTTTTCCAGAACGTCGGCTCGACGTTGAGCTCTGTGGACTGAAAGTTGCTGAAGACTGGGTGCTTGTTTATGTAGAACTGCTTGATGTTTTCGCCGTCGTTGAACAGGAAAAGCAGACTCGAGAGTTCCTGGAGCCGTCTGTAATTTTTCGAGTTGTCCATCTCGTGGAACTCGTTGAGCAGCTCGATCTCGAACCTGTTGCAGTGTTCCTGGATCACAGAGAGCGTGGCCTTGGCCTGCGGCATGTCATTGCTGGAGAGCTTCGAAGACAGCTTGAGCAGCTGGTTCAGCGCCACGGCGCGCCGGCCGCGCGGCATCTTGACCAACTCTGCCGGGGCCTGTTTTTTGGTGTAGAACTCGTTGTAGCACTTGGTCAGAAAAATCAGCGTCACCGTGTTCTCCTTGAGGCTGTTTGTCTCGGTAAGCTTGTCGCCCAGCGGCCGAATATCCGCGTTGATGCGTCGCACTTTCAGGTCCAGCTGGGCAAACTGCGAGTTGAGCTTGCTGGCCTTAGGAGCGAGTCGCAGCACGTTGGAGAAGTGGTCTGTCTGCTTGACTGCGGCGATTTTCTCGTATTTCGTCTGTTTTGCCAAGCACTCCTCGCTCAGCCGGTTCAGCTCCTTGACACACGCCTCAAAGGTGCGAATGTACGGCTTGGGGTCCAGCTGATCGAGGGGCTGTGCTCCGTCGGAGCCGGACCGCGAGGATAGCTTCGCCGCGAGAAACTCGACAAACTCGTGGATCGTGAGCCCGTGCAGGAAATCGTCCAGCGTGAGCAGCCGTTTTGTCTCGTCGTCCAGTTGGAACAGCGACGTCATGGGAGTCTTGTTTACAAAACGACGGAGGCCAATTTTGTGCGTCGATCCAACACCCCTGCACCACCCAGCAACGGCCTCGGCAGAACCACACATGTCTCCTTGAGCGCTGCTTGCCGCACGCTACCGAGCCAGCGTTTCTCACGACTAGCGCTTGCTGTCTATAGTGTCCATCCCAATTCGGTTGCCGGGATCGGCAGAAAACTGGCAAATCTGTATCTTGATGTATATGCTGAAGTTGCGAGAAAAATCGGTTGCAATTATATATATACAGCCGAGACGCTTCATTTCAGCACACCCCCATCCATGTCAGGAGTTATTTTCTGCCTGCCGGGCTCGCCAAGAAGCTCGATTTTCCCCCAGCTGATCAAGTACACCGGACTTGACATCGAGGTCAAAAACCCTTCTGATGCGTGCTTTGCCGAAAACTTCCCGCTGAAAAAGTGTCCTGCCTACAAACAAAACGACGGGTTCAAACTCACAGAGACCCTCGCCATCCTCAAATACCTTGTGGACCAGGTGCCTGGAAAGTACAACTGGTTCGGGAAAACCAAACAGGACGAAGCCAAGGTCTGGCAGTGGCTGTCGTTCATCAACAGCGAATATGTGAACGCTCTGTGCGACTGGGCATTGCCTGCCTTTGGCATTATTCCGTACGACAAGGATAAGATCGACAGAGGCCTTGCTGTTCTTGAAAAGCTCACGTCTCTGTTGGAAGACCAGCTACAGAAGACCAAGTATCTTGTTGGCGACGAGGCGACTCTTGCCGATATCTACGCGATTCAGTCGGTGAAAGTCAGCTACGGCAATCTGTGGGAAGAGTCGTGGGTCAAGGAGCACCCGGGAATCGCCAGATGGGTCGAGCAGATGAAGAAGGACCCGGTTGTTGGCGAGGATTTGAAGGATCTCAAGCCAGCTGCCAAGGCTGTTCTCGGGCAGTAGGGCAGGCTGTGCCTAAGATAGACAGACTAGTCCTTCCTATATAGCACAAACCTAGATCTGACTGCGCCACAGAGTACTCCGGCCCGAGCTATCGATGCTGTTTCTGCAAACAGCCACGTTCTGCAGCTGGATATGCACGAATTCGAATTAGGGAAGTTCGTGGCTGATGCAATTTCTCGGCTGACGTAATTATCAGCAGAATACCTAATTTAGGGCAACCCCACGTTTCACGTCATAACCTTAGATTGTCGGAGTAGCCGAGGGGTGGCTTCTAGTGGTACCGTAGCTGCTGTCCACACGGCCTGCGACTGCGACGGCCTTTTGTATTTCAGCAATTGCCAATACCCGTTGGCGCCCCCGTCTGGTCCCACGTTCCACTGGGTCCATGTACATATTCCTCACCACTTTTCATCTTGGCTCTGCAAGAATTGGACGTACCATTTCTTTAAGTAAACCATGCAGAAACAGCAATAGTGGGGGATTCCAGGGGACTCCAGCCAATAGAGAGAAGGTCCGTGGCCCACTGGGCCTCGAAGACGGGCCGACCAACACCGCTGCTCCCCTATAGCCCACTGCTGTCAAAAAAGTTCAGCTGGGCCCTGAATATCAACTAAAAAAAAAGAAATGCAAATATGAGTTGATTGCGAATACAGTCTTGGCACAGACTCCACAGCACACAGGTATATAAGCAGGCCGTCCCCGCATGTGATAACCAGAATCTCATCACATCGGAACCTTAAATCTAGCTACTAGATAATATAGTTATAGATAGCTACCATGCCGACCGACAGAAACGAACAAGCAAAAGTGTCTGCCACGACACACACAGATATTTCCAGAAACTCCAGCAACGACGAGAGCGCAGTTGCGTTCTACCGTCTTGCCGGAGAAAACGTGGTGAAGCATTTCGGGACTCACGCCGTGAATGGGCTGAGCAGCTCGAAAGCCAAGGAAATGCTCGCCAAGTATGGTCCCAATTCTCTGGGCGACTCTGGCAAGATTAACTACGGTAAAATACTGGCGCACCAGGTGTTCAACGCCATGATTCTCGTCTTGATAATCTCCATGGTCATTGCTCTGGCCATCCAGGACTGGATTTCCGGAGGAGTCATCGGCTTTGTCGTGCTCCTCAACATCTCTGTCGGGTTCATCCAGGAGATGAAGGCCGAGAAAACCATGAACTCGCTCAAGAGTCTCTCTTCGCCGTCTGCTCACGTGACCAGAGACGACGACGACCACACGATCCCAACAGAGGAGGTTGTCCCCGGCGACATCGTGCACATCAGGGTGGGCGACACTATTCCTGCGGACCTGCGGCTGATCGACTCGATGAATCTCGAGACCGACGAGGCGCTGCTGACGGGCGAGTCGCTGCCGATCGCCAAGGACCACACCGTCGTGTTTGCCGACCACTCTGTTCCTGTTCCTCTTGGCGACCGATGCAACATGGCTTACAGCTCATCTGTGGTGAGCAAGGGCCGTGGAACGGGAGTTGTAGTTGCCACGGGGCTCAACACCGAAATTGGCAAGATCGCCAAATCCTTGCAAGGAGACCGGTCCTTCATTCGCAGGGTGGAGAAGAATCCGAAGGATGGCTCGAAACCGAAGAAAACGGCGTATGTGACGGCGTGTTTCGGCACCATCAAGGACGTGGCGGCGAATTTCCTGGGCGTGGCCAGCGGCACGCCGTTGCAAATCAAGCTCTCGTGGCTGGCCATCGTGCTCTTCTGGGTTGCTGTGGTGTTCGCCATCGTGGTTATGGCCTCGCAGAAATTCCGCGTCAACAAGGAGGTGGCCATCTACGCCATCTGCGTGGCATTGTCGATGATTCCGTCCGCCCTGATTGTGGTTTTGACCATCACTATGGCGGTGGGGGCACAGGTGATGGTCTCGAGAAACGTCATTGTGAGAAACCTGGACTCCTTGGAAGCGCTGGGTGGTATCAACGATATCTGCTCCGACAAAACAGGCACTTTGACCCAGGGCCGGATGATTGCCAAAAAAGTGTGGATTCCCAATGTTGGCACATATTCGCTCGAAGGGTCTAACGAGCCGTACAACCCGAATCAGGGCACGCTCAGTTTCTGCAAGTACTCTCCAAAATTCGTCAAGGAGAGCGACGAGTACGTTCCTCCCGAGAAAGAGCTGCCGGATCCGCTCCCAGCCAGCTTTGCGGATTTCTGTGTGACCGCAGGACTCGCCAACATCGCCATGGTGAACAGCTACGAGAACCCGGAAACGGGTAAGACGGAGTGGAAGGCGCACGGCGACCCAACGGAGATCGCCATTCGCGTGTTCACGAGCAGAATCCCCGGCTTCACGAAGGACGAGCTGGCTGCAAAATACGACCATATCAATGAGTTCCCCTTCGACTCGTCCATCAAACGGATGTCTGCGATCTACCGCAGCAAGGAGACGGGCCAAGTGAGGGTGTACTCCAAGGGAGCAGTCGAACGATTGCTCCAATGCTGCAAATACTGGCACTCTTTCGACGACAAGGAGTACGAGAGTCTCTGCGACAGCCAGGAGCTCAGGCCGCTGACGCCAGAGGACATTGCACGAATTGAGGACCAGATGGACGTGCTCTCTAGAGAAGGACTGCGCGTGCTGGCGTTTGCATACAAGGACATCACCACCGCCGACGGCGTCTCGCTAGAAACAGACAACCGGGAGCAGATCGAGTCGGACTTGATTTTCCAGGGTCTGGTTGGAATCTACGACCCGCCAAGAAACGAAACGTCCAGATCCGTCAAGCTGTGCCACCAGGCCGGAATCAACGTCAGAATGCTGACGGGAGACCATCCCGGCACCGCCAAAGCCATTGCTCAGGACGTTGGCATTGTGCCGCGCAATCTGCACCACTACGCCGAAGACGTTGTTCGGGTGATGATTATGACGGCTCACGAGTTCGACAAACTGAGCGACAGCCAGATCGACGAGCTGCCTGTGCTGCCGTTGGTTATTGCGCGATGTGCTCCCCAAACTAAGGTCAGAATGATTGAGGCCCTGCACCGCCGCAGCAAGTACGTGGCGATGACCGGAGACGGGGTCAACGACTCGCCGTCGTTGAAAAAGGCCGATGTTGGAGTGGCCATGGGCATGAACGGGTCCGACGTTGCCAAGGACGCTTCCGACATTGTTCTCACAGACGACAATTTCGCCTCCATCCTGAACGCCATTGAGGAGGGCCGCAGAATGTCGGCCAACATCCAGAAGTTTGTGCTGCAGCTGCTGGCCGAAAACGTCGCCCAGGCCATTTTCCTCCTCATTGGCCTGGCGTTCATGGACAGCTCCGGCTATTCGGTGTTCCCGCTATCTCCAGTGGAGATTCTCTTCATTCTCGTCGTCACCAGTTCGTTCCCGGCGTTCGGTCTCGGAGTGCAGAAGGCTGCGCCTGACGTGCTGGAAAAAAAGCCAAACTCCACCATCTTCACCGCCCAGGTGCTCACCGACATGATGGTCTACGGCATCTGGATGGCCGCGTGCTGTCTGTTCGCGTTCGTCGTCGTCGTCTGGGGACACGGCGACGGGTATCTTGGAATCGACTGCAATGCGACGAGCTCCGGCACCGAGCACTGCGATCTGGTGTACAGAGCCCGGTCGACCGCTTTTGCAACCATGACATGGTGCGCCCTAATTTTAGCATGGGAGTGCATCCATCCGTTGAACTCGCTGTTCCGCATGACAAAGGAGACCGATCACCCGTGGTGGAAGCAGACGGCAATCGACCTGTACGAGAACAAGTTCCTTTTCTGGTCGATCGTGGGGGGCTTTGTTGCGGTTTTCCCTGTTGTTTACATCCCGGTGATTAACAGCGAGGTGTTTTTGCATTCTGGCATCTCCTGGGAATGGGGAGTCGCGTTTGGGTGCACTGGGCTGTACCTGCTGGGTTCGGAGCTTTGGAAATGGATCAAGAGGGTGTACCTCAGAAAAAGAGAGTACGAAAGGGCCAAGAACCCAGAGGCGGAGCTGGAGAAGTCTCCCGATATCTTTGAGAAGTATGCGTCGCTTTCAAGGGCCAGCACGATGGATCAAAGCACTTTGATCGTGTGAGCCAGCGATAATGCGCTTGCTAATTTATATTGTCTAATGCCTGCATTTAAATAGAATAATGCTTTTTTTTTATTTAAAATTTCTTCTGCGTTGGGAAGAAATCGTGGAGAAGTCCCAAAAAATTAAAAACGTTTTTTAATACGTAGCAGAAAAAAATAACAAAAAAAAAACCGTGGCCTTTTAAGCATCCGTTTTCGTCTCCAACACATTTATTCATCGATGGGGGGTCCTGCATTGGACCAACTTCTGACCCCAGAAGACAGCTGGAGATCCAGGAAGCTGAGAATACAGGTAGAATGCCGCGAGAGAGACGTGCTGGCGTCCTTGAGCCTGCTATGCGTCATAATCTTGCAGGAGTGTTTCCGCACCAGCGCCAACCTGAACCGGTTTGTGGCCGAGGTACTCAAGCGGTCGCGCAGCAGCAACCCTGTTCTTCACGTGACAATGTACTATCTGCTGGAAGTGTACGCTCAGAGACAACAACAACTATATTTTTACCCGGGGCTCAGCTCTGTGACCTGTCCTAAACGATGTTTTCTGACCTGCCTAATTTTGGCCTCCAAGTATCTGCAGGACCAGAACTACACGCTCACCACATGGAGCAAGATCACAGGCCTGAGTGTCGACGAGTTACAGACGAACGAACGAAAAATCTTGGATTTGCTACGTTACAAGCTGCATATCAAGGAGACAGAGTACAAGCGGCTTTGTGAGTTTACTCGCGAATGCGAGAAGCAGCTCGCCGCGGACAAGACTGGAGCCGCCGCCTCCAGTCTACTCACGCCTCCTTCTTCGCCCAGAGAGTGTCGAGACGACGAGTTTCTCGGCTGGCGCGCGACGCAGAGTCCGGACTCCACCCTCGGTGTTGAGACACGGACCGCTTTGGCGCGCGCCATCGAGCAATTTGTCGAGTTCCATGCCACGGGCCACGATATTGCGCTTATTTAATGCCTTTTATCAATCAACATTATTTCATTTAGTTATCCAGTACATCAATGTCACCGCAGCAGATTCTATTGCTGTGTACCTCAGCAGCCGCGGAAAGTCCACCTTTACGCCCCCGCGCCTGTCTGTGAAGCTCCACAGCAACCACAGCCCGTTTGCAACGGCTGCTGCCACGTACGCGACAATGTCCCGGAACGGCCGTCCCAGGTAGCACAGCGAGTACGCCACGGCGGCCTCTCCCCCGGCCTCGCCGATGCTGAGCAGCTCGACGGCGGGGAATTTGATACCCATCGCGAGAGAAAACGACTTCACAGACACCTCCACGGCGTCGCCCGTCGTGTATTCGTGCACCACCTCGCAGTAGTCATGGTCATCTCCGCTGAAAATGTAGTCTGGTCGGATCTTCTCCAGAATCTCCCGCGACAACGTCGGGTCGATCACCGTCTGGTACTGGTGGCCCTTAGTGACGGGGAATTTCCCGCCCTCTCGGTTCTTCCCGCACGGCTGCTCGTTCGGGTCCCTGTACAGCGGCACATGGTGGAAAAGAATCCGGGGTTGCATTTTTGGCTCGCGGCCTATTTCCTCCAGAAACCGGCGTGCGTCGCCGTAAATCGCCTCGTCCTGCGTATTAGACAGCGAAATGGTGTCCAGAAAGATCAGCTCGTGGCCCTTGCGCGCGATTCGCTGGTTTGGCTTTCCAAAAGAGGCCTCGAACCTCTGCAGCGACGCTAACTTGACACCGTCTCCGTAGCCAATGTCGTGGTTCCCCGGCACCAACGTCAGCGTCTCTGTGGTCTCGGGCAAGAAAATGTGCTTGAACCGCTTCAGCTCGCGCGCATAGTACTCATCGGTGCTCGAACGGCCGTTGTCCATCAGGTCTCCAAGGAAAAAAACCGCCTCAGGACGCAGATGAGCCAGCAACGAACGGTAGTTCCGCCGCATGTAGTCGTCTGCGGTGATCTGCGACAGCTTCAGCAGCGGCCAGGGCCGGCCTGGGTACGTGTGGTTGTCGATCAGCTGGGGATCTGCGACCAGAAGAACGCGGTAGTCAGTGGCAGAGCCGGGGAAGCTGCACATGAGAGAGTGGAGCCAGACGTCAATCCTGGTGAACCAGTGGAAAAGCAGCATCCAGAGCGCCAGCACTACTGAAACACTTCTGGTGGAGGCCTTGGGGGGCCGGAATGCCAGGAGGGCAGAGAATCGGAGTCGCATAACTTGATGTAGTTATTTCATTTATTTTTTATATATATTTTTTATGCTATTACTAGTTCTGGTTCTCGTGATAACGCTGGCCCTGGTGGCGCCGCAGTTGGTCTCGAACCTGCGCGACATCGGCACTGTCGCGCTGGAAAAGCAGGCGTCGATCAGCGCCACGAAAAAGCCCGGCGAGTCCGCCGTATACCGCTCTGTCGACGTGCCACACGGCCTGCCGTTGACCACGGGGCTGCGCATTCAGACGGGCTACAAAATCAGGGACGGCATTCTCAAGGATATATGGCACCAGGCACTGCAGAAGGACACAGTTCTCGAAGTTGGCGGCGCAACGCGCTCGATTCGCCAGATAAATGGCATGATTTTGCATCTGGCCCAGCAGATGGACCAGCACAACGTGGGCCCGCGCGTGGGGCTCAATTCGGGTCTCGACGACCTGCACGCGCTCGTGGTGCTCTTCTGCTGCTTTTTCGTGTGCGACAGGACCGTTGTTGTGGGGCAAAACCCGAACGTCGACGTGCTATTTGAGAGGAAGACTGCCGGCTCTGCTGCCAACGTCGTTGACCTGGACGACCCGACGTATTTTCTCGAGCGCCCTGAAACGACAGACTACGCGTACAATCCCATCAAAGACTACTCGCGCTTCAACAATGAGCCCTACATCGAGCTGATCGACGGCGTAGAATACCGGTATTTCCAGCGCAGCTTTGTTTCCGCGGTCGCGTCGCAGCTCATGTCGTTGTCGACGGCGTTTTCGTGGTCGACCCGCGACAGACTGCTTGTGGTTGTGGGAAACAGAAACAACGCGCTGGTCAAGATCTTGTGCGGGCTGCTGACTGGCGTCGAGCTGATCACCGTCGCTGCCGACGCGCCGATCGACGCTCTAGTCGGCAGCCGGCCGACGATCGTTTCTGCTCCGAGCGCGTGGTTGCAGCCGCTTGTGCACGTGCGGCCGTCCCCGCTGCGGGCGCTGCTGCTCAACCGGGCCGAGTTCCTCAACTCCCACGGCATTTTCAACCCGCTAGGCAAAATGTATGCCACCAGACTGCGGCTGGTGTATCTCCAGGACTCGATTTTCACGTCGGCGCAATACAACAAGCTCAAAAGCCTGCTGCATGCCCGTATCGTCAAGGAGACCGATATCCGCGGCTCCATGGGCCCGCTGCTGAAAACGAATTTGTTTGAGTACCGCCTGCTGGGCCAGAACCAGCTGGGCGTGCCGGCAAACTCTGTGGAGCTCAAGACTCGTGACGGCCGGCTCTACGCGCGCGGGTTTGTGCTCGCAAAGCATGACGCCATGAAGGTCGATGAGGAGATGTGGACAGACACCGGGCTACGCGGCTTTTTCGCCACGGATGGGTGTTTTTACGCTAGCTAGTTATAAACTCGTTTGATCACGTCCACCCATTTTTTTTCGGCCACCAGCTCGTCGTTCTCCCACGCAACAATTTTATTGCTCAGGTGGAAATTCTCAGCGTCGGCCTGCAGAACAGCCGTCGTCTCCATCTTCACGTTCCAGCCGTCCTCCTTTCTGCCCATCGAATAACTGTAGAGGCACTCGTTATACGCGGAAAGCGGGTCGTTTTCCTTGATTTTCCAAACGTTTGTGTTGCAGCTGCCGTGGTAGATCCCCGACAGGTTGCCGTACTCCGGGATTGTCACCTGCCCGGCGTCCTCGATGTCCGTGAGCGTCCACTCAAACGTCGTGCAGTCAAACTGCACGGTCTTTTTCCTGCCCTCGGGGACGTCGATTGTGGTTTTGATCGGCCGGCAGATCGACGGAGTCCCCAAGTCTGGAGGAGCCACCAGCGTTGTCTCGTCCAGCAGTGGCAGCACGAGCTTGCCCCCGTGCAGCGTGAGCGTCGGTGTCTCTGCGGACGGCCACGCCTGCGGCCAGTCGCACGTCGACAGCGCAACGCGGAGCCGGTGGCCTTTCTCCAGCTTCACGCCCACAACGTCAAGCTTGATCTCGACATCGTAAACACGGCCCTCTTCCAAGTATTCCGGGGTTTCGTGGCTGTTTCTGTGCGCCAGGTTCAGCTGGCCCCACGAGAGCAACACGTTCTCGCCGCCAGGATACAGGTCGACGAGCCGGACGCTGACATTAGCGAGCTTTTTGTCGGACGAGAGCGTGAGGTTGATTTTTGGCTCGCCCAGCAGATTGACCGTTCCTGCCAGCTCTGCAGAGTCAAAACACAGACATTTCGCGTCCTCGTACCGCTGGTCGGCCGGAAAGTCGCCGGGATATCCAAACGGACAGAAGTTACCGCGGAATAGGCCGTGCGACAGTGTTCCGCTGAAGCGGTAATCGAGTCTCGCAGGCGGCCCGCTGCTCAATTTATTATCTGGAGCTAAGGCATATTCCAGGCCCCCAGAAAATTCCACAGAGTCGGTAGATACCCACCGGCCGTTCCTGTACTCGTACGAGTCCTCAATGCCCGATGGGTCCTGGATGTACGCCGTCAGACGGGGCAGATGCAGCTCGCCTTCGTCGTGCAACCATTTCTTGAACCATTTGAGCGACAGCTGTTGGTACCCGATTTTGGGGCCTGGCTTGGCCATCTCCGGATACTCGTGGACCCAGGGGCCCACCAGACCGCACGACTCCGGGTGAGGGAGGTGTTTCACCATGCGGAACACAGGAGACGTGTATCCGTCTCGCCAACCCCCCACCAGCATAACCGGGATGTCCACCTGGCTGTAGTCCTCGCAAATGGAGCCGTGCTTCCAGTATTCGTCGCGGGTCTGGTGTTCGAGCCAGTGCTTGACCATCGGGACTACCTCGATCCTTTGTTTCCAGTTCTCGCGCCAGCCGTCGCCCACAACACGAGGATCTTGCGGCCGCGGAGCGTACGCCGCCATCGTCGACCCCCACCACAGCATGTCGGACGCCATCACACACCCGCCACGGTAGTGCACGTCGTCGGAGTATCTGTCGTCGGTCGACATGAGCGAAATCACCGCCTTCAGCGCAGGGTGTCTACGTGCTGCCACCTGCAACCCATTGAACCCGCCCCACGACTTGCCAAACATGCCGATCCGGCCATTGGACCATGGCTGCGCCACAATGTGGTCAAACGCGTCCAACGCGTCGTCCTGCTCGAGCTTCAAGTACTCGTCGGTCAGAACTCCGTCCGAGCTCGAGCTGCCTCGCATGTCGATTCTCAACGACGCCAGCCCGTTTCCGGCATAGTACGGGTGTCGGATTGCGTCTCGCTGGATCGTCACGTCCGCCCTGTACGGAATGTATTCCACAAGCGTGCCGACTCGGATCTTACCTTCCCAGGCTTCCCTGGGAATCCACAGATGGCCCTTGAGAATAGCACCGTCGCGCACGGGAATGTCGATGTCTTCGAACTTGAGGATCTGGTACGGAAGACTGGCAGGGTCCAGAACGGTAACGGGCTCTCTTTTGGATCGTTTGACGTTGAAGGCCATGACGAGGATTATTACCAAGTTATCTTTTTTAGCACTAATTAGGAAGTTTTTCACGATAATGGACAATGCATGGGCGATAGCTTATCTTTTAACGAGCTTATTCTCGGGCGTTTCGCCGGGATCGGCCCATTTTCTCTGCATCGCTTGATTCGTGCCTCTACTGAGCCCTGCGTCCGCTGCGTCCAAAAACCATACACTCGCTGCCCGCCATGCTTCTCGGCCGATCGACCCCAGTGCGAGGTGTGGATGGAAATAAAATTATTCCAAGCATAAACAAAATCAGTGTCTCGCCTTTTGTTCGTATCGAATCTTGCTCGTGTTAGTTTTGCTTTGTGAACAAACCCTTGCGCAGCACGTTATTTGAGTTCAGACAATTCCCCGTTAACTACTCATATCGCTGAAAACCCGGCGCAAATGGCTGAACGCAATTGGCAGGAGGGAGCAGATCGCGGAGGGGCGCAACAGCCCGTCAACGTGATCGAGATCCCCGACTTGAACGGCATTCATCTTGAAGACACGTCGCAGACGGCGGCAGAGGCCCGCAAGACGTCGCAGCACACGCTTGTGCACGGCAACAATGCGACGCCTTCGACTCAGAACCCCCAACCGCACGAAATACACCTCCCGCAGTCCCAGGACGACGACGACGACGGCTACGGCGCGCGGCCGCTATCTTTCCGGCTGGGCGATCCCGTTACACAGAACAGCACCGAGCCGGCGGTCGTCATTGAGCAGCGACAGGCCAGCATTTCCGCCAAGCAGAAACAGTCGTATCCGAACTACACTCTCAACATCATGGTAAGACAGTTCACGAAGCTGGCCGAGAGGAAACTGAACCTATGTTTGAACAGCGTGCCGCTGGATCAGGAGCCCAATATCATCGAGATCTTGTCCGAAGGGGTCGATCCGACGTTTGATCGCGTGATCACGTCGCTCGGGTACATTGCGCGGCGCAAGCCCAAGTCTGTGACCGACGCGGTGATGCACTGGCGGCGCGGCAAGTCCGAGTTACGAGAGATGGCGCGCGCAATGCTCGAAAAGGACTTGATGCAGTTGGACAGTTACAAGAACACCAACGTGCCGCAGACACACAAAAAGTCGGCCTCGCGGTCTTCGCGGTCGACGCACGATTCGCCGGCGACCAGCTCCGACGCCGAGACGCTGCGTCAGCTCGAGCAGAAGGTGCAAAAATCTAAAATCACGTTCACACAGGCGGACAGACAGTTCACGATCAGCACGTACATTTTGTGGCGGGTGCTGATCGAGGTGGTGCGCCAGACGCCCACGCAGACGCTGATTGAGGAAACAGGACTTGAGGAGATCATGTACAACTACTTGCGCAACATCGATCCGTACCTGGTAAGCCAGAGCATTATCCACTCCTCCAACTGGAACTTGCTCGCGGGTCTGATTGGCCAGATGTCGGAAAAGTCGTTCTTGTCCGTGAGCGACCGCTTCATTGCGGATCTCGAAAAGTTCCCCAAAGGCTACACGGACGGCAGCGACGTGAGCGAGTCCAGACTGAATCTGCTGATCCACGGGATGCGATATCTGCAGTTTTCCAACTCGTCGCTCGAACGGTTTGAGGAAGGCGCAGATTTTATGAAGAGTCTGGCCAAGTTCTTCTACCGATGCGAAAACGACAATTTGCTCAACTCCTATTGCGACGTGATCAACCAGCTGCTTCTGTCGCTCGCAGAAACGCTGACTGCAGAGGTGAACCATCCTACATGGGTGGACGCCGTGACAATGATTTTCAGCAAGTCCGTGCACATTGCGACGGCGAAGCCGCCCAAGCTGTGGAAGTACTCCGCCACTTTGGTGGCCACAGCGGTTTCTGTTGCTCCCAAGACGCTTTTCGACCGAGAATGGCTCAAAATTGTCGACATGTACATCAGACGGCTCAAGCCGAAGCTGCCGACCGAGGAAAAGGTCGTCATCACGACGTGTCTGGCCCGGCTGATCTGGGCGTATTTGTATCGGTACTCGGACACGCTGAACGCCAAGACCAGAAACTTGGAGTCGATCGCCAACTTGCTCTTCCAAGGACAACAGAACAAGAAACAGCAGTGGATTACGCACGACTCGCTTCTGATCCAGGCCACCGTTCAGACCCTACGTGCTATGGCCTACTCGCAGCTTAACTTCACGCTGGAAAACATTATTCTGCCGATCCTCAAGTCCTCGTTCAACGGAACCAGTCTTGAAAGCATCTCGCACGAAAAGGTCATTCTCTGCATCCGCACCTACGCCTGTATACTATCAGACTACAAGTCTAAGGAAAGACCGCCCTTCCCGACCGACTACGTGATCCACTCGTCACTGGACCCGATGGAATTCTGCAACAACGACAACAAGGAGATATTCGACGCCAACTCGTCCAACTCGGCGGTCCACGAAGAGGTGTCCAGTCTGTTCATCAGCCTGCTGTTTCTACTGGACCAGCAGGTTGGGTGCAAGACGCTAGATGGCAACATAGCCAATGTGGGGGCCGGCGGCGGATCGTCGGCCAGCGCGAGCAGCAGCACGCCGACGCTGCCACTCAAAATCTCGCAGTTTTATTTCCACCAGGACGGCCATCAGACTAAAAACTTGGAGCTATTTTCGACGGTGATTTCTGTGGTTTCGTGGTGTCTGAGCAACAACTCGTCGCAGTACCGTCGCGTAATTGAGCTTCTGGTGAAGAACACGATCCATGAGGACGAAAATGTCAGCCCTTTCTCGATCGACATGCTCAAGATTCTCATGACCAAGAAGAACCCGAACGTGATAATGACCGTTTTTGCGCGCACGGCGTTCTATCTCGACGAAAAGGCCGCCAGCCTGCTCAACCACGAGTACGTTTCGTCGACAGAGTACGTCAAGCTCCTGGAAGTTTATGTGGACTTGCTCCAATGCTGGCTTGAGTTCCTGGCAGAGACACACAAGGGCTCGCTAGAGACGCCAAACGAGATGTACAACGTCAACCATGGCTTTGTGCAAGAGGAGATCCTGGAAACGAAGCCGTTTGAGGACCTCGAGCTCAAGACGATCGTCACAATCATCGACGAGGTCGAAGGCAACGGGCTGTTTTTCCTGTTTAGTCACGATTTCCGTGTGCGGTTTCTGGGGTCGCAGATTCTGCGTATTATCGCCCAGTTCGACGAGGTGATTTATGACCTGACGAGCGACACGAGTGGCGCCAAAGACCCTGAAGAGGACCGCAAAAAGGCGCATAACCGGATGCCTTCGAAATTTGCTGCCGAGTTCGGCACGCGGGTGATCCATGTGCTGGAGTCGCTGGATTTTTTCGAGTTCATCAGCCCTAAGAAACCTATCCTGAGTGAGGCCGAGTCGAAGCGGCTCGCACGGCTGCAGCACAAGCAGCGCAAGGACACCATTATCCGCCTGGCGGAAAGCAACCACGGCGTCGACGCGGCGCTGTGGTTTAAGGTGTTTGAGGAGATTCTCGATTCGCTCGTCAGACGGTGTCCGATCCAGATCGCCATAGCGCGGTCTCACAGCTGTATCCGTCTCGTCCAGCTGTATGACCAGCTGGTTTCGATTAGTTTCGATCCAGGCTCGAAAAACGTTAGCTCACTCATTTGGGATTACATGCTGTGCTTGAAAATTGCGTGCTCGTCGCTTACTTCCACGAGCGAGCAGCGCCTGCATATCCCGGCGGTGGCCACGGCCGCGTCATCGTCCATCTACGCGCCGCTGACCAAGTCTCACATGCGTAAGCGTTCTCAGCAGCTGTTCACGGTGCAGCACCAGAAAATCACGAGTGCAAAGTCAATCTTCAAGATGACCGTGCCCTTGCTCACGACTACCAACACTAAGCTGAAGGAGGCGCTGGTGGAGGGGCTAAGCTGTTTGAATGTGAACATTTTCAACAGCTTTCTCGAAAGCATCGAGAGTATCCTCGAAGGCTGGGCGCGCGAGCAGCAGCCGGCGGAGGCCGATTTGCGACTACGTGTCGAGATCACCGGCGTGCTTAACAAGGTGATTGCCAAGTTCTACAAGATCGGCGTGCCGTTTCTAGACGATACCGTGTCACGAAAGCTGCAGTTTATTCTGGAAAACAACAAGGCGTTTCTGTCGCGACCCGGGTCGCAGACCAACTTCGAGCTCCACCGGCTGCGCAAGTATTTTTGCGGCCTATTGGAGACTTTCCATTCCGAGTGTCTGAAACTCCACCAGGTGGAGAAATGGCTGCCGTTCAAGTTTCGTCGAGAGTCGTTTGAGTTCATGGATGAGTGGTGCGGCTACGGCAAGGACACAAGTCTGTTCAACGAGCGGTATCGGCGGATGACCGAGCAGATTTCTCGGCGGGCCGAGGCAGTCACATTGCAGGCGTCTTTGGAGCTACAAAAAAGACAGCTGCAGTACAGTGCGATCAGTTGCATGGCGAACCTGTGTTGCAGTCCAATCGCCACGGAAAAGGACTCCTTCAATATTCCAAAGGTGTTGGACTGGATAGACTCGCTATTCAACACGTATACGGACAAGATCATCGAGATGGCGCGGCGGGCGCTGTTGCAGATCCTCGTGGTGAGCTCTGCCTCGGACGACATTCTCGACCAGGTCATCAACAAGTGCTACACGCACGACCCGGCGTTGGACAACTACTTTGTGACGCTGAGCGAGGCCTTTGTCAAGGGCGCCAAGCTCAGGGACAAGGTGCATCGGCCGCTGGCTCTGGGGCTTTTTGCATGTGGGTCGGACAACATCAGCGTGCGCACTGCCGCGGCGAGCCTGCTGGAGCACACCGAGATGAAGTTCTATGAGACCAACAAGAGCTTGGCCTTTGTCGACGGCATTTGCTGCCGGTCAAGGGTGATCTACAAGCGCACGCTTTTTCAGCTGTCGACGCATTTTGCAACGGCGCATCCCGAGGACAAGTACATGATGATCTCAGAGCTGACGATGCTGTTTCACGTTGTTGGGTCAAGTCCGCGACGCGACATTCTGGCGGTGCTGCTGCCGTGGGTGCAGACCGTGGAGCTTACGCTGGGACCGGACCATCCCAACAGACACAACTCGCTGATGGTTCTGTACAACTTCTTTGAGATCACCGTCAAATTTGCGCACAAGATGCAGAACGAGGTGGAAGCGTTGTGGGTGGCACTGGCGAACGGCCCCAATAAGTCGAACGTGGACGAGATATACCGGTTTATCGTGGAGCACTCGCTGGAGATGAAGAATACCGTTTTCTGGGAGTGCTCGCGCCAGGTGATCTCGTGTCTCGCCACGATCCCGGCAGGCGTGAACCTCGTGGATACGCTGATTTCGAACCTGGAGCCAAAGTCGATGATACCTGTCGAGAAACTCAACGCGGACGACACGGCTACGTTTGCGGACGAGAGCCAGATCACGCACGGGCTGCCATACGTGGCGCAGCTCGCGAAGATCGCCCAGACAACCAAGGGCGTCACCACGCCGTCGTTCTCGCTGTGCGAGCTGTCGGTGATATTCCTGTCGGACCTGCTGCTCACGCCCACCGAGAACGTCAAGGCGAACCTGTCGCTGTTGCTGCATCTTGCGTTTGTGCTGCTCGACGACCAACTCGCGATTGTCCAGGACCAGGCGTGCGCAATGCTGATCCACCTGCTGCGCCAGTACGGCGACGACGAGTCGGGACAGTGCAAGCGCATCATTGACTCTCTGCGCAGCTGCGACCGCCAGAAAACGTTCTGGACGCACGGCGACCTGGGCGGCGACAAAAACGGTGGTCGTATCCCGGAGAACATGGATGCGCTCGTGCGCAACGTTGTGCACGTGTTTGAGAAGAACTACCCGGGAATCCAGCAGGACTGGAGCCGCACCGCGCTGGCGTGGGCCACGTCGTGCAAGGTGATGCACATTGCCGCGCGCTCGTTCCAAGTCTTCCGGTGTCTCATCTCGTTCCTCGACCTTGGCATGCTGCGCGACATGCTCCTGTGCCTGGCCAACACCGTCTCGGACGAAAACCCAGGCATTCAGAGCTTCTCGATGCAGATTCTCATGACGCTCAACGCGATCACGGCAGAGCTGTACAGCGAGCAGCTGATCGACTTCCCGCAACTGTTCTGGTCCGTCGTGGCCTGTCTCAACACCATCCACGAGAACGAGTTCATCGAGGTGCTCTCGACGCTGTCCAAGTTCATCTCCAAAATCGACCTCGACTCCGACGAGACCGTCGAGTGTCTGATTGCGACGTTTCCGCCCAACTGGGAGGGCCGCTTTGACGGCCTGCAGCCGCTGGTCATGATGGGGCTGCGGTCGGCGAATGCGTACGAGCCGACGATCCGGCTCCTGGACCGGCTCAATCTGCTCAAGGACAGCGCCATCATAGGCTCTGGCCAATATCGCATCCTGCTGGCGCTGTTAGCCAACATCCCGCGGTTTCTGCACGCTCAGACAACCAAGCGGTTCGGCGACGACGTGGTAGACGCGGCAAACGTGCTGTGTGCGATGGCCGACCGCGCCGACATGGGCGCCCTGAGTCGGATTCTCAACTCGCTCATCAAGAAGAAGTTCCGCAACAAGGAGGACTTCATGAGCCAGGTGGTGAGTGTGATCAAACGCTATTTCTTCCCCGAGTACTCGGCGCAAACGCTGGTGTTCCTGCTGGGTCTGCTGTTCAACAACACCACGTGGATTAAGCTCGAGATGTTGGACTTCCTCAAACACGTGTTCAAGGCCGTCGACCTCACTGACAGCAAGTTTATCGGGCTGGGAGCCGATCTTGTGTCGCCGCTGCTGCGGCTGCTGATGACCGACTACGTGGACCTGGCGCTTGAGGTGCTGGACGAGGCCAACAGCATCTCTGCGTCGCCGTTCGACAAGCACTACTTGATGATGAGCTCGGGCGATGCCAGCATGCGCCGCGAGTACGAGAAGGTGGCCACGTTGTTCGGCATTCCCGACGAAAGCGGCTGGTCCGTGCCGATCCCGGCCGTCAGCACCGCGCGCACCAGAAACAACATCCACTCGGTGTTTTCGACCTGCGTGGTTTCCACCTCCAAGGAGGGCGACGAGCAGCCCGAGCCGCTGGTCGAGCCAGAGTTCAACAGAGACGACTACGTCCACTACAGTCCGGCATGGCCGGACCAGCGCGAGCAATCACTGCTCACGAGACAACAGAGCAGTCTCCAGGACGACGAGTCCGCACAGGACCAGAACTCGCTCAGCCACATGCTTGCCACGCTAGAGAACCTCGACTCGTTCTTTACCAAGGAGAACATGGACCTGTCGGGCGCGTACGGCCACCAATACAACGGCTCGGTCGATACACGCTCTACCGCTGCCACTTCCACGGGCCAGAGCAACTGGGGCTTGACACTGGAGTCGCCGCAGCTCGACCAGAACATGCAGTTCCCATCCACAGCCTCGTTCAAGACGCTCATGGGCGACTCGTCGTCGAGTGCGGCCAACTTCTCGGTTTCCTCGTTCCGCAACTCTGCGCGGCTCAACATGGCAGTTCCGATGCATCTGAGCAACAAGTCGGCAAGCGACTACTCGTCTAACTTGCAGGAGATTTCCTCTCCGCTGGGCTCGCCGATAGTTTCCGGCCAGAGCCCGCCCAGCGACGACTTCGAGGGCCTGTTCAGGTTTGAGATTCTCCGCCCGTCCAGCAAGGTCAAGAAAAGACCGTCCAAGCTCAATACGCCGCTCGTCAACAACGGCGACCCGTCCATCCCGCTGGCGAAGCCGTCTCCCCGGACGCCGCGGAGTTCGCGGACCCCACGCAGTCCCTACAGCAAGAGCATCCGCTTCAGCAGAAACTACTCCTCCACATACAGGAAGTCTGCGCGGCTTTACGACAGTCCGTCGCGCGACAAGCAGGACGCGGCCGACACGCAATGAGCCATTTCGGCGGTGTACGGGTGTGCAGTCAAATACGATAAGATAGATGTTTAAATTTCTTCCCCACTTTCACCTCTGACTAGCTTTGTCTGGCATGTTTACCAAGTGCACGGGCTTCAGGCCGTTCATCAGGCCATCTGTAAGAACCTTCAGTTGTTCACGTGCCTCTTTGCTTGTCAAAATGGCCAAGACCAAGTCCATTGAGGATATGCCCAACCCAAGGGATCTTCCCAGACCAGAATCCAAGGAGCTGTTCCGGCCAGTGTACGACCCCAAGGAAAAGTATAGAGAGCAGGGTGAGCAGCTTCATGAGTTTGGCAGGTACATCATGGCATGCATGCCGAAGTTCATACAGCAGTATTCTGTCTGGAAAGATGAGCTGACTGTGTATTGTGCTCCCTCTGGACTGGTGCCTGTGGCCACTTTTCTGAAAAACCACACCTCGAGCCAGTTCACGGCGTGCATGAATATCACTGCGGCGGATTATCCGTCGCGCAAGAACCGGTTCGACGTGGTGTATGACTTGCTGTCTGTGCGGTTCAACTCGCGGATCCGCATCAAGACGTTTGCGTCGGAGATGACGCCGATCCCGAGCTTGGTGCCGTTGTACGAGGGGGCCAACTGGCTTGAAAGAGAGACGTACGACCTGTTTGGCGTGTTTTTCGAGAACCACCCGGATCTGCGCAGGATCATGACCGACTACGGCTTCGAGGGCCATCCTTTGCGCAAGGATTTCCCCACAACGGGCTACACAGAGGTCAGATACGACTCTGAGAAGAGACGCGTGGTGTACGAGCCGCTGGAGCTTACACAGGCCTGGAGAAACTTCACCGTGGGCTCGTCGGTGTGGGAGCAGGTCGGCACCGGCGAGGACGACACGCCAGAGAGTTTCCGTCTCCCAGAGCCGGAGCTTGACGAGGAAGTCAAGAAGTAGCCCAACGGCCCAACAGCCCCTATTTATTCTCATCTACATATTTATTGAATCGACCAAATTTTATCTCAGGGCCTCGATCTCCCGCTGAAGCCCGCCCAGCTCGGTCCGTTTCTGCTCCAGAAACGACTCCAGCTGGCTCACCTGACTCTGCACGACCTCAATGTTGGTCCGGATCGACTGCAGGTCGCTTCCTGTTCCCAGCTCGGCCACCTGCTGCTCCTTGTACTTGAGTAGATTTTCAAACTCGTATTTGGCCAGACTCAGCTTGTCGTCGACTCCCTTGTTGTTCTTTGCGTCCTCGGCCTTTTGGATCAGCTCCTCCAGCTCCTTCAGCTCACGTCTCAGCTTCACTTCCTCCCAGTCGGTTCCGTCTGTGGCGCTGAAGTCTGTCTTGTTGGTGGGGATCTTGGAAGAACCGGTGATTTTGCTCAAATAGCTCTCGCCAAAAGCCTGTTTCGTGCTGCTGGGCCTTTTCCGCTCCTCTGCCTGGTAATCGTTCACATCGTAGCTCGGTGTCTCTCTGTTGAACGTAGCTCTCAGCGACGGAGGCACCGACTTTGGAACTCTCTTGCCGCTGGACCTCTGGCTCAGGATATGCAGAAAAACCAGACACTGGTCCTTGTCGATCGTTTCCGATTGCTTAGGGTTCACCAAATTCCACGCAAACGAGATATCTGTTTCCGGAACGCCGTTGAGCGTCTTGTACAGTTCCGAAAGCGACTGGAACGTAATTCTTCCAAATCTGTCCGCAGACGACGCGTATATGTCCTCATACCTGGATTTATCGGACGGCGAGATGTACCAGTCGAAGTCTGAACTCAGCATGAGCTCCTCGTCGGTGTCGGTGTCGAAACCGGGGCTGTTTCCCGCCACCGCCCTGTTGGCCTGCACCAGATGTTGCTTCGAGCCCGGAATCAACCAGTCGGGTAGTGATCTAGGCAGCTCCGACGTGTTGCCGTTGACAAGGTCGAAGATGAGCCGCATGGCTATGCAAAACTCCTCAAAGTCCAGCTGGCCGTCCACATCGATGTCGGACAGGTCCCACACTTTTTCAAGCTGCGCCTGATCGAGCCGTGAGTTTTTGAACACGACAGAAACCTTGTCGCCGCTCAGTTTGTTGTTGACCGGCTTGAGACCGCTGAAGATCTGCCAGTACTTCTTAATCTCCCACTCTTCGAGCTTGGGCATGGTGGATTTCCACAGTTTTCTTGGTAGTTAAGATGGTAGTGGTCTTTAGATTGTGTTGATTGGATGGTCTCGATGCTCGCAGCGGATTGAAAAATCGCTAGCCTGGTGCTTGCGTTGGTCTTTTCCCTCAGTGAATTTAGTAGAAATAATTAGCGCAGAATATTACACAAATCATTATGAAATATAAAATAAGCCAGTCTATAGAAGAAGCGTTGCGACAAATAGAACCGTCTAAATTCCCCGAGTTCAAGAAGAGAGGATGGATCTCGCACAATGACCTTGCTTGTCTCATAAGAAGTTGCGATCTCGTTCTGATCAAGGACCTCTCGCCGTACTTCGATGTTCCGCCTCAGACTCCCAAATCGCCCGATTTTCTCAGGCAGATGGAGGAGCTCAAGGCACGGCAGGAAGAATTGGAGTACCAGAAACTAGTAGGCTCGCTTCCGGGCCAGATCGGACGCCCGTCGGCCCTCCAGGAGGCTAAGGAGGTCAAACATCAGGTGACGACCATCGTCAACGTCCTGATCAGCGTGGTTTCTGTGGCCTACGCGGTGTGGTACTGGACAGGATCTGTCAATCTGTTTAATGACGCTACCAGGGTGCTGTTGGCTCTTTTTGCGGCCATTCTGGTGCTCGTGGCCGAAGTGGTGGTTTTCGGGGGCTATCTAAGACGCGTGGACGAGGCCAAACAGCGCGAGCGGAGAAAGAAAGAAGTGCGCAAGGTGGTGAATTCTGTCACATTTACGAAAAAATCACAGTGAGCATGAAAAATATTGAAAAAAATATTTCTATATAGTCCGCAGAGTGCAAAATGTGGCACTTGTTGTTTCACTGCGCAAGAAAACAGGTCGTCCGGTCTGTGCAGCCAATGGTGGCATTTCGACTGGTCTCCTCGGTTCCTCTCAAAGCCAAATGCACTTCCTGTGGCTACAAACTGCAGAACTCCGACCCGGGCAAGCCAGGGTACACCAAATACTCGTTTGAGGAAAATGTGCGAGAGAAGCCCCAAATCCGAAACCACAGCATTCCACAGGAGAAGGAACAGGCGATTCTCGAAGAGTTCCGCTCGATGATGGGGAATTTGCCCGTTAAATCGTCTGAACCCAGTGCCAACAAAGCAGACAAAAGCCCAATGTGTCTGCGGTGCTACGACGCCGTCCACCACAACGTGTACAACCCTGAAGAGCACGTGACAATTTCCGTGGAGGATGCAATGAGCGAAATCCCTTCCAATGCCAAAATAGTACATGTGATTTCGGCCCTTGACTTTCCTCTTGGCGCAACCTCAAAAGTCTTGCAAAACAGAGATCCAAGCAAGATTTATTACGTTATCACCAAGATGGATTTATTCTTCAATAGAGACCACTACATCAACTCCGAAGGAACGCAATATTTTGCCCAGGTACTGCAACGTCTGGTTGGGGCAGACCCAAGCAAGGTTCGCTGTGTGACGGCGAGAAACAGGTGGGGAGTGCGCGATCTCTACTCATGGCTACCCCAAGGCAATTTGTACTTCATTGGGGAGACAAACTCGGGCAAAAGTCGGCTGATTGAGAGTCTGTGCAGGTACCACGAGTACGTGAAGAGAGAAGAGATACAGTCGACTCCTGGAGTTAGCAACTGGCCCGGCTTCACGCGAGATTTTATGAAATACATTTTGCACAAAAGAGACACAACCCTCATAGACACCGTTGGATTTGCTCCTCCGCAGGAGGGAATCTTCAAATACATGCTCTCTGAACACATACCTGCTCTTCCAACCCTGAAAAAACCGCCTACTCAAGAGCCAAAAGACCACCGTCTGCAGTCGTTGAGCGTGAAGACCGCAAAGTATTATTCGGGAGACAGGGTTTTCAGCATCGGAGGCTACTTCTATCTACGACCTCCCAGCGACTGTGCTTTGAGAATTTTCCCCGGCATGTCAGGCAAGCAATTCAATCAGCATTCCATCGAAAAAGCGATTCACACCAGTTTGAACCGAGATCGTGCCGTTGCGTCTAACTTTTCAGTCAACAAACTGGCGGTTCAGCATCTCGAACGCCACGTGATTCCCATCTTCTACGGCGCCGTCGATCTGGTATTCCGTGATATCGGATTTTTAACCATTGCTCCAACGGGGATTCCAAAGATCCGCGAGCTTTTCGAGCTTTGGATTCCGAAGGGAATTGACGTGATTGTCAGAGAACCGATTTTCAAATACATATATCCGCGAACGATGCCCAAAGACCCCAATGCTCCTAGGTTGTCTAAATACAGGAAAGTCCCTGAAGACAAGCTAATTTATACCAAAATTTTCCCCGTGGACGAACACAGGACGAAAGCTGAACTATTGGAGGAGTTCGATTCAAATGGGTCAATCCGAGAGCATTTCGAGTCCGCCAAGTCGCAGGACAGTTACAGAAATCCCGGCTGGGTGCAACCAGAGCTGTAGCTTAGACCGGGGACGATCGACGCAAATAGTCCCATGTACATAACGAAAATACTTTCCGGCATATTTTTTTTCGTATTGTTTATTCTACAACTGTGTTTGAGATGGTCCAGAGTTCTTTGCCAGGAGCGAAGCCGGCCAATGAGACAAAACCGTCGACTTCTTTGAAAGAGTTGCTGGAAGCCTCGCGTAGTTTGCCCAAGCGACTAAATGACGTTGGAACAATCCACCTTGGACTCAATGAAATCAAACGGAAAGCCTATGAATTGCGCAAATACAACAAAAGCGACAAGGATGTGAACCCTTACACAAAAGCGCATTACCTTCTTGTGGGAAGCGGTTTCACGATAGAAGAAATACAGAGCGAGCTGGATTCAATTGACTTGCGCCAGCTAGACCCGTCTCATGTGACAAACGTCGTCGATATGGGTGACATAGACAGTTACATCAACAGCCGTAAAGACGAAAACATTTTAACAGCTATTGAGCAATCATTGTCTGCAGCTGCTCGCGACTTTGACACGTATGTCAGCAAGAACATAACCATAGATTGGGCACAGAGAAAAAAAGAGTTACAGAATTCTCTCTCCACTCTGCTGAAGCGAACCGAGCCTAGCTCAGACTTGTCGTCTTCTCCCGAAAAGAAGGCAAAGACAGCTGGCGTCAGCTTTGAAAAACAGCTTATATGGAACAGCACCAAACACAAACACATTTTGTCTTCGAAGCTGGAATTTACGGACGTGAAGGCGCCAGAGCCCAAGGCCTCAAATCCAAACCTTTCGTACGGTCTTAGACAGAAGTTTGAGTTATATGCTCAGGTTATTTATGAGCTCAACGATGCAAGACAACAAGGCCAGTCGTATCCATTGGCTACTGTTTTTGCAGACCTTTCCAAACAAGAAGTGAGTCCCAAGTCCAAACAGCTTCATGAGACATGGCTCATTCTGAGAGACTTTTGCGAGACAGAAGAGGCGAAGTCCGGACAAATTCTTGAGAGAAGATTCGCGAAAGGCCATTGCTCTGATTCGCTGACTGCGTTCGAGTCGCTGTCTTTGCGCAAGAGGATCGTGACTCGCAGCAGAAACTATTTGGAGACCCAATTTTTGGACTACATCAACGAGCTGTATTTTAAATCAGACATGGCTGCTCAAGATAATAAAATAGTTGACAGTGTCACAAAGGTTCAGAATTTCTTGGAGTTGACTCTCAAGGGGAAAAACAAAGAGTGGAAGGTCCCGAATCTATACTTCGTCAATGGGAACCCAATCTGGGCCACTCTATTCTATCTTTTGAGGGCAGGCTGTTTAGACGAAGCTGTTCAACTGGTCACTCAATCAACCGATTCTTTCCAAAAATTAGAGCGCTCATTCCCAATGTACTTAAGAAGCTACTGTCAGAGCACAGACCGAAAGCTTTCTCGTGAGCTGCAGGGGCGAATTTTGAACGAGTTCAACCAGTACTTCAAACACTTCAACAAGGAAATTGATCCATTCAAGTACGCCGTTTACAAGCTGATCGGAAGATGTGATTTGAGCAAGAAAAATCTGCCATCGGTCACACTCAGCATTGAAGACTGGATTTGGTTCCATCTGTCTCTAATCCAGGAAGAAGAGCTTGATGAGGACGAGCTAGTTCGCGAATTCTACACACTGAACGATTTCCAAAAATCGGTTCTTCAATATGGAGCAGATTCGTTCAATGCGTCAGCAAACAATCCCATGTATTTGCAGACTTTGGTTCTTACCGGCCTCTATGAAGTTGCTGTCAAGTATTTGTTTGAAAAGAGTGAGATTGACGCTGTTCACTTGGCTATTACTCTTGCCTATTATGGCCTTTTGAGGGTGCCGGATGACAAAATAGAGCAAGAGGATAAACTTTTGACAGTCGATAGCAGAGGATTTGGCTCGATTTCTTACGCTCGCCTGCTAGGATATTTTACCAGCAGTTTCAAGTTTTCTGATCCAAGGGTGGCCGCCGAATATCTCTTCTGCATCTGTCTTTGTGATGGACTAGAGCCAGCTTTGAAAGAGGCACAAATTACGCTTGGCAGAAACGCCATCAAAGAGTTGGTGCTCGAGACCAGGGAGTTTGTGATTCTCCTTGGTAAAATCGACAAGGATGGTACAAGGTCGCCAGGCATTATTGAACAGCGCAAGAAGTTACTTTACTTAGATGACAAAGAGAGTTATTTGCACAACATCGCGGAACAGGCAGCGGTCAAAGCAGACGAAGAGGGCAGACCATTCGACTGCATTTTGCTTTATCAACTGAGCGAGGAGTATGACATGGTCATCGATCTCGTGAACAGAGTCCTAGCAGAGTTCCTTATATCCATCGATCTCAAGACCCCTATTGACGACATACTGGCACAGGAGCTGATTCAAGGCGAAACTAATATCGTGAAACTTGCGCAACGACTTATGCAGATCTATTCTGCCTCGCCGTCGATCCTGGAAAAAGTGTCCTTGAAGCAGCGTGAAACATGTACCGCATTGCTGGATATGGTGGAAATTAGAAGAGAATTTACCACCACCAATCCCGACTTTGCAGGAATTCTGCTCAAAATCGAGAAACTCAATGTGATCCCATGCTCTGCAACGATGGAATTGGAGAAGATTCGGGCTAAAGCACAAGAGCTAAAGACTATTAGCGAGGCCATCACCAAGAACGTTCCGAACTTGCTGGTGATCGAGATGAGTTGCATAGCCCAGCTCTTCTATGAACTCAGCCAGGGTTATGACTCGAACGTGCTCAAGCTGTCCCAGATTAATACCCAGAACGCATCCAAAGAGGACAAACTTGTTTCGCTGAGACAAATGTCCAGAAACTGTATGATATATGCTGGTATGGTCCAGTACAAGATGCCAAGAGAGGTATACACAACTCTGATCAATCTGGAGGTTAACATGTGATCACCCATGATTATGTTCGTGTTCGCACTGGGCGCAATTCTTGCGCTTGTATTTAGGTTGTCTCTCGTAAGCGTTCGGCTTGGAAGGACCCTCATGATCACTTTCATCTGACGAAGACGAAGACGATGACGAGGACTCCGACTCGGATTCGGTCTCCTCGACCTCATACTCATCCTCGTTATTGGGATGGAAAATGCAGCAGACTGACTCGTTAGCATGATACAGCAACATTAATGTACTTACTTTTAGACTTCTTCTTATTCATGAACTCGTTATCGACCACGCCTTCCTCCCATCTCACCCTGTTTCTTTGCTTCTTTTTCTGCTTCTCCTCAGCGGGATGAAGGCGCAATACATTTCGCACAGGAACTGTTTCTGTTTGTGTTGTAGTTTGAGTTGGCTGAGAAGTCTCCGAAGGCATTTTGAACTGCCTTTTTTTGTATTTACTAGAAATATTAGTACCAAAACTCCGGTGCAAGGGGGTACTCAAAATAATAATCTACAAACTAAACACTAATTGCTGGGTAAAGAGATTGTCTCGAGGCCTGCGGCTTGTCCAATTCTTCCACGAGATCATTCAAATAAGCGGAAATCGTACTGATGAGCTCGCGATGCTTGTAAAATTGCGCCCATTGCTCAGCGTCCTCAGAATCCGACTCAGAGTCCGAACCATCATAATAGCTCGAATGGTCGTCGTCGTCCTCATCTGACGAGTCGGATAGCTCAACGGCAGCAAGCCTATCAACAAGCTCCGCCTCCGTGGATCTTTGTGTGGAGCTCACATTCAGCCGTTTCACGTGATCAGAGTCGGACATGTTGACGTGAGGAGTCTTAGAAGGCAGCATTGGGTAGAGCTGGCCACTACCAGCACCAGCCGGTTTTAGATGGAATTGGTCGTAGGACATGGAGTTCGACATGTGGCTGAAGTAAGACGAAGCCTCCATCAAGTCCTGCTGAGAGTGGAATCCGCCGTATCTCGAGTTGTGCAGCGGCGGAAGTGAGAAATCAGCAGAAGGACGAGAGCCTGGCATCATGGTAGCATCGAATCCATTCAGCTTGTGGGCGACCTCTGGATTGTAGGTTGGCTGGAATTTCGAGCGTTTCAAATCCTCGTACAAGGTCGGAACATTCCAAGAAAGATCAAATTTGCGCTTTCTGTTCTCGATCGGCTGAGAAGCGGGAGCGGGCGGAGGAAGAGCGTAAGGGTGAGGAAGAGGAGGGTGGTCGTAGACGGGATAGCCGTAAATCCAGTTTGTTCTCGAATAATCGTTGAATTGCTTCTCTCGCTTGGAAGCATTCTTTTTCGAGTCGTCAAAGTGTGTTTTGGTGTGTTTCTTGAGGTCCTGAGGCCTCTTGAATTTTTTCGAACACATGTTACAGGCAAAAGGCTTCAAAGGAATGTGCACTCTGACATGGGAGGTTATATGGTCCCGTTTGACGGTAACTACGCGACAACCGTCCCACTGGCAACTGAGTTCGAGGTTCTTATTCGACTTTCTACCCACATGAGAGTCGCAAACGTGTTGATAAAGAGTTTTCGCATCATCACAGAATTTTGTGCAATCTTTCCACTTACATTGCAAAGGACCCTCGTCTCCGTTTTTCTCGCCCCTCGCGAGCGGAAAAGACTGGGTTGGAAGTGACAAAGATGGAAGTTGAGCTATCTGATGTCCCTGAGAAGCCTGGGAGACCTGAGGAATTTGAGGCACCTGTGGCCTAAAAGTTGGATAAAGGTATCTTGACTGCGAGTCGAACGGGTGACATGCGGCATCCAAAGCGGATATATTGGGTAGCATCGTTCCTAAAGTAGAGTTATTCGTGGCGTTGACATTCTGCTTAATGTGCGGAGAGCTTGTGCTCTGCATACCTGGCGGAGAGTCAGGGTCTGAGGACACCTCTGTGTACGAGGAGATGGAACCTATCGGAGAACCGGTGGACTCCGTAGAGTGCGACTTTCTTGAAGTTCTGTCGTTACCCTCACGAGGATGGTCAGAATCTGCATTCAAATATGCCACAGGATGGACGTTCAGCGTGGACTTGCTCATGGGGAAAAATAATTGAAATAAAGTGGTCAAAAAAATAGGCGAAGCAGAGCTAATTTATAATTAAGAGGATTTCTTGGCATAAATTTTATTGAGAATTATACATTGTTTATGAGTTTTGAAAAGGCTGAAAAAACGAACCATGCTGATTAGTCCAGTGACATGAACCCTGTTTGATCGGCCCAGACCCGAAATTATTATCTCTGGACAAGCTTCCAACAACTAGAGCTGCGCTTTTCTCCATGGGGATGGATGTCACTGGACAACACCTCCCACCTATCAGGCGTCAGGGTTTGCTACCCGAAGCACTTTCCTGCTGTAATCGACCTGGTCACTCAGGCTTCGAGTAGAGTAATTATTATTATTGTAAAGTTCACTGTGGGGGTCCAATCTCTGGTCAACCATCACCATGTCTGAGAGTGGTGTTGGCCGTTGGACAGCAGTGGGAGTCGAGCTCGATTTGCGGTGAAGCGTGAACATAGAGCCCCTTTTTGCTGAGGCAGACGGAGGTGGACTTGTTGGTGTTGGGGTGTTTGGCAGCGTGCCGATAATGACGGGCTTCTCGAAGTTTTCTGTGTCTGACTCAATGGTGATCGGTCCTTCATGCTTGTTCAAGTACAGTCTTCTAAGAATGAAAGTCAGAAGTAGTATCAGAGCGAGAGATACAATGCCAACCACCGAAAAGACTGCGGCGACTTTTCCTTTGTGATCAAAAAATGACGTGCTATTTTTGCTTGTGGCAATAGGTGTGCCGGACAGCGAGCTTTGGTTGATCTCGGTGGCTGACGATGCTGGCGTGTAGGTGATGGTTGTTTTAATCATCGTTGTTACTAGAGCTGTGGAGATGCCTAATCCCTGTGCAGAGCTGAGGTACGATGAGGTGGAGAACGCAAGCAATTGTGACAAGGACGATGACAACGACGATGAGGCAGGAGACGACGATGTAGAGACTGACGAGGACTGTTCTGACGAGGCAGAAGTCATGGAGGGAAGTGAGGAGGAGGAGGAGGAGGAGGAGGAGGAGGAGGAAGTAGTCGAAAAGGAGGAGTGGGGAAGAGGACGGAGGTGTGGTCGACGACGCGGTGAGGGAAGCGGCGGATTTTGACGATGATGACAAGTCCGTGGTTGTGGAGGCCTGCTCCAGTTCAGACGAAGATGAAGCAGAATTTGCACCCACATATGTGGAATCCGAGGACGGTGTTTCACTTGAGCTGGTTTCGGAAGAAGAAGACAATCCACTGTCGGCGGTCGAGCTGGATGTGATCCCACCAGTAGAACTTGATGGGCCGGTGGAGGTGCTTGAAGACTCCAGGTCATTAGAATTGTTTGCCAGCTGGATGTATCCGTAATAGCCATCTCCTCCGCAGTTCTCGTATCCATATCCTGGACAACTAGTGTCGCAATTATCTAGGTCACTGGTGTCTTCTGGCGCCGTATCTGAGCACCAACAGTTCTTTCCTTGGACAATGGCGTAGCGGTATTGGTTACAAAAGTTGGAACAGTACCCGTTTGACATCCAAACATCATTAGTGGTCACAGATCCAGTGTTTTCCCTAGAGCATAGCGCCTGCTCCAAGGCAGACCCAAAGGACACCAAGAAGAACCAGATCAACATGAAGAAGCGGGTCAGCCCAATAAGTCTGCCAATAAGTATATATCACGGGCTTTTCTGGGAGGGAAGGCCTGTTCCAAATATTTAAAAAGATTATCCGTGCATACTGTGATCAACATCATTTCCCAATTCGGAAGACAGCTCCCCAATAAGGAAGAATTCTTGTAAAAACGTGCAAATTCTATTTACTTTACGAGAGTGGCTGCATCGAAAGGCATTTGATGCAAATTTAGCGGCCGCTATCCTAAAGTGGAATACATGTACTCTTTTATGTTTGGCATTTTCTCCTGGATTCCATTCAGATGATGATACAGTTAATACACAGATGAAAGAAAAGAACGCACACGCCCCCACTGCGACCATCATTTGAGCGCCTTCTTGAGCTTGGCAAAAAACCCAGTCTTCTTCTTTGGAGACGGAGAGCTTGCGGTCTTTGGTTCTGTCTTTGCAACTGGTGCAGTTTTCGCAGCTGTCTCGGCTGCACTAGGCTCTTTTTCGGTCTCAGGAATCTGCTCAGCTTCGTCCTTTTTAACCTTCGACACCACTCTTTTGACGTACTTGGTCTTTTTGGCGCCCGTCTCAGAAGCCTCGCTCGCAGCTGTCTCAGCTGTATCTTGAGTGCTTGGGCTGGTTACCTCGTCTGCGACGGCGGTCTCGGTCTGGGAAGTTGTTGGCTCCGAAGGTGCGTTCAGTGTCTTTGGGTCCACGTCTCTGACCTCATTAAAAGCCGATATCGACTGTGGGTCCTGTGGGATCACAACTCCAGGTCCTGAGGCCGCAACTGCACCGGTTTCCGGGGCCTCTGTAGCATTACTGGAGCCCTCAATCCCTGAAACTTTTGAATGCCCTGCAGGGTCCAGAGTTTTGGCAGCCTCAGTGGATGTAGTGGCGGTGGTAGTTCCGGCAGGCGCACTCTTGGACGAGTCACAAGGCTCGTTAAGCGTCTTTGGGTCAACATCTCTCACTTCCGAAAAAGCAGAGATCGAATGCGGATTGGCTGGAACCACAACACCGGGCTCTCCCAGCGTCACCTGTTGACCTTCGGACGAAGGAAGAACAGTGGGCTTGTACTCTGCATCTCCCGTTTCAGCATTGCTCTTTGATGTGAAAGCATTTGCACCAACCAATGGCACTGTCATGCCTCCCGCCTCAGGAATTCTTGTGGAATTTGAGCCCTGAACAGATTCAACGTCCTTTGCATACAAGACGTTGTTCTTGTTTCCCGACTCATCGGTTTCGGTTTTGTAGTTTTCGCTTGTGGTCCATTTGCCGTCCACAACAAACTTGAAAGCCACTTTCTCAGTGTCCTTGGGAAATGGAAATGACAGAGTAAAGGAGCCGTCACCCTTCTTGATAAGAGGCAACGATTGAGACCAGTTATCAAAGGACCCCGTCAAAATGACAGACTCAGGACCGGAAGGCCTACAATGTTAGCTCCACTGTATAATGAAATTGAAGTTGATACTAACCAAGTGAATTCGTGGTATGACATTGTAAATTATATTTATTTTATCACGCCTTTTAGTTAGGTTGTGCTGCTCACTTGCTATTTATTGGTTTAGATAAATTAATTTTTTGCCCCACCGTTTTTTTTTTAAACCTGTCTGAGTATATATCCCTTATTCTACATTAAAACACATCCCTTACTTTTAACCTGGGTCTCTTCTTCATCTATAGGCTCCTTGCTGTCTTCGATCTGGTCAATCACGGCATTAAACGCCTCTTGCACGTTGTAGTTATTTTTGGCAGAACACTCAAAGCAGGGAACGTTACCGAAGCTTCTCGCCAGCTGTTTCAATTCCGCCTCCGTAACCTGTCGCTGAAAATCCAAATCGCTTTTGTTGCCCACAATCACGATCGGAGGGCCATCTTCCACCGAGCTGATTCCCAGCCCATCAAGGATCTTGTCTCGCACAACAGCCAGCATGTCGAAAGACTGTCTTGAATTTATAGAATAAACCAGCATATACCCATGAACCCCAATTAACAACTTATTATGCAAAGTAGAAAACTCATCCTGACCAGCAGTGTCCATGATTTCAAGTGAATAATCTATTCCCTTATACTTGACCTCCTTCTTCAACTGATTCTCTATCGTCGGAAAGTAATGGTCATTAAAAGGCTCTTCAGCAAACTGGGCAGCCAAAGAAGACTTTCCCACAGCCCGTGCGCCAACCAGTGCAATCTTCCGTTCTTTACTCATCGCTGTTCATAACTTTCTAAATAAATTGAATCAAATATTTACTCAGTCTTTTCTTTTTCTAACCGTTATATGATTGGCAGATTATTATTTTATTACATCTTGGCCCATTTCAAACACTCCAACGCAGAAACCACAATCACTATGGTGACCGGCAATGTCAGAATCGCGTACCCGTAGAAAAGCACGCCCACCATCTCCCTCTCGAACACTTCGTTCAGCTGGCAGATTTGCGACAATTGGATAGCTGGAGGAGATGTGATAAGCAAAAAGGAAGTGACCAAAAAAATCGGATCGTCAAGAATGCTCAGCCCCACATACTTGGCGCATAGCGTGATGATGGGGAGAAGCACAATGGACGGAAGCACCATCCTTGATACAAGCGATCCGAACACGATTTTGGAGTAGTGGGGGCTAGCGGGAGGAATATCCTGGGACGGAGCTAAATTTGCTCCCAATACCACCAGGATCAGTGGAATTGAGACCGATCCAAGTTGCTTTATTGCTAAAGCCAGTGTGTTTTGGATGAATCCCTGCTTTTCGTAAAACTCGTATCTGATTTGAGGCACGCTGGCGACAATGATGGCGATCAACATGGACCACAAAGGTGGATTCATAGCGGAGAGGAATTTGCTCCAGATCCTAAGTAGCAACGGCCTTTTGTCATCTGCCTGCTGGTTTTCGGTCTCCACGTCGATATTGGCGCTCTTTGAGAGGCTCTCGTGAGAAGATATCGAGGAACCTTCGCTCCACCTACCGGGATTAGGAGGCGGGTGGCTGAGCAATCCCTGTTCTTCGTTAGAGTGTTCGTCTGTCGATCCATAGCTGGATGGCCTATGGGTCTCTAGAGACTGGCTCTCGGGATCGTCATTGAGAGCAATCTCCACAGAGGGAGAACGTTTTTTCAACAACGTGTTGTAACCCCAAGACCATCTGAGCACTTGTCCTAGTTGCTGGAAAATGAGCAAGTAAATCAAACCTCTGGAGGCGATCTGGTCCGGCGTGTCATTTTCGATCTCGTCCCATTCAAGACCCGGCAAGGTGTATGCAAGCGCCAAAGTCAGAGACACGGGCAGAGAGTTCGAATTACCAAAGACAGCCATGGCTGTGACAAAATTGGCCTCGGGCTCGGGCAGCCCAAGAAGGGACGACATCCAGATGGAGGCAACGTAGGAGATTCCTGTGATGAGTGCGTAGAATATAGGAATGACAATAACCTCGAGCACTTTCTGAAACGACAGAGAGGAGGCCAATTTCGAAAAGATAAGGGCTGGCGTGAAGAGGTCGACATTCAGCCGGGAAATGATTTTTGTGGCTTCATTGTTGAGGAGACCTGTTTTTGCGGCCCAAAAGCCCGCTAGACAGATGATAACAACTTCAGTAACAGCCTGAAAGGTCAAGAAAGTAATCTGCTGGTAGGATAATCCGTCACTGGCGACTGCCATGAAATACGATTCCGCAAACATATGAAACGGCTCAGGGCGCTCTGAATGCTCTGGATGATAGCAATGTTGTTGACGACTCTGGATCTCTGGATGAATAGATTGTTGATTTGGCGAAGTCAGTACACGGAGCTAGAAAGTCCAAACTGTTTCAATTAAAAAGAGAGTGTCTGTTAAAGAAGGAATTTTAGCCTGAGAGGCGACCAATCTTGGCGCAGTTTGGTGGTAGCAAAAAATAATTAATTACACGGCCTTGAAAAGCACCTTGGCGTTGCCAACATCGTGCTGAATGTTAAATCACTAGAAAACCTATAGAAGTAAATCGCTGATGCTCATTTTGCGCTTGATGTCTGTTTCGGAGGCCACAGGGTGCTCAGCTTTGGACTTGTACGGGATTTCGAGTGCTCTTGGGGGGTATTGGTATTGGTACTGGCTGCTGATAAGCGAGGTGGACGAAGCTAGCGGACTGATAGGGAAATTCGAAGATGAAAAGGACGACGACGCGGAAGACGACGAGGACGACACGGTCGACACAATGGAGGTGTAGAACGGATTGGCGTCCAGGTTCTCTGCTGCTCTGAGAACAGAAAGCAGGCCGTCCGCTTTGGGCTTGGTGGTCTTGATCTGGAACGAGTCTGCTGCCGGACCTGCCGCAACGGACGACACAAAAAATCCAGTCTCCGGACCCTTGTTCCGGGTGATAATGCTAGGAGACAGAGGGGGCAGCGACTTGCCATACTCGAACTCCTGAGACCGGGAGCGCGGTTTTTTGCCGACCCTGGCGTGGGCGGAGGGAACAGAGGCGGAAGAGATGGATTTTTTGCGCTTGTTGCTTCTCTTCTTCTTCAAGTCGTCGTCTTTCACCTTCAGGCGGAGCATTCCAAAGCCCTTTTCGTACGGTTTCAAACACTCGTCGACAAAGGACTCGCCAAACATGGGAACAAGGGCGTATCTGATTTTGTAGCAAAATCTGGCGGCCAGTTTGCGCGCTAATTCAAAAGGTATCCAGGTCCCCTGGATCTTCAAAAATCCGCCACGCACGCGCTTGAGGTCGGGCTCGAGCTCGGGCGATGAGTCGACCAGTTTCACGATGTCGGCTTTCGAGTTGCCTATGGCCTTCCAAAGCCCTGTGAGATGTACCAGGCCGGAGGAGTAGTCCCAGATGATCCAGGACTCGTTGATCTTGTACTCAAATACCGTCAAGTAGTTGCGCGGATCGATGGAGGTCGAGTACTTGCGCTTCGTGATAGACGAAACGGAAGGGATAATCTCTTGTTGTTCCTTCGGGATCCGAGCCAGCACGGCCGGAGGGATCTGCCGGATGGGGTATCTGACCGGGTTTGGTGAGTCGGTTTGAAGCATTTTCTCACACAGAGATAAAGCCTTTTCAAATGGGTGAGGAGGAAAACTTGTAAATGTAGTTGCTCAAATTGTCGCAAAATAAATGCCGTTATCTCGAGGAGATAAGTATCTGCACGTAAAAAAATTGCCAGATAAGAAGAGATAAGATAAAAGGGATGGCCCGTGCCGAGCTAACGAGGGCTCTGGGATCGTCGTTGAATGTGCCTGGATCGTCTGCAACTGCCAGAGGTTTATTTTAGTGACTATATATATTTGGTGTTGGCCACAAAGTCCTTTGGTGGTGTCACGGGCTTGATGCCACACCTCCCGAATTACTAGCTGCATGCCGTGCCATAATTCTTGAGCCTGACTAGCCATTTTTATTTTCGCCCCGCCTAAAACTGAACAGTCCCGACAAATACTTGCGATCTTCGTCTTTGATTCTGCTGAACAGGTTCCGAATCACGTTCGTCCGGACCAGGCTAGAGCCGACGTGTTTGGGCTCGAAAAAGTTAAATAATTCGTCATCGGTCCCGCGATCAAATATCTTGTAGGCATTAGTGGCCCGGAAAGCGGCAACAAACGGATTGCCAAACTGCTCGATCTCGTTTGCAAACGAACTCAGCTGCTGCACATTTTCCAGCCTGGACATGTTGCGGAAGTTGTCGTACTTGATGCTCGACAGCATCCCGATTAGGTAATCCTCAAAGTTGTACCGGATAAAGTCATCGCCGCCCCGGTACGACTGCGATTCCATCGGACTGTTTGCCAGCGACACGCTCACCTCGTCGGCAGCCAGCACCTCGTCGCTCAGCGAGTCGACAAAGCGACGATCTGCGCTGGTGAGTGCTACTTTCTCCTTCAACTGCGGGCTCAGCAGCTCGACACTCGCGTCGTCGAGATTTACCACGAGATCGGCATATTGCGTTTTCTGGTGTAGTATTATGTCATTTGAGCAGCCGACCAGATACCAGCTGGTGTTCTCGTTGGTCAGGTACCCGATCTGCTGCAGAGTCAAGTACGGCTGGAAAAAGCCTCCCCTGCCGAATATTCGCAACGGAAGGCCCATGAATGCCAGCATAGACTGTCTGTCGCTGCTTTTCAATGAAGTAGGCTTCTCGACCTGTCCGGGATCGGTCCCTGTCAATGGACTTCCGCTGTCGGAAAGATGGAGCAACAAGTTCGGTATGAGTGAGAGAAGCGAGTATTGGAAATTAGAGAGACGGTTGAGGTTTTTCGAGTACACGAGAATGCGCTGCTCAAGCAGCAACGCTTTGTAGACGACCAACAAATTCCGTTTGAACGTCACCACCAGCTCTTTCAGATTAAGTCCCGTGTAGAAGTCGCTTTCCTTGATGACTTTCACGTTGTCCTGGGACACAGGGGTCTCGTACAGATCGTCGTCTTCAACCTTAAAGCCGTGAGAATTGTACACTGTGGTCACGTTTTCAAAAAGGGCTTTGATTATAGACTTGTCGTGGAAGTTGTGCTGGTCAAAGTAGCTCATGGTGATTATGCTTAATTTCTCCTTTAGTTGGATTGGGATCGGGTATCGCGTGATCATCACCACGCTTTTCTGGATAATAGACCGCTTGAAGTCCGCACCGTCCGCCAATGCGCTGCTGTTCAGCTGACGCACGCAAGCGCATCCAAAAAGGGTCGTGAGGTCGTAATGCTTCTCTGTCTTTTCCTCGGGAAGTGGAGGACATGTGTGATTTTTCTCGTCGTAGACGAGCGTAAAATTCGTGAATGTTTCATCAAACAAGTGTGCACCGTCCGGAAGTCCCTGGAAGGGCAGCTGCGGCCATATTTGCGCAAACTTGGCCGCCATAGAGGCCTGGTTGTATTCGTTTGTGCGGTCGTCGAGCCAATATTCTATCTCTGGGCCATGAACGTGGTCGAAATCAACAATGCACAGTCCAATGACAAACGACGACTCGTATGTGGGCGGTACCGCATCTGACCAGGGATTCTCCAGATCATGGGACATGAGACCAGAATATACGTAAACGAAAAAAAACATTAAATTTTAACCCTAAATACCGGTTACAGTTTTGCTAGAAGTTTGGACGCCGTCGAGACATTGACTTCTCCTCCCTCCTCGTCAGCCACAAACTCGACAATTCCGCTGCGGTTGACAATCACGGCCAATCTGCTGGATCTAGTTCCCAGGCCCAGGTCTCCCAAATCAATAGGAGAGCCCAGCTTCTTGGAAAGGTCCAGATACGGGTCTGACACAAAGAGGATCTTATTGGAAGTAGCTCCTAGTTTTTCTCTCCAGGCACGAAGCACGAACGGATCGTTCTGCGTCACCACAAGAATGAAGTCGACTCCTTTGGAAGCAAAGTTCTGCACTTTCTGGATGTACTCTGGAAGGTGCTGGTTGGTGCAAGGCGGAGTGAATGCACCAGGAACACTGACCACCACGAACTTCTTGCTCTTTGTGGCTGCCTTCAGATCAAAGGGCTTAGGTTCGCCCTCTGGGGACGAGATAAAGAGCGTGCTCACGTTTGTAGGGAATTTGTCGCCTCTCTTAACAACCATATTCAACCTGAGAGCTCCGGCTTATTCGGACGGTCTTATATAGCGCCAGTCTCGCGTAAAATAGCCGATGACAACTGTGGTGTGGGGAAAACCGCACCCCTGTGCTGCGATGTTTGGTAGCCTACGCTCCTTTTTCTATCGACGCGACGACGACGCATGTATTCTATCTTACAATGTCAACGAACTGTTTACATAGCTCACAATTGGACGTTCTCCGGCAATCTCCACCACTTTATCGAACCAGCCAAGTAGCACTCCGCCCGACTTTTGCCCCTCTTTCATGCTCATGAGCGAGTACAGCAATTTGACCAGGGTGTCTGTTTCGTCCATATCCAGGCTCCTCACAATGTTGGGGATTTCGCTCTGTCTCACAGAAACAAACGCGTTCAGCACCGCTTGTAAGTAAGACGTCTTCAGAGCGCTGTCGGAGCCGTACGGAGGCTGTGCAACACACAGCTTGATGGCACCCAGAGCGTCGCCTCTGGACACGCTGGAGCGCATCTCTGTCACCAGCGAGTCCAACTGCTGAGCAGAGTATGCAGGCACATCAATTGGGTCTGGCTCGTACTGCAAATCCGGGTCGTACTGGTCGACGTCAATTCTTCTCCAATCCTCCATGATGAGTGTATGTGTTTTTTCGATAGCTGGACTTTTTTTAAAAATTCGAGGTCGATCGGCCTTTTGTGTGCATCATGTCGCTCCAGGATTATCTCAAGAAATATGTCTCTGAGGAACCTCAGGAGCAGGGATCAGAGTCGGATCTGTCCGAGACAGAGGAAGGGCCTGTTATTGTCGAGAAAAAGGTGCAGTCAAAGGGTTGGACGTCAGTAGAGACGAAGGAGACCGCAGGCCCGCGACCGAATCTCATGCAGGACGGCTCGCTTCCAGGTCTCAAGACTGGGGAGGATATTAAACGGTCGATGGAGATGAAACAGCGTCAACTGGAAGACGAGAAGCGCAAGGTCCAGCAGCACTACGATCCAAATAATGTCGAGACGGTCTACCGAGATGCCACTGGGCGGAGGTTGTCCAAATTTGAGGACCCAGACGCACAAAGAAAGGCCGATGAGGAACGGAAACAAGAAGAAATCAAGCGAATCAATGAGAGCGAGTACACAGCGATCCGAAAACAAAGGGAAGAACAGCGATTAAAGCAGATAGAAACAGAGACACAGGAGAGCATTGATCTCCAGAAAAAACAGATGGTAAACGACGAGGACCCTGCATTGCTGTTTGACTCGAATCTACAGAGCCGCAAAAGAAAGCTCACCAATTTGAGCGCGACAGGCAGAAAACTATACGCAGAAACCGGATATCCAGACAATAGGTTTGGTATACGGCCTGGCTGGCGTTGGGACGGAGTGAACCGCACCAACGGGTTCGAACAGCGGTGGTTCGAAAGACGGCAGGAACTGGAGCAAAACGAACTTCTAAAGTACACATTACAGGAAGATATATAACTCAAGCCTCTTCTTTTTTGGCGACCTTTGCCTTCTGCTTATGCTGGGGCTTTTTCGTAGATCTGTTGGTCTGCTTGTTGGCCGGTTTGGTGGCAGGCCTGCCTGCAGCCTTCTGTGGTTTCTGGCTTTTGAGCATGCCCATGAGCTCCTGCGAGCCGTTGGTGTTAGCAGGCAGAGGCATAGGTAATGGGAGTCCAGGAGGAACGCCCATCATGGAGTGTGGACCTCTCAGAGGAGCCGTTGGCTGCATCACGTTACCAAGAACAGAGTTGAACACATTTTGAGCCACTCTATTTTTCTTCGAGAGGCTTGACAGGGCCGGGTCGGCCGAGTCCTTGGCCTCGCCCTGAGTGTCGCTCTTCTTGATCACGTTTAGCAGTTCCTTCTTGTTTCTGAGTTCGTTCTCCTTTTCTTGTTTCTTCTTCAGCAAATAGCGCTTCTTGACCTCGCTCAAGTCTCCCTGGGCAGTCTTGGAGGAGGCCTTTGAGTGGTAAATGAACTGCTTGTCAGTCAAGTTTAGCAACACAGAGGAATCCAGCGTCAGTCCTCTTTGAGTCTTCAGCCTGCCACCAAAGGTATTACCAGTGAGCAGAGGCTGGTCGAATAGAACTTGTAGCTCGACCTTGGACTCAAGCGATCTGATGCCTATCACAGTTCCCTTGGAGAACAGCGGAACATTACCCGAGTCCAACACATAGACAACACGGTCTCCAAGAGAGAAGTGCTGCTTTTTGAGCAACTGGAACGACTGCGACGGAGCCAAAACAGCATTTCGTGGAATTCCCTTGATTCCCTTGGTATCCAGAGGCTGTGGCTTTGCCATATAGTCGATGATCTGTTGCTCCAGCTCGGCAACGCCAATTTTGGTGAACGACTCAGATTCCAGGCTCACAGTGACAAACGTGGACTTTTTCTCTTTGAGGAACGACTGCACAGCATCCAGCTTCGCTCTGAGCTTATCTGGCTCGGCAATCTTGAATATTTCGTTAGCGCTCGGAATAGAAGATCCCTTGTGTTCCATCAGGGCTTTGAAAACCTCAGGGAATTTCTTCGTGTACTCCTGGATCAGGCTGATAGCCAGATCGCTGTACTCCCAGTATCTATCATTTCTTCTTGTGTATCCCAACACTTTCATCTTCTTACCCTCAAACTTCAGTGGAAGGCCAATGTCGTATCTTCTTCCACCAGGTCCTTCTACCGCATAAGAAGACGTCATCTTGGACAGGAACAGAGGAGAGAATTTCAGAATTTTGGCTACGGTCGACGACGGATGGTATCTGATGGCTTTCTTCTCATGCTGTGCTCTCAGGACACCAAAGTTGGGCTCTGCCTTCTTGGAAATTCTCGACACCTTCAAGGTGAGCTTGTTGTTCTCGTGATCAATAACATCTGCGGGAGCACCGTATGCAAAAGCACCAAGGAATACAACTGTCGAGTTCTTCGGAAATTCCTCCTCTATAGGAACGGGAGGTCTTGCCTCAAATCTCGCATCTTTGTTGATCACCTCATCCACTATTAATTGAATAGGATAGCATTCGATTTCTTTCGCGTATGTTTTCACAAAGGCTCCTTGTTCGTTTCGGATCAGCCCACTGACAGCTCTAACATAGACCAATCCTTCAATAGGATTCTTTGTGGAGGAAGTTTTGGTGCCATCTTCAGATTCGCCATCAGCTTCTGCAGCTTGGAATCGAACGCCTTTGTTGGTCTGCAGTTTGTGGTACAAAAGAGATCTTGTCTTTTCAAAATCGTCTCTTTCAAATGGCTCCAGCGGAGACGAGACAACTTTCGGCACAGATCCCATCTTCACTTTCTCGTATTTCATAAGGTTGTCAGTCACGTAAACAACCTTGGCCTCCCTCAAAAATGGCCATTTCGTATAAACAATCTGTCCGACATACTCCTTGGCAAATTGTTCCACTGTCAAACTGCCGTGTAGATTTTCCAGCGTCAACATTAGTGTCATGGCTTTCGATGGCTGTTGGAACACCACGACATTGGCATATTCAAGGTTGTACTGACATGGGATGGTTTTCAGAGATGGGAAGCCAGCTAAAGCTTCTCTGCCAAACTTGGCACCTTTACACAAGCCAAAATTCAGTTTCAGACCTTCAAGTGAAGGCAAGTGGAACTCGGTCTCCGTGCAGTGAGACTCGAAGTCACTGAACGATGCAGGCAAAGGAGACTTGATGAGGTGCTTGATTTGAGGATTGAAATGGAACTGCAAGTCGGTACCAAAGGTGTTTCTTCGTTTCTCTTCAGGGCTCAATTTAGAGTCAAACGGAGCCATCGCTTCAATCAGCCTTTTCTCATCCACAAAAGACAAAAGAACAACTGCCTCCCATGGCGCCTTCTTGCCATTCATATCAACTTCACAGTCATCGGGATAGAAATCTATGATTGGGGAGTTGGAGTCCGTCATCAGCGGTCTGTAGACAGTAGGAATCAGTTCTTTAGACCTGGCAGGCAAAACAGCCATCAGCTGTTGGAAAGGCTTAAATGGATGGCCCTTTTCAAAATTAATCTTCACATTTAGACCCTTGCTAACATCAGAAATGCGCGGAGCATAGTGGTACCTGTAATACCAGGGCCAGGATGAAATTCCTTTATAGTAGTAGTTCAAAACCCATTGCAGCCCTTCAATATAGTTCTCAGCCATGTCTCTGATCTTGTCCTCGTCATTCAAAGAAAATCCAACCTTCTTCTTGTAGTATTCATTTTTCCATTTCAAGAATCTAGCATCGTATAGATCCTTTTGCGATTCCAGCGTCTCTTCGTCCTCAACAACAATGGCACTCTGGTACTTCTTAATAACTCTTCTAATTCCTTCCACTCTTTCATTGAATTCTTCGTCAGTCTCGTCGGGATTGATGCCATCGACATCCAATCTGGCAGTATATGTGTCCTGAGACTTGCTGTGGATAACCACAACACCTAGTTCAAATAAGAACTTGGCAATGACGTCTCTATTGATCTCACTGTCGAACGCTTCACGTGGAAGAGGAAGTTCAGGAACTTTAGACTCGTCTTCTAGCATGGCTTTGACGTCAAATTTCTCTGAATAGACGCGATATATCCACTCTCTCACAAGTCCAACAAACTTCTTCTGCTGTTTAAGCAACAACTCTTTACCCTGTCTAAGTCTCTTCTTCATTCCTTGCTTCGAAATATTGTCAAGCTGCTTGTTGAACCACTCGACGTCGACTTCACCTTTCTCAAAATTCTCCAGCTCAAAAACGGATAAATATTCCAGCCACTTTCCGAACCGCTGGAGATTGATAGTTCCAAACTCATTGATGTATCCGTCCATGTCTCTGATAGCTTCTTTGAAAGTCTCAATCAAAAGCGGGAAAGCACCTTTGTTCAAATGCAAATCCGGCAAGTTCGGCAGGAAGTCGTTTCCTATCACGTACATGATAAGAATGAAGTCGTCAATGATACGCTCAAAGTCGTACTCGAATGAAAGCTGGTCTTGCAGATCCTGGAATTCCAGTTCCATGTATTCTCTGACCAGCGAGATATGGAGCAAGAAGAATGTCTGGTGCGTAAGGTCGTCGTCGGAATGAGAGTTGGCTTTAGGACCAAAAGTCACTTCCTCTCTCAACAGAGCAAAGTGCGGTTCATGAGCGACAAGGCCCAGCATAATCAGATCCGCGTCCAAACCATAGACACAGTGTCTGGTGTTAGGATCGTAGCCAGGCTGAGCTTTCTGCGTCCTGATGAAGTCCATGATCTTGTGCTCTCCTTCACCGGGAACCTCGTGGCCGGACAGAATGATACGCATATTCTGCCACCTCGAGTCCGAGGAAGCTTTCTGATTAATGTAGAATTTCAAATTCTGGGTCAATTTTGCCATAAACTCTGTGCCTGGAGTAATTGCGTTGGAGTCAAAAGGGGGTTCCTTAGGAATTTCTTTCCCTTCTTTGATAGCTTTCTCCAAGTTCTGCTCGGCCTCAATCGCACTTCGGAACCGTCTAGCACGCTGCTGATTCATTTTTGCTCTAGGAGCAACTCCATCAATAGCCATGTAAAAGACTTTCTGAGGCTTGATGATGTTGAACAGATGATCAATGTAGGCAAAAATGGCACCAAACATTTGATCGTCTGTCATTCTAAGCAATGAACTGTCGTTGGTATGCGTGCAGGTATGCAAAATGGAATTCATATCGAGATAGAGGTTGTCAAACTCTGGAACGGGTGTCGACCCATCAATCTCGTTCGATATCAGTGGCCATCTCTCAGAGATGAACCGGAAAAACTTTGGGATACCTAACTGTTAGAGTAGAGTGCCAAAGATTAAAACTTACCCATTCTAGATTTGTGATAGTAAGCGTGTTCAGCTTGTCTTTTTTTATTTAATTCGACACTGAAAATCTGTGTCAGTGAGAGGCTTACCCGGAAGAAAAATTCACCGAAAATAAAAATACAAATATACTCCAGACATTGCAAATGTTTGGCAACACAGCAGGCGCCTCTTCCACAGGCGGAACAGGCTTCTCTTTTGGGAATTCCAACACTTCGAAGCCTGCATTTTCCTTTGGGAACACGCAAAACAATACTTCAGCTGGCTCCCAGCCCAATTCTACAGGCGGTCTCTTTGGGGCCAATAATAACAATACCACGGGATCTACAAACATCTTTGGCGCCAATTCCAATACAAGCAATGCGTCAACTGGATTTGGAAACACCAATAACTCGACTTCTGGAGGATTATTCGGAAACAACACCTCCTCAGGTGGATTATTTGGCCAAAACAATACGTCCACCGCACCAAAACCAGCATTCTCGTTTGGCAATAATGCTAACAATAACAATCAAACCGGAGCCTCCACAAACACAGGTTTCTCATTTGGAGGAGCTTCAAACACTCAAAATAATACGCAAACTGGCAACCAGCCTGGAGGGCTTTTTGGATCCTCAAGCACTTCTGCTCCTTCCACAAATACGGGCTTCTCTTTTGGAAATACCAACAATGCAGCCAATAATACGTCAAATACATCCAACAGTTTATTTGGAAGTAAACCTGGAGGGCTATTTGGGCAGCCGTCTCAATCTACCGGCACAGGCTCTTCACTATTTGGAGGAAATCAGCAATCAGGCTCAGGTGGCCTTCTGGGTAACCAACAGAATAGCAGTTTAGGAGGCACAGGCAGTCTTTTTGGCAACCAACAGAATACGTCCGGAGCATCTGGAGCATTATTCGGGAACCAGCAACAAAACACAAATCTCAACCAATCTCAACCGCCTCCGTTAAACCCTATGACTAAAGTGAGCGATCTACCGGAAGCTTTTCAAAAAGAACTGGAGCAGCTGGACCAATACATCCAGACTCAAGTGGCTATTGCCGAGCGACTAAAGAACGACGAGGATGAACACAAAGAACTAATTAGCAGCATTCCTAGAGACATTGATTACCTTGAGAAACGTTACTTTTCTACTAACCAGGCTCTTAATAGCGACCTGAAGTTCGTCGAAAGTTTCAAACACAAGACCCTCGAAAATTTTGACAATTGGGTCGAGAAATTAATCAAGGTCTATTTACAGCTGACCAATCCAATGATTCTGGGAATGTCCAACAACGAGCAAGCAAAATCTGCAGATGGCACGGTAACACAAATCATTGGGGTTAATGGAGTTAGGACTGCAGGCCTTTTGCAATCACAGCCTTCCAAGTCGCAACAGCTGGATAAAGACTCCCATGTGAATGTTCCGCAGATCCTCAACAGCTACTACAGTGCCAAGATTGAAGAGTTTAGACAAAACATTGACAAATACCAGTTGATTCTGCAAGAGGTGGAAAATTCAATTAGCGATCTAGACAAGGTTTCATTAAGCGGAGGCCCGGCCATTGGTTCATACGGACTCGATATGATTGTCAGCACATTGAAGGAAGAATTTCAGCTTTACGTGGAGCTGGCTAATGAGTTTGCCGAAGTCCACCATCAGGTTAAAAGGCTAGATGACGGGTCAATATAGATGTACATTATGTATGCAGCGAAGGTATGAAATATGCAGCGAAGTTATGTCTTGGACCTGTGCTTTTTCTTTATCTTCCCATCTTTCACCTTGCCCTTCTTCTTAGATTTATGCCTATCTTTCTTCTCTTTATGTTTTCCCTGCTTTCTATCTTTTTTACACTTCTTTTTGTTCGTCTTCGAATTCTCACCCAGATCAAATATCATCAGTTGTTCGCTTCCTGTTCTATCTATTTCCTGTTCTTTTTTAATCGTTCCTTGCAGCAGTCCTCCTTTCACGAACATCTTGTACAGAGGTGACTGGTTTTTGGTAAAGTTTTTGAGCGACTGTTCATCCTGAATAAAACTAACAGCACCATTTTTGCTCGTCACATCCAGTGATTTGAGCTGTCCGTCAAACATCTTCTCCCACCATGCCTCAGCCTGATTACTCGTGTGTCCTATTCCAAACGCATTCTTCTTATGCGTAACCAAGATAGGTCTCTTCAGGCCTCCCTGCTGCAACGCTTCCCCCTCGACCCATCCATAGCTCTTCAAATAGCCTCGCGGGTCCATCAAGGAGTCAATTTAATATTTTTTTCTAAATTTTTTTATCATACATGTTTGAACTTACATAATCTGATCTGCGTTTTGGTAAAATCTGAGATTATCAGCATTGGAGTGGCCAAAGTCGAGGATCTCAATGTATGTACCCCCATCTTTCTGAACAGCAGCAATGCATCGTCTATAATCCGATTTCACCTGCCAGACATTACCATCCACATCGTCAAGCAAATCTCTGATAAACTTTCCGGTCTGTGTGTCCCACATCTTTAGCATTCCATTCGATCCTGATATGATGATGTTGTCGTTGTGTTGGATACACGTGATTGCCGAAGTATGTCCCCTCAAAACATGCTTCATATCACCAGTATTTGGATCCCAGATTCTCACCGTAGAGTCGGCAGCTGCGGATACCAGAGCATTTTCAGACAGAGTGACAAGACCAACCAGATTCTGGTGGCCTTCCAAGATTGCCACCGTCTCACCCGTATTCAGGTCCCATATCCTTACCGTGTTGTCAGCGGATCCCGAAATGCATCTATTCTTCTTCACGTCCAAGACACAGCTGTATATTCTTTCGGTGTGACCGGATAGAAGCCATTTACATTCTCCCGTTCTCAAATCCCACACGCGAGCGTTAGCATCGTAACTGCCGCTCACAAGAATATTGGCCGATCCTGAAACGGCACGGATGGAGCCCGTGTGGCCACGCAGTACTTTCACCAAGTATTTGTTCGACGTTTCGTCAAGCTCAATTGGTTCGTCCGGAAGATCTTCGTCTTCTCCCGTTATAGGCAATCTCCAGACGTAAAGAGTCGAGTCTCTGGAACCGGTAACTACCAACGGTACCTTAGGGAACATTATGGGACTACCTTCGTCGTCGACGCCTATTTGTTTAGGCTCCAAAATCTCCAAGCATCTGACAGTCGAGGTATGGCCACGAAAAACATGGGTGCATTTTCCCTGTTTCATATTCCAGATGCGAACTGTTCTGTCTGTAGCTCCGGAGGCCAGTATGTTTCCCAGGTATTTCATTGCCCAAACACCTCCTGTATGGCCCGAAAGGACAGATCTGAGTTTTCCGGTATTGATATCATAAATGGTGATGCTATGATCAGCGTCACCCGCGACGATTTTGTCGTCGTCAAATTGCAAACAGGTGATCACGTCTGGGCCCTGCCCAGGCAACGTGATACGGCGAGGTTGGAATTCGGGATTTTTCCATCTTTTGGAAATTGCCAGTCTTCGTCTGTATATCCATTTCGTAATCTGACAGGAGTTCATGTCTGGATTTAGCGACTTAGCCCAGTCATATTCTGACTCAAATTCATCTGTTGTGGCAATAAACCCATCCTTGAAAAGAAGGTCTTTCCAGAAATCGTAGCTCTCCATGGAAAGCTTAAGCCAGCTTCTGCAAATCTCAGAAGTCCGCAATAAAGACTCGTAGTCAAGATACCCGAATATCTTCATACTGATCTCTGATGGTAGAAGCGAGACCAAGTCTTTTCTCAGCGAGTTCCTTATGGTCTCCTGTAATGATGAAAGAGTGGATCTATCGGTTTTCTGAAGTAATGACCAGAGCAGATAATTCATTTCTGAGGATCCGACTGGAAGCAAACTAATCAAGTCATTGATGGACTTGAATATCTCTGCTCTCTCCTCTCTCGTCTGAATCGCTCTGGAGCCTTGGTCGTACGTATATTCCACTTCCTCAAAATTTTGAGGATCAACAAGGTTTCCGGACTGTATTGGTGACGCGCTGGGTGACGGAAGCGGAAGTTGCTGCAACTCGTCAGTCCAGTTGGACGACGTGCTTACCACAAAGTTGGATGGTGTGGCCATCTTTGCAGAATCCGAGCTGCTCGACGACGATGCTGATGGGGATGTCACCGTCGGAGCCCCGGCGGGCAAATTATCCACCATGCGTTTTTTGCTAGGAGGACTAGACCCTGTTTTATCCACAACTGCGTTTGTGTCGATAGCTATGTCTGTCATCTCAGAGTCGGAACCCCCGGACGTAAAACCTCCCGTGTTAAGCCGTTTTCTGGAGGCTCGGCTCTCGGTGTCGGGGTCTTGTCCAATATCGACGCGCGTCTCGCAAGCTTTGGCTGACACGTCTTCAGAGAACGGCAACACGGAATCCAGGCTGATGTTAGAAAGCGGATACCTGATCGAGTTGACAGAGGTGTGCTTGTTCGAGCTTGTGCTTCTAGGCGATGTCATAGTATATTTTGGTGGGAGATTGCGGTGTTGTTGTGTTTGCCTTCACCAACCTCTTAGTGTAAAAGCTTTTGACTGTAAAATGGAATAATGGAAAACAAATAGCTGTTATAGTTGCAAGACTGTGTTTGTGAGTAGTGTACCTGTAACTATATATAATCTAAACTCTGCTTTCCGCTTCAAAACAACATAATTATATTTAGTTTTATTTCTCCTGCCGATTCTGCTACAAAATTTCTGGCCGCACAGAAAAAAAATACCATCGCGCTTGGAAGTCAAGCTTTACAATAGTTTCAACTGTGTCGCTGATTTTTCATCTTTTTCTGAATTCTTGAAAACTCCTCATCATCTAGATCGTACTCAGATTGCTTGGACCTTTTGGATTGTTTTTGACTTTGTTTGCTGTATTTGGCGATGAGATTGTCGAAAGTATGCGATTTTTTAGACTGGATCAGCTGCCGCAAGGAATCTTCTGATCCGTCCAGTTTGAGCTGATTTTTCTCGTTAATTTCCTTCAGAGCCTCCTCCGCCTCTTTGCTCTCCTTCTTCAGCTGACGGAACATCTTCTTCATTTCCGAGCTTCGGTTTTTGACATACGTCGTCCAGTTCTTGTACTTTTTCAGCTTACCATCTACAACCATCTGTTGCACCAGTTTGAACATGCGGTCTTCTTCCCCTGTCGAGAATTCCAAGTGAGGAATTGTCTCAAAAAGACGTAAAAACTCTCCCTCGTAGTAGATCATCGTTTCCAACACGTCTTGGTATTCTTCCTCCGAGCCCTGATAGCTTTTCTTATCCTTTTCGATCAGCTCAGCAGTGACTTTCACATCCGACTCTCTCATCTCCTGGAAGAATGCATACCAATCAAAATCGTCATCATCGGCTACGCTCTCATCTAAGTTTCCTGTTTTGTCGTAACGTTCGCGTCTTTTGGGATCACCCAGCACCTGATAGCTAAACTGTATCTTCTCAAACTTGGTTTTATACTTCTTCTGATCATGCTCCGATAATTTGTCAGGATGATACTTGAGACACAGTTTATAGTAGGCCTTCTTGATCAGCGGCGGCGCGTCCTGCGGATTGCACCCCAATTCTGCGTACGGATCAATGTCTGGGAATGGGGCAGTCATCAATTAAATGCTATAATTTCGCGTAGCTAAAAAAAAAAATACTAAATATTTTGGTAGTTGTGGTTCTCGTGAGCAAGGAGGTTTTTGTGGTCTGCTGGATTCGCAGCAGACTCGTATATTGTCACCACTGGGTCTTTTGTCAACGGAGTGAATTCTCCACGTAGTTCTATGGAGTAAAGTTTGAGCACCTCGTCGTCGTTCTGGCTCCAATTGTTCTGGAAAAAAAGTGTGAGAGAGGAGACTCCGCTAAAGTGGTGGCGAGGGAGATAATGTTCCACAAAAGTGTCGTCCGCGACAATTTCTCGTGGCAGCTCTCCGTCAAGTTCAAGGCCAATTTGTGGTTGTTCGATCTCGTGCGTAGCCTTTGTGTCGGCCACGGAATCAAAGTCTAAGCTGTCCTGGTTCTTGTATAGCTTGATGTTGCGGGGACAGTGGTCCGGTTGGCGGGCTGTCCGAAGTATGATCGAGTAGAGCTTCACTGATCCTTGAAAGGGGATTCTGAGTATGAATTGGTTATCGGCATCTGATCTGATTTCAGGTATAACTTCGTACTTGTTGGTTTGCGTCTTGAACAGCTTCTCCAAGTCAGAAGACGGGTTGGCAACATTCAAAGCCACCAGCTGGGTCGTAAGCACATGGGAATTGATAGATTGCGACTCGTTTGTAGGAATTGGAGGGACGCCGTGTGAATGACGGTGACAGGACATTAGCTGTAAAATAAATAATGCTCAGGGAAAAAAATAGCAGTAAATTACTATGGACGAGGCTGTTTTAAAACACCTCCAGCGCGTGCCAAATTTGGAACAAGTGGTTGTCCGGAAAAACGACGGCATAAAAGAGAAGCTGGATGTTCTGCTGTCCAAATGCCAGCAGACACCGGCAAATATCGTGTTGATGGCAGAGAACGAAGGAATACAAAAACTGCTTACAATCGTGGAAATCATGAAAAGAAAACACCCAACACATCGGCAATTCAACAAGCTGACCTACAGGGAGAAGTCTAGAGAGGCCTCTGGGCCGCAGGACGAACTGCGGCTGCTAAAACCTATAAAAATGCCTATTCTTTACATCTACCTCCACATCGGCACAGACGACTCGAAAACTATGGATATGGACGAATTGAGGTCCCAGCTCGCAGATGCCAACTGGTCGTGCCAGTCTGGCTCAAACTAATATCGCATGATCGAAATGTATATTCTTGTCTATACCGTTTTTATTGCCTACTCCTGGGATCCAGATTGTGGTTGTGCACTCGTCTGGAATTTGTCAACGGAGAGGTCACCTGGGAAAGTACCGTTGGCCCTTTGCTCATCCCACTCATCAATCCACGAGGTTGGGCACAGGGACTGGAAAGTGGACAGGAACACTTTGCATGGTGCAAAGTCCTCACCCTTGAGAGCAACACACTTGTGGTAGTCCAGGTAGGATTGGTAGCAGTGCTTGGTCTGGTTTTGTTGAGGGAATCTAGCGTCGAAGCCCGGGGTTTTGAGTTTGTATTGTGGTTCGCTCATGATGCAGTCTGTTGATTGAGGAATGTATGGGGCGATTTTAGAAAAAAATTTCCAGCTACGGGACGCTTCCCGCGAAAATTGCCTGTTCACTAGCATCTTATTTTTACACTATTTCATTGGCCGGGGGGTTGCTTATGTAAGAAACTCGTCTGAGGTGAAATTTTTTACCATGCAACAAAAAAGCGTGTCGCATGTCTAGAGGAGGCCCGTCGATAAGTGCTTTTGCGGCCCTGAGCAGCGCTGACGATGACGAGCTGATTGGCTACGAACGCTCAGACGAGGAGCCCGAGTCTGTGGGTGAGCAACGGCCAGTTTCTGAGCCGCCAGAGCTGGCTCCTTCCAAGCCTTCTGGGCCTGTCTACTCGGCTCCAAATGCCCCCGTTGTTGTTTCTTGCTCAAAGTTTGTGCCCAACAATGAGAACGTGGTTTATGGACGGGGATATGTAGTTATTGGGCTGAAAGCAGACGAATTCCTCATGGTCAAGGGCCAGTACACGTTGAAAATCCAGAGAGGAGCCGTACAAATAGACTCTATCCTGTATCACTCGAGCCATGATGCTATCAAAATATATGGGCTGTCACTTTCCAGCATTCCACTAATCTCAGCCGCACAGGTTACCGACCAGAGTCTAGTCGAAGATACAATTCTGCCAGAAACGGAACATTTATTCACACCAAACTACAAATCGGTGATTAGACTCGATGACGTTTTTGACGGCATGGAGAAAATAGGGCTTCTTTATTCGCAATTGAAGAATATCCATCCAAACAGGGAGGATATTGACGAGTTGGAGGGCTCTGCATTCGCTAAATCTTTTTACCCGTACTCTTTCAAAGTGGTAGAAAGTCCGAGTAATAATGTTGGCACATATATCAACAAAGCCTGGAAGAACGCTTTGGACACGCTTATCAACGATTGTGAGACTGCTGAGAGCATGCGTGTTTTGGTCATTGGGGCCAAAAATACCGGCAAATCGACGTTTCTTCGACTGCTACTCAATAAATTGGCATCTAACGAGCATATCTCTCCCAAAGTGTTGGACATTGATCCAGGACAACCTGAGTATTCTCTTCCTGACTGTATATCTTTGACGACGCACCACAGACCCATACATGGTCAATACTTTCCGTTCCTTTGCGAGAGTCCAGCAAGATCTTGCTATATTGGTTTCAATACTCCCCAACGTCAGCCCATCAAGTATATTTCGCAGCTAAAATCGTTGGCAACACATCTAGATATGGAAAATGGTCCGATGCTAATAAATTCTCCGGGGTGGATCAAAGGATTCGGAGTCGAGATTCTGAAAGAGCTCACTGCTGCCGTCCGTCCAACTCACCTGGTCTACCTTTCCTTTGGCGGCGAAGACGATAACCAGCTGTTATGCAATCTGACCTACGAAAGCCTCATACGCGTTCCTGTTCCTGGATTCACTTCTAGGGCGTCCGATATAGTGCGCTATTCACCGTCTCAAATCCGCAACTTTAGACTGCTATCTTATTTCCACTACAATTCCCACGACAAGACATTTGATTTTGAGCCATTGCTGGCAAGATCTCCATACAAAATCAGCTATGCCGATTTCTCTAACAGAGAGGAACTACTGAGATTCCCAGGGTTGTCGGGTATTTCCATTTTGGATGCTGCAAACATCAGCCACGAGGACCTGGTCGAGTGCTTGGAAACTCAAGTCGTGGCGCTGTTTGAGCTTGAAAATGAGGAATTTATCAACTATTACGATGAGATGGTCCAGCACAACCAACTGAGCTCACTCGAGTCTTATCCGAATCTTTTCAACAATACGCTCGAATCGGTGGTGTCTGAGTTTCGAGGCTTGGCTTTGATCCATTCGATCAACACTACGGCCAAATACATCAATCTATACACTCCAGTTGATGTTGCACGTCTCTCCAAGTCACTGGCCACCAACGAAACCAAACTGGTGTTGGTGAAAGGACGATCCGATCTTCCCACAGAGGAACTCATCCCCAAAATGATTGCCAAGACGGCTCTTCCATACGTCACATACACGGCCTTTGGCAAAGGCGCGAAATCAGTGAATGTTCGACGCAACATTCAGCGCAAAAAATAGATAGCACAGACTCATATTATGTAGCTACCAAAAACTGCATCTGATTACTCTTTTGAGTTTTCCAAAGCGAGAAATTTAATTTTTCATATTTATCATAATTTGATTTTTCAATGCATTCCGCAGAATTCCTCCAAGTACGTCCAACAGAGATCTCGTCGATTCTCCAAGGAGGTTACAACCATCCTCTTCTTCGCTCGTGGCAACATGAGAGACAGCTGACCAAAGACATTTTCATATTTCCACTATTTGTGACCGATAACGAGGACGATGAGGAAGACATTCCATCGCTGCCAAACATCAAAAGATTTGGCGTCAAGAAACTGATTCCTTACGTGGGCACCCTGGTCAGGAAAGGCTTGAGGGCTGTTATTTTGTTTGGAGTTCCGCTGAAAGATGGAGTGAAGGATCCCGTGGGAACTGCTGCAGATGACCCAGACGGACCTGTTATCCAGGCAATCAAGGCCCTCAAGTCAGCATATCCACAGCTTTACATCATGTGCGATGTCTGCCTGTGCGAGTACACTTCACACGGTCACTGTGGTGTGTTGTACGAAGATGGAACTATCAACACTGAGGTTTCTGTGCAACGAATCGCGGCAGTTGCCGTGAACTACGCAAAGGCCGGCGCAAACTCTGTTGCGCCATCAGATATGATTGATGGCCGTGTCAAGGCTATTAAACAAGGCCTCATAGACGCAGGTCTGGCCCACAAGACATTTGTGATGTCGTACTCTGCAAAATTCAGTGGTAATCTCTATGGCCCCTTTAGAGATGCTGCATGCTCTAGTCCTGGCCAAGGAGACAGAAAGTGTTATCAGCTACCATCTGGTGGAAGAGGTTTGGCAAGAAGAGCCCTGGCTAGGGACATTTCGGAAGGAGCGGACGGTATTCTAATTAAACCGTCCACTTTCTATTTGGACATTGTTAGAGAGGCCAGCGACTTATGTGGAGATTATCCTGTTGGCTGCTACCATGTCAGTGGCGAGTACGCCATGTTGCACGCTGCAGCTGAAAAGGGCGTTGTCGACCTGAAAACGATCGCTTTCGAGGCTCATTACGGGTTCCTCAGAGCGGGGGCCAGAATCATCATCTCATACTTCACTCCAGAATTCCTTGAGTGGCTCGATGAGCCTATCCCGATGTAAATAATCATAGACCGGCTATGAAGACACTGGTAATAAATAAAGATAAATATTCATGCAGGTAGTGGGGCAGGTTGCTCCTCTTCGCGCTCCTTTGGTTGCTCCTTTTTGACATCGGGCAGAGGCTTGTTGACAACGTCTGGAAGTCGGGTCGCAACATCTTTCTGGGAAGCCTCCTTTGCTCTCTCTTGTTTTTCCAGTTCCTCGAGCTCCAGATCCACTTCATCTTCTAGACTCTTAGACATGAGTTCTCCCAGTCTATTGCTCAACTCTTCCTGGTACCTAATTCCCTCTTCTGAATCGTCCAATATTTTATCCACTTTCTCTATGCTCATTTCTTTGTTTAACTGTTTGAGGACTTGATTCCCCTGCTCTAGGCCGTAAACAAAGTCTTTTTCGATAAGCCTGAACTCAATTGTATTGATCAGCTCTTCCAGCGTTTCAGCTTGCTTTTCCACTGTAGAAAGTAGGTTTTGCTGATATTTCTTCTTCCTCAACGCCAAGAGGGCTTTCCTACGATTATTTTGTTTGACGCATTGCTTGGCGATCTCTGTCTCTCTGTCAATAACCGTCTGAATTTTGACCGACACTTTGTGAAGCTTATCTCTTTGCAATTTCAATTGCAAAATTGCTTTATCCTGCGGCGTGATTTTGGGCCCTGAGGATGCCGTATTGCCCATGGCGAGTAGATAAATCTAAAATAATATAAATGCAGGAAAAAAAATATTCAAAAAAAAAAAATAATAAATTAACGGATTTACCAACTCTTGATGGCCAAGGTAAAAGCTCAGAGAGGGGGTATTCTCCAGCGTGAGATGGACGACAAGGTCTATAATAGTATCATGAATTTGCTGGAGGAGCAAACTGAGATTATGAGGTCTAAGGGAATAAAAAATGGGCCGTTGACCATGGCACTAGCGAAGGACCTGACGTCGCTACAAATCTTTGAATATGTCAAGCTGAAAGACGCCTTTTTCAGGAGAACCAAAGACGATCATCTGCGGTATTCGATCGATCGTGTGTGGAAAACGGTGATAGCTGACGAGGAAGAAGAGATGAAAACTATGGGTATTGATCCAAGCACTTTAAAGATGAAGGACGAAGAGTCAGAGGAACAGGACAACATGATGGAAGTCAAGGACACCAATCAGGCTAATAAAAGTGTCGTGAGTTTATGGAAAGAGGACAATGACCCACAGGTATCTGCCACCGAAACCGCAGAGCCAGACGAAAAAAAAGCCAAGAAAAGATCCAAGGACGGGTTCAAGCACTCGAAAAGACCTAAGGTGGCTAAAGATCGCACTCCGCCAACCCTCACTCTTAGCCAACTTGGCGGTCTGGATGACGTGGTTTCGCAGCTGATGGAAGTCGTCGGAATGCCTATTCTCCATCCAGAGATCTATATGGCTACAGGAATTGAGCCTCCACGAGGAGTTCTTCTCCATGGTCCTCCGGGATGTGGAAAAACCACCATTGCATATGCGCTTGCAGGTGAGCTTCAAGTTCCATTCATATCGATCAGTGCGCCCTCCGTGGTTAGCGGAATGTCAGGAGAGAGTGAGAAGAAGGTCAGGGAGATATTTGACGAGGCCAAGCAGCTAGCCCCATGTTTGGTTTTTTTTGATGAAATCGACGCTATTACTCCCAAAAGAGATGGAGGTGCACAGCGTGAGATGGAACGACGGATCGTGGCTCAGCTGCTCACTTCGATGGACGAGCTTTCGCTCGACAAAACCGACGGAAAGCCTGTGATTATTATTGGTGCCACCAACCGTCCAGACTCTCTGGACACAGCTCTCAGAAGAGCAGGACGATTCGATAGAGAAATTTGCATAAATGTTCCAAATGAACATGCGCGGCTCAAAATTCTCGAGAGCATGGTCAGGAATCTGAGAATCAGCGGAGAGCTTGATCTTCTTTCGATAGCCAAGATGACGCCAGGATTTGTGGGTGCGGATTTGAAGGCGCTGGTGACGGCCGCAGGTATTTCTGCCATCAAGAGAATTTTTACCTCTTTGAGCGAGGAAGACGAGAAAAAGCTGCTTTTGGAAGGGGTGCAATTGCAACAGGAGGAGAACAAGGAGGATGGGATGGAGCTTGACGAGAACCCAGAAGAGCTTCTGCAGAAAAGCAACGAGCAACCGCAGTTTAGCAAGCTCTCTATAATTCAAAAATTCCTCATCAAGCACCCTACAGCACTGACTCCAGAGCAGCTGGCATCTTTGTGCATAGAACACCAAGATTTTGTGACGGCTCTGCCTCAAATCCAACCGTCTGCTAAAAGAGAAGGCTTTGCCACCATTCCAGATGTCACGTGGGCGAACGTGGGTGCTCTGGCGAACGTGCGGGTGGAGCTCCACATGGCCATTGTGCAGCCTATCAAACGGCCGGAAATATACGAGAAAGTTGGTATTACGGCGCCAGCAGGCGTGCTTATGTGGGGTCCTCCTGGTTGCGGTAAAACACTGCTGGCTAAGGCCGTCGCCAACGAGTCGAAGGCCAATTTCATTTCTGTCAAAGGACCAGAGCTTCTCAATAAGTACGTTGGTGAGTCCGAGCGCGCGGTCAGACAGGTGTTCACTCGTGCAAGAGCTTCAGTTCCATGTATAATATTTTTCGACGAGCTGGACGCATTGGTGCCAAAAAGAGAGTCATCACTGAGCGAGGCGAGCTCGAGAGTTGTCAACACTCTGCTCACAGAACTGGACGGCCTCAATGATAGAAGAGGTATTTTTGTCATTGGAGCCACCAACAGACCAGACATGATCGATCCAGCAATGCTGCGTCCCGGAAGACTTGACAAGACGCTTTATATTGAGCTTCCTAATGCTGCTGAGAGACTGGAAATTCTCAAGACCTTGATTGCCTCCAACGGAACGCCTTTGGATTCCAGCGTCGACTTGGCTGTCGTGGCGCACGATGAGCGGTGCCGCAACTTTTCTGGTGCAGATCTCTCGTCGTTGGTCCGTGAGGCAGGTGTTATTGCATTAAAAAAGAAGTTTTTTACCAGCATCAGCATTGGAGACGAGTCTATTGAGGAATTACATATCGACGATGACGTTGTGGTGACAAGTGACGATTTTGAAAAGGCACTGGATAGCGTGAAGCCGTCTGTGAGCGACAGGGACCGCCTGAAATATGAGCGTCTTAATCAGAGAATGGGATGGAGCCAGGCCAACGTGGTGGAGCAGGACACGTAGTTCTCATACTCACTCTTTTCTGAATGGTGGATCAGGCATAGGTGTATAGTTCTGGTCGTACAGATGATCTCTAGTTTGCAGTCCTTTGTACTTTAATGACGTGATATCGACCATATCCTCATTGAGCTCGCTGATAGAGCTAACTCCCAGCAATTTCATGTCCCTGATCATTTCGGTCTTGAGGATTTGGATCGCTTTTTGAACCCCTTCTTCACCATAGCTAGCCAATGAGTACAAAAATGGTCTTCCCAGGCCGACGCCTGAAGCTCCCAAACAGAGAGCTTTGATAATGTCCGAGCCCCTTCTGATTCCCCCATCAATAAATAGCTCGAAGTTCTTGTCCAGTCCTTTCTCCCTGAGAAGCTGCTTGCTCTCAGCGAGTATCTCGATTGGAGGCATGGCAAAATCAAGCTGACGACCACCGTGGTTCGAGATCAGGGCACCTGCAAGACCAGCCTCAGCTGCCTTAAGCACATCATTCTTGTTCAAAACACCCTTCAGCACAATAGGAAGCTTGGTCATCTGCTGGATTTGTTTCATATGGTCCCAGGTAAGACTGAAGTACTTGACATCGGAATGGGCATACACATCGAGAGCCTCTGTCGATTCAGAATCAATCCGTGCTCTAATCTTGCTGTCTTTTTCACGATTACCGAGGGCATTGAGGTCGACATTGATGAAAACGGCTTTAATATTGGGCATACTTTCCAGTTTTTTGAAAAACTCGGGAGCCTCGTCAAACTGTTTTTGGTTATAGAAGTGCAACTGATAAAAGTTCTGCTGTCCCGGTTTCAAGCCAGCACAATATTCCTCCACTGGGAACGATAACTGGAATGGAATTAAGTGAATGATGTTTTCCAGCCCAGCAGCGTTGCGGAGACCCCTTTCTGCCATGGGATGGGCTGAGGGAGAGCCGGCAAATGCGGTGATGTAGAATGGCGCAGAGAGTTTGGTGCCCAGGATTTCTGTATCCAATGAGCAGTTGCTGCTATCAATCAAGCATTGAGGTCTGAAGAAAATTCTGCTGAAGGCATAGTGATTTTCCCGCAAGGAAATCTCGTCGTCGGAGCCGGTGGAGTAGTATCCCCAGATTCCTTCAGGCAGAACTTTTTTCGCAACACTCTCGAAATCTGTCAGGGAGTATATGGTGGAAAGCGGAGGCTTGTTGGCAATGGCCTCTTGCCGTTCTCTTTCTTTTCGGTCCTCTTCATCCTCGTCGTCATCGTCGTCATCCAAGAGAACTATGCGTTTTTTCTTTCTTGAGTCGCTGAACAGAGGGCTCGAGTTGGTTGCCAACAGGGTGGCGCCTAAGGCCATTCCCGACATCGGAACTACCCATCTGGATAAACCTCTGCGGGAAAATTGTCTAAGAGTACGAGTAAACATATCTTGCAATGTGAAATGAGTGTGCCCAGCTAGGTATTTAAGTATTTTTCGATCAGATCTTATCCGACTTTCCTAATTCGGCAGTCGCGCTTTAGATATGTCCAGGCGATGAAACTGTTAGCGAAGAATTAGGAGGAGGATTGGGAGACTTATAAAGCAGTTTCCTAAGCCTTGTGACCAAGTAGCTGTGGAAAACAAAGTGGTCACTCCTGTATGTTAGCGCGATATGTCGTTTCTGGTGAACTCACAGTAAAATGACTAATATCAAAATATTGAGCCAAAAAAACACAATTAGAATGCAGAACATGGCCTGTACAGCGTAGACGACTGTGGCGACATAAGGGTCTTCCATCTTGCAGTAAAAATAAGAAACAAATTTAAAAAAGGGATTGCCCTATCCGCCTGCCCTAAATGTTTCGCGGCGCGTTGGAAAACGCGAAATAGTAAACATATAATTTACTGCAATACAACTATGGGTCAGTCATTTGTGGCTCCCGCAGAGCCCGGCGATTCCAAAAGCAGCGTGGACAGCTCACCGAGCGACGTGAGCGTTTCCGGACACAGTTCGGTCCAGGTTTCGTCGCAATCGTCTCCGGCTTCGGTACTCAACTTGCCGTCAAAATTGAGCCCCAACGAGCTCGAAGAAATGGACGGCGACGTGGAGGCTTTTATCCGGGTTCTAGAACGTACGGAAGCTCAGCTACGTAACGCCAAAGCCTTGGAGCAGCCGGAGTTGGAGCGGCTGATCCAAATGGCAAAACAGACGGTCTTGCGCCTCAATTTGAACAAAAACCTGGTAAAGTACCAATTGAGGAGCAACATGGAGGAGTTTGCAACGGAGCGTCAACTTCTACTCAAGAACATCGCAAACATCGAGAAAAACATCCACATATTACAGAATGAAAACGAATGCATAAACATGAAGAACCTAAAATTGATCAAAAACTTGAAAACGCTCAAGAATGACAAGGTGAAGGCACTCAAGGCGGAAAACGCGCTTCTACGCCAACAGATCCAGGACCAGTCGACCCGCAGCCCGACGATGTTGGATGCACTCGGAAGACTTGCGTCGCACGTGCTAGAAGAGGGCGAGTAACGATAACGTGCGCTAAATATGGTTTCCTTGGTTGTCTATGCCCGCCAGAGGGTCCGGGCGGACGCATGTGCGCCTGATCATTCCCACTCTGTCTCCTCTGGTTACACTATGCATTGCGGTGCACGGATGTTAGTTTTCCATTTTCTATTTCTGATTTGTAGTAGCATCACAAATAAATATTTCAGCATGGAGACTCTGGTGCTTGTTGCCATTGTGGTGATTCTGGCCACATTTTTCCTGGGAAGCACGATATTTGCCCCCTCTCGAACAGTGGAAATCAATCCTGCAGCCGACGATGTGGCTGTGGAAGAGCAGGAGTTCACTCCTCGTACACTGTATAAGTACAATGGGTTCGATCTCGAGCAGATATATATTGCAGTGAAGGGCAATGTGTACGATGTGTCGAAGTCCAGGCAATTCTATGGACCGTCAGGACCGTACTCGAACTTTGCTGGCCACGACGCATCTCGCGGACTAGCGAAAAACTCGTTTGACGAGTGTAAGTATCTACCGTTTGTCTCAACTAACGTATAGCCATGGTGAGGGATTATGGGGAGCCAATCGACGATTTGAGAGATCTTACGGAGGCAGAATGGAAAGCTCTGGATGGCTGGGAAGAAACGTTCAAGGCCAAGTACCCTAAGGTGGGCGTTTTGGTGGAGGAAAAGAAATAGAAATAAAGATACGTATGTGACTAAATAAATTGCGAACTTGGTTAGTTTTCACGTATGGGCCTGATGAACCGAAATATCGAGAGTAATTTTAGTTTGATTTACATTTTTAGAATTAGTTCAAATGATATCTCTAGACGATCTAACTCCCAACAATTTGGGCCTAATAAACGTGATAGCATACGCGTCGTATTCGGACCAGGAGCTCGAAGAAATCAAAGAATCTGGAGAACTCGCGCAATATGCATACTACAACGAGGTCCCTGTGGGCTTGGTGATCTGCAAGCCCCTCCAACCCGTGAACTCAAAATCGCCTGCAGGCCTGCTGGTTGATAAACTGTGCGTCCTGCCTGCCTACAGAGGTAAGTATGGTCTGGAAGATAAATTGCTCGAGTACGTCGAGAATGTTGCAAGAAAGAGACACCTGGATAAAATATATGTGGTCACCGAGGAGCCAAGCCAATGGCAAAAATTTGGCTTTTCATACGAGGACGCCTCGCAAGAGCTTTATCGGAACCTTAATCTGGTAAAAGAGGGCCAGCAGCTCTTGAGGAAGGCGCTGAACCACTAAGGTCTGACTACAATGCCTATTGTTGACTCCTGCGTCCGGCGCTTACCTAAGCAGTTTCAGTTTCACAGTAAACTATATAGTCCAGTAGAGCAACCACGTCAATAGAGTTGCCAAATATTACCAAGATGGTCGACTACGCGAACTGGCTCAAATCCGTTTCTGACGACACCAATATTGGTCGTCTATCGATTCCAGGAACCCACAACTCTGCTGCGTGCCACACTGCGCTTCCTTCTGTCCAATGTCAGGGCGCATCTGTCACCAAACAATTAGAGCATGGAGTTCGGTTTTTGGACGTGAGGCTGTCTCGAAACTTTATTACAACACATAACGATGACGAGCACAGAAATGATCTGATTGTCATTCACGGCAATTTCCCCGTCAAACTGCTTGGATCCGTCAAGTTTAGCGAGCTTTTAGACGAGGTGTATAAATTCGTCGACAAGCACCCTTCGGAGTTTGTGATCTTGTCCATCAAACAAGAGGGCACTGGTACCTGGGACAACCAGAATGACGAGTTTGCCAATGTCATCAACGACCGCTTCATCTCGAAAAACAGGGACAAATGGTACCTGCGTTCTGAGCTGCCAACATTGAGAGACTGCCGAGGTAAGATTGTTCTGTTCAGACGCTTTGGTGTCCAAGACGGAGAGAAGCAAGGCTCTTTTGGTATTCCTGCGTCCTCGTGGTCTTACAATACCACTGATGACGACAGAGGATGTATCAGGGTTCAAGATTTTTGTGAGATAAAGACCGAGCAAGATATCCCAAAGAAGGCAGAGTACGTTAAGAACATGATCAACATTGCCAAGAGCTACAACAGCAGTAACAGCGACCCAAAGCTGTTCGTCAACTTTTGCTCGGGATCGAATTTCTTTGACCGTGACTGCTGGCCAGAGAAAGTCACCGAGGGTCTGATGGGGGCCAGCTTAGACGAGTGCTACGGCAATGGATGCGGGACGGTGATTTTGGACTATAGTGAAAAGGACGACTGGAAGTTGGTCAAGAAACTTGTTGACCAGAACTTTTAAGTATATGTGTAAGTGATTGACGAAATGTCCAGATAAACTGTTGTAGCTGAGCAGGAAGAAGAAAAACTTGGGGAAGCAAAAAAAACGTCACAGACAGGATTCGAACCTGCGCGTGCAAAGCACACCGCCTTAGCAGGGCGGCTCCTTAACCACTCGGACACTGGGACTATTTTGCGAAAAAAACGAAACATCACAACCTACATTTGTCTTGACTCGCAGTCAATGCACACCAGTCTCCAAGTGGACTCGTCTACTCTAGTATTCTTGTGTCGAATTTCATAATTGCAACCCTACCATAAGATAGAGCCGCACTCAATCAAATTCTGTCGATATTGCCCCTTACAGCGTCGCTCTAGGCAAACGCTGCATCCAGCTCAAGATGACCCAATTGTCGAGTGACCGAGCGAGGCACGGGGCGTGCGAAAGCGGTTCAAATGACGCATATATTCATTATATTTCATCCCAACTGTACATCTTCAGCTTTGTAGTTGTCCAGAACTATTCGGTAGATGAAATTAGGTGAGAATCCACCAATGTTGGTGATATAAATGTCGATGTGTTCCGGAACCACGTAGTCGAACAACGGGTTCGTCACCTCGCACTTTCCAACAAGATCGCTGTCCTCGTACGGCAGCACCTTGCCTGAGTTGCCCACCTCGATGAGAGAGTCTCTGTCGAATGGATATGTCGGAGAAAATTTGTACAGTCCTGCCACTGCAAACACCGGAGTTCTATGTTCTTTTGCACACTCGCACACGGTCGCGACTCCGGCCGCAGTGACACAGCCGCCATTTGCAAAAACAGAACGCGCTCCAATTAAGACTTTTCCAACCCGCGACATTACCGCAAAGACCGTGGAGTCAGGAATGATGACCGTCTCGATATTCATCTCTGCGAGCTTTTTGGCAAAGCTGTGGCACTCGTTGATATCGTTGGGGTAGCATTCTGTGATAAGGACGGTGAACTTACGTTTCAGACTGGCTTTCAGAAGAAAGTTCAAAACTGTCTGTGACCCAGGTGTGGGAGTCAGCAGCACCTCGTTCTCGTGAATCAGGTCCACTGTCATCAGCTCAATATTCTCATGCACAGAAGCGATTTCGTCTATCAATTCGCGGATACCCTGGATGACCACTGACCGGAGATCCTGGTTGGGTTGTTTCGTGGCCTGTGTTCCTTGCGGCTTGGTTGTGTGCGTCGTGGACAGCAGTTGGAACATGGACGTATTATACGGTGCATTATTGGCGCTCTGGGTGATCGAGTCTTCGCTCACCTCATCTCTGATGATGGCCAGCACACGTCTGACGATATTTCCTGTCGCAAACTCGCGAGGCTGGGCGTCTATCAACTTACATCCGACTCCTCTGATCAGGTTGATGAACTCCTCCGTGCTCGACCATCTCGAGCTCGATATCACTCTCATGAGCAGCCGACATGTCGCAGTGGCAACATTATAAGATCCCGTGATCTGTCGACGCTTCAGTTTCGAGATAAATGAGTCCACAAGGACCTCATATTTCTGGGTGGAAGACATTACGACCAGAAACCAGTTAAAATTTTTATTTACCGTCGCGTCGACCCAAACGTATTTCAAGAGATGAGTGTTGGTATCTTGGTTGTATCAGATTCGGTTTCCAGGGGTTTATCCACCGACAAGGTTGTAGACGCACTAAAACAACAGCTTGATGGCTTTGAATTGAAGGCTCACAAGGTTGTGCCAGACAAGAAGGAAGCAATCCAGGCTGCGGTGTTGGACTGGGTTGGACAGGATTTCAAGCTTATCTTGACCGCGGGCGGGACCGGCTTCTCCCAGACTGACATCACGCCAGAGGCCATTGAGCCATTGTTGGACAAAAAGGCGCCTGGGCTAGTCCATGCAATGCTTTCCTGTTCTCTTCAAATCACCCCTTTTGCCATGCTTGCTCGCCCGGTAGCTGGTGTTCGCGGAGAGTCCTTGATTATCACCCTGCCCGGCTCGCCAAAGGGAGCCACCGAAAATTTCCAGGCAATCAAAGGGGTCATTGGGCACGCTCTTTTGCAACTGGGGGTTGAAAGCTCAAGATCGCTGCACAAGGAGTCCGGTTCTAGCCATCATCACCATCACCATCATCATCATCATGGACACCTTGCCAAACACGAATTGGTCGACTCTGTCGTTGCGAGACATCGAGTCTCGCCCTATCCCGCAATCTCTGTTGAGGAAGCCTACACAAGGATCAGCGACAACACGCCAGCTCCAGAAATAATCGAGCTGAGCATTTTGGACCCTCGTCTAGTGGGCAGCGTGGTTGCTGAAAATGTTACTGCCCAGATAGACGTTCCAAATTTTCGCGCAAGTATTGTGGACGGATATGCGGTGATCAGCTCTGATGGACCGGGTGTCTACCCCGTTGTTAGCGTTTCTCATGCTTCCAAAAATGACCAGAAAGAGCTGGTGGCAGGACAAATCGCGAGAATCACCACGGGAGCTCCGCTTCCTGAGGGGGCCGACGCCGTAGTGATGGTCGAGGAGACACGACTAGTGGAAACCACAGAAGACGGGAACGAGGAGAAGCTCGTTGAGATACTGGCGAAAAACGTCAAGACCGGGGAGAATATCCGGGCCATTGGTTCTGACACCAGAAAGGACAGCGTGGTGCTCGCGAAAGGATCAAAAATCTCGCCAGGGGGAGGAGAAATAGGGGTTTTGGCTAGCGTGGGGGTGAGCAGAATTAAAGTGTACCGCAAACCGGTGGTCGGGCTGCTATCTACTGGAAATGAACTGCAGGACGTGCAAACCGAAAAAAAGCTACATTATGGAGAAATATACGACAGCAACAGACCGACGCTAGTGTCCATGGTGCAGAATTGTGGGTACGAGTTAGTCGATCTTGGAATCGCCTCAGATACCAAGGAGTCTCTAATCAAAACCATAAAGGATGCTGTGGACGTCAAAAAAATTGACTGTTTAATCACCACTGGAGGAGTGTCCATGGGAGAGCTTGACCTGCTAAAGCCGACGATCGAGAATGAACTCCGCGGTACAATCCATTTTGGACGTGTCAGAATGAAGCCTGGCAAGCCAACAACTTTTGCGACGATCGACAAATCCACGGTTGTCTTTGCTCTACCCGGCAATCCTGCCTCTTCTTCTGTTTGCTACCATTTATTTGTCCTACCTTGTTTGTTGAAATGGCAAGGACTTGAGCCATCAGTTGGCCAAAAATTGCCTACAGAGCCGATTGTTAAAGTCAAGCTTGCAGAGGACTTGGGACTGGACCCACAGCGTCCTGAATACCAGCGGGTCAGCATTTGGCAGTCAGACATGGCTCTAGTTGCGCACTCTACAGGGTTCCAAAGAAGCAGCAACATCGGATCTTTTAAGAAGGCGAACGGGCTTGTGTGTCTTCCTGCTGCCAGTGACTTTGGAAAATCGGTGATGAAAGCAGGGACGGTGGTGGACGCCATTCTCATCGACCAGATCTTGTGTGATTATATAAGCAGGCCTTAATATTTTTTTCTATTTCGCCAATTTCGAGACTGATAAAATACTCCAACCAAAGATACCTCTTCTGGCGTTAAGTGTCGCCAAGAATGAGTGGGCCCTTGGGAATGATGCCTGAGAATACGTTTGAGGTAGGTAAATTAATTACAGACACTAATTTTGCAGGAAACTCTTTCAGAGCTCCACAATTTAAAGATCTCCGAGCTCAAGACCATTTGCAGGTCGATCGGACTAGTTCGGTCAGGGCGAAAGGCCGATATCGCGGGCCGCATAGAGCAGTTTTTCTCGAGTGGAAAGTATCAGGGAGATAACGCGCGTTTACTTGCCGTTCGAGCGCTCATAATGAAAGCATCCATAGGACAGGAACTTCCTCCATACCAGGCACTGTATGCCACGTATCGCACCAATGCCCACACAATCCATGTTCCAAACCAGTACACTCCAGCACAGCCGTCAGCGCCGCCGCCTGCCGTCCGACCTACTCCAACTGCTGTGTTCAAGAAGAGCGATTTCTACAATCTGAGACAGCCACTACACGCAAATGGAATGAATCCTATTCTCGCACCCCAAAAGATAAAGGATCGAGGATGTTGCAGGTTTGTTTTCAACTTGCTTCCAGAAGAAGGACAGCTGCTGGCGAGTAGTCCCAACATGCGAGTGTGTCTGATTTCCGCGCAGCGTTCTGTTTCGATGAGCGAGCAGGATGTGGAATTTCCGCAACCGAACGAAATTACATTGAACGGTGTAAAGTTGAAGCAAACGGGACGTGGAATCAAAGGAAAGCCAGGGTCTGCTAAGCCCATAGACTTGACTGAACACCTGCGATTGAGCGAGACTAATAGACTGGATGTGGTGTATGCCTTCACAAACGTTGATTTTTGGCTTTATCTATATATTGTGGAGACAATTCCAGTGGACTCGCTTTTGGACGGGGTTGTCAAAAAGGCGCACATTTCTGAGCAACAGACCATCAACAGCATCAAGGAGAGACACCAGGAAGACGATGACGATCTAATCCAGACAGAAAAAGAGGTGGTTTCGCTGATGTGTCCGTGCTCATTCATTAAAATGCGGTACCCGTGCCGCTCGACCAAATGCCACCACATCCAGTGTTTTGACGCGCTTTCGTTTTTGCAATTGCAGCAGCAGGCTCCGACCTGGCAATGTCCCGTGTGTTCGACCAGAATTGAGCTCAACGATCTGGCCTTAGACGACTACTTTCTGAAGATAGTGCAGCAAACGGGAGAAGACGATGAAGCCATTGAAATCGACGAGCAGGGCAACTGGACCGTGAAGCACGAGACCGAGGAGCCAAGAGAGCAGAGTGTGCAGCCCCAGGCCCACGAAAAAAGCGAGGAGCCGGTGGCTGTCATTAGTCTTGACAGCGAAGAAGAGGATGACGCACAAGAGGCGCAGAATAATGTCCCCAGTGAAACGAATTCTGCCCTGCGTCAATGCCGTACGGAAAGTCCCGATGCACTTTCTTTGCACGTTCCGGAACGCCGCGAGGAGAAAAACGAGGCAGAAAATATGCATGCTTATTCTGTGCCTCCAGGTCCACCACCTCGTGTTTTCGAGGTGATCAGCCTGGAATCTGACGACGAGGAAACAGATATCAACGGCTCTGAACCGTACCATCCAGAATCTTCTGAGACTCCGAATTTCGTCGAGGGACTAGCCCCGCACGCTCCAAATTACCAGCCTTTCGAGCCTGTCGCCGACGACCTTACTAGAAACGTGGCTGCGCATTCGGCCGAAGAAAAACAAGAGTCAACAGACAAAATTGGTGCGCAGAATCTTTTAATGCACGACGCTTCCCCTGACGTTGTCACAAACGGCAATTCAGATAGGGGCCGCGGCGAGAGTGACGGGACGCGGAGAAATATTAGCGATCCCCTGTTAGGTTTTCATCTACCGTTGTAAATTATGTATGTACAGTACTCCTCTATATAGGAATCCAGACGCGGGTTTTTTTCATGTATTCCAGATAGGCAGCCCCAAAGAACTGGATAAGGGTGGACTCCTCATAGCGAATACGGCGGGAGAAGAACCGCTGCAACATGAAGTAGAATGCAATGAAGGAAAAGGGGTTGCACAGAAGTACCTGCGTGCCAAGGGCCCAGTAAAAGAAACCTGCATAGGATGGGTGCCTGAAATAGCCGTAGACTCCCGTAGTGACCAGCCGGTGATTTTGCTTCTTCTCGGTGGCAATCGAGTGGCTGAACGATTCGCGTGCAGTGGCCATCGCGATAGACCGCACTAATTGACCTAGTCCAACCAATGTGGCTCCAGCATGGAACAGATGTGTGTGTGAGACCTTCCACTTTGGGAAGAAATAATATTCCAACAAAGCCTCTGTGATTGATGCCGCATGCGCAACCATGTACTCAGACCCATTGAAAAGGAGAAACGAGTCGGTGGTGACTTTATCGGGAGAGTATTTGGCTGTGCAATAGAATTCCAGGAAATGGAACAATGCAACTGACGCAAGATAGACGGGAAGCTGTTTGAACGCGACTGTAAAGAACAGTGCACATGAAACTCCCAGAAAGGCTCCCAGCAGGAAAGCTGTGAGCGAGATTCTTGCGAGCTCCTGAGACATTTGGGCTGGCGCAGAATGATCTGGTACTATATAAGTACGCCTTTTGAGCTAATACGAAAAAGGAAAAAAAAAAATCGCGGTAAACTAAATAACGTATACGCGGGCACTACTCGCGATTCTTCGGTATTTTCCGCTCCCATTTGGCGCAGTCAAGCGGCGAGTGTTCAACGCAGGCACCAGACGTCTGGCTTTCGGATGAAAGTAGCTAAGCGATCCGAAGAGAGCTCTTACCAGGGCCCGGCGACTGGTGCCTCCTTGCTGCCCGATAGTCTGTCGTAGCATCGAAGACAACATTTCCGAATTTTAACCTTATTTTGCTGGCATCATGGATGCACAACCATATACAAGAGCTAATTAAAGATCCACCTACGCCTCTTCTGCAATTGCGACATAACATGGACTACATATTTGCTGCACGGTCTACATAACGCAGCATCTCTTGCAAGCTTATTTCTCAAATAAGGCTCCTGCGTAGAACACGCTCTTATGCAAGCAGCTGTAATGCAGACACCACGAATCCACTACTTTAAATAAATACCATTTCTATTCTCTATGAACTCGTGGCAGCGAATGCTTTTGGTGCACATTTGCAATATCAATGCACGCGAACGTGTCTCAGTTCCCGTGGCCCCCGCTGGACCAGCCAACCGTTACAGTGGAGTCCAATTTTGACCTCGCAGACTCCAGGGAAAACCCTCAAGACTGGTATGCCAATACAAATATGCTCAACTTGGGACCGGTCGACATCTCTCTGTTGTCAGACCCAGTAGTTCCCGAAGACCCCTCGTTTGTTCCCCCATACCAGAACACCTTTGTACAACACGCACCTGTGATACAGCCCGTTGTGGAACCCGCTGTGGACTCCAGCTACAGGTGGCACACCAATGCGCCGAACAATGCACCGAACACTACGCCGATTTTATTCGAGCCTGAATGTGTTGTAGCCGAGAGCAAGTCACCGAGATCGCGCACCACGCACCGAACGAAACAGTTTGTGTGCGAACTGTGCGCAAAGACATTCACACGCAGAGAATCCATGAAGAATCACGTCTCTTCTGTACATCAAAGACTCAAGCCATACAAGTGCCAGTATGGCAAATGTGCGCTTGAATACTCCACTTCATCAGACCTGAGACGCCATGTCCGCGAAAAGCATCTTCGCAACGCTGAAAAGCTGTTTATCTGCAAAGGCCGCACGGCAGATGGGAAAGTATGGGGATGTGGCAAACGATTCCATCGTTCTTACCAGCTGACAGGTCACTGGAAGAGCAATAGGTCGCAAAAGAACTGCCAAATCCCGCCGGACTTTGACTACACTCCGATTAAGTTGTCGCGCGATACGTAGACTTTAGATGCCAATACGATGTGTGCTATGTTTATGTAAGCGGGTCGATCGACGCGTCTCTCGTTGTATGCCCGACGTCGGCCAGGTGCCAGGAGTAGTCGGATTCGATTTCGGTCATGTCTAGTAAAAAAACACTTCCCCAGCGCAGAGCAGGCGGTGGTGGCCGCTTGGTACCGTTCGCGAGTTGAAGATTTTATATATTGAATAATTTCGAGATCACTTTAATATTTCCAATGTTCAGAGCTGTCGCAAGAAGCCCTCTTTCGCTCGCAAGAACCTACGCCACCGGCAAGGTCACCGGTCAGTTTACTGGTAAGCCAGGCCCGGACGGCAAGTACACCGTCACCATGATCCCTGGTGATGGTATTGGTCCCGAGATTGCAGCCTCTGTGGAGGCCATTTTCAAAGAGGCCAAGGTCCCAATTACTTGGGAGCCTGTCGACGTGACTCCATCGCTGATCAATGGTAAGACCACCTTGCCAGCCGATGCTGTTGCCTCCATCAACAAAAACCTGGTCGCTTTGAAAGGACCACTGGCTACTCCTGTTGGTAAAGGTCACCAGTCGATGAACCTGACCTTGAGAAGAACCTTTGCCCTTTTTGCCAACGTCAGGCCATGTAAGAGTGTGCAAGGGTACAAGACTCCATACGAGAACGTCGACACTGTTTTGATCAGAGAAAACACTGAGGGTGAGTATTCTGGTATCGAGCACGAGATTGTGCCTGGTGTTGTGCAATCCATCAAGTTGATCACCAAGCCAGCCTCTGAGAGAGTCATCAGATACGCTTTTGAGTACGCCAAGTCTGTCAATAAGCCAGAGGTCAGAGTTGTCCACAAGGCCTCCATCATGAAGCTTTCCGACGGTTTGTTTGTGGAGACCGCCAAGGAAGTCGGCAAAGAATACCCAGACATCAAGCTTTCCTTTGAGCTGCTCGACAACACCTCTCTCAAGCTCTGTGCAGACCCATCTGAGTACAAGTCCTTAGTCATGGTGATGCCTAACTTGTATGGTGACATTATGTCTGACCTGTCCTCCGGTCTCATTGGAGGCCTGGGATTGACCCCATCTGGTAACATGGGTAACAAGGTGTCTATTTTCGAGGCTGTTCATGGTTCTGCCCCAGATATTGCCGGCAAGGGTCTTGCCAACCCTACCGCTCTGTTGCTTTCCTCCTGTATGATGTTGAGACACATGGAGCTGAACTCCCATGCCGACAAGATCGAGAACGCTGTTCTGAAGACCATTGCCTCTGGCCCAGAAAACAGAACTAGAGACTTGAAGGGAACCTCCACCACCACTCACTTCACGGAGCAGGTGATCAAAAATTTATAGAAAAATAGATATTTATCCATATAGTATGTCAAGATTACTTTCTTAGCAATTCTGTCGCACTATTAATTATGAGCACTTCCGAGATCATCAGCAGGGTATGGGGCGGCGTCTTGTACATGCAGTTCCATCTCGATCGCGCGCTGTCCAATCAGGAATGTCCCAGCTTTTACGTCGCTGTTCATCGCAATTCGTACCTGCACAACTCGTTGCCGGCCATTCTTCAGTTCTTTAAGCCGTTTCTGAAAGACGCCAGATTGGCGCAGTCTCAAAAGTGGTGGTTTGAGTTTGAAAAAGTTCCTCTGAAATGGAACTTTCCAGTTGGCCTACTCTACGACCTCGTAACCACTGACGCGCAAGTAGAGAAACAGGTGTGGGAAATTACCCTTAAATACTACGACTACCCTATAGAATATGTGATTCCGATCGACCAAAACCCTTCGTTTCTCAAAGACCACTGGACAAACCAGCTTAAGGAGGCATGTTTCATATTGAACGGCTCAAGCAAACTTGTAATGAACATGTCACGCACAGACTCAGACGATTTCTATCATGCCGCCATCCACAAAGATTCGACACAATTCGAGTCAATGTTCAGAAAACTGCTGCCTTCCAGTGTGTCTAGCTTGAAAAATCTGCCAATCAAGGTATATCTTCCTCTGTCCAACAAGCTGATTCAGCCCGTCCTGTCTAATCTGGGGAGAAAAATTACTCTCGGCAACCTGCTTCAGGACCTGATTCCAGACTTGTTCCCATCATCGCTGATGTACACTGTGGCACATCCGTACTCGCACGGAGTCGTCCTACCGCTCGACAGCTCTATAATCGACCTCTATATTTGCATGAAATCACTGGACGGTTTTTTACATATCTCTATCAAGATGATCCAAAAAAACGAGCACTAGGCTATTCGGGAACTTCGAACACCGCCTGCATCCAACAACGGTACATCTTCAGCTGTTTTTTGCGGTTCACTAAAAGCCGCTTGTCATATGCAATTTTGCGCTCTATGAAAGGACCACAGAATATATTTCTGAGTTCTTCCTCGGTAAAGAAATACACCCTGGTGCCATCTCCTCGGACATAGAAGTTCTCGTCAAGCAGCCGATTTTTCTTGAACCGAATTTGAGCAAGGTCATAGCGGCCATAATCACGGAACAGGATTTTTCCGCCAGGAGCCATCATTTTCGACAGATTATTGATTGCGTGCTCCCACTGATCGGGACTCAGTGCCGAAAACACAAAAATCATGACGGCAATATTAATCGAGTGCGGCTCGACGCCTTCTGGAAGCTCTAAGTTCGAATTGGCTAGATCCCATACAGACGCGTGTACAACTCCAGCGTTTTTTTCGTAAAGCTTGTTGGATCGCACTAGATCGACTGCCACTTTGGAGTAGTCACAACCAAACAGTCTGAGATTTTTGTTCTCGTTTTGCTGCAAAATAGGGAACATAGTATTACCTGCCCCGCACCCGATCTCAATGATGTTGGTTGCGGGAGCGTCGGGCTTCGTCGCTTCGTAGAGGGACGGAAACTCTATTTGTAACCATTTTCTATCCTTAAAGAAGTTTTCGCGATTATTCTTGTAGAATATGTCCCAATACTTGGCTGGCTTGTCGTTGTATAGCTTTCTGTAGTACTCGGAGACGGGCTCGTCGTGCTGTTGTTTGATCTTTTCTTCAAACTCTTTGAGCTGCTCCTCGTCCCAGTCGACGTTGTCCCATGCGTTGTAATTAAAAACTTCCTCTTCGTTTTTCAGATACCTCTGACCAAAGTCAAAAGGCTCGTCACGTCCCAACCGTGACTCCAGCGGGGGCTTCTTATCCTGGCTAGACATGCTGAAAATCAGAAATGATTTGAAAAAAAATTAAAAAAAATATTAGACCGTTTAGGTCAACCACGACTATCCCCAGATTTTCCCAAAATGGTAGCAATCTCAAGACAGCCACCTATAACAATTAATATTGATTCGCCCAAGCCTCAAAGTTAGCAACGAAAGAGATCAATGACGAAACATAAAGGACACAAGATCTTGTTGGATCAAGACTATTTCGATCCTTTGAGCGTTCAAGTCGACGTCGGACTGCCTCCTCCACCGTCTCCCAGTCATAAAATCGAGCAGCTCAAAATCAAAACCAGATCGTTCTCACACATATCATACTCACAATTTTCGGCTCAGGCTTCAACACTTACAGGCTCTGATCAAGTCTCTTCACAATATGCATCGCACTGCTTTTCCAACAGAAACACGATGACAGAGAGACAAAGGGGTAGCAGCCCCAAAAGGGCAGTTTCCTCGCCCCTTCATTTACAAAATAACGGTTCAGACTCTTCACTAGTCACAAGTTTCATCAATAGCTACAAAGATATGGGTGATTCTGACTCCCATCCTGCGAACTCTGACTCGGAGCACTCCTTATTCTCGATTCAAACTCACTCTTCCAGAGAATCCTTACCCAAACCTGATATCATCAATACCTACTCGAAACCACTACCTTCTATTCCGATCGAAACTTTCAACCAAGCTGATGTGAGAGACTACAATCTCAGCACTCCGTGCCGCCAAACTTACTCCCAGTCTCCACCAAAACCGAAACCGCAACCCAAAAAACACCACATGGCTCCTCCTGATACAACCATCTTCACCAGAAAGCCAACGTACGTCAGAAAACAGCATAGATCACCTTCTGATCAGGCGGTACGTGATGCTGGGGTCGAGCCATTCATGCTCACAGGGTATGAGCCAACCAAAACGTTAAAGATCGTGAATTAAATAGCTACTCTGAAATATAAGGATGTGCTAATTGATATGCCCCAATCGAGCAGCTTTGAATCGACTTGTCTTTACTGGCTCGATAGGCTCATATTCTTTTTCTCTCTCGCTCTTTTGGAATCCTCCGTTATACTGGTGTATCATTTTGGTTCGCAGTCTCGTGTAGTCCATTGCAACATTCGCTTCCAAAACCTCGTCAGCCAGTTCAATGTCAGGATCCTCGTCAGCCTCGTCAATCTCATTTTCCACAATTTTGTCCACTAAGACCGTGTCGTCATCTTCTTCCTCTTCAGATTCTCCCTCCCGTTCTTCTGGCAACTCTACCGGTTTGGATTCCACTATTTTATTATGAGACTCAAAATCATCGAGTTTCTCAATAACTTCGCCATGGGTCTCTATGTCATCGTCGTACATTCCCAGCGTATAAGCCCTAGCCATTGTATCCAGATCGTCTTGCATAGCCCTGTAGTCTAGGGAGGCTGGAACAGCAGATATTTTCGAGCTATCGTTATCAGACTGCTCCTCAATGTCTCTTTCAACCACATCATGCATGACTTCCTCTGAGTCTTCGTCCGAAAAGGTCTCATGACTAACACCCCGCTGTCGGCGCTGAAGCTTGAAACGAGACAGTCTGGTTTTTTCGGTCTTCTTCAGCTCTTCAGAAACATTTTCCATTTCCTTCACTTGCACAGATTCTGCAAATGTGACGCTCTTCTTCTTCGCTTCTGCTTTGTTAGGTTCAGGAAGATTCTGCAAAACATCCTTCTCCTGTTTTTTCTGCCTTAATTCTGCTATCTGCTGTAGGAACATACTTCTTGCGCCGCCTGGAACAACTTTGACATAGCTCTCATCATCATCGTCATCATCGTCATCTTCTTCTTCCTCTACTTCATCTTCTTCTCTTTCAAATGCTCGTGGCAATTCGCTCTCATCTTCGTCGAAATCTTCGTCATCAAAGTCCTCAGCAATCATCTCGAGAGTCAGGATATCTTCCGGGTCAATAGCAGGCTTTCCTGGAGCATAATCAGAAGTGGCCTCGGAAGATTCACGGAAACCTGCTGTTTCCTTTGTTTCCTTTGTTTCCTCTTTTTCACTTTTCACTTTCAAGTCTGTCTTGGGAGCAATATCCATATCTTCCAAAAGTTCAGCAAGTTGTTCTCGATCCTCATCAATTTTCTTCTGCTCTTCTTGAGATAGTTCCTCGATTTTCTGCGCTTGAGTGAGCGTAATCTTCTTTTGCGGTTCAACTTTAGCAGACTCTGTAGTGGTAGCATAATCTGCTTTTTTTTGCTGTGAAGGTGCATCCTTATGTGCTGCCGATCCATTTTTGGAATCGTTGATTTCGGGTTCCGCTGACCGAGCAGATTCGACACGCTGATTCCCATTTGACATTTCCGCATAGGGTTTCACATCACCGGATATCACATGGTCTTCATCATCCAGCTCCTCACGAATCTCCATTATAGGCAACTCGTCTGGTGTGGGCTCTTTGTGTTCGTACTCATCAATCTTTTTCAAGCTTTCAAACAGTTCCATCAGCTTTTTCTTCGAAGCCTTCCGCTCCTCTATTTCCTTGTCCAATCTGTTGATTTCCGAGTCCAGGTTCTTTATCTTTTCCTTAACCCATTGTTCTTCCTTTGCTGCCTTGTCTTTGAATACTGTGCATTTATCTCCCACTTCTTCGTTCTTTTCCTGCACAAAATGGCGAGTCAAGTTAGCAAACGTGTGAAGGTGATTAACCTCAAACTCGTAGAGTTGCTTAACCCCGATCAAGTTGTACAGAATAGAATCTATAAGAGATATCTCGTTTTCCATTTGAAGTAGGGCTCACAAGGAAAAAAAATTAAAAATTATTCAATCATGCCTCCGTATGGACAGATCGTGATCGGTCCTCCCGGCGCCGGGAAATCGACATACTGCAATGGCATGAACCTGTTTTTGAATTCAATAGGCAGAAACTCACTGATAGTGAACCTGGATCCGGCAAACGATCTTTTGCCATACCATTGCACAATCGATATTAGAGACTTCATCACGCTCGAGGAAATCATGAACGACGAGAATATACGATTGGGCCCTAACGGAGGCCTGGTATATTGTTTGGAAGTGTTTGAGCAAAGCATCCAGTATTTCATCGAGAAGATCAAAGACTTGATGTCCCTTAGTCTAGACGGACAATCCACATACATTATATTCGATTGCCCCGGACAAACAGAGCTGTTTACCAACAATCCGATATTCAGAAAGATCTTCAGTAAACTGGAGAAAGAGCTTGATTTCAGGTTTTGTGTGGTGTCTCTAGTAGATTCTATCAATCTGGTCACCCCGTCCTACTATATTTCGATGCTGCTCTTGACTTTGAGGTCAATGCTTCAGATGGATTTGCCCCAAGTGAATGTCATTTCAAAAATTGATCTTTTGAAATCGTACATTGACGGTGACAGGGCTTCTAAAATGGAGCAGCGAAAAAGACAAGAAACGGATGAAGACGATCTAGAAGGTGGCTTGCCCTTCAGGTTGCAATACTATACGGAAGTTCAAGACTTAAACCAGCTCTTGCCATATGTCAGGACAGAGAATAATCAACGGGGTTACTTTAATGAGAAATATGAGAGGCTGACAACCTTGATAGCGGATCTGATCGAGGATTTCGGATTGATCCAGTACACAGTTCTGGCAATTGAGGATAAAATTTCGATGATCAATCTTCTTTCAATAATTGACAAGGCCAATGGGTATTGTTTTGGAACGAACGAGCTTGGAGGCGACTCCATCTGGTCCGATGCTGTGCGACAATCATCATTGGCGTTTATGGAAGATATTGACATCCATGAAAGATGGATCGATGAGAAGGAGCAATGGGATGAGCTTGAAGAAGAAAAACGTAACGAATTGGAAGAGTACTTCCAGAATATACAAGCAAAGCAGGATCCCGAAGACGAATGGGAAGCCGCACTGCGAGACTGGGAAATGAAGCAAGATATAGAAACTAAACGAGCGTAATATATTTACTAGTATTTATTTAATAGCTATTTAAAAATGTAGAAAAATAATTTATGTCACTACAGGCCCAGCTCCAATTACACCCGACGTCGTTTTTGCTATGGCGGAGATTGCTCGACGAAAGCCCAACCGACGAAAACTACCAGCTGGCGTATTATCGCACCCAGTTCGATGTGACAAACAACTACAAGATGTGGGGACTGTACTATAAACATTGCACAATTAAGATCCACGACGCTGTAGAACTTGACCACCTTTGGCTTCAACAGCTGCAAATACCGAGCTTGGATTACGAAAGCCTGCTGAATGATTACTCAAGGTTTGTGTCAGATCACTTTGGAGAACAGTATGCAGACAAGATGAAGAACATACTTCAAATAAAAAAAAAAGTGACGCAGATACTAGAGAAGATCGAGCCCTGGGAGATGCAAAGACAGGACAAAAGTCCCGAATACTGGATTGGCTATTTAAAGGCATTGCACGGAAGCAAAGTGTTGGATAGGGTGACAAAAAACCGTTTAATCCAGTGTACAGTGGAAAGAAGTTTAAGCGTTCAGGTTTTCGTATCAGTGGTACAGACCTATCTGTCATTCAACTTGGAGGTGGATGAGTTTGCTTTTTGGGAAAGACTTGTGCAAATTGAGCCACATAATGCAGAAGTATGGATCCAACGCATCCGGTACTGTCCTCCGGATCAGTTTCCAAAAATACGGTCTCAGTTCAACAGTTACACTGATCTAAACTTGATACCTGTGTTCTGTGAAATTCTACGAATCGAACTTCATCTGTTTAAGGAGAATCCTGCGTTGGCGCAACCACTGCTAATTGAGGACACATACAACTATTTTTCAAGAGCATTAAAAGCAGGAGATATATTCCACACTGTCGCAAAATTGTGTATTGAGATACTGGAGGATATTGGAGATATTGATGGCATCAGAGATGAATTTCTGCTCCCCTTCTTGGGGGCTTTTGACAACCAAGTGGAAGTGTGGCTTTATGCCACCGAGTTTGAAAAGAGACATGGCAACTATGGACATGTGACGGAGCTATTCAAAAAAGCAATGGATATTGCCGAAAAGCTGGATTGGCCTGAGCGTTTAGCTGCTGAATGGAAAAGATTTGAGCTGCTGAAAGGCACAGATGAAAGCCAAGAATATTGCGACGAAGTTTGCCAACTCGCACTTTCACGAATCAAAGGCCAAAAAAGACCATTTTTGGAGTCAGAACTGGAACAAAAACCAGAAGGACCGCAAAACAAAAAAAGAGCGCACGAGAACACTTCGGAAACAGATTCAAGGAAATCGAAAACCGACATCAGAGATCGCGAACATCTAACCATCTTGGTAGCCAATCTGCCCTCTTCAATTGATGAGAAAGAACTGACCAGTATATTCAGCTCCTGTGGAAATATTCGTAGCATCTCCTTGTTGGAAGGGAAAGCAACCATCGAATTTACAGACGAGCAGGGACTCCTATCAGCCATGAAGAAAGACGGCACCATAATTGAAGACTCGCCGATTGAGGTGGTCCATTTGAAGAATAACACGCTCTGGGTTACAAATTATCCTCCCGAGAAAACTGCGGAAGACTTGAAGAAGATTTTTGGACAGTATGGAGGAGTTCTGGCAGTTAGACTGCCATCCTTGAAAACCAACGTGCAAAGACGTTTTTGCTATGTTGAATATTCGTCTGAACAGGATGCCGCGTCTGCTATAAAAGCATTGGATGGCCATACGATACACGGGAAAACGGGTGATTTCAAATTGACAGTTAAAATCTCGAATCCTGAGGCCAGACAAGGACGCAAAGGCGCGCTAGAAGAGGGCAGACAGGTATATGTTAGTGACTTGGACTTTTATAAGGTCGATGAGGACAAATTAAGCGAGGTATTCTCCAAATATGGTGATATTGAAATGATTCGCATTCCTTTTAGACGTGATGAAAAGAGCAAGAAGCTCAACAACGGGTTTGCATTCATTTCGTTCAGATCCAGTTCCGATGCCGTCAAGAGTCTCGAGATGGATGGCAAGTTGCTGGCTGGAAGACCAATGAAAATCGAGTTAGCTACGCCCAAGAAGAAGAAAGTGGCTGTTCTTGGAACTGGGAGATTTGATAGAGCGCGGACAATCTCGGTGCTCAATGTTGACGACAAAATCAACAGCGAAACTCTGAAAGCCATATTTGAAGAAATAGGTCCAGTCACCCAGATAGAGTTGCAACCAGAGAACAACGCGGCTTTGATTGAATTTGAGACTGTTAGAAGCTCTGGTATGGCAGATTTCAAGTTCAACGGCCGCAAAATCGGCGAAACTACTGTTCGAATTGGCACCTTTCAGGATTTTTTGAGACTGAAGAGAAACAAGACTTAATTTAGTCTATGTAATTATTCTAATAACATATCTTTCAGCTGTTTGATTTCATCAAGTAGGCGATCCACAAATTTATATTTTTCATCTGAGTCAAGCAATCTTTGCTCTTCCAGACTCGATGCCACAATTCTTGAGGAGAGGAACTTTGGATGCGAAATGAGATAGTTTAGGCCATTGACAAGATTGAGGCGTTCCTCTTTCGTATCCAGGCCGGGAATCAGCTTGACAGAATCGGAATTGGAAGCCACGTTCTCATAGATGTCTAGAAGATTGAGAGCTTTGGCCAAGAAAATAATTTGGGAGGTTTCGTGGACTATTGGAAGACTAATAGGCGTGGTAGATTCTAACCATCCAGATAGAGTACTCTGGAACTGTTTGGAAAATGTTTTAACGAACAGATAGATTTCAGATGATAATTTCTCGCCAAACGATGTGACCAAAGTCAATACGGTCGATAAAAGACCATCAACCCAGATTTGGTGCAACCTGGCTGTAGAAGCAACAACAGGAGAAACGCCACCTTTCTGAATTTGCACCGATATCTGAGAATCAACAAGAACCATAAATAGCCCATTTGTCAATAACTTCTCCGCTACAGGTTTCAATTGCACAAGCTGGTTGATGATCTTGAGGGAAATTTCCGAAAACATCGCTTCCTTGTTGATCTTGATTAGATGGGAGCAGGAGTAAAGGTTGGCGGTCGATCTGAAGAGGCCGGAATCTATCACACACTTGGCAATGGAAACTTCCAGGTCGCGCGGAAGATGCTTGTTGACTAGCGCGTTCAGAAGACTGATAATCAGCGAAAGATCATCGGCTTGTTTGCAGATAAGCAATGAGTTTCCATAGTCAGTTTTCCTGGAAGCCATCACCTCATTTTGAATAGACTTGAATATCGTTTTGACAGATTTGGCAATGATTGCATTAAAAATGTCCACGAACGTGGCTCCATATTCCATGAAAAGCATTGTGTCCTCTTTGATCATACCAAAGGCTATCAGAAGAGTCCTCAATAGCGGACGATAGTTTTGGTTTTCAAAGCTGAGGAGTCCACCCTGTAAATCGATATCGTTGGACACAAGGAGTTGACAGGCGGAGGAAATTAAGGAGAACACTATTTTATCGTCGAATTTGTCTCCCTTGCGTTTGGAGAAAGTGAGGCAAATGAAAAATGCCAAATCAATGCGTTCCTGGTATATAATGGCAAAGTTTGGTGAGAGTATTCCTTCTTGTTCGTTGATTTTGAGAAGCGTTGTAGCGAGAGAAATGTACTGCGAATTGATCTCAGCTGCGTTGTTTTTGCAGAAGCACGTGACCAAGGCACCAAACGACTTAGCAGCAGTGACGCGAGCGGACACCAGCTGGAATCTTAGGCTGTTGGCTATAACTTGATTTCTCACTACCTCCCATTTTGCACTTCTTCTGAATAGCTTGTCCATCAGTTCCAGAGAATGCGAGGAATCTTCCCCGTAAGCTTCTTTGATGTAATGTGAAGTTCTTTCAAATTGTGAAAGCCTGAAATTCATTCCGTCTATGGTAAACTCTTTCAATTCGTTTTCTGTCCGAGAAATTGAGCAGTCCTCAAGCTCAAACTTATCTTTAAGCTGTGAGATAAAATCTTGGGAATTCAGGAGTTGATAGATCTTCGTTTTGTTGGCATTGTTTTGTGAAACAAAAAGGTACAGGGACATAATCTCGGCCATTTTTGCCTTTATGTTGACCTGGTAGAAATACTCTTTCAAAGCCTCGCCATCATCAGTTGATAATGGCTTTGGGAACGAGCTCAACTCACGGATGATGCTCATCACAAATTTCTCATCATCATCATCTTCTTTGGCAGTAGTCCATGAGTTAAATGCAAGAGCAAGAGCTTCCACCAAATTCAGCGACACGTTGCTTGGATAAACAGAGATTTTAGAAATCAATGCTTTCAATATCTTTAGAAGCGACAGTTGCGACTTTCTCAGTTTATCTTCCTTGCTGAGGCTCTTCTTCTCGTCTAGAATGCAATCCTTGATATTGCGCCCAGTGATGAAAACGATCGACAGTCCTTCTTGATCCCCTTCCATGACTGACGAGAAAAATCTGAAAAGCGCCGTTTTCATTTCATGAGTCTCAAACTCGTTTGCCATGTCCACGGCTAGACATTTAAGCAGTAGTTGAGTATGTTCCTGTCCCAGGTGGGTGAGCAGAGATGGCGGCTCTTTTTCCCAGCTCGTGCTGACAAGACTTGATAGCAAATTCAAAACATTTGCACGCTGATTCATTGTGCCAGCGTACAAATCGACCAACCTTTGGATTATAGCATAAAGATCCATCTCAAATGCGGATGCAAGAGTCCCTTGGCAGGCACTTCTGATGGATATTAAGGTCGTAGCAAACTCAAACATACCGTCAATGAACCTTTGTCGCCAAAGACCAGACAGTCCAGAAGTGTCAATGTCCATCACTGCGTGAGAAAGTGAACTGAAGGTTTCCAAAATCGGTTTGGAGGTTCTCGAAACTTGAATATCAGGAACCAAAAACATCTTTGTGATTCTCTCGCAAGACTGTGCAAATACACGCGTCACTTTTGTTCTTGGGTCTGTTCCATTATCAATCCCATAGAGGCTAGCAATGATTTTCACA